GGCCATTTTGATTTAGCTTCAATTGAACAAAGGTAAGACGTATATGAAGGGGTTGAATAGTTAAAATTTTTTATCGGCTGGCTTGTCGTAAACAAAAAAAAAAAAAAAAAATATAGCCAAAAAGGACTAAAAAAAAAAAAAAAAAAAAAAAAAAAAAAAAAAAAAACGAAAAAAATCAAAATATAGACGAAAAAGATCGAAAAGTAAAAAAATAAAAAAGTAAAAAAAAAAAAACTTACACATGTATCGCGTATTCTATATCGTTATTTTGGTCACTCGATTATTGTTACTTGTGAGTTTCTTGAAAAAAAAATTTATCTACTTCATTACAGTGGATTTTCGTATATGCGTTTGTTCTGAGTGTGTTTCCTTGTCACAATACTAGCTCCGTGACGTCATACCATGCTCGTGAAAATGCTGAAAGTCCTTTCTACCAACATGTCAAATAGATAGTGGCCCGAAGGCCCGAAGGCTTCTATTTCCGTAACTCCTGCTACGACTTTCTTTATGTTGACTATTAAACAGGCTAGTACAAACAAAACTGTTATAACAGCTGATTCTATTGTTCTGGTGAATGTTCTAATTTTTAAGCAGATGCTTGATAATCAGTGGTGATGATGTGACATTTTAATATACATAGCTTATGAAGCTCTGGCGATAATTTCGCCTCCAACGTTTTGCTTCAATGCTTCCTCCAACTCCAAAACTCCTCGGTTGGTATTCAGAATGGCAATTTCTCCTGGTGCCAAAGGCTTGATAAATTTGGCTCGTCGACCTGCAGCGAGATCCTTCATCTGATTGACAGTGAATGTAACCTTCTTTGATGGCTTGCTAACAACGGAAAGACTGTTGAGTGCTGGTCTGTTATCTTTGTATTTGAGGGTAAGCCAGAGCCTTCGGGTAGCAATGTTGTCTGTTGTGGTCGGAGTGTAGGTAGCATCAGGAGCCATGTGGTTACCGCGAGCGACGGCCGAGACGAAACCCTCTCGATAGAGGATATTACAAACGGCCAAGTTCATCTTTGTGTCAGGAACAGCGATAGATTGAAGGCGAGCTCGAAAGCCGTTCTGAACTCTAGCACACAAGTCGTAAATGCGTGGCATGGCGATTAAGAGTTATGGCACTATGATTATTTTTTTCTTGGGACTATCAAAAATTTCGAGAAACTTACAACAAAATCTCAAAGGAAAACGTGACGTCACAGTGGCTTGTTGTTGCTCGTGGGCAGCAGTAGGAAAAACGGTGGTGGGTGAACGAAAACCAAAGCTCCTTCCTATCCTCTTTATCAACGTCACACTTGTTTTTGGATAAGGCTTGAGGCGGTCTAATTAATCCAAGATGGTAAGCATGATTCTACCTTTAACCTTTTTCTTGTCAAGTGCCTTTGTGTTGGTTTTGTTCTGGAGATCAATCAATCGTAAAACGCGTGTTCAAAAAGTTCAACATCGCCCATCACCAAGCAGATCGATGCTTTCGCGATGATCGAATGACGTTCGGGAACACGTTCGAAATGACTGATTTATGTTTCCACTATAACCTTCTCGACGGCACTTGAGTAAAGCAAACATCTGGCATTCAAATCACGCATTTCATCTTGAATGCCAAAAAGCACTACCTTTTTCTAATACTGCGGTTGCCTTTTTTTAGACGTCCAAAAACTCCAAAATGATGAATATTATAAACTACCGCCTTCGAATCACGCTTGCGGATTCCCGAGTACTTACCGGACAGATGCTTGCGTTTGATAAACACATGAACCTTGTTCTTGCTGATTGCGAAGAGTTCCGCAAGGTCAAGTCCAAAGGAAAGGTTCCCGAAGGTCAGCCTGAGCAAGAAGAGAAGAGAATGCTTGGTCTTGTTATTCTTAGAGGCGAAACCATCGTCAGCATGAGCATCGATGGACCACCACCGCCGTCTACTGAAGACAAGTCATCGCGTGCTTCACAATTGATGACTGGTCCTGGTGTGGGCAGAGTAAGTGATATAACCATCCCATACATAATCATTAGACGCACTGTAATTAACAACAATTTCTTGTAGCCTGCTGGTAGAGGAATGCCTCCTATGCCCCCAATGGGTGCAGGATTGGGTGGCCCAGTCCGTGGAGTCGGTGGCCCTGCTCCTGGTGTAAGTTAACATACAAATGGGTTCAAACGGATATTATAGACTTGATGAGCATGCAACTGATTATTATTTTTGCTTTATTTCCATTTTTCTAGATGATGCAACCTAGACCTGGCATTCAGGCACCTCCAGTTGCTTACGGCCGTCCACCCATGCCCGGTGGTATGGTAAGGATCAACCATTCATATCATTCTTAACCAGCTCATATGTTTCGATTCTCATTGTTTTTTTATCTGTTGCTTAGGCTCCTCCCGGCTTTAGACCTCCTCCCGGTATGCCACCAGGTGCTCCCCCGCCAGGTTTTAGACCTCCTCCAGGTCCTCCTATGGGTTTCCGACCTCCTCCAGGCGGACCTGGTGGTCCTCCACCTGGTTTCCGTCCTGGTATGCCCCCACAAGGATTCCCACCGGCTGGACGTGGTGGTCCTCCACCAGGAATGTTCAACAGACCGCCACCCCAATAATCTCAAAATGACATTATACAGCCCCTTTCTACACGACTTTTTTTCCGAAATCTTCAGCCTGACTTAAAGAGTTAAAAAAAACAAAACAATCCACAAAAACTTCAATGAAAAAGATGTACATAACCGTTGATTGGCTAATAGAGCAATGCTCCCAGTTACCTTTTTCTTGTGTTTTCAATATCTGTATGACAAGTGTGCATTTTATGGAATGGGTTATAAACGTGAACTGGGTTAGCTGATGAAGCAGTTTGAACCACAGCGATAGTCATGCACAGTAGTTCGTAATCTAGAAAGTTTTAAATATGCATTGACTGATGTCTTTATTATTATTGATACACAGGCAAGAACTATGATCAAACGTATAAGGCAAGGAAGGCGTGACGAAGTTATGCCTTACTCTTTCCTTTTTCTTTTCGTGACAAGCTTTGATCCTCCACATCATCCTCATCGTCTCCACCATCATCAAGCTCTTCTGGTTGAGATACTTGTATGTCTTCCCATTTACCTTCAAAACACCTAGTAGTTAGCTTCACTGATAGTTTCCATGGCGTTGTCTAAGCTGTATTCACGGTGCATGTATCTCTCACCTTGATCTTGATCGTAATATGTAAGATAGACTAGCATATCGTTTTCAAGGCCAGCCTTTTCAACCTGTAATGCATCCTCTAAAAGGGTATATCCTCCTTGTGGTTTTTGGATGTAAAGTCTAACTTCTTCTGCTAGTTTGTCGCCATTCAGAATTGTGTTGCACAGTACGTCCTTTACGCGAGCTACAGTATCTTTGGCAGACACACAGATAAAGTATGTGGATGTAAGTCGTTTAACACGTATATAATTCGGTACTTTGGCTGCCTAAATGGAAGAGAATAAGCATTCAGCAATCAAGGTGTTCATTTCTTCCTACATTAGCTGAATCTCATACATGTTACGTACCATTATTCTAATCAATGAGAGCTTGCTGTTAAGGACGCTGATGGATTTTCCGGCGTTAGAAAGACTGCTTTTTATTTTGGCTGTATTGATACCAGTTCGTCAAAAAAATAATCGACAATTTTGTTCCTAAGCTACAGCCAGCTGGACTTGCAATGTCAACGAATACAAAGAAAGCTTCTGAACCACCAATACAGCCCAAAACACTACTAGCAGGAGCTGCTTCTGCCTTTGTTCTTGGTTTAGCGGGATCCATATGGCAAGCTAATCGCAAACATGCTAGAGAAATGAAAGCTGAGGCAGCAGCCACATCCGGCCATGTAGCCGCTGAAGTTCCAGTACCAGCAACCACAGCAGCAACCACAGCAAAACCCACACCCGTAGGTGCACAATTGCACATACCGCCTCCTCAACCTGTTATGACCCCAGCCGAGTATGCCAAATCTAGAGCTGATGCTCGACACTTCGCCTTGCGATCATTTGGGTATGGAACATTGGCCGCTTTTGGAGGTATGGGCGTACTTACTCTCTTGACCGCCTGGTGGATGGATGTATCAAGTGTAAGTGAATTTTGTGAAATGAATAATCTGTACTGAAAATGAACCCCTCGAAATCTCTTATTCATATTTGGTATTAATAGATTGAGGAGCTGTCACAAAAGCTGCAAGATACCATTCCGCGACGTACGGCAGCATTACGAGCTAAGATTTTGCGCGAAGAAACGATCGAGGACGAACTTTCCATGCTGCCTAATATCGATCGAGCCCAATCGGAAGAAGATATCAGTGCTGAGCAATGGTGGCAGGACTTGAAGAAGGAATGGCGACAGGACGTCGAAGCAAGGCGAGAATGGCACTCCTTGAGAGATGCACATGACAAAAAACGGTAGTAGTATGTAGTCTCGTGGCCCTCTATTCCATGCAACCCGATACCTTGTCATAGTATGATAGAATAATGTAAACAAAACATACCTAGAAACCACCTTGTACATCATGTATAGAAGTACGAACTAAAAAGCAAATACTATTTCTGCTCATTTTATTTGTTTGCTCTACCTGACAGAACAATGTCTGTAGTAGACATTCACGGTGATAGATGATAACGATGAAATGAACAGGAGAAAAAATTCAAATGGTTTGCTGAAGAAAACGAAATATTGAATGGAGCAAAATAGGAAATGGAAAGAAGAGAAAAAAAATGTATATGTGTATAATACAGCGTTATGAGGACGAGACGGAGCCAGTTGAACTGCATTGATTGAAAAAGAAGAAGTCATGTGCAAAGCTTCACGGTAACAGCGTTGGATGACTGAATCTCCGTATGCACAGCTGCAACATTCTGCTTGTCTGCCTTTATAGTATTAATGGATTGCTGCATCTGGCTCTTGAATATCAGTAGCTCGTACATATCCATATACGACATTTTTTCTACTTGGATGGCTGACCTATCTAAAGAAGTCCACGCAAAAAAAGAAGAAGGTTGTTAGATTTAGGTATCTCGCATGAAGGAATCTGTTCCTGAAAACGTGCGATTGTCGATCGACTCCGTACCGTATTCTTCATTGCTGAAGGTGACAATGACATGAGTGTCAGTAGAGAAGTTCACTTGTTTTGCAGGCATGGATTAGCTTTATGTAGTTAAGGAGAGTTGAAAGAGACAGAAGGAAGTGTGAGAGCCCATAAATTGCGAGATAAGGGAAGAAGGCTTGAATCAATTGAATCTCTTAATAAAATAAACAAGTCATTTGATATTTTATGGAATTGAGATGCAAGGTGCTGGTGCGTAAAAAAAGAAAAAGGGCAGCAGCAGGAGAGAAAATAAAAGCAAAAAGTGGGCTGCGTGGGGCGTATCCCTCAGTGCGATTGCGTGCACTTTCGGTTGGCACTGCCACAATAACACGAAATTTTTCAGCCCTGCGTCATAATACCAGACAAGAACGCAATTGAAATCTTTGATGCTCCTCGTTGTCATGAAGATAACTGAACGTGTTTTATCTGCTATATCTTGATAATCGATCAATGATGCTTTTTATTGATACAAACCGTCATGGAATGAATAGGACAAAAGGATACAAGGGAGATCTTACAGGATAGGGGGAGGGCAACATTCAATTGGGGTACGTAACATGCAGAAACAAGGCTAACACGAGCTATTTAGACTGTAAGTCGGGAATGAATACCCTGCTTGCTCCCATGTCGTCAAGTTGGGATTCATATACGCATTGTAATGGCTAATAAACAGATCACGTCTATGTCAATACCAACACTGATTCCCTTATTTCTTTGGATAATTATTTTTTTTTTGGCATCCTTATACTTACTTTTTAATATATTCTGCCGTTGGATAGTCCTCCGGATCACAGTCCACGCTGATCCTATCAGGGCTCTGATATAAACGTATATAATCCACGTACATATAAGATGGGAATATGAGAGAGCTGAGGTCGACTGGCCCAAAGGCCGTTGACATACCGAAATTTAGGATAATCGACTATATGTTCCAAACAAGTTCAACAGAACAATATTAGTGTTTGTTCAGTCAAGCACGGCCCAACCAGATACAAACAATCTACATGCCAAATAATAAACACAACAAAAGGGGCTTACCATCGGTTCCACACTGATGAGACGTTGCCACACTTGAGACTTATTGTTTGGTCCGACCGCTTCATCATACATGCGCCAGGTTTCCTGTCCATTTACAAGCCAACGAACATAAGCTTGCTTTCCAGCCGTGTTGCTTGGAACGTACTCAAATGCGTACGTTTGATAGGCTTGTCCATCATACATTGACGTATCGACTTGCGTCAAACATGAAACCGCTTGTTGGTATTCGTTACCCTGGAATGTGTTAGGGATTGTTTTTCCATTGTTTCCAATGGTTTTGCTCTTCTTGTTGGATATCGTAATCTCTGATCTATTCGCCAGCCAATGGTAGTCAAAAGGTGCGAATTGTGCAGATTGTGAGACGGAACCACTCGTACCATGACCGAATTTATCATCGGCACCGGCAGCTTCGAGTATATCCATTTCAGGTGCCCCTCGACCTTTTCCTGGGTATGGATTATCAATGCTAGGACTCCCACACATGCATCGATTTATTCGCTGTCCTGGAATAAAACTCTTGGTCGTAAATGACTGATTAGGTGTTACCCCGGTGTCACAACTGTCATAAGAGTATGGCCAAACTCCATCGGTTGATGCGCCATGACCTGCCCTGGCCAAGTTTCCGAGAGTCCATACGCCTGGCCAGAATCCGGAGACATCAGGTGGACCAGGCAAAGAGACGTTCACTGAGGATAATGGTCAGTGGTTAGTTACTTCCTACATATATATAGATCAACTTTAAGTTTTACATTTTTAAAAAAACAATTACCTTCTAATAAACCTCCAGTGAAACAGATTTTATTCCAAGACTGCAACATTCCACTGCGATAGTTGAGATTATGAGTTGGCATGTTTGCCATCGTGATCTTCAACGATCCGCCTTCAGTTGTAACCATATCAGGTGAGTACCATTCCAAATCTTCAGTCAACCAATAATGCAGGTCGACAGCTTCCCAAAAGGGATCATCGCCAGGGTAAAAAGTGCGACCATCGTTGTTGAACTCATCTGAAAATACCAATTTCCATTCTTCACCGTAGTAAGAAGTTCTTGTTCGTTCTTGTGCTGGTGTATCCGGATCGATGATGCTTCTTCCGCCTGGAGTGGTAGGGATGGTGGTTGTAGGAGGCGAGGTTGAGTTGTAGCCATTATTTTTTTCTTGGGCTGCTCTCCTGTCGTTTGCTTCTTTCGATATTGCCAGCGCTAGTGGCAGTATGAGGAAGACACCAAGTAAACTCAAGAGTAGAAACAATAAGGAAAGGGTATTCCCCCAACCACGAATGTTTGGCTTCATCCAATCAGATGGGTATGAGGTGTCAAAATCAGGGTCATCGAGGTCTTGCAGAAGATCGATGGAATAAGGTGACTCGTCCTTTTCGTTGTCAAAGACGGGCTGACTTATGGTCGAAAGCCGGTTGTTCACCCAACGATTAGACACTGATGAAAGAGACAGCCTTGGTGTAGCATGATAAGTGAACGGAGAGTAATAAGTAGTAGAGTGGTACAGTGACCGGTGTGATTGATGGCGGGCTGCCGGAGGTGATTGGTAACTCTCATCAACAATACTACCGTATGAAGGCAGTTTCGTAAACGGGATGGCCATGCCCTTCGAGCTTTTCCAACGAAAGGCCATGACTTTCCCAAAGCAATTTGCAAGATGTTAACCACTATGAGAGTTTGAAGATTTGATTTAAAAAAAGAAACACCATGAATATAAAAGAATGGTATCTTAAACCGCATAATATCCCATTACACTTGTGAAAGATCATGCGGTCATATTGTCAGGTTTCAAAAAACAAGTAAACTTTTGATTTTATCAAAGAAAGTCAATGCTCAATGCCACGCTACCGTGGTAAAACGTTGTTTACAAAAAAAAGCTTTGGGAGAAACACATAACATACTCTATATATTTAATGAAGCGTTAATTACAGCCATAACAGTGAAATTTCTTTCCGGTCACAACGACTTGCAATATTGGTAGTAAAAGGAAACGAGAAGCGAAGGATATCCTCCGACACACCAAGTGGGATTACATAAAGGGTCACGATGTTAAACTGAAATTTTTGCCAAGCTCGACGGCGATAACTGTGAAGAGCACCACACTACAGCATGATGAGGAGATCTCACTTTATAAATTATACCAATAAATGGGGGGCAATTTTTTTTTATTGTATCAAAGGATATGTTGGAATCGGACATTGACCTGCCAATCTACAGTCAAGGCTGGCAAGCTCAAAGATGGATTCCTTCTTTGTTCTTGAGCAGTTAATAGTCATCATACCCTGAAATTGTCGGTATCATGAGATAGGACACCACTCGTATCTAAAAGTATCGGCAACACCGTAATTTAGCCAGAGGCTATCAAACAAGGCCAATAAACATCCTGCATAAAAAAATACGCAACTGTTAGCATTTGTAACTGGTCTCTGTTGTAAGTGTGACTGGAAAGACAATGATATATTCGAGAGCAGGAGTGAGTTGACCAGCAGGAAAATAGCTGCTATCAACATAAAGAAGCTTCTAATTGCTATTGGATGGCATGGAATGAAACCACATACTAAGCAGACGTGATCTCAATAAAAGACATCCGTTCCGTATATGAAGGTGTTAACTAGTTACACATACCTTTTACGTGTATAATTTTGTTAAAGGACGAAAAGATGAAAGATCAACTAAGGGGGAACGACGTTAAAAATTTTTATAGCTTTTGACTGACATCATGGAAACGCCTGGAAAAATACTGCCTGCTTGGACGACCCCGCTTTAATTGCCTGTGGTTCAATGCTTTGCGAACATTTGTGGTACGATTACCGACAAGGTGAGAGTACGAGTATAGATAATACTACGTCTTGTTCACATGCTCAGAGAGGATCACAGATATCAATCCTTTTCCATGAAGATGCTTTGACTCTCATTGGAGTAAATAATATTCACATAATATCCATCATGTTCGTATGCGATGGCATAAATGCGTTTTTATTCATTATTTTAAATGATCATGCTATGGAATTTCGTTATCGGGCAAGATTACCTGGGTCACGCTGGTTGTGTATGCAGCAACTTTTAAAACTGCCAGCTTTTAACATTTTTCATTTTTTGGTCGAAGACAGGGAAAATACAGGAAAAAAAAAAAGTCACGTGTAGAGAGAAATCTGCTGCCGGCCAGTGCAAGCAAAAATGGCCAAGCGGCTGCCAAACGTGAAGCTCCCTCTTTCAACTCGTTATGGTGAGTATGCCGTAACATCCATCAATGAAAGCAAACAGATAATGGAATACAGCATCGATATGGATGGATGGATTAGTGTATCCGATGTATCCAGACAACCATCTCATCTTGTCATTACGACCGACATTTTATTTCTCATCGCTACATCAGCCGACATTGCGACAGACAACCAAATCCAACAGCTTGACGTTAGCTTTGTATGCTTTTTAACCTAAACTGAGCGACTGGAAGCATTACATTTACGACGAATTCCTCCATTTTGACTCTCAAATGACCATGCGTACCTTTCTCATACTCAAATTACGTTGTAACTCATATCCAATTGCTTTACCATTTACAGGCTGACCAAGAACAACCCCAGAAGCGCAGAACCTTCCGCAAGTTCTCTTACCGTGGTGTCGACCTCGACCAACTCTTGGACCTCTCTTCTGAGCAGGTAATATATCTGTTATCTAAATCAGAAGGCTGTTCAATTTGATCCGCGTTACTAACTTAACTCCACATAGTTCATGGAGCTCGTCCACTGCCGTGCTCGCAGAAGATTCCAGCGTGGCTTGAAGCGTAAGCCCATGGGTCTTATCAAGAAGCTTCGTGCTGCCAAGAAGGAGGCTGTCGGTAACGAGAAGCCCACCACCGTCAAGACTCACCTTCGTGACATGATCATTGTTCCCGAGATGATTGGCTCTGTTGTTGCCATCTACAACGGTAAGGTTTTCAACCAAGTTGAAATCAAGCCTGAGATGGTTGGTCACTACCTCGCCGAGTTCTCGTAAGTATCAACTTTTGTATCGCTGTTTATGTTCTATTGAGTGTCGTATTGACTGTTTCGTTCACAGCATCTCCTACAAGCCCGTCAAGCACGGTCGTCCCGGTATTGGTGCCACCCACTCTTCCCGTTTCGTTCCCCTCAAGTAAACGACTGGTGTATTTTATGTACTCGGACCACATTTGTCTTTATTCATGCTTGGGATATCGTGAATGAAATAAAAAAAAATACAATCATAGTCAGCTATATGTTTGGGAGTTTTTTGTTTCAACTTAAGATTGTATAAGAATGAACTACGGTGCGTGTTGATGTTAAGAAACATAGCCTGACAGAGCACTGTCATTTTGTGCCAAGTCAAGGTGATATATCCGTCATTGGGATTTGTTCGGCTGTATAGAGCGTCTATAGCATTCTCAAACTGTTCATACACAAGTCCATTTGCACAATCAATCGTATTTGGAAAAGGGAGACCCTTTGTAGACAAAGGGGAGCTTTTTAATTTTTATTTCATCAAAAAGGTTAATGTAGACACATTATGGAGCTTAGTCGAAGAGACCGAAGCCCATGTCATCATCAGACTCCTCCTTCTCCTCTTCCTTGTTCTCCTCGACAGCCTCTTCGGCGGAACCAGCGGCAGCACCACCAGCAGCGGCAGCACCACCAGAGACAGCACCACCAGAGGGAACGGAGGCAAGCTTGGCTCTACCTTCCTCAATCAACTGTAATTTGGAGGAAAAAAATTAATGTTAGTGGCGGAAATGGTCAATGTGATTTTGAGCATGTCCAAGTTCTTTACCTCGTTGACGTTCTTGCCTTGAACAGCAGAGAGGAGGGAAGCGACACGCTCATCTTCAGCCTCGACACCAACGGAGGCGAGGACAGCCTTGATGTCTTCGCTAGAGGGAGCGGCATTGCCACCGGCAGTCAACAAAAGGTAAGCAGCGAGGTATTTCATTTTAGATTATTCTGTTCAATCGAAAAATCCATCCATTAGTCAAATCTATTCATCCATCCATTCATCCATCCATCTTTCATTTGGTTAATGGAAGTTATCTTACCCTGGACACAGATCAGTTTAAGCAAAGACTGCAGAAGTGTGTTGCTGGATGTAGAGGGGAGGAGCTATAGCGGGCAATGGTGAAGTTGGTTGATATTGGCGACTGGAAAATCCCAGCCAATCACAGGCGCCTTTTGACTGAGCCAATAAAAATTTATTGGTGTGGCTCACTTCATCAATAATGTTAGCAGTTTAAATAACAGAACAACAAAAAGCATCTTCAGCTACGTTTTTCTGTATGGCCCTTTGTCTTTAGGCTGGTGAGAAATTTGAATGTTAATTATCGCTCTCCTTGTCCTACTTTGTACATGGAAGGGTTTCTCAGAAGACGCTGATAAATGCCATATGCGTTCATTTCTCTGGACGTTACCTAAATTGTTTGACGCACAACCTGCGTTCCCCAAAGGTAGCAGCAGGATAGAGTTTTAATCGTTTTCTTTATTTTAATGCTTATCAGATGCAGCCAGATAAGATTTCCGTCTGTTTTCTTCTGCATGCCGTATCCCCCCCATCAATAAATAGAGGTTTGTTCAAAGGAACATATATTTCGTCGATTGAAGAACGCGCTAAGGGAATAAAAGATGCACCATTATTAAGGCCATTTTATAAACCTTAGAGTACATTGCATCGGCATAAGTCGCATAGGTTATGCAGTGTTCAACTTTATAATGGATTGCTTTTTATCAAAAGTAACGGGGTACGTGAAAGAAAGCCAGCCGACTGTAGCGTACAGCGTGGGAAACTACCCCATCATAGCACACTGAGAAAAAAATATAAATTTCAATGTAACTGTGATTTTGCCTCCTTTTCATACCACAAGTCTTTCTTGCTTGGATTTTCTGGCTTACTTCGATGCTCGCGTTTCGTTCTCTCAAACTAATTTCCACACGTGCTATTGCTCTCTCTGCTGCCAAGAGGTCATTCTCCTCCTCCATCGTAGCTCATAATACACCAACCTCTCTTCATGCGTTTACTGATGATGAGTTAATGCTCAGAGAGTCAGGTATAAGAAAAGAAATCGATATTTTCTTTTTCCAAACCTGTTGCAATAACAACGGGTCACTCTTTTATAGTTGCTGACTTCGCACAGAATATCATCAAACCTCTGGTTCCTCAGATGGAAGAAGAGGAGCAAATGCCATCCGAACTTATCAGTAACCTTTTTGAACATGGGGTGAGTTTTGTTTTAATCCTTTTTTTTTCACATGCATTTGTATTGAGAACAAACATCGCCACTGTACAGCTTATGGGAGTGGAAACATCGGCGGACCTTGGTGGCTCGGAAATGTCCTTCACTGCAGCATTAATTGCTATTGAAGAGCTGGCCAAAGTGGATCCTTCAGTCAGTGCCATGGTCGACATTCATGTGAGTACTTGCATAAAGGTGCTATAAGCATGTGTATATTCTAACTGTGTATTCTCAGAATACCCTATGCAACACTATTTTGAAAAAATACGGGACAAAGGAGTTGAGCGAACGCTATTTGCCTCAACTGGCGACAAAGTCGGTGGCCAGTTTTTGTCTGTCGGAAGCAGGAGCTGGAAGTGATGCATTTGCTCTTCAAACAAGGGCAGAAGATAAAGGTGATCATTACCTGTTGAACGGAACAAAGATGTGGATCAGTAACTCCAAGGAAGCCGACGTCTTTATAGTATTTGCAACGGTGTATGTAAAGCGGTTGTTTATGAGGCATGGATTTTTCATGTAATCTGATGGCTTTGATACAAATGTCTAGAGATCCAAGCAAAGGCTACAAGGGTATCTCCTGCTTTGTCGTCGAAAGAGATTGGGGTGTCACAATTGCCAAGAAGGAAAAGAAGGTTAGTACTCATTGAGTTGTTTCGCCAGCCTCTATCAGTGGGACCTGTATCATAACTATCTTCTATGACTCTCTATGACAGCTGGGTCTGCGAGCATCATCGACGTGCGTGGTCAACTTTGACGATGTCAAAGTGCCGAAAGAGAATGTGCTGGGAGAGATTGGGCTAGGCTATAAATATGCCATAGAAATGCTGAACGAAGGTAGAATCGGTATTGCAGCACAAATGACGGGTCTTGCTCAGGGTGTGTACGACATGGCTCTCCCATACATGTACGAGCGTAAACAGTTCGGTCGCCATATTGGTGACTTCCAAGGCATGCAGCATCAGTATGCTCAAAGTAAGTCAGGCTGACGGATACCTTTTCCTTCATCGAAGACATATAATAACCTTTGTTTAAATATCACAGTTGCTACAGAGATTGAAGCTTCCAGGCTCTTAACGTACAATGCTGCCAGAATGAGAGAGGAAGGCCGTAACTTTGTGCAGGAAGCTGCTATGGCCAAGTTGTTTTCTTCTCAAGTGGCGGAGAAAGCTGCTTCCAAAGCGATTGAATGGATGGGAGGAATAGGCTTTACCCGAGAAGCTGGTCTAGAGAAATTTTATCGGGATGCCAAGATTGGCGCTATCTACGAAGGCACAAGTAATATGCAATTGCAAACAATCGCTAAGATCCAAGCTGAGAAATACAAATAAAGTAGAATAGAGAAATTGATACAGGATATAAATAAAGGTACTGAAAGTTTTGAAATTTGAGAACGTGAGCCATCACTACTGAAGTTGATGGCGGTATTTCAAATGTGCAAGTAATGGACAGCGAGATGGCAGATCAAAATTTGGCAATCACTACCACGCAGCCAACAAGACCGAGTGAAGCCAAGATTCGCCAGAGGGTATAATCACGCTGTGCAACTCCTAGTAATCCAAAATGATCTATTATTGCCGCAAAGATAATCTATCAAGACAACGAAGGTTTGATATTGATTAATAATTCATCTGAATTCTCTAACTCAATATTTCGATTTTACCACCCAAAAAACCGGTTGAACTTACCTGAGCGCACACGAAGATACTCAAAACTGTTGCCGCTCCTAACCTTGGCACAGTCAACACGTTGATGATAACATAGTAGCCTCCACATATACCTCCGATCCAAGCATACCATGGCGCTTCTGAATAGCGGAACAATCGTTGGGAAATTTTCAGTAACACCGCCTTGCATGAAGCAGCCATCGTCGTTTCAGTATCATACCTTTTAAAGTTGAATTGGGCAATGGAGTACGTAGTGCCGTTACATCTATTACAAAGAAAAGTAGCACAACTCCCAGACCCGTCAAAAATGAGACCACGGTTGCAAATGATCTTCCTCCGTATTTGTTCAAATTGGCATTTGCTCCTAGAATACCAAAGTTTTTAACATTATTAATAAAAACATCAGTCTACAAACTATAGCTTACCTGCTTGAATAGCAAGAGCACAACCAGCAACAATCAGCAAAAAGCCCGAGAAGATGGGGTTACTTAGCAGATCCATTTGTTTGTTAGTCTTCTCCTCTTCAGCACTGTCGATTGGGGGGTCTTCAGCAGTAGGATTGTTGGGTTGAACAGTGGCAGAGGAGTCAGATTCGTTACTGTGATTCCTTGATTCTTCGAGATCTCGCTCTTGAACTTGCATTCAGCCACTTCTCTGAGTGAAAGGGAAAGAACAACCGACTGCATCGGTGCAGCAAAGAACCCTATTTTAATGCTACTACACGTGACATGATGGGATGCTATGTTAATGAACACTGTAAGAAACATGATATTTATGTCAAAATTGTGCGCTATTCTTGATGGAAATAATCAGAAGCACTATGAAAAGCATTTAGTAACGTTGAAATTCCCATTTATATCTGTCAAACATGGCAAAAAACGAAAGCAACGTTGCAGAGGTGGATGAAAGGAAATGCCTAAATTTGGTATATGCTGGTTTTAAAAGCCGATCATGCACATCATTTTTCGCTCGTTGCAAGATCGCAATTTACGTTTTTTTTTATCCTGCAGTCATGCTTTACGCTTTGGTGTCCTCTTTTAATTCCAAATTTAGACCTAATAAATGCATAGAATAACTGCGCAAGACAGAGTTGAGAAAGGGATTAGGCACTTGTAAAGAAAAGAAAAAAAAAGCTGTAATACTGGTAATTTTAAATCATCATGGCAGAGCAGTTTACCCCAAAGTAAATTTCTACTATGTAGCAATCTGGATTTCCTAAAGGTTTAACGTTCATCGCTTTCTATTCTTTAGAAAGTACTACTAATCGTTACGATCACAGCCATGTGTTGCCATCAAATCGCGCTTTTGAAAAAGTACACAGAAAACGCCAAATGTTTACATGTCACAAGGGTGCCCGAGGAACCAATTCACTCTACCTTCATTGAAAGAGAAGAAAGTTCCATTACCAACGTTGAACTTTATAGGCCGAGACTTTGTGATTTGTTATAAATTGCTCATTTCCCATCGACGAAACTAAGTTTGCCTTATATATGTAACTACAAGTTGATTCTATCCATTAAAATAATTATGGCCGTGTTGCATTTATGCCGTGATGTGAGGCTGTTGGCAAAGACATGACTCACGTTTATAGGCGGAAATTGAAACAGTATAACGTTCTGTCAAGAAAGAGCAAGTATTGTCCGGCTTGGGTAGACTTGAAGGTCATTGCTATGGTCTCTGTAAGTACCACTTGAAAATTGCTTCGCTTCATAACGAAATTATATTGAAAACCAGGAAAACCCCCAAAAATATCAAAATTAACCAAAAGACGTAGTTCCTTATAATGCAGCTGTGATCGGCTTCCCCAGTTCTTATGATAAGAAACACTAATACATCTAAAGACGAAGGTTATCTCACGCTTAAACTTTCAGACGACAAGGTGCGACGGAGAATTTAGCCACATCGTCACGAAGAGACCGAATGACCTCACAGCTTTTCGAAATTTCCCCTTAAGTGGCAATAAAAGAGAACATGCTGCCCCTTCAGCTTTTGCTTTCCAGCTCTCAACCTTCTCCGCAAACCCGAAGTTTTCGACCAAAACATGACAGACGGCACAAATACCCCTTCAAAGATTAAATATCATTTTCATGATATTGCCGCTCGCATCATACAAAATATTCGGAGCGAAACCGAAAGTGAAGCACACCAAATTCTTCGAAGCTACCCTGGAAACGAGAACCCGACGGACGCGAGCCAAAACGCTGCCAAGATCTATGGTATAAGCACACAATCCTCCACGGGCGTCATTTATGTTATGGATCGAGCCACTGAGAGAGGATTCACGTATGGAAATCCGGAATGGGGCAAGTTAGATTCGAGAATGCAAGCAACCATAGAGTGTTTTAACAGTTTTGGCCTAACTTCGTCCCGCATCCACTTTCAGCAAATTTCGGCCAAGGTGCTCCGGAAGGTACTGTAAAAGCAACCACTTAAATTTACAATTTGGCAAATTTGATCAGGCGAGACTAACTAGCCTTCCTGCTTTACAGTCGGCCATATCGATGGTTGCATGGACAAGCCCACTGAGATTGCCATCGACCATTCTTCCCTAGAATATGCTCCAACATCTGGTATCAAACCTCTTCGGGAAGCCGTGGCTCGTTTGTACAACGACCTGTATCGTCAAGAGAAGGAGTCGCAATACACGTGGGAAAATGTAAGTATATATTCACTAGAAGATGACAGTTAGTGGGGCTTCTCGCACCACAGATCATGACCTGTTCACGTCCATTAATGACATTCTTGTGTAGGTGTGTATTGTTCCTGGTGGCAGAGCTGGTTTGACCCGTGTTGCATCTGTCATTGGTGACATCGTTGTTGGTCACTTTTTACCAGAGTATACCGCCTATGAACAAATGCTTGGCATTTTCAAACGCTTCGTCCCTATTCCTACTGTTCTTGAAGAGGAGGCCAAGTACCACATTGATCCTCAAACCGTTAAAAAAGAGATCATCGGTAGAGGTTTGGGTTTGATTGTGGCATCTAACCCTCGTAATCCTGTAGGTCAGGTTATTGAAGGTGAAGAGCTGAAGGAGATGGTAGAAATTGCCAGAAAGCGACACACTACTCTTGTCATGGATGAATTTTATTCCGCATACATTTATTCACATCCTTCTGAGCAAAATGGGCGTACTGTCAGCATTTCCGAATTCGTAGATGGTAAGCTAGCATTTTTTTTTTTTTACAAGATTGAGACCATATTTACATGTCTTGTTCCGTGGCTTTAGATGTAGATCATGATCCAGTCGTTATCATCGACGGAATGACCAAAAACATGAGAGTAAGTACCTTGATGATCGTTATAAATGTTCCCTTGGAAATCGGTGTGACAAAAATTTTCAGTTCCTAATTTGAGCAAAATTTTTTTTTACACAGCTACCAGGTTGGCGGGTCTGCTGGGTTGTAGGACCCAAGAGTGTGATTACTTCCCTGGAAAGTAGTGGATCCTTCCTTGATGGTGGGTATTTGTTTGCCCACATTACTACGCCATCCCTTGTCAATGCCTGAGCTCTAATTTTATATAGGCGGAGCAAACCATCCTTTGCAGAAAGCGGCCATTCCTCTTATTGAGCCATCCAAGTATCGAAATGAAGCCAAGTACTTGCAGCAGCACTTCAGAGCGAAGCGTGACTTCGTGCTCAAAAATTTGAAAGAGATCGGCTTCAACATCAAGGTTCCGCCTGAAGCCACCTTTTATATCTGGCTCGATGTTTCCGAGCTCCCGGAACCCATCAACAATGGGCTCGCTTTCTTTGAGGAATGTCTCAAGGAGAAAGTGTAAGTCGTACTGACATAGTCATTGAATGCTATGATAACCCAATCTCATTGTCGCTGTTATCAATCCTTTACAGTATCCTAGTACCTGGTATTTTCTTTGATGTTAATGTAAGCACGGGTTTTAATTTTTTTTTTCAAGCGTCTTTTTACTGTTTTTGTTTATCCAATCTTTGCAACACCTAGCCTGCCCATCGCCGTGAGCTTTTCGAATCTCCGTGTCATCATTTTGTCAGACTCTCGTTCGGGCCCGAGCAGAAGGAACTTGAAAAAGGACTAGCTGGCATCAAACGCGGTAAGATATTGCACCAATGGATGTTTGTGATGACTATCTTTTACTAAGTTTTTACATATGGCTTATATTTCCTTGAACTTCTTTTCTCCTGCATCTTTTGATATTGACAAACATAGTGGTGGACAAGTTCAAAAACGAAAAGAAATGATCATCCTTCCACGGACTTTGAAACTGACATCTATCATTTGCAATAGGCTTGGCAATAATGTCTCAGTTGAATCCCGATCGTGTTCTTATTTGAGACATCAATGGCTAAATGCAATGGGTATTACCAATAAAGCTGAAGTATGAAGAACCGATTGGAGGCAAATGTGGGCCGTTCCAACTAGAATGTCGTGTTACTGTACCTAAGCAAATGTGATGAACGGCGTGGTTGTTTTTTCTTTTTTGGTCGGCTAATTTGAACTAGTTTTTGTTTATTATTTAAACTTAACCTTGCAACTTTTCGCCTTATAGCCCCAGATGGGGTGGACTACAAGAAAAGTGGCAATTATCTGGAGCTGATTGAAGATCTTGAATTATGGTGCAAAGGCTAGATGTCATTGTATTTGTCACGTCATCGTCTCATCACCAGTACGTTGTAGTGTGATTGTAAGTGACAAGCCCTTTCACACGGAAATTTTTTTCCCGCCACAGCGGTTTACATCCAATTTGTTACCCCTTTCCCGTTGGTTGTACTCAGCTTCATCCTTAACACAATTTTCACTTTCATTGCATCGTCAGGCAATTCAGGAGATCGCACAGCAATTCAGAATTCAAGTCACCTTTGCGTTTGAGTTCCGACATTCTTCTCTCAAGTTCTTAAAAATAACCAGTCCATTCTATCGCGGAGATCATCCATTACAGTGATTAGCTCTCAAATTTCACTGCTGAGCGGCTCCAATTACGTATAATGGAGGACATCATATCCTACCATTTTGCTTCAGTGAAGCAGAGACATGAAAACAGGCATGAAATGTAAGTATTAGGTTATCAATATCATCCTGTTGCATGGGGAAGAACAATTTTTGTTAGGCCTACCTTGTCCCCCATAGTATCCAATTCATAAATTTTACTCATATCATTTATTCTAGGGAGTATCAACTGTCTGTTCGTCAACAACCCAAACAATCACGTATGTGCGGTATAGGCGAAAAAGGTATGTGACTACAAAATTGTCAGTTGGCCAAATGGGAATATGGAAGTAACGACTTTGGTATTGTTTATTTATTTTTTTTATCCATCATCTAGCTGATAGACGACCAGTCGACCCTCCTCGTGATTGTTTTCCCAATTTTTCTTTTAAACATGACTAAATTCGAGACGAATCTTTGTTAACCTTCCTTATCGTTTGGTATTCCAGCCATAGTACAGCTAAAGGTCGTTGATCCATCACTCAGTGGCCACGAAAGAAGGTAGGATTGCCGTGTTCGACAATTTTGGTTTATGCCCTTCATATACCCGTCCTCTATGATATCTGTTCTCAATTTGTGAGTTCGAATTCGTATCGAGCACTTATACTAACCTCAAACTTTTTCAGTGCATATCTTCAGAATCCTTACTACTTTATGTATGCATCGTTGATGGCTGCGGATATTGATGAAGAGTTACATTTATTACGTGATGGAAAGACTAGGAGTACAACTGGTTCTGTCGTATCATCGTTGTATCATCTCAAAGACATAGATAATGCAGATGCTGGATTTTTCGTCTTTCCAGACCTATCGGTACGAATGGAGGGTAACTACAGACTAAAACTTTCTCTATTTGAAATCATTGGGTAAGTTTAGTTCCATAGGGGGCTGTGGCGGAAACTGTTCGACTTGGCTTACAACTCCTACCTCCCTGATCTTGCAGCAAAGAGGTGTTCCATTGCAAATCCATCATCACGCATATATTTGTCGTCTACTCTGCAAAAAGGTAAGCAGCCCCTTGCATTTTTTTTCAAGCCATCCAATTATTCCTTATTGTGCGGCAGCTATTCCTCCCAAAACGAGGCAAAAAAAAATTAATTTAAGACATCCTGTTTTATAATATAGATTTCCCGGCATGGAAGAGTCCACATTTCTTTCGCGATCATTTGCAGACCAAGGGTTGAAGATCCGAATTCGGAAGGAAATTCGTGTCCGACGGAAACAATCGAAGCGGAAAGAATCGTTACCCGATCCATCTGGCCAAAAGCGAATTATGTACAACAAGCGACCTCGTAATATTTCAATCCATCAAGACGATCAAAGTGATCATGAATCTTCTGAGGGAGAGTATCACGTAGCTGACATCGGCAGGGATAGGCAGAAAGAGCATAATGTGTTGGATTCCGAGGCGACAGTCCAGTCTACCGAACCTTGGAATGCACAAAGTAACTACTCACAACCAGCCAAACTAGTAAGATCAGAGCCACCCAATGCTACTTCACCCGGCATGGAGCCATTGGACAGTATAGAACGCTTGCCGAACAGCAATAGATCAAATCCTTTGATAATGGGTAACGAAATGATGCTGCCACCGGCCAATCGCACATATCAAGCCCCTTATTCTCCTATGCCACCAACCAACAACACTGTTCCTAAACGATTCCATCAATCACTTCCTGGTCATGGTTTTTCTGTTTCTGTACCGCAAGCAGCATCGAGTACGCGCAACCAGGCCGCACATGCTCAAGACAGATCAGCTAGTGAACCAACGATAAGAGTGTCAACTTCTAGACAGCCCGGTACTCATCAGTCTCCGTGGCTTATGCAACATAACGATCAACAACAGCCAAACGACAGTTGGTACCATAGACCGCCCGAAGATCAAACAAACCCACTCAATCAACAACGAGGCAGTTCAGCTGTTGAAGATGATCCTCATTCGTCATCTCCACATATGGCCAATGTGTTTTACTCAACCAGCCCCGGGCCGATGGGATTAAGTCATGGAATGGATGCAACGTATGGAGCAAGGCGGGCAGGACCGGCCGGATCAGGTAAGCTTTGAAAGGATAATTGGAAAACAATCAACGGATATACTCATATTCCCCCCCCCCGGAATTGGTAGCGCGATTTAGCAATCAACCAATAGGACATCAACAACAACATCAACACACACGAGCTAATCACCCAGATACATACTCTCCAATACCAGAAACATCCATGCGACAAGTAGACAGCCACTCATATTCAAGATACTCAACACAATTAGCGCCAAATCAAAGGCAAGCCTTTGCTAGACCTCGACAATCTGCTGATCTGTACTCTAACGTTCAGACATTCTCGAACCCTAGCTCTGTCAAGAATTCCGGAACCAGCAGTGAACAAGACCATATGCTGTATCGGGATCCTTATTCGAACAACAGACGTACCGCCAATAATCTTTCCGGCTTTACTCAAGCTGCTCTCCATTCCCATGGAAATCATGTTCCCCAAGCATCTCATAACACAGTCAGTGTACCAGGAGCGCTAGAATGGTACGATGAGTCAGAGAAGTACGCACAAGAGGGGCCACAGAGCCATCCTCATATAAAGCACGGACAGCAGTTACAGCGGCCGTCATCACAGCCACAACCACCACAGCAGCAGCAACAGCAGCCGACTTCTAGCATGTATCCTGTTTCCAAAGCTCGTATGTATTACAGCGATGTGCCAAGACGTTGAATATAGTACATGACGATATTGTTTGAAAATATAATAAAAGAAAAATGATAAACATACCAGCAACCGTGTCAGTGTATTTTTCCATGGTGGTGAAGCCTCTTGGCAACATTAAACTTGTTACTTTACGTTATTCGTTCTCCAGATCTCGTAAACCAGGGCAGTTTTTGTGTTTGCTGTAAGGACACGCGAGCAAGAGTCATTTTGGGGCACTGAGTAATGGCACCTGGCTTGTATTCAGTGTGCAAAATGATAAGCTTTACATATCGTCAACTCCAATAGCTAAGCTTTTAGGGTATAACATATTTCTTAAGCTGGAGAAGTATACCTACAGGCATAAATAAGGACACCTGTGTTGCTCCTGTACGCTCAGCAATCAACACTATATCTGCGCTTTTAACGAGTGCGGACGATAGGATTGGTGGCATCCAAAACAGCTTATTCTGCTGCTGTATATGCAAGTTCCTTTTAGGAGTTGAATATGGGCCAAGATCCTTCCAGCAATCTGTCGCATGGTGGTCGGTCCTGATATCCATCATACCCGACGGCTGCAGAACGTTGATCCAATGGACAACAATCATCGTATCATACTGACGCTTCATCCTTACTATCCTATATATATAATAAAACTTGCATTCTTAAAATCACTGAGCAACTTTACAGTGGAGAGCCGCTTGCCCTCCAAAACCAATATCCTTTTTTGGTCCATCTTGTGCCCTGAATTGTTGGAAAACTGGAAAAGTGGTTGCAAAGTTTCATACTCCGTCCGATGAAGTCATCAACTGGCTTCGCGTTTATAACGTCCGCCTGCCGCTACCTAACGACATTAGCTGTCTGTTGCCCTTACGAAACCACAAATGTACGTTATTATACATGTTAACCGAAACATGCTTTCAGACTTTGACTTACACTGGTTATCTTTTATTACTTAGAGAATCTCGTTCCGGAAATGACCGAGGCTCTTCCCATCAAATTTCAAGAGCATGCGCAGGTAAGCGGCTACATCTCTTGGCTCTACCCCCGCACCCACCTAATCTTGGCGGGATCGCACGCTCTCCAATCATCTGTACTAACAAACTTGCGGTTTACTCATATTCTAGCTGACGTCTCTCGGCGTTAATGCTGCCAGCATCAGCTTCAACACCCTCACGATGGAATCCGACCGTTTCATCTGTGTTCGCGAAAAGGTCAATGAAACAAACCAGGTCGTCATCATAGACATGGCCAACAACAATGAACTCGTTCGACGACCCATCACCGCAGACTCTGTCATCATGAATCCTGCATCCAAGGTGATGGCCTTGAAAGGTACTTGCAATTCACTGCCATCTCAGCTATTTACTTTTTTGGTGGAATAGGCTTTGCTATTTCCGACATACCGTCACCCGTCTTTTACTCGAAGAGTTCATTTTTTGCTAACCTTGCTTTTTACCTTGCCATTAGCTCAACGTCAGTTGCAAGTTTTCAACCTGGAAATGAAGTCCAAGCTCAAGTCCCACTTGATGCATGAAGATGTCGTCTTTTGGCGCTGGATTGACATTAAGACCCTTGGTTTGGTTACTGAGACTGCTGTTTATCATTGGTCCGTGGAAGGAGAGTCTGCTCCCGTTAAGATCTTTGATAGACATGCTAGTTTGTCCGGCTGTCAAATCATCAACTACCGCGTCAACTCTGATGAGAAATGGATGGTCTTGATCGGAATTTCTGCTCAGGTTAGTTGCCATCTTTTTCGCTACAACAATTTCCTCGAATTTTTTTTTCTAAAACCCTCCTAACATCCTATTAGCAAGGACGTGTTGTTGGTTCCATGCAACTGTTTTCCAAAGAACGCGGTGTCAGTCAGCCTATTGAAGGTCATGCCGCAGCATTTGCTGACCTTAGACTTGAAGGCTCCGCTTCACCCACCAGGCTTTTTGCATTTGCTGTTCGTAGTACCAATGGTGCAAAGGTAGGTTAAATGGTTACATGGAGATAAAATTTCATCGAACGTATTTTTAATCTCTTCTTTCACATTGTAGCTTCAAATCGTTGAAGTTGACCACCAAGAAGGAAACCCTCCTTTCCAAAAGAAGGCCGTCGAAATCTTTTTCCCTTCTGAAGCTGTCAATGACTTCCCTGTTGCCATGCAAGTCAGCCATAAATATGGAATCGTATTTGTTGTCACAAAGTTCGGGTTCATTCATCTTTATGATCTCGAGTCTGGCACTTGCATTTACATGAACAGAATTAGCGGTGAAACTATCTTTGTCACTGCTGAGCATGAAGCCACAAGTGGTATTCTTGGTGTTAACCGCAAGGGTCAGGTAAGCTAGAGACATAAAGAAAAAAACATTGGGTCAGAAAAAGGTGAATGTTCCACAGTATCTGAATGATTTTTTTCTTATGTACAGGTTCTTTCCGTCAGCGTTGACGAAAATAAGATCATCCCTTATATCATCAACACTTTGAACAACACCGAATTGGCTTTGAAATTAGCTTCTCGTGGTGGTTTGCCTGGTGCAGACGATTTGTATGTCCAGCGTTTCAATGAGCTTTTTGCTACTGGAGCCTATGGCGAAGCCGCCAAGGTGGCCGCAAATTCACCCCGCGGTATTCTCAGAACTGCTGATACAATCAATCGATTCAAGCATGTTCAAGTTGGCCCAGGCCAGCTTACTCCAATTCTTCAATACTTTGGTATCTTGCTTGAAAAGGGTGAGCTCAACCGCTTCGAATCCATCGAACTTGCTAAACCCGTCTTGCTCCAAAACCGCAAGCAACTCTTGGAGAAGTGGTTGAAGGAAGACAAATTAGAGTGCAGCGAAGAACTTGGTGATATTGTCAAGCAACATGACCCTACACTTGCTCTCTCAGTCTACCTTCGGGCAAACGTGCCCCACAAGGTATATCTACATGCAATTCGTGGTGTGTCATCACGAGCTAGTCGCTAAATGCTGTTTTTATCTTTAGGTTGTCCTTTGCTTCGCAGAATTGCGTCAATACAACAAGATTCTCCTTTATGCCAAGAAGGTCGGTTACCAGCCTGACTACATTGGCCTCTTGCAGAACATTATGCGTTCTGACCCCGAGAAGGGAGCCGAGTTCGCCACTATGCTCGCTAATGATGAGGATGGTGCCCTTATTGACTTGGACAGGGTAAGTGATTACGACCAGTATTAGCCTGATCACCTTAGGCGTTTGCTGACATATGTCATACTATAGGTTGTTGATGTCTTTATGTCTCAAAACATGATCCAACAAGCAACTTCATTCCTTTTGGACGCTCTTAAAGATAACAAGCCCGAACAAGGTGCTCTTCAGACCCGCTTGCTTGAAATGAATCTTGTTCACGCTCCCCAAGTTGCTGATGCCATTTTGGGTAACGAGATGTTCACTCATTACGATCGTGTCCTCATCGGTGGACTTTGCGAGAAGGCTGGGTTGTACCAACGTGTATGTTTCCTTGTTGTGAATAGTATGCCTAAGCCGATAACACAGCACTAATTCCCAATTGATTTCTTTCAGGCTTTGGAACACTATACCGATATCCACGATATTAAGCGCATTTTGCCCCACACTAATCTTCTCAACCCTGAATGGGTTGTTGAATACTTTGGTCGCCTTTCCGTTGAGCAGACTCTTGAATGCTTGAAGGAAATGCTTGCTACCAACCTCCGCCAAAATCTGCAAATTGCCGTCCAGGTTGCCACTAAATACTCTGAGCAATTGCAACCTCACAATCTCATTGATCTCTTTGAGACCTTCAAGACCAATGAAGGTAAGAATTTATTTAATGTATTAATGGGCGATCGCCGCTTCAATTGCTAACACTCATTTGTTTCCAATAGGACTATACTATTACCTCGGTTCCATCGTCAACTTGAGCGAGGACTCCCTTGTTCACTTCAAGTACATCCAGGCTGCATGCCGAACTGGTAATATTCGTGAAGTCGAACGCATCTGTCGCGAAAGCAATTACTATGACGCTGAGAAGGTCAAGAATTTCTTGAAGGTACGCAATATAATCGAGAGGAACATGACGATGATAACGGTTACACTTGACTAATATACCGTCGTTTATAGGAAGCAAAACTTAGCGATCAATTGCCTCTCATCATTGTATGCGACCGATTCGACTTTGTCCATGATCTTGTACTCTACCTTTACCACAACAATTTGCAAAAGTACATTGAGATCTATGTACAAAAGGTCAACCCTTCACGTACACCCGCTGTCATTGGTGGTTTGCTCGATGTCGGTTGCGACGAAGACGTTATCAAGAATCTTTTGATGTCTGTCTCTGGTACTCTCCCTGTAGACCAGCTTTGCGAAGAAGTTGAGAAGCGCAACCGCCTCAAGCTCCTTTTGCCTTGGCTTGAGATTCGTGTTAATGACGGTAGCACTGACAAGGATGTTTACAACGCCTTGGCCAAGATCTACATTGACACAAACAATAACCCAGAACCTTTCTTGAAGGAGAACGAGGTAAATGATTGCATTGACACCTGGCTGGATGAGCGTGTCTGTTGATGCTAATGTTCACTTTTTCCGCCGTTTAGTACTATGATCCTCGTTTCATTGGTAAATACTGCGAAAAGAGAGATCCCTATCTCGCATACATCTGTTACCAGAAGGGACAGTGTGACTACGAGCTCATTAACATTACCAATGAAAACTCCATGTTCAAGCACCAAGCACGCTATCTTGTCCGTAGACGAGATACCACTTTGTGGCAGCACGTTTTGCAGGAGAGCAACAGCAATCGTCGACAACTGATTGATCAGGTAAAAGTCGTCAGCCATCATACCATGGGTTCTTGACCAATTGATTAACTGTCTTTCAACTTAGATCGTCGGTACTGCTCTTCCTGAATGTTCAGATCCTGAAGATGTCTCCATCACAGTCAAGGCATTCATGGCTGCTGAATTGCCCAACGAACTCATTGAATTATTGGAGAAGATTGTTCTTGAAGGCACCGCCTTCAGTGATAACAAAAATTTGCAAAACTTGCTTATTTTGACTGCTGTCAAGGCTGACCAAACCAGAGTTATGGATTACATCAACCGCCTCGATAACTACGATGCTCCTGATATCGCCAACATCTGTATTGGAGCAGACTTGTTCGAAGAAGCTTTCACCATCTTCAAGAAGTATAATGTCAACAGCAGTGCCATCAATGTTTTGATCGACAACATTGGCAACATTGATCGTGCCTACGAATTTGCTGAGCGCTGCGATCAGCCTGAAGTCTGGAGCCGACTTGCCAAGGCTCAACTTGATAACATGCGTGTTAAGGATTCAATCGGTAACATATTTTTTTTATCTCCTTCCTAACGTGATGTCGAGTTGATGACGACAACTAATCACAACCATTCTGCATCATTTAATAGATTCATACATTCGTGCAAATGACCCATCCAACTATGTTGAAGTCACGACCTACGCCCAACGTGCTGACAAGTTTGAAGACCTCGTTCGTTTCTTGCAAATGGCTCGCAAGCACTCTCGTGAGCCTTACATTGAAACCGAATTGCTCTTTGCTTACGCCAAGACTGATCGATTGGTCGATCTTGAGGATTTCATTGCTTCACCCAACATTGCTCAGATTCAACAAGTTGGAGACCGCTGTTTCGACTCTCACATGTTTGAAGCTGCCAAGATTTTGTTCAGCAGCATTTCAAACCACGCTCGTCTTGCTACTACTCTTGTCTATCTTGGAGACTACCAAGGCGCTGTTGATTGTGCTCGAAAGGCCAGCAACACAAAAGTATGGAAGGAAGTCAATGCTGCTTGTATCAAGAATCGCGAATTCCGTCTTGCTCAAATCTGTGGTCTTCACATCATTGTTCACGCTGAAGAACTTGAAGAATTGATCAAGGTTTACGAATCCAATGGTTACTTTGAGGAACTCATCAGCCTTTTGGAAGCTGGTTTGGGTCTTGAGCGTGCCCACATGGGTATGTTCACTGAACTTGCCATCTTGTATGCCAAGTATGCTCCTGAGAAGATGATGGAGCATCTCAAGTTGTTCGTCTCTCGTATCAACATCCCCAAGGTCATTCGGTCATGCGAAGAAGCACATTTGTGGCGTGAACTTGTTTTCCTTTATGTCCATTATGACGAGTTTGATAATGCTTCTCAAGCTATGATGGAGCACTCACCCGATGCTTGGGAACATTCTGCTTTCAAGGATGTCGTCGTCAAGGTCTCCAACCACGAAATCTATTACAAGGCTTTGCGATTCTACTTGAATGAACAACCACTTCTCTTGACCGATCTCTTGGCTGCTCTTACCGCCAAGATTGACCATACACGAGTTGTTCAAATTTTTGAGAAGTCTGACAATATCCCACTCATCAAGCCATATCTTGTTACTGTACAACATGTCAATAACAAGGCAGTCAACCATGCTCTTAACGAGTTGTTGATAGAAGAGGAAGATTATAATGGACTACGAGATTCGATTGACCACTTTGATAACTTTGACACCATTGAACTTGCTCAAAAATTGGAGAAGCACGACCTCCTGGAATTCCGTCGTATTGCCGCTCATCTCTACAAGATGAACAAGCGCTGGAGACAGAGTATCACCCTCTCTAAGCAAGATCGACTTTTCAAGGATGCCATGCAAACCGCTGCTGATTCAAAGAGCAATGATATTGCCGAAGAACTTTTGCAATACTTTGTCGAAGTTGGCAACCGAGAATGCTTTGCTGCTATGTTATATGCATGCTATGACCTCATGAGACCTGATGTCGTTATGGAGCTTTCGTGGAGACATGGTTTGAACGACTTCTCAATGCCCTATATGATCAATATCATGCGCGAGCAGTTCAACAAGATTGATGTGTTGGGTAAGGAAGTCAAGGATTTGAAGGAAAAGGCCGAGTCTCAGGAAAATGCTCGTAAGTATTATTATTTGTCTTATTGTTACTTCAAATAATCATTTACTAAACCAAATTTTTTTTTTTCAGCTGCAGCACCTGTTATGGGAGGAGCCCTTGGTAACCCACTCATGCTTACTGCTGGTCCCACTGGTGGTATGTTTCCACAACAAAGCCCTATGATGACTGGCGCCTCAGCGCCGTACGGCATGGGAGGAAGCCCAAGTGGCATGTACGGTGGAGGTTTATAAAATGGTGCTCATAAAGAATTATTTGTTTAAACAAAAGAAAAGACGAAATTAAAGGGAAGATATATATACATTTGTTACTTTAAAAGCCGTTGGATGATATGTGTGTTTGATATAATCGTAGTGGTATACTTGGGTAGACAGCCCTTAGGCATCAGGTTATCGCGTCCATGCCGAATTTTTAGGCTATGAAATCGAAGACTCAAATTTGGGAGTGCGAATTTTCAACGCAGTTGCTTCCATACCATTTACACATGCCTGCCAGATTCCAGCCTCAAGCACAAGTTCAACGGCCATTGCAGAATGAAATCAGTGCTCTCACTAAACTCATCAACGGTGTACGTCTTTGACTTGAAATCTTTTGAACGTATTCCCTACGCTTTTAACGATTTGATTCTCTAACGTCCATAATTTGAACACAGGAACTTTTAGAGGCGGCTGCCAAAGTCTTGCTACACCAAGTGCAAATACGCTCAGGGTACAGTCCTTTCCGTTCACTGTGTTTCATTCTCGACTGGATATTCAAAACTCTTCGTTAATTGTAGGAATGAGCAAGACCTAGCTCCCGCACCACCACGACACTTGATGCAAACCTTAGAAGCCCGCTGTGAAGAGTTTGCAACCATATGCGATCAAATCCATTATATTCTCGTATGTTGTATATCTATGGTGCGTATTACGGCTATAAAGTATGTGCTAACTGCCTTCATAGGATCAATCCCGACGAATACTCATTCTCGATCAAAAAGCTCAACATCAACAACAAATCCAGCAACAGAAGTTACAACAGAGCAACAAGCTGGCACAACAAGATCAGAATGGTGCGGATGAATCCATGGCTGAAGACACTGACATATCTGAAGATCTATTGGCCACTGGTATGGACGAAGATAACGATCTGCTAGCAACTTCCTCTGCCCCAATCAATGAGGATGTGGATATTGAGGAGTTGGTCCAGGTGCAAAGAGAAAGATTGGAGAGGCTCCGACGCGTCATTGTTCTTGGCGAAGATGCAGATATAGTCAAACAAGAAGGAGAAGGACGAACAGAGGGAGACGGCGACTATTTGTTTTAATCTAAGAGACGATCAGACTTTTTCGTCACTCATCATTCCCGCCTTTTCTGTACACTAGCTGAAATATACAAAAACTCTCATATCACCATCACATTTACCATCGGAACATTAACGAATTCGTCAAAGCAACGCATCTTCGCTGTGGTTCGTAGATGGTACCAGAAATGCGCGATCTGCTCCCTTTGAAGTAGTGAAATAGAACTAATTCGTGAAGCAATCATTTTCTCATGGAGCATAACGCAAAATGTTTTCAAGATAATTGCCATTGGCTTAATAACATACAAGTTTTTGTAGTTGTTTATAAAGTGATATCCCACAGGTTCATTATATCAAACTTTAAGTCTTGGGTGATGGTATTTTACAAGAAGTACGGAGGGAGGAGAAAGTGACAGGAAACATTGTAAGGAAAATACAACCAGCTTATAACAGTTCCTTTGGCAAAGATACAGATTACTATCCATAGTTCCAAACTGGCTCTGAAGTATTGTTATCTACGGCTGACGGGTATGGAGATGAGGGTACAAATTGCTTGCGGCGTCCGATGTAACTAACATATTTTGACTTTTTCATAAGACATACCATACGGAAACCAAGGCCAGTTTTAATCTACTTTCGAGAAACTTTACCTTTTCGGTTGCGGTCGACAGAGAACATACCAAAAGTTGGACACAGCATTACCAAAGTTGAATGGATTCGGTGGGTAGGGTCGACTCATGACGGAGTTTCGTAGTTGCTCGTGCGTGGTTACATTTCTCATCACCAGGTAGCAATGGTAACCACTCAGACCACCTACGCTCCACATCAGGACAAAACATAAGAGAAATACAACAAAGCTGAGAGGAGCGGCAGCCAATGCATCCACAAACGAGTACGGATATTTGGATGTGAATAGAGTATAGACATGAACAAATGAAAATGCAAAGGCATAAAAGCACATCAGCGTCGCCACAGTCACAAATACAAAGAAACTTCGGTAATTCCTTCGGCCAATGCAATTATTTAGCCAGATGCAATGGTGATCTTCGTTCTCTAATCAAAATGAAATATTTCATGATGGCAAGGTTATTGAAGGTCGCCTAAACAAAAAGAAAGGGGGGGGGGTTCGATGGCGTCATACATACCAACACAATTATTACACTGTCTGCAATGACTGGCTCTCGGAGGACGATATAGCTGGCAGGTATCACAATACTTCAGCCTAACAATTTGATCCTTCACTTGGACTTCCTTTGGTAGCGGCATGTTTTGCGGCCACATGTCATCGTATGATACAGAATATCGATTATGGTCCCTGGCAGTCGTCGACATTGGATGCAGGTTACGAGGAACGATCTACAGCCGGCAGAGGAGAAAAAAGCAATTGAGATAATGCAAACATCATTAATTCGAGCTATACTAGTATTCTCTCCCTGCATAGAAACGTCCTGAACCTTACCCCTGGGTCTGTCCAGGATGTCTTGAGCATGGATGCCATGGCTAATACAAACAGGTAGGCGAATATAATTGGAACAGAGGGGTGAATGTTGATCCACAGCCACGGACACCTGTGCGCAAACACGGCGGAGGTAAGCATGTAACAAAACAAATGGAGAGAGATCATCAAGGGAAAAGAAAATCAAGGCTCACGTAAAGGCAAAAAAAAGTGCACTGGGGACCAGTAGAATAACCAGTGCTGTCAGAAACGCCCAATATTCTCTACTGGTCATAAGTCGACCCTGGCAGAAAAATCGATTTTGGCCAGGAAACACCTGGTAGTTTCTCTGTTTATTGTTAGCAGCCGCATGGTCGTTTATTGCTATAGTGGTAGTAGCAGTGTTAGAGCTTCGACTTGTCGGAAGAATTTCAGGTTGAAGTTGATTTCCGATGGTCGACATGGGACAGTGCGTTTTTGAGGACCTTTATAGAAGTTGGCGCCGGGTATTGTCGTCGGACCAAGGTGAAAGACAATTTGAAAGAATGAAGAATGGTAATCAATTAAAAAGCTTATTATTACTTTTGTGATGTGTACACCTCGCAAAGTGGAAAATGGGCTTGGGCTGACAGAATGTATTTTCCTTTGGTCAAAGCCGTAACCTCTCCCTCCCCCCACCAGTCCCCGCCATTAGTCCTTTTTCTTCACTCCAACCAACAATCGGCGCAATGGACAAAATCATGCTTAGAGCATGGTGGAAAAAAGTCACCACCGATAAACCCCATCGATTACCATCTGGTTCTCATGCCCCTCCTAATGGTAAGATTTCGAGCTGTTGTTATTAAAACCGCCTAAAGCTTGTCTTTAACCTTTACCTCCCCGCCCTCACTCGTCTTTTTTCTCTTCCCCTGCATACTTTTGGACCTTCCACTACATAGACGGCTCGATCTTTTCTGTGCTTTTGGAGACCAGTATCCAATATGCCTTTGTCAATATCTCGTACGCCGATGATGCAAGCGGTCAGCAATGCTTTGGTCAGATACCTTGTATAGTGGCGAAGTGTGGAGCTTATTTAAAGGATCATGGTGGGTAAAAAATATATTCTCAATGCATACGGTTCCCCTTGTTTCTTAACCTACTTCTCTCAGGATTGTTTGTGGAAGGAATCTTTCGATTGAGTGGAAGTGCTCGCAGGATTGGTGAATTACAGCATTTGTTTGATATTCCGCCATTGTACGGTAGTCAGCTGGACTGGCAAGGCTATTCGATCCACGACGCTGCTAACGTATTGAGACGGTTCCTTAATTCCTTACCTGACCCTGTTATCACTCATAAGAGTTACAGCGACTTTCGAAACGTTCTCGGTAAGTGGGTAGGCGCGTTATTGGAGATTAGCTAGTTTCTTTCCAAACCAGGGACTTCCGCCGGCGCGCTGGAAATGAACTAACTGCAAGCCAAAAATAACCTTTTTCCACCTCGTTAGACAACCCAAAGTACCCAAATAAGGAAGCTCAAGTGCGGCGATTCCAAGGCCTCATAGATCGCTTACCTTTGCCTCACCAGTTTTTACTGTTGTATTTGCTGGATTTGCTCCACCTGTTCGCATCAAATAGCGAATTTACTCGAATGGACAGTGCTAATTTAGCGTCGGTGTTTACACCAGGCATGCTTTCGAGAAACGATATGCAACCAAGCGAATATAAACACTCTCAACAAGTCATCAAGTTTTTGATTGAGAATCAAACTCTCTTTTCTATGCCAAAGGCTAATGTAACTCGCACGCCATCACCTACTTCATACCCTGTTGTAACACAACGTACCCCTATTCCGCTGGATACATCATCAACGCCTATTAGCGCTATGACAGCAGCTGCATCCACTACCGCTGCAGTACCAAAGTCACAAATAGCCAAGGAGAACAAGAAGCCTGCAGATGAGGAGTCCAAGCGTCTCTACAGAAAATCAGACGTAAAATCACACCTCCATCATCTGCCCCACAAGCGTTTGCCACATCGCGAGCAAAAAGAACCAGAACTCTCACATCCACACCCTATGGCACATTATCGACGATCTACCACGTGGCTTCCACCTTCACATCAACCATTAGAGGGAGTGGATATTGATGCCATGAAGGCCGCAGCGGCGATTCGATCTGGACATTTGTTACCCAATGAACGCAGAAAATCAAGAGGACTGGCTCGTTCTAAAACAGTACCTAGTAAGCGACCGAAATATGGTCCAGATGATCCATTGCAAGTTGTGCATGTCAACCGAGGCTCAAGTGTTCGAGAACGAAGGCCAGAAGGGATCCCAGACCTGTAGCATATTCACTCATTACATTAGGACAATTATATATATAAATGTTTATGATATGTAATTTGTATATATTGGTATGTTGGGCTGATTCCTTGCCATACCCAAACGCCTTTGTTGTACTTTCTATTCTTTCATTTGATCTGTCTATTTTCTTTTAAATACAATACTCCCCATCCCAACTGTGCTAGGAGCTTATGATTTTATTCTCAGGAGTGAATGAGCTTAAAAATGACCTGGACAAAACAGAAGTAGACGCACGCTAAGATACCACTCGTGCGTATGTGGTGTCTCCTTTACCATTGTGGTATATTCCCCTGAGTTTTATTTGGGATATTTTATTTTTGGGATCCTTGTCCGGCCCAGAACTGTTAGCTTGGGGGATTAAGCCCGTAAGGATCGCCCCTTCCAGCAGCATCCAAAGGCATTTTTGAAAAGCTTTCTCAACTTCTAAATCTTGTTCATCTTGCTGATCAATGACTCTTTTCACCTCCATGGTAATCATCACCCACAGGTGGCGACCCCCACAACTTTTATTTGAGACATATGAAGATGTGGAGACTCTGTCCGAGTTTGTAGGTATCTGATTCACTTTGGCTTTCTATTTCGCTCTTCCATTTTGAATGTTGAATATGATGTGGAGAGTGTCCATATAATTTATTTGACCCCCCACTAAATTTTCTTTCTCCCTTCCCAAAAAATTTCCTTGGTCCCATCGACGTTACGTTCTCGAACAGTTGCCACGCGAAACCTTTCATACACGCACGAAAGAGTTAAGTAAACTAGTGCGTAGAAACTATCCAAGTAGTCATTGGGATTACTATATATTTCTACTGGCGATATTGTCCGTCATAGCATCAGCTGCGTTCTCCTTGGTTGCTCGCGCGGCTGGAGTGTCGATGTGGTATCCGCTCCTCTTGCTGGTGTTTCCTGCTATTCTCAGTTTATGGACCAGCCGCCGTCGATCCACTATGGTTTACAGGATCAAAGAGGTAGGTTATTTGTACAATAGTGCTAGTATCTTTCATTTTTACGCACAGGCTTCTCACCATCTACTTTTGCCGTAGTTTGAAAAGACGTTGAAATCGCATTTAGGAGACCTTAATAAGAAGGATGCTTCGCAACATCATTTAAAGTGGACAGTTCGTAGAGCCACTCGAAGTGATCGAGTAGAAAAGGCAACAGCATGTCTGGTCATTGAGCTGGCTCAATGTGATCCAGAAGTGGATGTCGATCCATTACCAACCTACCAAGAAGCATCCGAACATACCGATACAGACCACGTCATGATACAAATCAATCATCGCCCCGCGCTGGAAATCCGGGAAGCTCCTCCACCACATTATTCAGAGACTGAGGTAGTTGTTCATCGTATGGAAGACATGTCTAGCAACTTTGAATTACGTTCGATTTCGTCATCGACGTCGACTTCGACCAGCATCCATATGAGCACCGAACAAACCCATCTCGTGGGTCAAGAAGAAGATAAACCTGAAAATACATAAATTGATGACCTCGCATCATTGCCTTTCTTAGAAGCCGATCATTCGAGGCATAAATATCTACCAAATATGAGAAAAAAAGGGTTTCTCTTCCATTGCCATTCTTCAAGCACATTCGTCGTATGTGTTGCCTTCACAACAAAACAGAACACTTCCAATCTATAATTCTCCCTTTTTGCCTTCCCCTCATCTTGCCCTTACATTCTTCTCCTTTCTCGTCATAGACTTGTCTTTTATGTAAAACTTTGGATTCTTATTGTTATGTTCCGCTTTCATAGTCAATTTTGAATAAATTAGAAAATGAGTTTTTTTAAAGAAAGAACTACTGAGAAGCAAACGCCGTACCTACTAACATGTATCCCTCTCGATATGGAACGAAAAAATATAAACGTATTGAAAAGAAACAATGGAAATAATAATAAAGAGAACGTAAGAAACCGAAAGGAGTTGTGTGTATGGGTTTTTCTTTGGGGGGATTCAATTCTTTTTTTTTTTGGGTTTTTTACGTATCGAAATTCTCTTTCAAAAGCAGGTGATGATTGAAAAACAATGAATCAGAACAGCATCAAAATACATGGAAATGGGAAGGGAAAGAAATTATGAGTTCAAACATTCAGAACAAATTCCTTTGTCCGAGAGTACGCATTGCACGCACTTAACACGCTGAGGGCTAGCAGAGAGTCATAAGTTTCGCTTAACACGCTTGTTAGGAGGGGTAGTTGCAGTTTCTCCATTAGCAAGCATGGGTTCTTCAGTAGTGTCAGCGGGGGCTTTGCGGGCACTGGCAGCGGAGGGTCCACGACGCTTGTTGGTCACGCTAACAACTTCCTCTTCAGCAGCCTCCACCACAAGTTCACGTTTGTTGCCCTTCTTGGACACCGACTTTGCAGTCGTAGCAGACTTCTTGTTAATGCTGGAAGATACCTTCTTCTTTGGAGATATATCCTCGGTGAAAGGGTTTTCCATGGTCTTGGAAATGATAGCTTCTTCCTCCTCTGCTACCTCAGCGACCATGAGTTTAGATGGTGATTCTGCTCGCTCGACGGTTGTGATTGTTTCCACCTTTTCAACAATGGCGGTTTCCTTGACATCAGGCTTTTCAAGATCTTCAGTGACAATGACTTCGGTGGTCTGAATAATCTCAGTGGTCACCGTAGGGTTGGGAAGCTTCTTAGGGGTACCGATAATGCGAAGACGCTGAACACCACCATCTAGGATTAATGAAACAATTAGTGCCAGGTAATACAATGGTCACTACGTAGTTCCTACACTTCATCTCAGCTTACCAGGGAAGACGGTCAACTTGACATGAGTGAAGATTTCGTTGCTGGGAATAGCATAGGCCTGTCTCTCATTAGGGTTGATTCTTTGCTTGGCAACAAGTTGGACCCATTCAACGCCGACATCAAGATCGGGATCGCTCTAATACATGATTGTACACAAATGGTCTCATTGTTAGCGTCAAGTTGCCCTGCATTATTATCATTTGACCAAATTGAACTTACCTCCATGCTGTAACATCCATCAATGGCAATAGCTTCAGGAGCATTACCTACATAGAAAACGGTCAATTGCAATAGTCGCAACGTCTTCCTTCACTTTAGTATATTCCCCTTACCCTTGAAAAAGGTGGTGTCCACAACAGCCTCCTTCAAAACGGCAGATGTACCCAATTGAACTACAATCCAGTCGTTTCTGTTCTTCAGGCGAGATCTTTGAGTGACCCATCCATCAGACCTGTTGGGGATGAATGCATGAGAAAACAGTATGAAGCGCCATCACATATAGCTAATGAAAGTACATACGGTCCGTTGCCAATACCAGACATTAAAATATTTGGACGCTTGCCGTAACGGGCATCGCTGCAGGCAACAACGTGACCTCCATTACCAATAAATGCCAAATCAAGGGGTTCTGAGCTGGATTCTGCAGCCTTAGTGATGACGCTGCCAAAGCAGCGAAGACGAGCCTTGAATAAGAAAAGAATTAGACAAATGGTAATGATAAGATGCCGGATATACATAAATAACGTACAATTCCACCATCAGGAATAATTGTGACACGAAGATGGCTGTATAGTTCGTCGGTGTCACGAATCAAGAACAAATTGTGGGTGTCCGGCTTAACTGCCACGTCGGGGAGTAAGGTGGTCCACTGAAACAGGGCAAATGAACGTTTAGCAATCACCCATTTTCCCGCGTCTGCAAACCTGATCTCGTCGCCAGCATACCTTCCAATTATCAAAGTCATCGTCCTTAAGGTCTTCGGATGCTACAGCAGCTTCTACCTTAACTTGTACAGGGGAGCTGTCTCTGAAGTTGGTAGTATCAATATCAAAACCAGTAATTGTTCCTTCACAACCTAGTCTGATAATGGCCCTGGAAGGATATGACGGGTTTGTTTCAGTGCTAGTCGAAAAATGGGTTGATACGTAAAGGAGTAATCAAACTGACGACGTACCAATCTCTGTTGCTATGACGCTTTGTCTGCCATCCGTCCAATTCACCATCTGCCACTAGAGAGCGTTCATCATCGCGCGATGCATAAAGTCAGATAAAGTCATGTTTCCGATCTATAGTACTGGTAATAAAATGTTGCTTTTATTTACCTGTATCGTCATCATCGTTATGTTTAACGGCATCAGGCTTTAAAATGTTGGCAGCAGCGCCAAAGAATTCGTCGGAAGCGCGTACAATGGTGGAACCCATGGATTGGGCTGCAAGATCAACATATTCGCACAGAACGGTGTCCTCTACGCGAGATGACGAAAGGTTTGAGTAATCTGTGTTCTTACTGGTGGAATTACCCATAATAATAAAGAATGAGGATAGAGTTGGCAAAACCTTTCCCTTGCCACGTTTTTCCTGGGGAGCGCGATTTTTTTTTTTCCGCCCCACATCTTGAAATTCATGGTGAAAGTCACGTTTTTCAGCCGGGCTTGAGTTTCACTTTTGCAGGCTTTTTTGACACTTGCCCAGCGATTGGCTGTTGCTTGGATCAACTCATGTGTCAATTTGACTATTACTTTTCAGCGAATAAAAACAATAAAAAAGTGACTCGTCGCGCTTCTTAGCCATACTTCATAAAGACCTCGGCGATATCTCTCTCTCATTTTCTTATACTCTACTTGTATGTTCTCCTCCCTACGCTTGCTTCGTTGTAAGCCTCTTCTACGTGCTCGATGGTCGCATACCGCAAGTGCTTCTGTAAAAAAGGCTAGCACTCCGCCAACCCAACTTGCCAAACGACACGAAGCCTACTCTCCATATCTCAACCTCGGTAAGATATATACTCGCGGTGCACTTTGTTGCTTGGGTATTCGCATCTTACCATGTCTGCCATAGGAACTTCAACTCCTGTAGCTGCCAGAAGTGTACTTGGCTTGGACGGCTTGATGCCAAATAAAGTTGAGTCACTGGATGTTCAGAAGAAGCGTGCATTGGTTCAGTTACGGTCAAAGTCAACCGACATGGAGAAGTACATGTTCTTGGCACATTTGAGAAACACCAACGTGTCGCTGTTCTATAAAATTGTATGCGATGAACTATCGGTAAGTTAGACCTATGTTTGTCGCAAGATATGGTGAAGAAACGACCTCATCAATCATCTTTTATTGTATTATACTGTACTTCCAGGAAATGGCTCCCATTATCTACACTCCCACGGTCGGCAAGGCATGTTTAGAATATTCACACATTTACCCGTTTTTAGCCCCACCCGGCGTGCCTGATGGCCTGTATATCACAAAAGATTCCCTTCCGAATTTGCCCCAAATTTTGCGTGACTACAGTGCAGCCCTTTCAGATCAGGCCGCCTTTCAACCAGAAATTACGGTTATCTCAGATGGTTCTCGCATATTGGGACTAGGTGACCTAGGTATGAACGGTATGGGTATCCCTATTGGAAAATTACAACTTTATGTAGCCGGAGCTGGTATTGATCCGCGGAAGACGTTGCCAATCCTTCTGGACCTTGGAACCAATAACGATTCTCTTTTGAACGATGAGTTTTATCTTGGAGTCAAGCAGACAAGGCCAAATGACGATGAGGTAGAGTATGCGTTTTAACTGACGTTTGGTGGGTTCGGACTTCAGAAAATAATATGAGTCAACTTGTAGTTTTACTCGGCTGTAGACCAAACCATCAATGCTCTATACGAAACCTTCCCCAATATCCTGGTGCAATTCGAAGACTGGTCCACATCACACGCTTTCACTCTTCTCCAAAAATATCAAAATGAAAGGTTCTGTTTCAATGACGATATCCAAGGCACCGGTGCTGTTGTTCTCGCTGGTTTGATAAATGCGTTTAGGCAAGTTGCTAAGGATACCCCAATTGAAAATCATCGTATTCTATTCTCTGGTGCCGGATCTGCCGCTTTTGGTGTAGCAAAGCATATATGCGACTATCTCATCATTGAGCATGGCATTCCGGAAGAAAAGGCAAAGGCCATGTTCTGGACTGTTGATTCTAAAGGTCTTGTTTATGACGGTCGAGGTGATAAGCTACCGGAACATAAAAGATATTTCAGTCGCAAAGATAGTGTTGGCAGTGGCACCAAGTCTCTTTCTGAAATTGTGAAAGCGATTAAGCCTACTACGTAAGTAATCGCTAAAGGCAACCCTTTGAACATTATATGATATCTGTCGATCTTTTCTTCCTGACAATAACGCTTTTGATTTTCTTTCTCGTTCAAGGTTGATCGGCTTAAGTTCTCAACCAGATTCCTTCGATGCAAATGTACTACAAGAAATGTCAAAAATCAACCATAGACCAATTATATTCCCTCTTTCTAATCCCAGAACACAAGCTGAATGTTCTTTTGAAGCTGCCATGACTCACACCAACAACCAGGTGCTTTTTGCGTCAGGTACTGCATTTCCCCCCTACAAGATTCCCGAAACAGGTGAAATTAAGAAACCCGGACAAGGAAACAATGGTGACTTGAAATGTCTATTTCAACTTTTTATTTTGGCAACCTAGCCGTACTGACACTTTGTACTATAGTTTATGTCTTCCCAGGTATTGGATTAGGTAGCATTGTGTCCAAAAGCAAGCATATCACCACGAGCATGGTTCTTGCAGCCGCTAAAGGATTAGCCAATAGTTTGACTCCTGAAGAGGCTGCTAGAGGCGATCTGTATCCTTCACTTAACCGCATTCGCGATGTTAGTGCCACCGTTGCTGCTCATGTATGCAAGGTTGCTGAACAGAGTAATCAGCTTCAAAATGAAAGCCTTGCAGGCTTAAGCATTGATCAACTGACGAAAACAATGAGGGAAAAAATGTGGGATCCTGAAACGGCTTTCCATACCGTCGAGAACATAGAAAAATCATCTTAAATTTAACTTAGATTCAAACCAAATCTCATCCATTAGCAATTATATGTCTATCCATTTATTTCACAAGAGGTATATGAACTCTTGAAAAATGTCCACAATATTTTTTTTTGTTATCTTTTCTAAATAGATTGAAGTTGTATTTCCAATGTGCGAGGATGAGGTATTAAATAAGGAATAAGTATATGACCATTTCGGTCACAGAATCTCATCGGTGAAGTTGAAGAAGCTGATTAAAAAATAGCTGAGCAAGCCAGGCTCACTAGTCCTTTAACCAGCTGGTTCTATCTAGAGAAGGTATCTGAAGGAAGGATGACGATCGCCTAAACGGTCTACCTCTTCCGACTTCATATCTGTAATGTCAATTTCGTATACTCCCATGTCGCGATTATCGTTGACTCGCTTCCAATATCTTTTCAGCACAAACGAAGCAGCAGCACCCATTACCAGAATGCCGGCGAACACTGCGAATGGCATGACTGTGTTTCCGTATGTGTCAGTAACCCGTTAAAAAATGAACTTGATGATTTCCTTTCGGTTACTTACCATAGGCTGGTCCGTCAGAAGGACGGAAGATGAAGGATGCGAAAATACCTCCAACATTTCCGAGACAGATAACTAGTGCGATGGAGATCGCTTTTGTAGGTCCATCCCAATTGTCGGAAGCCCACGTCAAAATACAGGGTGCTAAATAACGTTGTATAACGGTTAGAGCGACATCTTTCCTAAACCGTTCAGACAAATGATAATTACCAGTCATAGTGACGCCTATCATGGCAAAGTGCAAGAGAGCATAGCGCGCTTAAAAGGCAATAAGTTAGAATTTTTTCCTATAAACTGCGGGTCTTCTTTCAGTATATGCATACCCCAGTGATTTTGTACAAGACACAGCGCAAAAAAGCTCAGAGAAGCCAGACATGAACCGGCAAAGATAAATGGAAAGCGTTGTTGCATCCGATCTGCTGCAATTGCTGATGCTATCTCTGCAATTGCTCCTACCAAATTGATGGGAATAACGAGCAGCTGGGTTACACCGATGGAGAAACCGAGATCTGTATGCAAATCAATCAAGTTTAGTTGAATGCAGCTTCAGAGCGATTGCTATGGTACTTTCTTTATGACTGACCTTGCAGCAGGGTAGGTAAGAAAATTGATATACCAGTCAAAGGAGTGACACACAACATGAACATGATTCCTAGAGCCCACGCTCTCCAGTCAAAGATAGAAGTCCTGAATTCCTTCCATGTCAAATTTGCGTGCTCAGATGTTGTGGCTTTCTCTCGGGCAATACGCTGTACTTGCAATTCCTTTTGAGCATCGGTCAGCCACTTTACTTTTTGAATGTCACCAATCATGAAGTAATAGCAACAAGCACTTAGCAACGTGGTAGGGACACCCTCTATCAAAAAGAGGAACTGCCATCCATGCATGCCTAATTTACCCTCCAAAAAGGTGGTTGCATAGCCGATTGGGCCCGAAATCATACCAGCAATGCAGTTGAAACATAGGAAGATGGCAACACGCGTGGCCAGCTCTCTGCGTTTGTAAAAAGTCGATAGATAGTACAAAATACCCGGGACATAGCCAGCCTCAAAAACACTGCGGATAACAAAGGGGGAAAATTTTGAAAATGTTAATATGGAGAAGAATTTGAGAATTTGTAATAAATGTTGCCGTAACTTACCCAAGGAAAAATCGAGTGATTGCAAGTGTAGAGTACGATGTCACAAAGGCAGTGACTACAGTAACAGCTCCCCATAGGAACATAATTATGCTGATCCACACATTGATTTTGAAATGTTTCAACAGTACATTGGCTGGTACTTCAAAAAGAATCTACAGAAATGGAAACATACTTAATGAGCCGTTGAACAAACCGAGATGCTCTGTAGTTCACTGTTTCGAATAGCCATTTAACTTACATAACTGAGATAAAATAATGCCAGACAAGTGCTGAATTGACTGGGGTTGAGCTAAAATTGAAAGAAATTTGGTTGTGAGTTTGATAAGCGGTAATATACCACTTGCCGGTAGTGGAACTCTGTAAACGATTAATACCTGCAAACTGTCCTCAATGCCAGCAATTCTATAAATATGACCAAAAGTCAAAACAGATCAAAATACAAATCGAATGTTAGAAAAATCAGGTTTTTGGTATTCGATATATTCGTGACGAACGTACTTCGCATTTCCAATATTCACCCGGTCGAGGAATGAAAAGCAGTATAGAACGCATACCAAAGGCAAGATTTGATAGTCGAGTTTTTTCACTAGCTCTCTCTCCAGCTTTGGTTCCTGAAATAGAGCGCTTGTTCTTTTCAAATGCTCAGTATTCTTCCTGGATAACTTCTCATTATCGACATCAGGGTTGTGTACGGGTGGAGCATTTTCAATAGCATAAGATATCATGACAGTGAGACCCAAGGTGAAGAAAGATTAATGGAGATAATTAGGACGGTATAAGAGTTCTTTAGAGGAAACTTTGAAGGGAAGGGAGAGAATTGGGAAGGAATTGGGGATTATTTTTTGAAAACAAAGGCACTATGTGGTCGCTTTATATAACCCCTAGTGTGCGCCTGTCAGGGTATTTGTAGTGGCATTTCATGCTTAAATATACATGTACTTCGCATATCCAATGATCAGGTTTGCTATATAACTTCCTTTCCGGGAGAAACCGATATTGCTTCTTTGCAACTCATCCAAGCAATGGCTTCGATTTTTTATTCTAGGGGGCTTCATCTTGGCACTCAACCTTGAAAAACGGTTTATCCATTGTTAATTCAACCGATAACATCAACAGAATATCATCATAATTTACAGGCAAAGTTATGCTTATTCATCTGATGGCAAAACTCCCTAGTTGAAATTTGCATAGTTTTCCGATATCTAGTAACAATTACAAAGAAGCCGCATATTGATCAGTATGCCCTAACGACAGGTATGAAAAGGAACGGCACTAACACATTGGTCGGGCCGGCAAAATCAGGCTCACTGACCTGAAAATTTTTGACTCAATTGTTCTGCGGCAACAAAAAAAAAAAAAAAAAAGCTTCTTGGACATGACAAAACATGATCCATCAAGATCTTCAACATTATCAGACATGAATAAACATCAACAACGTCAAAAGCACTTTGCTGATTTAATCGCTCTACTGCCACCATCACCTAATACCCCTAGCCAACAAAAACAACCAGATCCGCAGTCTACACCTTCACACACGGGCGGCCATTCCAACTATTTTTTTGAAACGGACAAGAATTTGCCACAATTGAACATAAATCTCAAACCCGAGATCGAGATTCGCCCCTATCAAAAGGAAGCCCTAGATCTCATAGTCAAACGCTCCAATGATCCCAGTCACACATATATCCAATCCGGCCTAGTGGTTCTCCCCTGCGGTGCAGGAAAGACGCTGGCGTCCATCCTTGTTGCCTGTTCTTTGAAAAAGTCAGTTCTAGTTGTTTGTTCGACTGTCATTGCAGCAGAGCAGTTTAGGAAAGAGTTCTTGAAGTTTACAACCGTCATGGGAGCATCCTTGGGGATGTTTGCGGGTGATCGCAAGTTTCCATTCAACGGCCGATCAGGAGTGCTTTTTGCAACCTACAGCTCGCTATTGGAAAGTCGGTATCGAACACCAGATGCAAAAAGATTGAGTCAGTTCATGGAAAATACCGAATGGGGACTTTGTATTCTAGACGAAGTACATTGTGTTCCGGCCAACCATTTTAGCAAAGCGGTTAAGAAGATCAAAGCCAAGGTCAAAATTGGTCTCACAGCTACCTTACTGCGAGAGGACGAAAAGATTGGCGATTTGGACGATATTATTGGTCCCATTCTGTACGAAGCGAAGTGGAAGGAACTCGCGGAAAAGGGGTACATCGCTAAGGTTATCTGTACTCAAATTGAAATGGACATGACCCCTGTGTTTGCTGAGGCTTACGGTAACATCGCAGGCGGCAATACGCATCATACAAAAGCGTTGTTAGCCATCCTGAATCCAAACAAGTTTCGTATATGCGAACAGCTCATACGCTATCACGAAGCCAAAGGTGACAAGGTTCTAGTGTATATTGATCACATTGATGCGTTAAAGTTTTATGCAGAAGCTATGAATCGTCCCTTTATCTACGGTGATACACCGGCTGATAGGACTCAACATATTCTCGACCACTTTTCTATCCCTACCCGCCGAGAAATTACCAAGTTGCATTGGTCAGATGCCGCAGCAAGACAAGTTGACACGCGTACTCCTGTGAACACACTGTTCCTCTCACGAATCGGTGATACTTCCCTTGATTTGCCTGAAGCCACTGTTCTTATTCAAATCTCTTCTCACTTTGGATCTCGTAGACAGGAAGCTCAACGACTTGGTCGTATCTTGCGTGCTAGGCGAAGAAATGAAACTGGATTTTTTTCCAGGTTCTATACCCTTGTTACATCGAAGACCCACGAAATCGCCTTTTCAGAAAAGCGACGTGGATTTCTAGAATCAGAATGTGGATATGATTACGCAGAATGGCGTATCAAAGGTCGCATACCCAATGGCGGATGGGATGTAGAGACTGATTCCAACATTTCCGATAAACATGTTATAGATGATGAGAAACACTGTGAAGCTGCTTTGATTGCAACCAAACCTTCCGAAAGGCTCGAAAGCGAAGATGACCAATTGAAGCATTGTGCCTGGGTTCTTGGTCTGAAACAGAACTCTGAGCCTGAAGACGACCTTGGTAACGTAACATCTATAAAGCCTACCAAACGTAAACTGTCTACCAGTGCAACTCTTTCTCCCAAGCGTTTAAAAGCATAGACCATACAGCAGCATACTAGAGCTCGCTACATCCATCCGCATCATAGCAGAACTTTATATTTGCCCAGGAATCTTTGCATTCGCACCGCCTCATTGTATAGTTTTTCAGCACTCATAAATAAAAGCCAAATTTGCATTTAATATGCGTCCACTGCTGGCAATATGGATCCTTCTATTGTCATTGTTCTGTCTGCTAGCAAAAGAATTTGTCCTCATCATTTTTTTGTGACGGTTATCACCGAGCGCGTTTCCATCACGCTCAGCCCTCAAACTCGTTATATCTTGATAATAGCTCACCTGGTTCTTTTGAAATTGGAAATAACTAATCTCAATGGAGGCGCGGAGGAGATCACTTCAAAAGCGTCGCATCCAAAGGTATGTAGGTTTTCCCATGGCAAATAATTGCCACCTTCAGCACGCTAACTTTTGATTTATTCAAGCGATTATATCTCTAAAGCAAGTCCACTGAAAATCTCGTTCACACCATCCGTTAGCGAATGCAGCACACCATCGCCAGAGTATCATAACGACACTCCTACACCGGGAACCGACCAGCTCGAACCTCCTGAACTTGCTCGGAGGCATGACTCTGATACGAACGAGATATACCCATCGGCGAGCAGAGACACTCTAGACTCTTTCCTCAATGTCGATTCGATTGCCCAGCCCTTTTTCATGACGCCGCTGCCACCTTCTCCCCATCGGCAAGGTAGTATTAATTCTTTCAACGCCGGTTCAGATCATGCTCCTGGCCGTCACACTGGTAAGCCACGGTTTGGATTCAAATATCATATGTCGAGGGTGCAAGGCTAACCGACTTAATGGTCAGAATTGCAGAGCGTCGACAATGAAATGGATATGAGCTTAACATCATCGAGGAACAATGCTTCAAGTGTGGGTGATTTGACGCCACCGCCTTCATTAGATCGAGGTCAATCCCAAAAGTCAGCGTTTGTTCGAGCAGGCGAGATCTACGAATCATTTCAAATTGGTATGGAAACACCTGAAACTCCTGCCGACTTGCCAATACGACCTATCGTGACGAGCACGGATACACAGAAATTTAAGAGGAGGAAAATGAGCATGTCTAATTTACAATCTATTAGTGAACCGCCAATAACACCGAGCCTGAATTTAGCAGACGACAATGTATCCACCATGCTATCCAGTCAAGGGAACGAAGGCACGGGCGAACCGGAGAGCATGAATGAGCTAGAGGATGATCTTGCGAACACCAGCTTAATTGAAGATACGCAGCCTGGTAAAATCATGCAGCTAGATCACATCACAACCGGACCAGAGGCATCTTTGCCTGCCCAAGAAACAGGGCAAATTGAAACAGTGCATGAAAGTACAAGTGCAAGTATAAATGTGGATCGGCCATCGTTTTCACAACCAATAACAAGAAGAAACTATACGAGGTCAACGGCTAGAGATGAGCCACCAGCTGTCAATGAGATGACGGTTGTCGCATCAGTGGTTGGGGAAGTTCTACTAGAGACGATGAAGTAAGCTCCGTTTCCTCTTTGTATGCAAGCAAACAAAGTCAATGTGACTAAAGTGTACATATTGGGTGTTGCTGCAGGTCAACAGCATCTGATTCCGAAGCCAAAGCTGCTGTCAAACTATTCAAAAAACAGGCAGAAACGATCTTCATTGAGCAGGTAAGGAGTAGTCAAATGATGAATGCTACATGAACACTATATTGATATCTGACTTTAGATGAATCTATGGAATGAAAATGAAGCGCTGCAGAAGGATCGGAGAACTGAAGTGAGTCAAGGGAAAAAACTTCGAGCCAAATTACTTGAAATTCGAACAAGACGACAGACATTACACGCTGAAATGGAACATGAAAGAAGCTTATACGAATCCGTGGAATATGATAACAAAGTAAGATGTCGTTTACTTGGCTTTTGATATATGTCTGGTTCAACTAACGATGTTGTGCCCACAAATTTAGGAGTCTCAAGGATTGGAAGACTTGTTACAGGGCTTGCAGGATCTTAAGGCCAAAGCGAAGTCGTCAAAGCCAGAAATCAACGTGACAACTGACAAACACCGAACGACTTTACAAGGTGTTGTTAAAAGTCTGACAGCCCGTTGTGGTGTTATTAACGATAATGGCCATCGTCAAGGCGGATTGTTGCAGCTCTTGCGTGATTTTAACGAAAAGCTCGAGCTATGGAACGATCACCTTGGTGATGAACGAGAGTGCGCATAATACGCTCTTCCCCCACTTTTAGCATAATGCTGGCATGTACATATTCTCCTCAACTTGTAAAATCACCTTTCCAACCTACTGTAACTTCTATCATTGTATCAAGATCATTATAATTTGCATTCATATAGATTAGTAGCTGTAATCGATGCTCAATACAAAGCTTTTCTTATACAAACGAATTGAATTTATTGACAGATTTCAACAGTTCGGCCGCCGCCATATACATATTAGTCTTCGACTATAAATCAGAATGAGAGATATCACGACGAAAAACGAAATTCATTCGGTTATGGAGTCAAAAAATGACAGAAGTGGGGGAAAAAGAAAAGTAAACGAGCGAATATGGACAGTAATGGGCTAATATAAGGGAACGGGGAAAGAAACGATATCTACTCCAAGAGAACTCTTGCTGGCAATACCACAAGCTCTTCTTCATCAATAAACAAAGGACTGATTGTCTTGTTTACGACTTTTTGCGGTCTCGATTCCTTATCGCCAGTCAAGGGCTTCAAGTCACGCATGACCTCATCGTCAAACTTGCTACCTGGGGCAATGGGTTGAGCAAATACGTCCGCTGCACCGGCATGGATTTCGAGACTAAGCTCGGCTGTCAAGTCAAGCAAGTTGTTCCATGCATCATGTGAGTTCAATTGTTCTACCGTGGTAGAGATGGACTTGGATTGCAAAAGATGCGAGAATGAAGAGGTGAGTTCGCGACGTTTGTTGGCAAGGTATTGCTTGGTGGCAGGGTTGAGAGACAAACTTTGAACAGTTTGCTTTCGATACCATTTTGCAAAATTAGCTCCCAGAGTAGAATTGAAACGGGTTATCTGATCAGAATAAGCTGTATTAAGCAAATTGTGGTTCTCGGTACCAAATGGTAAAGTCGTTAGGTAAGCGTTAGCGAGCTCTTGAAATAATTGCTGCTCTATTTCGAAATGCAACGTGCCATTGTCTTCGGCAGCTTCAGAGGTAGGTGTTGTTACAATAGAGCTGATCACGTCGGAGACTTGATTGACAAAGACTTCTAACTTTTGTCCAATCGACTGAGAATTTATGATGGGTTGTGATCGATTATCAAGGAGCTCGAAGTCGCTGGCTGAGAGAGGCAAACTTGGTTGCTGCTGTAGATGTTGATGAGGATGATGTTGATGATGATTGTGGTTATGGTGATGGTTATTTTGGTGGTTGTGCATTTGGGTAGGTGATTGTGAAGGTACCAATAACTGGCGGTTACTATCACTGTTCACGCTGCCAATGCTACCATTGCTGGATGAAGTTCCGAAATTGAGTTTCTGTCGGTCATTCTCCTTAAATCCATCCGAACCGGAAACCATAGTCTTGAGGTTATCCATCATCAGTGCTTGTTGTTTATGCGCTAACTCCAGGTTGCGTAGCTGATTTTGCAACATTTCATTTTCCTCCATGAGTTCAACATAAGACTTGGATACAGCGAAGCTGGGCTGAGGTTGTGGTGGGGCAGTGATCTCGTCACTGACAACGTTGTTATCTGTGATATTGTCGGGCGTATCATCACCAAAGTCGGCCACAGCCGATCTGTCATCTCCAAATTCTGCTGCGTTAGATCGAGATCCCTTATCATCGTCTTTATCGTCGTCGTTTTCACTCTGGGTATCGATGTTAACATCCATCATTTCTTCAAGAATCTGAGGTTGCTGAGAAAGGGAGCTGTTCACGGGAGGTCTAGCGTTGTTGCTTATACCGTCTAGCGTAGAGTTATCGTCACCTTCATCTGCTCTCTCGCTCATCGAGTGCCTTCCGCTAATACTGGTTAAGTTGGATCCGCCATGTCCGCTCAACACCGACTCCTGATCGTCAATGGTAGCAGCTACGCTCCAGGCATCAGTATCACGAAACCGGTTGGAGTCAAGTGTGTCCAGAATGTCAGTCTTTCTCAAGTAAGCGAAGCGTGGGGCCAAAGTGTCAGGTAGGCGAGGAGGGTGGAATAATTCCTTGTCACTTCCATCGTGCGAAGAGACTGAACTCATTGTTGAATGTGCCAAGGTCAAAAGTGAGGTCGGAAAATGCTGGTAGGATAGGCACGAAAATTATTGGGCAGCGGTGACTGGTGACCACACCAACAATTTGGCCCAAATGCAACCCCGCGCATTCTACCGTCTTTGTAGCCCGGGATCATATCTTGCATTCCCTTGATTGATGGAGTTCCTATACGTTCGTTTTTGTTTGGATTAGGGTTTCCGACCCTACCTTTCCGGTGCACGAACGTCTTGCATGCCGTATATTAAAACTGGCCTATATTATGGTAAATCGCTACTACAGCTTCCAAGTCTAATGAGATTCTTCGTCTGATAATTCATTCATTTTACGTTGGTAAGAGCCAAAGTAGAGCAACTGCCTCTAAAACATCTCGCTCATGCTCCCCTAGCTGACAGTTAGGTAGGATAGCGGAGTCGATCAATCAGTAAACTCAGCCGTGCCAAAAAAAGTTGACTGACTCACTGCCACGCTGTTCCATACACCATGTACGGCTTATTCCACTCCTTCACCAAAAGAACAATATGTCACAAGAAAATCTCATATTCGAGTGCACACTCTTTGATATGGATGGAACCTTAATAGATACTACACCAGCCGTAACAGAGCTCTGGGAAGAATATGCTGCCACATATGGACTGGATGCTCAAGAAGTAAGTTTGTCGACAACCTAGTCAGCTTTTCAATACTTCTTACCTACCCCTATAGATCCTGAAAATGTCACATGGACGTCCAATGCGCGATACCATGCTATACTGGAATCCGAAAGATATCACTCCAGATATCGTCGATATGTATGAACGCAAACTTGCTGCTAACTCCAATGGGGTTGCTCTTGCACCCGGTGCTGCCGATTTGTACGCTGCTATTCCATGCGAACGCTTTGGTATGTATACAGGCGCAAAACTGAGAACGGCCCTAGCCAGACTACAGCAGTGTCAGCTTGATCGACCAAAAGCTTTGTTCGCAGGTGATACCGTTTCCCAAGGAAAACCAGATCCAGAAGGGTAAGTCATGATTTACCTAACCAAACCAAGTACAGCTGTGGTCATACTAAGATTTCGACATATAGGTGGATTAAGGCCGCAGAGGTATTAGGATATAAGGGAGCCCAGTGTGTGGTGTTTGAAGACTCGGCGGTTGGTGTTAAGTCCGCAAAAGCGGCAGGTATGTTTGTTATCGCCTGTTTGACGACGCATTCCTTGCAACAGCTTGAAGCAGCTGGTGCCGACATCATAGTGGAAGACCTTACAAAGGTTAAAGCGAGCGTTAACGAAGGCGGAAGAATAGAATTAATGATATCGAGTAGAATGTAATGCAACAGTGGAGATGAGTGCACAGTTTAATGTTATTCAGAACAACTAAAACACCTAGAGAACAGCATTAAAACTAGTATTACTTGATGGGTACAAGTCCATAATGGTAATGGGAGATAATTTTATTGCAGGAACATAGTTTTTTGCCATTGTCAATACGCTTCGCACTTGAGAACAGAGAGATTACACGGATACATTTTATTTACATTGTGCCGCAGTGTAAATTGACAGTTCCCGAGTACACCTGTTTCCTTCTGCAATATCACTAGGTGTTTTTCCTTCGCTGTTTTTAATGACTGACTTGCCTCCTACTTGAAGCAAATGCCACTTTGACGCTTGTACCTTTTTCTTTCACCTGATGTAGAGGGCAAAGAATAAGCATATATATTCATAACATTTTAAACGATAACAGATGATATATTAGACCAGGAATTTCCTGGTTGTTACTCGTAGATGAGCTTCCAACCAGTTCCCCCAATAGCCTTTGGGAGCTAACTTTCAATAATTATGTAATATCGTATTATGTTGATTCTTGTACAAAACGAAACAGCTCACTTGTCGTTAAGGAATCGTGTTCTGACTATCAAAATGCAAGTTACCGAAAAAGAATTGTATTGAAACGTTTCGATACAGTACCGAAAACGCTCTATGGCTGGTTCGCGCTCGATTTCCGCCAGCACTTACAGCCAAGCTTACAGAACCTTAGTGATGATCAACTCACTTTTTGTAGTCAATGGTCAAGGGTATGTTGCTATTCAATTCTATCTTAGTGCGTATATCGTTGTCTAATACCAGATTCTTGCAGAAAGATCATTATAGAAAAGCACTGGCGAAGCATCATTTCGAGGCAAATTGTTGATGTCTTTAGCGATGAGAGTGCGAAGTTCCTTGCTTCCGGACCCATCAATCACACTGCTTCCAACTCGGATAAAAACGCCAAAGAAGTCTCATTTACCAAAGAAGATGTTCCTCCTATTCTCGAGACATCAAAATATCTGTTGTTGCACGTACTAAGGGACGGCTTGGTATGGCTTTGTCCGGTTGATAAAGAAGGTTAGTTGCTTGCCATCATGTGAGACTAGCGGAGAGCTGTATAGTATCTTATATGTTTCGATATCCTTAGTTGATCCTTTGCTTGTATTTGAGATGATACATCGCATAATTGATATACTTGTTGATTACCTTGGAGATGTTTCGGAAGTGTCCATTCGCGACAACTTCGTCATCGTATATCAAGTAAGCGAGGGTTGTTCTTTTAACACTTGGTAGTCAACATGGAATCAATGTGACTGACATTTATTTACAGCTTTTGGAAGAAATGATGGACTATGGATACCCACTTACAACCGAACCTAATGCTCTTAAGCAAATCATTCTCCCTCCAACTATCATGAATAAGGTGATGAACACTGTTGTGGCTGCTTCAGGGTCAGTGATACTTTCTTTTCTCCCATGTCACACGGTGATGAGTGTCTTATGTTTCTGTTTGATGTTAGGGTCGGGCAAAAGCTTCCGCAATCTACCATGTCTAGTATACCTTGGAGAAAAGCTGGTGTCAAGTATGCCCAAAATGAAATCTATTTTGATATTATTGAAGAAATCGATGCCACTATTGAGGCGTAAGTATATAATCGTGTGCAGTCTACTTTGGCCTTTGACGTTAAGGATTCTTTCTAACATCATGTTTTTGTAGTAACGGTGCCATTGTATCATGTGAAGCTCATGGTACTGTCAATGTGAACTGCCGACTGTCCGGTAAGAATGTAACAATCGGTATACGGGCTTCATTATCCTTAGAAATCTGACAATTGGCTTTTATTGAACTTTTTAGGTATGCCGGACTTGGCTCTCAACTTCATAAATCACAGAATTCTAGACGATGTCTCATTTCATCCGTGTGTGAGGTCAGTGCCCAGAAATTTGTGATATAGAGTGACTTTGTTGCGGATTTTAACACTCTTTGGAATTTCATATAGATATCAAAAGTGGGAGAGTGATAAAGTTCTCTCGTTCGTTCCTCCAGATGGCCATTTTAGTCTCATGAGTTACAGGTTAGTAGCAGGAGCAATTGCGACTTTTCTACAAGCTGTAATTCTTTGGGCAGTTTAACTCAGTATCATATTTCTTCTACGCAGGGTGAACTTACCACCACAACAACTTTTACCGCTTCACGTCAAACCTCAGTTCTACAATACAGCGACCGGCGGTAAATTCGACATTTCCATCAATCCACGATCTACGGACGGAAAGCCGATCGAAAAAGTGGTAGTGACCATCCCTATGAGTAAAAACACAACCACTGTGAACGCAACATGTAACGTTGGACAGTACATGTATGATCCAGTGACCAAGGTATGATGAATAGGTTGGTGCATATATCACGGTATATACCCCTGTTACTGACATTGATACATCTAGTCTATTAAATGGGAGATTTCCAAGATTCAAGTTCGTGATCGAACACCAATGCTATCGGGAACCTACAGCAACGGGTATGTAGCGAAAGTAAATGTGCACGCAACGTTCTTAGATTTTAATAATAACATTTTTATCAGCTCTGCAACTCATGAAACGGGTACCACCATCATGTTGCAGTTCCAAATTAGCATGTATGCTGTATCTGGCCTGAAGGTGGATACGTTGCGACTATTCAGAGAAGGATACAAGCCATACAAAGGTGTTAGAAGTGTGACAAAAGCTGGCAAGTTCCAGATCAGAGCGTAGTTGCATAGAAAGCAGGTGTTCTTGTACAGTGTAGGCTTTCTTAAAAATGTAATATATATATCGACAGAATCAACTCTTTTATTTCAACACATTTTCCAGTTCTGTTAGCATGTTTGATAATTTCTTTTTGGATTGCTCATCTCTTCTTATCAAATAGGTTTGCATCTCTTCTTGTAATTCCTGCAACAAGCTGGTCATGGGTAGATTTTGAGTTGGATTCAGCAATATGTTGAACGTCTTCTTCCAAATTGGCGTATGCCATCCTCGTTTCAAGTTTTGCTTTATGACCCATTGTCCTCCGGCAGGGACAACTTGCATGTGCTGTCCAAACAATAAGCAGTAGATAACTTTCGCGATACCCCAATAGTCTAGGATCCAAGGCTCCCATTCGCCATGTCGAAGGGTCTGAGGAGGGTCATCATGCACATTGGTATTCCAGCCTGCTATGAATTTTTGGCCACTGGGAAATAGGTTCAAATCAAGTGTTCTTCCAAAGTCAATGATCTTGATTTTTTTCAATGCCCAGTATTCATCATCACAACCAGTATAGACAGTGGAGGCATGCTTTCCTGATGTTTGCGAGTCTGGCTTCTGAAAATTCAACATGACATTATCTGGTTTGATATCTCCATGAACGAAGCCGTTTAAATGGAGGGCGGTAACGCACTTGAGCAATCGAATGGTCAAGAACATGGCTAATGGCTCTGCAAGACCTGATGTCATCGAGGTAGCTTGAGTGCTGAACAATTTAACCTTATTCACGGCAGCCAGCAGAGTGCCTTGAGAACAGTATTCCATTACAAGACAACTTGCATTCTGGAAAAGATGAAACGATATAGGATACACTATGAATCTGGAAGAATGATGACCTAGGGCGGCTACAGTACGCTTCAGCATGCAGTACTCATAGGTATAGGATGGTAGCTGTATCTTCACAGCATATATTGCGTTGTGCATATCTCTAGCCTTAAACACGCGAGCATGCCCACCTTGAGCCACAGAGTCGACAATGGACAAGCTATATGGAGTAATGCGAAGTATGAAAGGAACAAATCTTGCTGACTTCTTGTGAGATAACCTCACCAAGCTTGCTTTGAGTGGTATCTGTTCCTCCCTACTTTCATAGTAGTCTTCATCTGCTTGTAGACTTGCTTTTAACCGTCTGACAATTCCATCGTAAAACTGGATAGTGATTTGTATCGCAGACGGCGATATGCTACGAAAAGCATCAACTGTAAGTCGAGCTGTATTCGAATTGTGTCCAATGTGCCCTTCTGAAAATCGTTCGCCAATATCTATTCCCAGTGACCGTCTGTCTGAGGATCGCAATATTCCTAGAGGTTGCCTCCATGGTTGATTTTTGACGATATGCTCCAGTTTTCTGCTTCCCTGACGAGACACTAGAAACACCGAAGCTCCCATTCATTCAGTTTGTCGTTTATTATAGAAAAATTGGTAGACTACTAAAGATAAACTATATGTACAAGGGTAAACTTACCGTGTGGAAATGTATGCAGGCCCGCTTTAGAATTTTCAGATGTGCAAGAAATTTCGACGATATCTTCGGTGATGAAGTGTTCCGTTGGATTCGATCTGTCGTTACAATTGTTCTTCGTCGACTCTCTGTCAATATGACCAGTATGCCAAAGGCTCTCCATAGTTGCCAAGTTGGAAGGAAGAAATGTATCGTTGACCCGCATTTCCTCAAAAGACAGTTGCTGTTCATTCTTTCGTATGGACTTCCCGTATGTGCTTCGTTTACGTTTAGCTGAGTGTGTTATTTTCAAAGGCACATCGTTATCTGTGTGACGACTTTCAGCCTGGATGTCAAACAGCTTGGCCTATCAAACCATATTTACCCTCCGCTTTATCACACGTGGCAAGTTAGACTAATAGCTTACTTCTATAATTAACTGACATCGTTTTGCGGCATTATCATGTATCTCCAGGGCTACGGGAAACCTGTACTTCCTATAATCATGCGGTAACTTCAAGAAGATTGAGGCGACTGGCTTATTCTGGTCATCGGGTTGATGTTGTGCTTGTTTTTCAGTGCATGTCAATTGATGACAGGCATACCTTTTTTGTAGCGACCAAATGCGATTCTGCAATCGATTTAGGGGCTGTGCCTGCGCATCAATTCCTGCTCTCAGTGTATTGATAGCTTCGGAAATCCTAAATGCGAACAATTAAAGAGAAGCTATTCTCTGTGTCAAAGGCATATGTTCCTTCAAGGTACCTTCCACTTTGTTCCAAATGACTAGAGTAATGATAGTAAAAGGCGCCAAGATGTTTTCCTATCTCTGTTCGTTCCAAGTAATTGAATACATGCAGTGGATCAGGATAATAGGATGCATACATCAGCCATATGCGTAGATACCGTGGATCGTTGCGATATCGAACTTGTCTATGGATGTAGTGAATGCAGCGTTGAAGTACTGATAAGAGCAGGCGATCAGGCTTGTTATGAGAGGTAGAGGGGCTTTTGATAATGCGTCGTATTTCCCTATCGAAAAGGGATATCGGATCATCCAAGCTGTCGAGATAGGCGTAACTTTCCATTTCTACAAGTGGTGCTTTTGCCGCGGAAGAGCAAAGTGAGATATTTTTTTTTTTAGTGCTTCCATTTTTTTGTTTGTTAGCAGTCCAGTGATAAGAGCGCAATTTCGACCAAAGTGAGAATTTCACCACCCAAAGTCTAAGTGATCGATAGTGCAACAACTCACGACAATACTACTATCATCAGGCTTCACCATGGTAGGTAAGATAAATTGACGAGCAAAAGAACAAATTTGATTGAATCATCAGATAATCATCAGATGAGGAAGTGACTATGAGTTGTTATAAAAGCAAACAGAGAAAGAATTACAAAATGTGGATATGAGAAAAAAATGCAGTGTGAATGTCAAAGCAATGAAGACGAAAGTAGTCTATAGCTTTTAGTGATTTCGAATAATCTTGTCTCCTTCTTGGTAGCCAATTTGAGCATCCCAATTACCAAGACTTTCGTCGTTGATATCTTGGTCGTTATTAGTGGAAGTAGAGGAAGTTTCATCACTGTTATTACTTGATGCAGATGCTCTTCTGTTCTGTTGTGCCAAAAGCTTGGAGAAATCTGACCAGGGCATCTCCATAAATGAGGTATTGGTCTGTAAGGAAACGACGAGTGAGTAAACCATGAAACTTAGCCGTAAAACTTCAGTGATCATAACATGAGGATAATTACAGGAGTGATAATGGAAGGATCTTCGTTGACGAGATTAGGAACAAGCTTGAGCTTTTGCAATAATTGATGACCAGGATCCATTATGAATTATTGGGGTTTGGGTGTGTTAAGTGTAGTAAAGTAGTGAGAGCGAAGAGCATCTGGGTCACTTTTTATATATGCGCTGTAAAAGGCTGAGACCACCATGTTCCAAATTAGGTTAGTGGATGCTGAACTTTTCCACGGTGCTTGCAAAAAGCTCTTTTCGTCACCGTGAGCAATAAACGGCCAATCGTTCTTGGCTGAGTAAATTATTCGCTCTAGTCGCCCAAATGTGTATGGTACCCTCGATTTAAAAGAACATGAGTTCTTCTTTGTGAATGTCAAATAACCTAAGCTTCAATATAAGACCCATACCATCTGCAGTGTCATCTTCCTGAATGATTTTCATCATCCCCCTTACCAAGGTGGGAAAGCAAGGCCGAGACCGGACCATTACACAATCCCCGCAGGCCGCACTTCTCAAAAAATTCTTTTTTTGGGAGAGGTCCGCTTTGCGGAGGGTTCACCGAGCGCGAATTGCTATTGGCTAAGTGCTTAATGCCCCATAGGTTTCTGTCATCTTTCATCGTCACTTCTGAGATTTTCACTTCCCCGTCACAAATATTGCAACAAAACCAGCAAAAACAGCGATAAAAAAAAAGTGAGACTACCTAAGTTTGTTGGGGGGTACGCAAGCCATGAGGCCAAATAACTGGACATCTGCACCAATAATTACAATTGGTTAGAGGCAGCTGATGGTGGTCGAAGCAGCTAAATTATTCTACGATGGCTGACAGCTAAGCATAGCTTAAGGTGGGTTTCTCATGATCGTTAAAAGTCCCACGAGTAGCCTTAGATGGTCGATCGTCTGTGTGCCATTTGAGACTGTCTGTAAAAATAGATTTTCAGTTAGCCATGTATTGCCACAAATGAGGCATGTATTGCCGTAAAGGTGCTTTGCCATGAGGCACGCATTCAATTGCGCACGATGCTCATAACAATCTATTCATATCTCCTTCCACCGATGCTCGAAGTGTTTCCTGAGGTAAGAGAGGCGCGCTGTGTCATCCACCCTGTGGGAAATTGGAAAATGGGGTATGAGCTCACGAGACTGGACACAAACTTAGGTCCATGTCCATCCGCGGTAAGTCGATATTGTCATGATTATACCGTTATACGTCCTTTTTTTTTATTCCGTTTGAACAGATCAGGACAAATACGATACTTTTAATGACATCTATAACAACTTGAAAATAAAATTACGTTCAGTGTCGATATGGCTCCGTCACAGCCAACTACTTGTTATGGTTGTTGGTCACACCAGTTACCCTAGAGTGAAAGATGGTCAAGTATGAATTGTGTCATCTATAACATCTAAATGCAATGACTCAACAGCAGTTGCTGGTTACCAGTTTATAGTACCCTCGTAATGGACTCATGTTTGGTACGAATCCAAATCGTGGATTTTATTATGTAGCGAGCGTAAAACTGATACCTTTATTAACGTGCCAAAATCTAATCTATGAACCTAAGCCACGTTTAAACATCCCAAACAGCGTTATCTTAAGATATAGATAACGCCAAGATCCTGCGGTTTGAAATGTTGTGGGTAGTGTGTTATCGCAGGTTTTTTTGTTTGGTAGACACTGAGTTTGACTGGCTTTGGCAGTTTAAATTTAGTACTTACAAATCAATTATTCAGCAATTGGATGAGCTGAATTTGATTGGCTGACTATAACACTGACATCATCATAACACTTACTGGTCAGATCTCACATTTCCTTGTGTCAAGTGTTGGCAATAGTGAAGGTGTGTAATCGACTGCGGAATTCAGTCCCTTGCATTATTACCAACAGCTCTATTCCTTGATTGAATTCACGCCGGCTATCAATAGGATCTATTGTTCACTAGATCGCACCACTATTAACTCACTCAATTAGTGGAAATAACAACAGTTAATTCAATTCCGACGCTTTCCAATCTCTCAACATGCCAGAATCCGTTCAAGCAGAGAGTTCTGAATTTCCAAGCAGAAATTCAAGCCCCACGGCGGCATCAACAGCCGATACACCAGCTTCCAACCGAGCAACACCTGTGAAAGGGAACAGTGCTCTCAATGCTCAGCATTTTCTTGCATCGCCTATCGGCTGCAAGCTGTTCGTCAAAAAATTGATGCAAAATCAGGAAGCCGAATTTCGTAAAGCTGAAATCCTATCGTTTCGCGGTCCAACTGACGATCCATCCAAAATGGAATATTATGTGCATTATGTGGAATTTAACAAACGTCTAGACGAATGGGTACCTGCCGAGCGACTTGACTTATCCCGAGAAATCGAGTTCCCAAAAACCAAGAAGCAGAAACTCAAAGAACACGTTGTGGAAACACCTCCGCCCGATTCTCCAATGCGCTCTTCCAAAGGTGCTAGAAAGCAAAAGGGTTCTCAAGATATGTCGACGCAGGTCAGCTCGGCCGGAACACCGTCTCAAAAGCGCCGAATGGAAGATTTAGCGGCTGGTGAAGTGGGTACCCCAGGAGATGATGCAGAAACACCTGGCTTTGGAGGCAGCAAAGATATGGATGATCATGATGATGAAACGGATTTGTTGGATCCCGACGATCCTAATCAAGGCACTGCTGCTGCCCCTGAAGAGACTTTCTCTAAAGAAAAGGAAATCGAGAAGTTACGAACATCCGGTTCCATGACACAGTGTGTCAGTGAAGTAGCGCGTGTTAAAAATTTGAACACAATTCAAATGGGCAAGCACGAAATGGAAGCTTGGTACTTTTCGCCTTATCCATTGGAATACGCGTATGCCGAGAAATTGTACATTTGCGAATTCTGCCTTTGTTATTATGTTTCCCACAAGCAACTTGAGCGACATCGCAGCAAATGCCAATTACAACACCCTCCTGGCAACGAAATTTATCGGTACCAAGATATTTCATTCTTCGAAATCGATGGGCGAAAGCAGAAGACTTGGTGTCGAAATTTATGCTTGCTTTCAAAATGCTTTTTGGACCACAAAACCTTATACTACGACGTTGATCCTTTCTTGTTTTACTGTATGACACAACGGGATGAGCTTGGATGCCACCTTATTGGATATTTTTCAAAAGAAAAGGAATCTTCAGAAAACTATAATTTGGCTTGTATCTTAACTCTCCCGCAATTCCAGCGTATGGGTTTTGGTCGTCTCCTGATTCAGTTCTCATATGAACTTTCCAAAGTTGAGGGAAGAGTTGGTTCCCCCGAAAAACCGTTGTCCGATTTAGGTTTGCTCTCTTACCGTGCTTATTGGACGGAAACCATTGTGGAACTTCTACTTAGCACCACCGATGAAATTACCATCGAAGAAATATCACAGCGAACATCTATAACACCACAAGACATTCTGCATACCCTTCAAAACATTGGAGCTCTCAAGTACTACAGAGGCCAACATATCATCTGTCTTGGCGACAAAGTCATAGACAATTGGGAGAAAGGAAGGAAGAAAAAGAGAAGAGTTATTGCACCAGAAAAGCTGGATTGGAAGCCTATGCATTTCACACCCTCTCAGTTACGCTTCTTGTAAACGCTGTCCTGTACACGAGGATATGATCTCCCTTTCTTGCCGTAGCAATGGGCTATGTTATGCTTTATGGCTTTCTACTTTATAGTATTCTTTTTCCTCACTTGTAAACATGTAAATAAATAATCAAAGACATTCAAATGGATGCGTAACGGGAATGGAAGCCCAAACCTTGGGAAACTGCAACAATTTTTCCTTTGAGGGAACAACGCTGTAACATTTGATGCCTTGCTGGAAAAAATAAAATTGAGAGAAATTGCCGAACCGGTCATTCAGATAGTACAATGCCTTGGGGACACCGGCTATATTCTTCAAATCAATCGGCACATCTGCCATATTTGTTGATTACTTCACGTTCAAATTAGGCAGATGAAGTGATTATCCTAGATATTGTCGATAGAGCAATCAGTGCTACTGGTAGAGGAACAATTACTTTATTTCGAGGACAGTGCCACTTTGGTATCCCCTATCATGGTCAATCTACTACATTCGACATTTATCTTCTGGAAGAAATTTTTTGTTTTCCCCAGCATTTGAAATATCATGACACCTTACCGATAATGTCACATTCCCCACACACCACGATAAAAGAGGCGCTTTCCAAAAAAAATGAGAAGCAGTTCTCAGCCCGTTTACCGTTTTCCATCGATTAAGATGCAAAAAGATATGTCAGGATACCTTTGCATCTTCATTTTTTTGATCTCTAAGAACGCCTAGTCTTTATGACAGCTTATCCTTTGTCATCTATTCCTTGTGGCAACGGTTTGTCCCCTCCATAATTTGTATTGACGGGTAAAAAACCTATCTTTGCTTTCCATTAAATTGCCTTTTCTTTGTGGTGGCAAGACCCATTTGTCAGCCCACCATTTCTGTTGTTTGCAAATGCTGTAACGAGATTTGTTTAACCTTGCACACATGGACATAACGTGGATTTAGCCTCTCATTCCTGGAAGTTTTTCTCCAGCCAATTTCCCATAGCTGTCTGGGGCACCTGTGAAATCCCACAAAGAGGAAGAGCCACAGCGGTTACACACTATTCAAACAGGTGATACACGGTTGCATGTGGTACCCCGCAAATCACTATTTCCCGTTTCCGCCAACCGCTTTTCTCTTGAAAGGAACCTTTTATTCTCAGATACCACAGACCATGCTCGCAGCAGAGCAAACTATCCATCATTTACCTTCCCCAGCTCGAACTCGGTTAAATCCGACCTCAAATTTGGATATGAAATACGCTTTTCCAGAACAGGTAGAAGCCTTGGCCGAGATTCAGAAGCTTTTTACCGTTTCAGACCAACAATTGGCAGAATTAGTCAAGCGAATGGGAGAGGAAATGCAAATCGGCTTGGAAAGAGATGATGCTTCCGATCTCAAAATGATTCCTTCTTTTGTTACAGGTAAGCCAGTCTAGGACCAGCCAAATGACTGCCCTGGAAATTTTAGATGCTCTATAGGGAGAAACGAATAATAGATACTAATCATATACAATTAGGCTATCCAACTGGTCAGGAAGAAGGCGTTTACCTTGCCCTGGAAATCAGTGGTATGGATATCTATGTATGCCAAGTTAAGTTGAAGGGCCAAGGCGGCAAGCTGGCCATCAATCAATACCAATACAAGATTCCAGCTGCTCTTGCAACCGGTCAAGATATTGCTGATCTTGTTGACTATATTGCTGACTGCGTATCCGATTTCCTCGTCAGAGTCGGTTCTCAGGATCTGTTTGTATACCCTATGGCGATCAGTTTTGGATTCGCAGTAGAGCAGACTGCACTGAACAAGGGATATATCATTGCCCTAGGCCACGGATTTGATTATGCCAACGGCGTTGGTTGTGATGTCGTTGAACTAATCCATTCAAGGTTCCAACGAAAAGGTCTCTCTGTGAGAGTAGTCGCTATTGCCAATGGTAAAATATCAAATTCAAGCTATCAACTGATAAAACTTTCGTCTGACTCGTTGTTTTCCCCCCTTAGATACAGTTTGTACTTTACTCGCACACGCATACCAGCACCCAAGCACTAAGCTTGGCATAGTTCATAGCGCTGGAACAAACTGCGCATATTATGAAACGATGGATAACATCTCAAAGCTTCAGACAAATGCAAACCATATTCGCTCTTCAAGTGACGGAAGCGACATGATTATCAACACAGAATGGTGCAACTTCGGCTCTAAGAAGAAATATCTTCCTTCTACATGGTTTGATCGAAAACTTGATCGAGAATCAAACAACCCAAATGTTCACATTTTTGAGAAGATGACCACTGGCGTATACTTGGGCGAACTCGTGAGAATTGTCCTCATCCATCTTGTCGACAATGAAATGCTTTTTGGAGGAGAAAGCTCTGAAGTCCTGAATACACCATTTAGCTTTGACACGAGCTACATGTATGTATGTGAAAATGACGATACTCCTTCTCTGGATGGCATCAGAGTCATTCTCGAAGACATGCTCAAGGTTGGAGCAACAAGCATGGCTGACAGGGAAATTGTAAAGAAAGTATGTGAAATCATTGGAGAGAGAGCAACCATGTTGGTCGGCGCTGGCACTGCCAGTGTTGTTCAATACATGGTAGAACATGGCATAGGAATGGACCTAGATGGCTCCGGATTTGCTATATGTAAGTTGTTTCTGGCGACCAGCAAGTTTGTAGTTGATATCTTTGTAATCATACTGATCCTGTTATTACGTTACAGCTATAAGCGGCGATATCTATGAGGATTACCCACAATTTCATCCCCGAGTCTGTAAAACGTTAAAAAAAATGTTACCGGAACATATTGCCGCCAAGTTATCAGTTGGCATTGTCAAGCATTCAAGAATAGTAGGAGCAGCCATCGTAGCAATGATGGCTGAAAAAGCGTAGTAGTAAAGCAAACACATTTCTTTCTTTCTTTTTCTTTGTATTCGTATCAGCATTATCATGTAACAGCACAATGGGGGAAATAAAACCGGTTGAAATATGGTCATTTGAATATCGTTCACTTTCACGACAGGGTATTTTCCGTCTCAACTTCTCTCAATCTGCTGATGATGAGAGCGCAAAAGACGTTCATACCGGGAACACATGTTAGTGAACCAACTGTTTGGTCGTCCTTTGGATTCGATGAATCTTTGTGTCGTAAAATCCAAATATGATCCCTCTCCGCAGCAGGTTGTGGCAAGCGGCCGACCCCGCCTGCCGTGACTGCAAATATTCGCCTGGCAACCTGTCGGTTTGTGACATCTTTAACCATGTCTACGACAGTCGATCGAGAAAAGGTGAGAATCGAATACCGCTTTTATGGAGACGATCTTGTTTATGGTTATATGCAGTGAACTTGGTCTTCTTGTGCTGTGATCAGCTATTATTGAACCCGTCCGCACTTGACTAGTAGCTTTGTGATCTGTATCTCGCCACTAACAGCACTTCAATTCAGGATTGCCCGTTTCTTTTGCGGTTATTTTGCAAAGTAGGAAGCCATCACCCGTACGTTTATTACCGCATGAAAGCGTGATTGACAGCTGTCATGTACATTATTTAACACCCTTGCCTTACTTCTTAGAATTGGCGAATTTGATCTCAAACGAGTTCCTTCCAAAGATGAATTACAGTTATATACGTGGTAAATTATTATACTACGCGTGCCAGACAATGCTTGATATCAAGTGCTAAAAAAAAGAATGAAATTTGTAGGAAGAACGCAACCTTAGAAGAAATAGCACAACTGATCATGGAAGTTTACCCAGAAGCACAGCTCCCCGATGCACGATTGTCGTTCCGCCTCGTTTACCTGGACAGCCAGCGAGCAACCTATACATACAAAGATATTGGACGAGTAGCTTTTGGTGCAAAAAACGCAAACTCCCAGGATCACCAAAAGACATTGGAGACGACACGGTTCATGATCGGCGATTATATCGATGTTGCTATTTTCGACGGCCCACCACCACCACGATCGCAATTCCGTAATAGCGGTGGCCCCTCTCGTGGGTTTGGAGGCGGCGGTCGCGACAGGTCTGATCGCGGTTTCGGTGGAGGTCCTCGCATACGAAACGGACACGGCGGTAGAGGAGGCGGTGGCGGCGGTTTTGGTAGAAGAGAGAGATTCTAAGCAAGTATCTACACCTGGAGTGACCGACTGCAGTACAGCTGCCACGCCTCGATGTCGATGATTTCCCATGTCATCCACAAAAAAAAATACCTTTGCAATTATCACTAAAAGTTGTAACATCTTCCATCAAGTCCCTATCAGCAAGACACGAATCAATCTCCCGATTTTTTTTATAAGCTGTTTTATAAAGAACATTGGTGTGTTTTTGTCTACATACGAGAACGAAGAAAAAAAGAATTATCCCTTAAAATAAATCCGCGAATGGGTCATTCTGTGCTGCTTTTTGCTGTTGTTGAGGAGGTGAAGTTGGTTGCGCAGCTGGCTGTGTATCGAAAAGTAAGTCACCTCCAAACAGGTTCTGCTGTAACTGCTGTTGCTGTTGCGGTGGAGATTGTTGGAACATTGGTTGTTGAAAACCAGATGTTTGTGGTACTGGGGCAGGGGCAGAGGAACCAAACAAACCCATGATATCATCGACATTTGATTTGGGCTTTGCTGCTACTGGAGATTGCTGTTGTGTTTGCTGCGGACTGCTTGGTGAAAACAAGTCTTGTAGGTCATTTTGAGCAGATGGCTGTGATGAGCTTGAGGCAGCAGCAGCGCCCGGATCATCCCAATCCAAATCCAAAAGATTGCCAATATCGTTGTTTTTGATAGCGGCTTGTATTTGGGGTGGAGGTGCATTGATATCTTCCTCTTCGGCGGGTCTGTAAGGAGAACATTAGAACACGGGTATATCATAGGGATTTAAAAGATTTGTTGTGAGATCCTTACTCTGCAACTGCCTTTTGAACATTATCAGCACCATATCTCTTGCCACCAATGAATGCTTCAGGAGGCTTGTGATATACAGAAGCAAGAGTGCCAATGTTATATATGAGTTCGTCGAGCAATGCCGCTGATACTCCGGTATCTTCGTCTTCTATCGGCGGCTTGTCAGAAAGAACTACGGCCTTTGCAGCTTGGGGATCGGTAGATAGCAGTCGCCAGTATACATATGCTCTGTCTCGGATATCTGGATTTTCACATTCTGTGGTAGCTGTCTGGAGGACCTGTTGTACGATATCCTGATTCTCATTTGGCTTCTTCAAAAAAAGCTTGACCGTCGCAGTTACCAACTGAAGTTGGACCTATATACAAACAAGCATATTAGGTATGCTCAAAAATGAATCTATCAAATCATCCAGTCCTACCTGTGCGTTCTCCTCCTTGAAGTTCTCCAAAAATCCAGACAAAAGTTCGTCAGCATTATCAATATGCGATGCATATTCGCCAATGATCCAAATTAGAGATGCCTTGGCCTCCGGCTCATCAAGAGCATCCAGGTTCTCGCAAAGTGTAGGGATGATACCTTCGTACTTTTGAGGGTATTTACGGAAGATATCCTGCATATCATATACAATTAGTGCCATGTCCTTTGTCTTACAGCTATTCCAGCGGTTTCACTTGCCTTGATGACAACGATTGCTTCTTGCACAACGTAGTTGATACCAGTATTAATCAAATCCAACAAAACATTGATACAACGTTCAGATGCTTCCTCAATCTTGATTGCACATCGCCCAATAGCTCGGACGGATTTTCTAACAAAGTCAACATCGACTTCACTGGCGTACCTATGAAAGCAATGAGAATCGCTTGATTAGGTTCCAATTGTCAAGCATCCATCAACATAGATATATATACGTACTCCTTCAACTCGCTGAGCAATTGGTCGACATTTCGCTCATTGCAGAGCCGAATCATGATCTCCAACTTTTCCAATTTGACATACGGAGGGTCATTATACTTGCAGAAGAACACTCTCATTTCGTTTGATAAAACATCCGATCGCTTTTGCAAGATGAGGTTTATGTTTCTCAGTGCAACATATTGTACTTCTGGAGGTCCAGACAACAAAGTAACTTGAAAAGAAGAGAAACATTAAAATCGCAAGCTTAGAAGAAAACACAAATATCATCAGTATGCTTACCCAATGGTGGTGCCATCTTCTTGACTAAATTTTTGTTGAAGTTTGCGTCTCGCACGAGCCTCATGTTGATCATAAGGACCTTGATGGCAGAAAGGACAACGCTTCCATTTGCATGTTGTAGTCGAGGAAGCACTCTGTCGCAAATTCCCTCAGCCTCCTTGACATCACCTGCCTTGTAATCTGCCAAAGCAGTAAGAATAGAAATCTGACCCCACTCAGTGCACTCATTCAATGCATGTAGCAATTTGTTCAACGTTCCTCCAGTGATTTTGAAAACTACTGTTTCGGGTGATGCTTCATTGATATCGGAAAGAGCAACAACAGCATTGGCAACAACCATAGGATTAATGTCAGAGACCATCTCTTGAAGGGTCTCTACGAAGCCGCTCTCAAGCGCCAACTCAGGATTGAGGTCGTAGAGTTTGGCAACACACAAGCACGCTGTTTTTCGTACATATGGATTATCATCCTAAGTATGCAAGTCAGTACCCAACAACATGTTACAGAATGTAATACCAGCAGTGAAGTACAAACCTTTAAGCACTTTCGAAGGGGCTCAGTGAGATAATCGATAATTTTTTCGACACGAAGACATCCCATAGTACGGATTGCGAGTGCTCTGATCAACGGATTGGTATCGTTTGTATCCTTTCATCGATGTGAGCAAATCAATTACAGCCGGTTTTATAAACAGAAAATGCGTCCATGTTAACAACTTACCATTACAAATGTATTGACCGCAAGAATAACCAATTCTGGTTGAGTTTTTGCGTAATTCATAAGATAGAGGTATACAAGTTTCTTCAACTCGAGGTCCTCGGTATGCATATTTTTCAATACATCAGGAAACAAGCCTGAAACATCCTTTCCAACGGTCATGTTTGCAATGACCTTTTTCACTGCATCTTTGCGAACGCCGCGATATTCACTGTTGAGCTCGGCTTTAAGTTCATAGTTTTCGCCTATAATTTAGAGACAATGTTTATGGAGGTCAGTAACCGCATCGGAATCAACTGAACAATCTTGGTTACATAGAAGGTGTATATAGTGTTGATGAAGTCGGATGTTGTGTGGCGAATCTCAATGCCGTCGAACCAGATCGACGTCGTACGTGGCAGGAGAAGCATTACAGTTCAAGTTTAAGCAATACTAATGATAGAGGACTCATACCGCGCTTATTGGTAGTAAAAAACTTGGGTCGAGAAGCGATGTTCATCCTGTAACAATCCTGTTAGTTCGACAGATAAGAATGAGAACTTCTGTCTGTGAACTGTGGATGAGAGCTGAGATGAGCTTGAAAGATTGCCTGCTTCGCCGAACAGCTTAACGCGGAAATCGGAGTTTATAACAGCTTCTGGCTGTGTTTGCCAAAGCAAAAGCCCGTTTTGGACAAAGACCTTACAGTTTTCCCAAACACAATTCATTCATGCCCGACGATGAAAGGATTTTGAAGTCTCTCCAACAGGAGTTTAAGCCCATGGATAGAAAATATGCTCAAGGAGAGCTAAGAGTCTTTGGTACGGCAATGCAATGAAGTTACGCTCATATATTATGGTATTCTCACTCGTTTTCCAGGGCGAAACTCAACTCAGATTTTGAACGAACTCGACAAGATTAGGAGAAAGCAAATCAATCTAGCAACGGAACACATATCTTTGGATGGAGTGGTTGACAATTCGTAAGCAATGTTTAACCTGTTTGAGTATACTGCCTCTTGGTTGTTGAACACTATAGTATTTAGACATCAAGATGTTGCCGACGATCAAGATCATGAAGTAGGCTACCAAAAGAATGTGGATAACTTTCAAAAACGAGAGGCCAATCTTATCAACTTGATGGATAAGGTTAGTGGACCTCTTTCTTAATGACTAATGTACTGATATGCTCTGACATCTGCTTTCGTACATTGTATGAAACTTTGATATGATACAGCTTGATGACCTGGGACAAATGATGTAAACCCCGTAGATTTAACATATTTTTTATATGGTTGATATGTACATAGTATCTAATATTCACTATTTGTAGGAAACAATTTCATTCCCTGTCTAATTCAGTAATTGCCCAAGGAGATGTACTGACTGATTTTTCTGCAAACGAGTCCACATCGACAGAAAAAGGTGTAGAAAATCTGCAAGGCTCACTTCCTGCTGAAGATGGAATAAATCAAAGATACAACAGTATGGACACAGTGGTTGGTCCAAGCATGCAAAATCTCTTCAACAACTCTGCTATACCCCCGCAAGCATCCAGAAACTCACTACTTCAGAATGCCAACACCACGACAGAGGAAGAGGATAATGATCCGAACAGCACCAGGCAAGCAAATTAGCCGTCGAGCAGACGGCTCAATTGTACGTGTCTAGTGTTCCACTCATGTACATAGCATCCTTTCAGTTATACATAACTTTTCTACCATTATAAACCTCATTCTTATTGAACATGTAATATCGAAATCCACCTATATGTGCTTTTTATCAAATGATTGATCTAAATTCTTCTATACAAACACAAGATTATGAACAGGTTTGCCATTGACAGTCAACTTGGTATGGTAGGATAAATAAGAGTGTTGAAGATTGTTAAGCTTGGCACCTGGGATATGGAGTGGAAATCTATGATCAAGATTGTTTCCAAGTAATTGTAAGGCATCTTTATAGCTAATCATCAGGCTGGGTATATGAATTTGGCGTTTGGGAGTTGCTGATCCTACAACTTGAAAAATTTTGTTTTCGTCTGCGTTTACGAAGATAATTCCCGTTGCGCCAGCGGATTGCGCCAGGATGGCCTTGTCTTCAAAATTACATTTGCCTCGTCCAACAATCACCATGTTTCCACTGATCGCACTTTTCTCGTCTTCAGAATACTGACTACATCCGAGAAAGGTGTCGAAGAGAGGATCGAAGATGACCAAAGATGTTTCCATGTCTTCCATATCAGAGAGATCTGGTCCAAAAGCAGCTCTTGCACCAATAATGTTTTGTTGCGATATACCGTCAAAACTCCCAATGTGTACAGTGATAACCTCTTCCGGAGTGTTGTTCCGAGAACTGAGTACTACGCCGGATGGGAAATGGAATTCCAAAGCCAAAAGTTCACTACTGAAGTATGGCTGAATAGCTAAAAAGGGGATTTGAAAAGATTGTCCTGTCGATAACCTATAAGATGTAATAAAACGGATTTAGTATGCATTTGAGACTATACGGATGCAGCACTATCCGGCAATCTTACGTATCCCACTTGCCGACTAAATATGAAGTAATGATATGTGGTAAAAAAATTCTAGGTTAGCTATAATTGCGTGTTGTTACAATTTTTTAGACGATCTGGTCTCGTAAATCAGCTCCCATATAGAATAGCGTACCCTTATGCAATGATATTCCGTTCATATCACAGTTGGCGAATACAATTCTGACGTTCCCCTATCTTACCAACGATAATAGTCATACGAACCTTTGGTCACATCAAAACCGTCACCTCCTCGTAGCACCTTTGTAAATTCCAAGTCAAGGCCAGCAAGGGTACTACTAAACAAGCCGTCGATCAGTTTCAATATACGTGGAGTGATGGAGTAATGTTCGTCTTTGATCGCTCCAAATTTAAGCTTGAATTTATCGGTTGCAGTTTTTGGGACTTCGCAATAACCATCCCGGGTGAGAGCCACCGGTTCACTAAATGTGTTGCGTCTGATAAGGTACTGAGCATAATCTGCAACGGGCTGATGTGACATGGTGAACGATAAAGAATGATTCTTGCCATGCGGACTTCCATTAATCCAATGATTCTGTAGCGCTGGGTAGGACTGGCAGGTGGTGCGAATCTTTCCCCACGATTTTGGTGGTCTTTGGAGTTTGATATCATGTTTCACAGGCATTGGCATTACATGACCCTCTGTAATAATATTCGGTCAGTCCCATACAATGGCAGTTTTGAATACGGAGGCATGAAAAGCAAACCTGTTGTAAATACGAAATTGGAATCCTCGTGGTTTAGAGGATGATCTGAAAGTGATGGGTTTGACGTTAATGTTCATGTTCCTTGACTTATGTGAACTGGCATACTACTTACCAATATCAAATAACAAATAAAGATACTTGAAAGTTTCGCTCAACACAAAGCTTTCCATCCTGTCTTCCAACGCACCGGTTCGTACGTCAGCCAAGGAGGCAAATCCACAAGGTAATCGAGCTCTGTCGTTGATGTCTTCCAATATCATTTCTCCAACTTCAAGGTAAAACGGATCATGAGTAGCTCTATACAAAAAGTACGTGGATTCCGCAAATTCCGGTCGAATGGGGTAAAACCCAATATCCACATCGTCTTGGACGAAGTTGTATCGTTCCGGCATTCCACGGTATTTCTTCCAAAGGTTGTAATACGTTAGGTGTGACTTTATAGCCATCTCTAGGTCACCATACAAGACTTGTAGACCAGGCCAGAATGCGCTCAAGCTGTCAATCCAATGTGACATCAGCTGTGCAGATGCCATATCCACATTTTTGTATAAGTATCCGCCAGGATCTGCTACATAGGTCATGATAGCAGAATATGCATCCTCGAACATGTCATAGTATTCGTCGTCTCCAAAGAGAATATGTGCTTTCAGTAAATATTCAAAAAAAGAATCGATGCCTGCACCAACAGAGGAAGCTGCATAAACCCATTGTCCGGTTTGCAGATTGATCGCATTACCCATGAGGTCTAAATCCGAACGTCTTTCCCATAAGGCTTTCAGTGCCTTCTTTGCCAAATTCTAAAGCAGAATTGCTGGTTTGTTGAGCTACTCAAATGATAAATCTTCGGATGAAATGATTCGTACCTCATAAAATGGGTCATTTGTTAAACGACTCAATACTCCAAACTCCAATATAAGGCTTCCCGCTCCAGCTGTACATGTTTCTACAGTTTCGCTTTTCGGAACACCAAAACGCAAGTTCACCTATTGCCCCATACAATTAGTGGATGTTGAAAATAAATTCCTTTCTGAATTGAATCACATACCCTTGGATAAGGAATACCGGTTCTTGACATTTGAAATGCTGGTACCAATCTTTGGGCGAGATCCTTTGCCGCTTGAAGGAGTTCGCCATTATAGCCATCTATGGTATATCCATACTGGCTATCGGACGCCAAGATATGAGCAGATAACTAATCCCATTCTTATCAGCATTCATCGTATGCGGTAAATCTATCACCTTTCATACTTACCAATCCTCCCAACGATCGAATGTTTGTTTCAAATACTTGTACTTTACTGTCTTGATTGAACGACACGTGGCGGGTAACCAATTTGACGGCGTTTTCAAACTCCCGCTGTTCACCCATTATGGCAAGTGTATCAAGGGTATCAATCAAAGTGACTCCATAGTCTCCTAGAACGTCATTAATATTGATGTTGGTCCTATTAGAGTTTTAAGTTAAATTGTTAAGATTGTAGAAAACGCGAGGCTCTCTCCTTCAAAGCGTGCAGTGCTTACGGGTCATATCTGTCGCTGCCACGACCAGTGCAGTTGAACGGGTTGAGCTATGAAATGAATTAGTAACATGCATAAAGAGCGATGAGATAGCTTTCCACCTTTGACTGTATCTTACCTCATCCTTTGGATACGCGTATGTCATGTAGCTGGACCAGCCATGATGAAACATTTCCTAAATTCAGGTTGAAGTTATAACCTATTGCCAAACGCTACCAACATGCTGATCGCTATATTATATCAAAGCATATAATATAATCTATCCCTAATCGTTACCTTCGTTTGCTGTCTAAAGTAGGGATCATTGTGTCAGAGCTTCAATTGATTATATTGATCGATTTTAGATCTACTAACTTTAATTCCAGTCGACGATTGTTTGTCATCGTGGCATCAGCCCCGAACCCATGACAGCATAGTAGTATACATATAGATACTGCTATAGGGCCGGTTGGGAATCTACATTGACCCCATTGGAAGCCCAATGACATTTGTGAACAAGTCGTCGTATAGGTTGTCTATGAGAGAAATTGGTCACAACTCCTCTCTGGGCCAATAAAATTGCCCTGAGTGGCCAATGAAACACTCAGAATCATTGTCGAGTTGTTGGCCGGCCAGAAGCGATGAGTTTACTGTCAAGATTTGCATAGGTTCAAAAGCTATCCTACATTGCATGATATATGAAGTGTATCATATGCTCCATACACTCAAACAGCAGACCAAGATCATTTCCTATGACAATGATATCAAAGGTGCCGTATGGAGGAAGACTACCACACGTGATGCCTTTGCCAATTTAAATCGAAAAGCTGCTCGGGCGTTATGTATTCTCTTTTTTTCCCTGTTTCATCATGCCAGACAACAAGATACGATCCAAAAGTAAGCTTTCAATCATAATGCTCTTAGGATATTGAACACACTGATATTGATTATATGCTACCAGGCATTGAACTTTTGGCGCATGCACTTATTGGACAGGACAGTGGTGATGGTAGGTAGCTTCCTGGTATCATAGTTGAACACGTAGTTACTGACTTGTGGTACTACAGCCAACGTCAGCGATAAAAGTACAACCTTAGCAAGCAATATTGAGGAGGAAATATTCTCTCAGCACGGACAGGAGATCAATAATGAATATAAAGAAGCTGTACGCTCACATGTATTCAATCTGAAAGACTCAAAAAATAACTTGAGAAGCAGACTATTGAACGATGAGTTGCAGCCAACCGCCTTTGCAGAAATGGTAGGCATTGATGAAGTACACAAGTGCATCCATGATATATTTCGGACTTTCACTAATTTAGGGCGGTTTGTGACATAATGATTTGGTGATGTAGGAAAGTAACGAAATGGCGGCTCCTGAACGTCGGCGTAGTAATGAAAAGTTACGAAGAGAGTCCATCAGAGAGTCGATGGCGATAAACGATCTTCAGCCTATGCATCGTGATTTGGAGGACCCGGATGCTGGAAGAGATTGAAATGAATATAGCTTTACCCCAACCACATTAATCACAAATTTTCCTTACCAGATGCTCCGCTGGCCAAGCTTGTTTGAATGGAAGGAATAAAAAATTGGCACTTTAATGAATAGCTTCAATTTATTTGTTTTATCACACATACTGCATTATTAGCTAGTTTTAACTATACAACGCAAGAACTATTTGTTGAGCAAAATCCAAATCAAGCGGTTTGTATTCAAGTAACGTCCATTAGACTAATTGGCGGGAAATTAACGCCAATGCTGCAGAAAGCTAGTTATTCAACTGAGGACAACTTGCCACATAAAAAGCTATGAGAAGCAGTTTCCACATTCCAACATATTGCAAATTCAGAAAGGCCACTTATCAGTGAACTGTATCACCCATCGGGACAAACAGCTTCCACACATATATGTACATGACATATTTATCATGATCAGGTCTTTATTTTTTTTCATTCACATCGTATGAACCATGATCCGGTTATAAATAATTCACACCGATCGCAGTGTCTATAAGATCCTCCATAATTCTCTCTACCGTAGTTCCTATTTGTTTCGTCATCTCCTGTTGTCGGTTAAGTGGTAAATTGATGAATTGGAAGATAAGGTCTCCATCTAATATCACACGCGAACGATTGGATGCGAGTTTCTCTTTTGAAGATCTCATGATTCTACAACCCAGTCACTACATTAGTACCTTGTACCGGATAATTTGTTTCATAAAGTTGGTAAGCATTTACCTGAAGGCACGCGGATTCAGACCAGCGACATGCTGAAGGCCGTTCACCAATTGACCGTACAGGAGCAGTAATCTTTTGTACGTCTTCTCTGATATAGGAGTCACCATTGAAATGCTTCCGTTCAAAGAGCCTACATTTGTAGATGAATTGAATCAATAACACCAAACTAGATGGGCATTGGGCTTATCAACGTGACACTTACCACATAAATTGAAATGACGTTTTCCATACTCTATTCCGTCTACAGTTTTTTGTCGTGCGGGTATACGAGTTGTACAACGAATCTGTGAGCCCATGTGGAAATCACCACGCCGCATAAGTTTTAATCCGCTATATGACTGCAAATCTGAAGTTTGACTCGGTCAGCACGAGGGTTGTTCTAAAACCAATTTATAGTCAAAGCATAACACTTACTGTATGGAGCATATTGGTAAACGGCAATATTTTCCTCTGTATCACCAACCAGTAGCTGCAGAGACTTCTCTTCCGCAAGGAAACCGACGCAATTCACTCCCAAATCATGATAATCTTTGCCAAGCATGACAAGCTTTGCCGGTTCAACTTGGTATCCCAAGAACCAAATGGACTTTTGAGCATCTCCAAGAAGAATGAAGTTCTTGATGGCGACCATGCTTGTCACATATGTTTGTACATCAATGAAGGCGACACCAACTAAGCTTTCGTTATCCTCAAAGCTGTATATGAAGACTTTGGGGCCGGTGGTTGAGACAAGATGCCCACTGCAGGCGCATAATGCCGAGACTGCTCCCTTCACCTCTTCTGTATGAACCAGTTTGAATTTATGATTGGTTTGTGGATTATCGATTTCAGGAACGACTTCAATGACATCGAAGATCAAGATCTATTTTTCACACATTAGTTTTCAATCTCATCAAGAAGGAAAAAGAACCAACATCCTACTTACTCGACCTCTCATTGCTGTGTCCTCTCCTTTCAGGTAGCCAGTTCCGACTACCATAAAATCTTTTCGTCCATTGGCAGTCTGTTGACTCTCAAGATTCATGCAATCAAGGCAGAAACCCTGCTCTGCCTCATCTAGAGCATAGGTATCCACAATCTCCCATGTGATTGGCGATACTAAGATCATTGAAAACTCTTCAATTGTAGGCAAATATTCGCCTTGATCACGTTTCGGAGGATCCTCGAGCGGCGTGCCGTCTTCGTTTTTGAGTTGTATTGGCTGAGGTGATGATATGAGCATAGCGTACACTTCCATTTGAGCGTGGTATTGTACTTTGTGGACGGTATGGTTAATGAGAACTTTTTTCATGGGCCATGCTGTATCGTAAGTGATGCCGTCAGTAGGTAGCTGACGCATTTGAACTTGATTCTGTCGATGAAGATGACGTGTCAGAGCATGGCTTATGCAACCAAGAGAATTTTCAGATCGTTTGACATACCTGATCGTCTGCTGTCATGAAACTGTGGTGAAAGTTGATATTATGGAATGGTGTGAAAGCTTCTATTGCAGTTTTAGTTGCCATAGGATGAACACGAATGGGGCTTTTACTCGAGCAAAGAATCCAAAGAGGTTTCTTTCCTGTAACAAAAACGCCGGAATAACCACTGATGTTTTCGAATAAAACGAGACGAGATTCACTGCTATTCTCTTGCGTTTTGTTAATATCAAGGCTAGTGCCATTGATACCATCCTCCTGTCCCTTTTGCTGCGCAGCGTGTGAGAAGACAATGTCTTGTTCCACTCTTGAAAAGCGGATTCCTAGCCTACTGTCATCCTCCACCAAGTTTACTGGCTTTCCATCAGCATTATTGTGAGAATTGACATCATTACCAGCACTGTACTGATATGCATTATATACTACAATATCGTTTGTGATGGTTTGAGCCTAGGAAAACGCCTATCAGCACTATACTTTCATACGCAACATAGTGCAACAAGTTTTGAATATTTACCACAAGATATGGGAATTTGACCTCTTTTCCAATAGAAGTCAAAATGACAGATTTTATCTTGTTTGATGAGTTGTCACTGAGTTTGGGTAGTTCCAAAGGTTGTGCAAGTGGATTTGGGGCTACAGATGTACTGTCAGCTAATATACTGGGCAATTGGTCGAACCTTGGAAAGGAAAACACCTCTTTGAAGGTAGGTAGAGAATAAATCTGTGAATGAATAGAAGAATTAGCCATCAGATTCCCAAGCACAATCGATACTGCATACAGTTAAGAAGACATATACCTTTAAACAACCATCCGTGCAGTAGACCTGGCACCACATGGTAGACTTTGTGTCTACTCCAAGTCCTCCAAGATTGCTGACATTTGATTCATCAATAAGTTCATCAGACTGCGCTACAACTTGTGGTGGTGCACTTATGTACAAATCATCGTCTTCACCCATACTGTCGTCATCCTTGTCTTCTTCTACCGTTGCAATTGGTCGACTATTCACCTCTGCCATGGTCTTGTCTTCTTCGATGTCATCTGCGTTGTTACCATAAAGGTCCATATCAATGGCATCCATGTCATCACCACCAGGAGATGGTGATCGGTTAGCCTTTTTGTTAAAGTTGTCGAGTTGTACGCTGTTTTTTCTCTTTCGTCTAGAGCCTTTTCTTGACGCTTTGATTGTGTCAAGGTCTTTGACGGAAGCAAAGGTACGCGATTGATCTAAAAAGGCGGAGCACGCTTCAATGGATAGATCCTGAACCAAAACAATTCGTTAAAATATTGATCGAAATATATATGGCAGCTTTGAGATCGCATAATACAAACCTGCACATCTTTGGGAAGTGCGATTGATTTGAGATCTTTGGACTTCACATCAGCTTCATAAGCTAATATGGATTTGTTGTTCAAGAGCAGTATAACGTATGGACTATTGATACAGGCGGAAGTGATTCGCTTTCCTTGTTCCATTCCAATGACTTGCTTCTTCTTGGCATCTAACATACATGATATCGTTCATAACTGCGTCCTGGTCAAACAAGCAGTAGCAATTATTGACTCACCAGCACTCAACAATAGTATGCCACTTGTATGAACTTGAACTATTCTCGTCTCATTAAGGACAGAGCCAGCAGCGAGAGTTGGACCCTTTACATAAAAGCCAGAATGTCCAAGTTCTTGAAGGTCTTCACCAGCACCAAATACCTAAAAAAAAAAAATACAGGTTATTATGGCTGAGAGTAGTATGTACGAAGCTATCACTCGCTCACCATGGTTGATTTTGACTTGCTTATAACAAGGAATTTATCATATGAGGATAGCTCTCCACCTTGAATATCACCCATTCCGCTTCGAGAATGTCTTGTTACTTGGTTGCCTTCCAACTCCAATCCTTCAAAATATTGCTCTTTTCTACATTTGATAGCAAATAGAGCCTGACAGTCTTCTTGATTAAATGAAAAGTTCACAGCTGTATGTATATTTCTTCGAAGTACAGATACGTTTCCATTCTTGCCATATCCGGAACATGCCACTATCTCTATGTTATCGTCATTATCGAGCTTGCCAGCATTCGTTCCCTCGGTTTGCTATAGTATCGCGATCGTCGTTAGAACAAAGACAGCATTTTTGACATGTGAATGTCCAATGACATACCTCATCTGGAGCTTGGATTAAAGCACCGAAAGTGAGATCCGCAACTGGCCCACAGTTCAACAGTCTGTCGCATACTTTAAATTTGAATCCGCTCTCCACCACGCCATTAACAGTAACTTCACCATTTACACTATCTTCCAGTGAGGAGCCATAGAGATCTATCAAAAAGATATAGGTTTAGTTAAACCTCCTCCTCCACTGGCATTATACTACGATTCTCATACCTGCTGCTAGATCACCAGTGCTTGATCTGGACGGTAATTTTGGCCGAGTCCTGCGTAGCTTGTTTTGTGCTTGTACATTTGGCCATTCCCATTTAACCAACAATGAGTCGGCAGCCCGACTACCTAAGAAAAAATAGCCGTTCTTCACAGGTGTGGCACATGAGGGAATACACGCGATATGCGAATTCTTATCCGCTTTGTCCGTGGGTTCTTCAACCCGTTCAATGTTGAACCCAACAACTTTGCTTCCATCCAGTTGCAGTTCCACTGTGATCCATTGGCCATCCCTTAAGAATAAACAAATTCTTGTGCCTCCCAGTAGAACAAATTGCGCACCTTCAAGCTCCAACTCCATGCCAATCGTCTTGGCGTCAAAAATCATTCCAGGAAAGTTGGTTACCAACTTGGCATATCCATTCACGGCGATACCAATGCCGGGTGATCCTTGCGCGACATATATGAGCGAGTTGGCTGACAAAACCATCAAGCCAGCTGCTGGTTTAGGAACAGCGAATAGGCGTGTACAGTCGTAGGGTAAGTTATCCAGAGAATAGATGATAGGATAAACGCGAGAGGAGATGTCGAGAGAGACAACCGCTAACGAAACCGTATCTTTTGTGTCATTCAATTTGCTAAGATACATGTTAGATTGTGGATGCAGATGATGACACTACTTTCTCTCACATAGCTTACCCTGTCCAAGTCGGGTTAGATTGATACAAAATTGCCAAAGTAGGCTCGTAGTAATCGTGAAGAAAGACCATGTCGATAACGTTCCGTATGCGAGAATCGATCTCTGAGACGTCTATTACATAGCTCGGAGCGTATGGCCACCTAAAATGACTTGAAGCTTCAGTATCATAGCAAGATTGATGCAAAAGTGTAAAATCACTGTACCTTGATTGGTCATCTTCAAGTCGTTTGCTCCTGTCTTTTGAGACTGATACTGCATCACCAATGCTTTCTGATTGACGAAAGGGCAAAATGGCCATTTTGTCAGAATAAAAGTTGAGAACTGCACATCGCTGTTGAGGATCAATGTGTACTTCGGGCGGATACGAATTGGATAGAAATTCATTCTATAGTTTTCAAATCGTTAGGGATTTCGTATCTGCATGCCATATTTGAATAGGATTTTTGACTGTAATGGACTTTTAATCAACAACAGTGATTTGCTTACCTTGAATTCATCTCGTTCATAATAGTGAATAGATACTGTTGTTACTGAATGCGTTGCCGGAGACCACTCCAATAGTGACATCTGTAATTCAAGCGTCAATCAATGTTGATATGAAAGCATTTCTAGGATTCTGGCAAACATACCTTCGCATCGCTAAAAGCTAACAATAGACTGTGACAACCTTCTTTACCGCGTTCTGACGAAGTACGTACAACACCCATCGACGTTACAGTACCACTCAGTTTATATTGCGCTACCAGATCAAGTCTGCCTACTCGACTGGTCTTCAGGGTATCAGACGCTATTGGTTGTATTTTCGGGTACACGAGTTCCTTTTAAACGCCAGTTAACTGTATGTTGAACGTAATAAAGCATCCATGTCTTCGTCCACTAACCTGTTCCATATCTTGGTCAAACCGATCCTTGATCGTCGGTTCTTGATCAACAGCCTCGTCAATCTCCTGCGAGAGCTCGACAGAAACCGGTTCGACGATGCGCTCGACAAAATCATAGATCTCCAGAAGTGTGCCCCTCGCCACCAACAGATTGTTACTGTACGGCGATGTGAACTGAGCTTTCTCTACATGTTCGACTGTTTGAGGCGGCAGTAGCTCCTTGCAAATGGTATAAGCCGACATTGACAAGCGAAGAGAGTCTCAAACGCAGTCCTCCGCGTTTGACGTTAAGGCTTCTCTATGTCCCAAAATTTTTGATTCCCGGTCCAAAACATTTTCAAGGACGTGTTCAAGCACGAAACGCCAATTTCTTATGATAGTCGCAATTAAGCTTATCTTAACAGAGTAAAAGATGGTGTGAGAGAACTTTCCGGTAATCCATAGCCACAATTAGCTACAGTGGTTCGTTGCTTTCAGATGATGTCGATAATAAATGGTCATAGGTATGCTTTCAGCCTATTCTTTGCTTTGGCATAGTTCATCTGGCTCTTACTGCTGGCCAAGCGTTTCATAAGCTCAGTATCCATCATCCCAGTGCAAGGAGCAATTGTCTTTACCATGTTGGAAATCTGACCGTTTGCTTTTGCATGCATGACTGCAACTAAATACATTAATGATTTACTTAGCTTCGCAGCATCGTACTCTTCATTTAGCATTAGCCAAGTAGCTTTGTCCCTCCTTTTCACGTACTACAATTGAAACCTTAGCATTGTCCCCAACGCCATACAGTTTACAGTGGGGCATATGACCCTGAGAAATCCATTACTTGGTTCTGCCGATTCATCTAATCTTACAGGACAGCTACTCTTGCAGGCAGTCTTCAACAATTCATAACGATTTATGGGGCTGAGCTGGAGCACTGGTACATTGTATGACGAGTCTTTGTTTGTCAAAGAACACCACAAGCCAGTCCATAAAAAACAAAAATTAAATGGCGACGGTGAAGTAAAGGCCATCCCATCCAAATCAGGCCTGACCAAACTCGGTGGCTGGATTTCGCAGCAGTTTCAGTCGATACCTTTTTTTATACACTGATATTTACCGTAAAGGCATAATATAAATGTTATAAGATGTGTGTGAACCAGTGACCTCTTGTGTACAAGTTTTGAATGACAGAATGGCAAACGAAATGATTCTGCTTTAGACGGACTGTTTGTACGGCCTTGAGTTTCTTCCTTGTTTCTTCCTTTCCCCACACCAAAATTTTGTCCCACAAACATTCACCCGTTCGAACACACACACTTTGTGACAATGCCCACATTTGCAAGCCCAGCTTTGCGCGTGACCAGCTTATGCGTAATATGGAAGGATGGAGAAAGGCATGAACAAAATCTTAGGTCATCCCTTTGACTGTACTGGAAAATTACTTTAGACAATACATTTACAACTTCCACATGCCTTGCCGAAGTCGTGCGAAAGCTAAGTGGGGAAATTGTTTGGTTACTTGATACCCCAAGGGTCTGTGATACCTCAAATATGGGAAAATCGATGCGTATAAAAAGGGACGAGAATGTCAGTAGACTTTTGTCTCTTTACATTTTTCATTATAATTTTTCTGATTCCTCCACCCTTCAGAAATACTATTCGCTAATACGGCCCTTCAAAATTACCACCACTATAGCTATGCTTAAACCGTTTTACGAACTAGTGAGTTACTCCGGAAAAGGTCTTCATTGCTCGTTTTGTCATGGAACTGGACATTCTAAGCGCGACTGTCCCTACCGGCCTCGACAGTGTTATTAAAAGAAAAAAAGTGATGCGGCACCTCAACTTCCGTATACCATCGTCTTTTGGCAAAATGCTTCTCAAAATTTACCCTTCCTCGTTTTTATACGCTGGCACCTTCCCTTTATATAATGTACATTCCACTATCCGTCTTACTTAGTATTCCAACCAATGTAAATATCGACACGTAATAAATGACAATTCTGTTATGGTGTGATCAAATGACTTTTATTTGGATGGGGTAAACAGGGCCCAGGTACGATGACCATACGTTCGACAAGAAATATTATAGCAGGCATTAGATTAATAGCATTGAACTGAAATTTTGTTATATGACTAGATCACTGAGCAGTGCAGGCTGTGTGTCAAGTGCTGTAACCGGTAGAAAATCGATTGCGTAGGTCATAAAAGTGGCCAATCACACAGGCGGTAATTACCTACCTAAGGAAAATTTCGCTGTGAAAGGGAAGTGGTGACAAAGACATTGAGGCATATTGTCTTTAGCGGCAGCAGTATGAAATTGGTTGCTTCCTTTTGGAATATCAAAGCAAACATCTTACTCGCTAGCTGCCACCGACCTTTTGAGTGCCAGAGTGACTTTTCAGTTGGGAAATTGTGACTTGTTTTGTCAAAAACTCCTGCAAGCTCAAGCCGGCACCTCGATCTTTGGTTTCTTTCATTTTATTCTCGCCCGAACTTGATGTCTTGTAGCAACGAATCATGTCAACGGAACCGAGTGAGGAATCTCAATTACAAGAATCAGCGTCGTTAGATAGCTCAGTGGTTACACCAAATAACCCAGCTATTGAGCTCTCGCCTTCCGAGATAAATGGCGCCAATTGTTCGGACAAATATGATTTGATCAAGCAGAGCATCAATCAATCAATTCCCCCGGAGGAGCAGAGAATTTTAGACGAGAATGAAGAGTAGGGAACCGATTCGTTATATTTGTAGGTTGACTGTCCAATTCCCCTCAACTAACGACGTACTTGTTGATATTGGACTCCAGTTATCAAGCTATGTTAAAGGCGGTGAATGTTCTTCACTATCAATTGAAGCAAGCTAAAAAAGACGTGAAGGCATTAATAGAAATGAAAGAAAAGGCTATCTCAGAGCCATTTGAATTTGTAAATAAGTTGAAAAGAAAGGTATGTCAGGCAAGGAATTGAAACCGCGATGGAGGATTTTGATCTGACGAAGTCGGCTTACTTAGGTTAAACTGGATATACCTCCTCTACAAAAAGTGGTGTGCGTTCAAGAGGTGGATTGGAGTCGTTTCCAAGTTCCACCTGAAGGACGAGTTGCTCGTCAACTTGGTAATGCTCGTGATCATTTGTATAGCGCCGAATGTCAATCCAGCTACTAACAAAATTTAAGCAAATCTGGCTGGTTCATCAGCGCGTATATCGCCTCATGAAAGGAAGGCTCTATTTAAGGTATCTGTCACAATTGAATATTTATAATGAGATAGGTACTGATGACTACCCGCTGTGTTTTTTTTAGAACATTTTGGATATGCCTTCGCCAAATGTACGGAACTCACCTACCCCAAATTCGTCTCACCAAAAGATAACATTGGAAATAGAGAAGGCAGCTCGCGCGATGGGATCTGCTGGAACAACACAATCGCGAGCAACCTCGGTATCAGATTTATCTGACAAGGATTCGGATGATGAGCCTTTGCTCAAAGGTCACAAAGGGAAGGGTATAGGCAAGCGGCGGGCGTCAGCTGTAGGTTTGTCAATGCGCCATCTGCAAGATCCGCCATCACCAGCAGCATCCACAACGTCTAATCAGCTTAACGATGAGCTAACACCAAAATCACTATTGGCAAGAGCATCATGGCTTGCGGAGTCATCTCTCGACCATAGTAAACGAAGGACTGGGTCTCCGGAATCCAGCAGTCGGTAAGTGAACTGTGAGAACAAGGTTTAGATGTACTACCGGAAGGATAATCTGACGAGCATACTGTCGCGTTTTCTATAGAGCATCAACTACAGCAGGAGACAGTGGTGATGATGAATCGAAACATGTGACACATAATCTACCTTGGTCGGACGATGAACAGAAGCGCTTAGAGGAGTTGTTGCAAATATTTCCAGACGAACCTGTGCAGGCACAGCGATTCAACAAAATATCGGCAGCACTCGGGACAAGAACGCCACGTCAAGTAGCTAGTCGTGTACAAAAGTATTTTATAAAATTGGCCAAGAACGGCTTACCAGTTCCAGGGCGCATCACAATACCGGTAAGATTTAGTTTCCCTGAGTCAGCAGTATTAAAGTGTTGCTCATTAACCAACCATACATGTCTACAGCCTTCTAGTTTGCCTAAAACGCAAAGACCTAATATCAAGTCCAAGTCTGGATCCGATTTCAAAAAGCCTAGACCAAAGGTTAAGCTCGAGACAGATTCGCCGATCAGAACTTCAGGAACAAGCTATAATGTACACATTCCTGGTGAGGTCGGAAGTGTTAGGGTTTCTGGGGCTCGTTACATCACTGCGAATCCCACGCCGTCTGTTATGATGACCGATAATGATTTCGACGGTTCGTCTATGGTGGGATCTCTTGCATATTCAAACACTGCACAAGGTGGGTTCACGCAGCCCACCGTCAATGAAAAAGGTGAAGCCATTCATTATGGATACGCGGTAAGCCCAATGTTGTTATTGTAAATGAGTAGGTGTCAAAAACATACTCATGAAGCATATGGTTTCGCTTTTGTAGTGCGATTCATGCGGTGATGAACCGATAGTTGGGGTTCGATACAAGTGCATGGAATGCGATGTTAGCGAAGAAGTCGATTTGTGCGAGAAATGCCATAGTAACGGCACTTTTACAAACGGTAAGCCGGTCGTCGTCCCATCAGCTTGCGAGATGTCAGGCGCAACCTTTTCATTCTAACTCTCCTTTTCACGTGACCTACGGACCCCCTGATCGGTTTTCAGACCATCATCCAACCTCTCATCAATTTGAGGCAATCACAATCGCGGATCCACTTCCATACTACGCTGATGATGATTATGCTGGTGACAGTCAACTAGGAGAATTCGACTACCTTGGATAACAAATTACCCCTTGCCACAGGATAAACATCAAAACGCCACCATGTGTTGCCTGCATTTTTTTCTAACGTTGGCACATTCCTAAAAACGTGGAGGCACAGCATGCAGCTTATTGGCAACTTTCTTACATGTTTCAAAAGGGTTATTTTATACACAGGAGAAATTTTTGATAACGGGATAATGCAAAAAATTCTTATTATGAACCAGCATAGTGTAGGAAACGAAAATGTAAAAGCTAATTATGTACATAGAAAGAGAAGGAATGGAACAAAAAGCATAAAAGATCTTGGGTGATTAACAAAGGAGAGATTGATTGTCTCAGTTGAACTGGAGGGGTATAATGGAGGGGGATTATCTACTTTCTATGTGCAGTAGACGAAATGCAGGAGGGGCTGACATGGCGATGTTCCTGGTGCAAGTTGTCAAAGCCATTTCGGCATGTTTGGATTGATTTAAAATAAGGATCTTCCAGAATTTCTGCCATAGAGATACGGGTGCTAGGGTTGATGTCCAGCATACGGTACAGTAGGGACTTGCATTCTGGAGCCAATGTCTTGAATGTATCGTAGGATTGGTTTTCACGAGTTTTAAGGAATAAATGGTAGTTGGTCTCGTCTTTCTTGGCAATGCGCCAAGGAATACCGTCGAAAAGCATACAATGGAAGACAATAGCGCAGGACCAGACGTCCACTTTGGTGGCATCGTACTCTTTTTGAGCAAACACTTCGGGAGCAATGTAAGGCTCAGAGCCAGTAACGCCGGAAGAAAGATGAGGCTTGCGCTCCCAGCACATGCGGAAGACATCTGATACGCCAAAATCACAAATCTTGAGACAGCCAGTGGCATCCAGCAAGAGATTTTCAGGTTTTAAATCTCTGTGAGCGACACCCATGGAATGCAAGTAGGCAACGCCGTTGATCATTTGCTTGAAGCAGCATTCCTTGGTGGTAAGGTCCATGTTTTGCGCCTTGATAGCAGAATACAGGTCTCCACCAGGGCACTGAAAACAAATCGAAAAGGTCACGATTTGGACTCTAGAACATGGCGCGTTGTTCCAGACGGGACACTTACATATTCCATAACGGTACAATATCGCTGCTGGTCGTCCAAAACGAGATCAATGGTCTGGACGACATTGTGGTGTTGAAACGTGGAACTGATGCAAAACTCGCCGGTCAGTTTCTTCATGTATTCTTTTTCAGTTTCATTCTTTCTTCTTTTTCGGAATTCCTTAACAGCATAAAGCTTGTCGGAACTATCTTTGCGATCCATCTTGTGTACAAGTCGAACGACTGCAGTGGCTCCGCGACCGATGCAGGATCGTTTGTCACATGTTCCATATTTTTTGAGGAGGCTGGTGGTATTGGAACTTTTGACTGAGCTGGCGGGGCTTCTTGCTTTCACTTTCGGTAAGGAATATCCATTTGGAGACAAATCCGATGTAGGCTTGGCAGAGTGTTGAAACAATTTTTTGCCAACCATTCCAATGTTCAGCTTACTGGACTTGGCATCTTGTTTTGATCGATAGCTCTCGTTTCCACTGATGTATTCGGAAGATCGGGTACTTGAACGACTAGACATACTGGAGGCGGGAGTGGGCTGATTTGATTTAACGATGTCTTTGTCGACCGCTACATGGTGTCTGTCAGACGAACTCCATGTGGATGGAGGGGAATATGTTGCATGTGCAACAGCCATGTGTGCGAAGTATAGAAGAGGAGGAGGGTGGAAGGAAGAGAGAGAGAGAGAGGGGAGTAATTGAGAGACAAGGTAAAATGTAGGTTCCTCTTAAAAAAAATAATGTGGTTAATTTGGGGTGACGGGTCTTCCCTTAGAGATAAAAAAAATATTCACTCTAAGCTCACTCACCCTACGCAGCTGTCAGGCCACTAGCGAAATGACCGCAGGCATTCAACTTCCGACTGCCCAATAGCCAATTACGCTCACAAAATCTTTTTCAGCTCAAACCCTGCTCCCAAGCCAGCGCAGAAAATACATTGGCAGTCAGCCTTCCTGCCCTAGGCACTTTGATTTTTATTTAAATTGATACGATGCGATACGATGCGATCGTCTGGGATGTTGTTCTTGCACTTTTTAAGCCATGGGTCCACTTATCTAAATGATAATATAATTAAATTGTAATAGTCTATCCACATGCGTTGTTACCCTCGGGTGAGAAAATGGAAAAAATACCTCATGCCGGTCCTCACTAATAGAGCGCAATAAATTAAACATCCAAGATTATGTGGCACAATCCCTGAATTTTGGCTCAGCTTCAAATTGCAACCAAAGGAGTAACATCTCCTCTGCACCGTGTTTTGACCTTTTGGCACTGCTTATCTAAATATGCTCCTTGCAATTAATGGCTTGTAACAACGAAATTTACACACAATTGTAGATCAAGGTATCTCTGTTTGTGCATTTGATCGTTAGAAGCACGTTTTGAGGCGACTGACCTCTCCCATGAGAGCAATGATGTCAACCACCAATTTCTCTTATCCCAATTTGTGCTGGTCCTGTCAAAGTCACCTTCTCCTTTTTCTTCGCTTACCCCAGTTGAAATTAGGCTTTGGACGATAAGCTTATCTGTATAACCAGTTGGTCTGTACACATGTTGCAGCCAACGGCTCCATACAGAATAGCCTTGCTGATGTCATGAGGACTTTGGCTAAATCAAGCTCAGTTTATTATTTTACTTTTTTTGGAGTGAAAGAACGCAAGGGCGCAAACAGTCTACATGTTTAAGCAGTCTCGATGACATTGCGCTCAGAGACGTAGATACCGTCCAAGAACTGGTGGAAATTAGATTAAATATTAGTCACCTGACGAGTGCCACCTTCACAAACCCAAAAAAAAGGTGATGTCTTACCTTACGGATATCCTTGTTCTTAACAGCGGTAGCTTGTTGGATGCTGGCAGCTGGAAACAGAACGTAAGGTTTAGTAAAGAATTGCAACATACTGATCATGGTGATATCAAAATTTAACTTACCGGACTGGGAGACGGCATCGAGATCGTTACCAGTGATGATCAACTCATCCTTCTGGGCAGAGGAGCTCTCGACGGTGCAACCTTCCAACATCTTGACACGGAAAGTGACCTTTTGTCCCAAGAAGTTACGGATCTCAACTTCCTTACCGTTATCGTTGATAATAACGTTGATGGGAAAATGGGCATATACGTAACGCATCTTGTATTCGAAACCCTTGGTGACACCGGTGATCATGTTGTTGACAATGGATCGGACGGTACGGATGCAAGCAACGTGCTTGCGGTTACCGTGGTAGACAACGAACTTGAGCTTGTCCTCACCAACGGCCTTGATCTCCATGTTAAGATGACGCAAGTTCTTGGTGAGTTCACCGCGGGGTCCCTTGACGGTGACAATGCGAGACTTGATGGTGACTTCAACACCTTGGGGAATGATGAGCTCGTCGTCCTTGTAAATGTCCTAATGAAAGTGGAATGAGATAAAACATTAATGAGTACACGTTTTTGTTATGCTTGCATAAGGAAGCAGTGAGGAGAAAGCTCGATATGCCAGGCCATGCGCGTTCCGCCATTTCGATATTGATTCTGGTTGCAATGGTGCTTATTGTCGTGAGGTGTGACGTTAATGATCAATATAGACAACGCACAGTAAAAGAACGGAAACCGATCCTGCTAAATTTGCCAATGTGTCGAATTGAAGGTTGCCTTTTTTGAGCCGGTGTAGATCTCGCGAAACGCTAATGTTGTAACATTCCCTTCTCACTTCAGTCCATTGCTATGTATCTGAACGCATACAGTCTGGCAATTCTGCTATTATGAGAAAAACATTCTCAATTGACATTCTTGAAAATTACCTTCATTTCTGGAAGAAAGAAAATCAAAGCAAAGTTAACAATCCATCCTTCTTTCATTATATACATCCAGTCCCGAATAGATACATCTATCGGTTGTGGAATGTTATCTCATTGCTCTTATATGGATGCCTACCTTGGAGAGGGGTAAAAGGAAGTTCATCTGCTCACCCATAGTGAGCCCATATCAAGGCCGATGTCTGTCGGAGTTTCGTGAATTTTGGGCCACCGAGTCTGGCCAACCGAACGTAAAATGTGTCCAATTAAGAGCATAACTGCTCGTGTAGTCGACAGCTTGTCAATTGCCGTCATAGCCAATATAAAATCCTCACCTCTCAGATAAATAAGAATCACCATGACCTGATCATGCGAGAAACAGATGTCAGAAGCCTTTCCTACATGTGAAAATAGAAGGCATGGAATAATTGTTTAAGTTGGGCATTTTTTCAGCCGTCTTGTTTGAACCTGTGACATTGGCATTTCATCTCGCATATGTGATTGAAGTAATTGTTTTTAAGTGAAGTCATCCGACTTATTGTATAATACTATCGATATCAACAGGTTCAAGTTGTAGTTCGTATTCGACAAGACTTTTTTTTTTAAAGATGAAATAAAAAATAAAAATCAATTAAAAAAAAACTTTCTTTACAGAGATGCATCGCATCATACATTTCTACTGATTATCCAACCACTCTTTCAACATCACTGCATCAATAAAGATAGCATTCTTTGCTTCGATGTTCTTTCCAGTATCTATATGTAACAAACAGTCGGTGTAGTTTTCTAGCTATATTGAGATCTTCGCCGAGACATTCCTTTCCATTTTCAGCACCAAGTTGAAGTCTTTTGAGTTGATGAGCATGACGTAAGAATAGCTTAACCTTTTCCAACATGGGGCCTTCAGTGTCCTTCAAAACTAAAGATATGTATTCAACGTTAGGGAAGGCCATGGGAAAATAAAGTAGTTGGTCGATGGTAACTGCGGCGCGGATAATATGAATTGACTTGACAGATTTCCATGTTGTGGATAGAAGGCGTGGCCAAACACATTCCTCAGGCATGCCATTATCAGCAAGAGAATTTGTCAGTTGCGAAGTGTCTACTATATGCTCCAGTCCAGTTGAATAAAGTTGTGATATAGTATCTAAAAATTTGGTACTCTCCCTTAAGGATGTGTGAATATACTTGAGTCTAGAACAGTGTTGAAGTGTTTCCTTGTCTAGTGCCGATTGAGATGACTCATTATAATAAAGACTTTCCAGTCTCTCTCCACATGCTATCAAGACGCTTTGAACATTGTGGGCTGGAATCCCAGTGTAACTCAATGACAATCGCCGTAAATTCTTAACTTTGGAAAACGCGTTGATTGTGACGTCTGTACACCTTCCACGCAGCTCTAGTTCGGTAAGATGTGGCCCAAAATGTTCAACCACATGGCCACTACAGCCTATGAGAGTTAACTTCTTCAGATTGGATAAAGCTTGCAATGTGTTACTCATGAGAGTTAATTCTGCTCCTATGCTTGGCTGATAAAACCAATAGATTCCGACGCTTTCCAATGTTTCCTTGCACATAAGAAGTAGCTGTCGAGCATGCTGGAACTGATTTATATTGGTGACATGAGTCTTGATTTCGTTAAGGAAAGGAAAATGTATGCCTGGAGCAATACTAAGTGGCGGGGTGGACCAGAACTCGAAGCACAATCCAGTTGTTAAAGATTCCAAAGCAAGGCGCTGATCACAACATTGCTGATCTAGGAGACCTTTCCATGTCACCAATCCACAGCCTGAAGTATCCACCCTCCGTAGATTGGGGCATGTCTGTCGAATACAGGCAAGATGTTCATCAGTCAGACCATGGTTACCGATTTTTATATTTTGAACAAAGGGAAAATGCTTCAGTAAGTCCAGTAATATGTTGTAATCCACAATATCCATAGTCTGTGCCAAATGAATGCCTCGCACAAAGTGACCGTAATTGTTATAGGAATACTCGCTTTGTCGACTGGGATAATTCCTCTTCAGGGCAGTTTCGTTGAAGACAGTCAAGCACGCGTCCATATTGCGAGACGATGTGAAGTATAGATCTTTATACAAGTATTCTGCGCAAGCAAGTGAGTGCCACTGCTTATTGACATATGAGCAAGCAACAATGTCGAACCATGTTAGATGAGACAAGATGTGAATCAGAATCTCCGTAGGCTGTTCTGTCAAATTCATAACGAGATCACTAGAGATAAGGCATGAACAAAGGTCATCAGGAGAAACATAAAGAGGACCCCCTTGGGGAGAGTCATAGCCTGCTGCATAGTGCAACAATGAAGAGTCAGCAGGTTCCTAAATGCTGTGATTATGAGGCTGGTCATAATACCGTGATGTTTACTAGTCAGTCTTTGATGGTTTCTAATTATTATATATATTATGAGAGAAGGGACATGTAAAGCGATTGGTATGCTACTACTGTAGGTTGTGATAATCAAGTAGCCAGCATGTCGGATAACAAAAATGTGCATTGACGGTATTTGCAGCATTGTCGTGCCATTCAGTATATGCTCCTTTCAAACTTGTGTAGTATTGACTGTTGTAGAACGTACTTTCGTAATTCCCCTCCGCGTTTTGCAGATATATCCCTTTAAGTCCATGAAATTGAGAGAACGTGTGTCTCCACTCGTCAGCGGTAATGTTTCCTCTGTCATGATAATGTATTTCCATATATTCCACATTCGGAAAGGCGGTGGTTAATCTCTGAATACCAGCCTTAGTTGTAGTATGTCTTGGCTTCATGCTGACCTTTAGGTATTTGACGTTTGTCCATTGAGAATCCCAAAAGCAAGGCTCGTCATATGCGCCTACCAAGGTCTCCAGTTGGTCCCGAAATAGCTTATTTATTATTCTTCCTACCTTACCGCCGCCTTTCTCTCGATCGAAATGCTGGAGTTCTAAGCATTTGAGGTTCTTACAAACCTCGAGATTAGATTCGGTAAGGCTTAACTTCGAATTGTCGTGAAACGTGAGTGCCTCCAAGGTATGCCGATTCACACGCAATATAGACTCCAATTCCTCTATAGAGCATGGAAGTTTCGAGATTGACAACCGTTTGAGAGATGAAGTATGCTGTAAGGCGTCTATTATTTGTCTGCAGTCAGTGATTGCTCCCCCTAGGAGTTGGATATCGGTCACGCTGGAAGGAATACTGTTAATGTTCGGAGACGCTCCGAACCATTGCAAAGCGAGTCGTTCCAGGTTGGGGCAATTTAACAGCAACGGTGTAAGGTCCTCAGGGTATGGATCGGGCACATACCAGCGAATGGCCAAAGTTGTGAGTGTTATGGAAGATGTAGACAGTAAGTTACGTAGCGATAGAAGATCCTCGCCTGGGTATTCTATGCCTATGGTGAGTTCTCGCAACTTGGGAAACCGTAATAATGTTGAAAGATAGGGGGTTTTCATGTACCTCGCAGATAGCAAGTTAAGCGAGACAAGTTGTTCACATAATCCAAAGGTACGCTCAGTAAACAAGTTGAACGATAGCTTCCCCCCTTTCAGACTTAAATGCGTCAGATATGGGCAGCATTTGTATATTTTCGCCAACCAGTCAGAATCAATTTCATAATTGGGATTGAGCCCGTCAACCCCTGTCTTGAATGTAGTGAGATTAGGACATTGCTTGACCATTACCAGAACATCGACTGGCGAAATATAACCACTTGCATAAATGTTTTTGACATATATCCCATATGTTGTCTTATCATCATGATTCGACCGGCCAGGATCTATTATAGTTTCAGATAATCTGTTCAGCAGGCATGGCAGCTTGTTTAGGTTTGAGAATATGTTGATGTGCTCATATAATATAGGTATTGTGCGATAATATAGCTCACGGTTTACCAGTGAGACTTGGTATTTGTCAGTCCAGGACAAAAGTTTCAATATGTCTATGAGTAAATCTTGTGGCAGGGTATATAATTGCATTATGGCACCAAGGTCATTAATGCGAATGGAGGCAATTTTTGTCTTTTTTACTTGGCTGTGCCACCCAGAACTGTCTAATACCTTGGACCAAATTTTGCGACGATGAACGATAGACCTACAATAGGTACACCAAAACGTCTAGAAAATATTCCTCCCAGTTGAGGTGACTTTTAAATGTTCTGTGCTTGATAGAGTCATTTGCGGCCCTTTTCGCTTGCTTACTGAGAATTATTTGCAAATCGAAAACGCTTTGGTGTCAAGCTCTATATGTGAACCACTATACATTGTGCCAATAAATAGTCTCTCAAAGGAACTGTAAGAAAAAGCGAATAAGGCCAACCAGTTAGCTTTATTGTAGAAGGGCTGCCAATCGGAAAACCTAATAAAACGAGAATGTCTTTCGTTCAATTTTGCCGACAACGGATGCACCAGCAGAAAATCGAGAAAGGGTTAGGGTAAAACACATTTTAGAAATAAGTGAAACGGTCGAGTCGCATCTTCCTTCTTGCAATCTAACACAATTTCATAATGAGCCAACTCTCGAAATACATTTCAACCAAAATCTATCAATATGAGCTCCAGACAGCACTCTATATGCTTGAGCCATGGGAGAAGGCTTTGTTCAGTACGTCTTACATTGTCTGGGTTCATTTCACTGTGCAAAGGTTTATTAATGTTATTCATCTACTTTAACAGACAGCATTGTTCTCGTCATATTATCGCTCGCCATAATGACAGTTTACCAGTATACCCCATCTGTGCTCAGCAAGCTTTCTGACTTCACTATCCAATAATTACACTCACCTTTGAAAGCAATCATGTTTTTTGTACTTTCTTTTATATAATTGAATGAATAGCATTTCATGTGTTCATCTACTCAATACAAGCTAATAATTTTATGTTCAACGCATCATTGGTGCTATATGAGGGACTGTGGATGCTTGCTTGATTGTGTGTGCCTTTGTATAATACTGTCAATCATTTCTTCTGTCTGGGTCAAAAACTTTCAGACTGAGTGAAAATTTTTGCAATCGTTTCATTCCTGTCTTTCAGCATCTAAACTCTCGATTCAACATAATGAGTTGCCAAACATGTACTGGATGCTTTACTGGTGGTGGATGCTCGACCAAAAAGTCCAAGTCTAATCACAAGGATACTACGAAACTTGAATCAATACTTGTGAAGGCTGAAAGTGGAAATCCTCAACAAGGGGCCGACCATGATCACACAGTGACAGCTATCGCTGAGATAATGTCGAAAAACATATATTCTTCACAAATGGCATTATTCTCAATGTATGATAAGCTGCCATATGAAGATTTTTTAAAAATTGTGCGGAAATGCTACGAACATAATATCCAGGGCCCTTACATTGCATGGTTATGGGAATATACCAAGGGCGACGCCCAAGCTGCACTCAAACTGCTGGTAACAAGAACTGAACATGGTGAGCAAGATGATTTATGGAAACACCTTGAAGATCAAGCAGAACTTCATCAAGCATTTGGAGGAAGTGGAATTGATGGAAAGATTCGGCCGTCTCCAACAAATGTCAATTGAGTTTAAATCGTGTCATTGATTGGATACCCCCTTATAATGTATATCGTGTATATTTATTTTTAAATAATAAAAAGAGGTAATTCAGATATTTTCTGAAGGGAGTAAAAGAGTGAGTCAGGGTAAAAACGAATGATGATGATTAACCGCTAGATTTGCATGATTAGCGGAATAATTAGTAAGGAAAGGAATTGTGTGTAGCATGTTGGTGGGCTTGAAGATGGGAAAAAGACGTAGCAGAGTACAGTAATGAAGGTATTAAACAACAAAATCAAGAAATCACCTTATGCATGAGGTTGAAAGGTAACGGAGAACATATATGCTTATCGAATTTGGACATAGAAATATACAAGTCGCATTTTGTGCAAGCACAAAATGAAAGTACGACTGAAATGAAAGATAGTTTTGAAGTTTATCTGATCTGATGAACTCATTGGTATCCAGGCAGTTTTTTGCTTTTCCTTCTGAATACAGGGAAAGTAGCTGAGATAGATGAAAAGCGAATGTTGGAACTTGGTGGCGTTGAAGCAGGGGTATTATGAGGGTTGGATTTCGCATGTATATCGATGACTTTGTAGATTGGAAGTTCCAGATCTAGATTCTTTTCGCTGTCGAAGTCAGGTACAATGGCAGCCATTGTTTCTAAGTTGGAAGGCTCGCTTCTGGCACTCTGTGGTGAGTCCTCCATGCTTTCGTCGTCACTCGATTCAGCAATTGGCCCAGGGTATGTTGTCGTTGTGTCGACGTGGGGTGTCTGACGATCAATAGCGCAGCTGTGATTCTCAGTTTTGTCTATCTTGTGAACCGACGAGAACACACTCGTCCCTTGCGTACTGGCCAAAGTTGGAACTGAAAATCCTTGCGTCTCAACCGCTTCAGTTGGGGTGGGCTCTACGTCAACAGTATTGCGCCTCTTTGTAGAACGTTTTCGCTCCTGATCCGAATATCCACCAATACTGCTATTGCTGCCATCGTCTGGATAAACTCTTGTCTGCTGAGTGCCCATGGAACGCAATTCATTTGAAGATGATTCGTTTGCCCGCTTCTTTGCAGGTGCATGGGACTCCGAGTCATAGTGCTGCAGTTCGTCGTCACTGGAGTCTATGGTCGGCATTGTATGATCGGCCATTTCGTTGCTCCAGACACCATGCGAGGTATGCTTGCCAGAAATAGCACTATCGGTATCAACTGCATCGAATTGATAGTTGTCTGCAGGTTCCTCGATTGACCGTCGTTCGTATCTATTGTACTCTCCGCTGTTAAGCTCTTCACTATCGGAAGTGATGGTTAATCTATCAGACTCCAGAACTGATTCAGTATATGAGTATCCTTCGAATATATCTTGGATGTCAGATGTCAAGACGATCTTCCCAGGAGGGTTACTAATGCGGGGAACCATTTGTAAGAAAGTATCATCAAAGTTTGAAAAGTCCATATCCGACTTGAGATTAGGAATATATGGTGGTATAATGCGCTTATTGTACACATCATCCCAGTCAAGGTCATCAAAATAGGCATGAGAGCATATTTCCATTGGTCCGTTTGGTCCTGCTCCCAGTCGCAGAGCCGGGTCTCTTTGCAAAAGGCCATCAATGAAATCAGCGGTAACGGGGTCAAAGTCTTCGGGAAAAACGAGAGTATCTTCCAATACCCGGCGATACATTTCCGTATGGGTTTCTGCCCAAAACGGCGTAATGCCAGTTAAAAATTCATATAGTAGGGTTCCCATACTCCAAAAGTCAACTTCAAATGAATACGGTTCACCACGCAAGATCTCAGGAGCAAGGTATTCAGCTGTTCCACAAAAAGTATTGGTCCTTTGTTCATCGCCTAGGATAGATGTGGGAAATTGCTTCGATAGACCAAAATCTGTCAGAACGATGTGGCCATCCGCAGCAATGAGGATGTTCTCCGGTTTGAGATCTCTGTACAAAACGCCAAGTCGATGGAGTTCTTGGAGACCGAGTAAGATTTCAGCAATGTACAAACGACTTCGTTCAGCGTCAAAGTGGTAGTGCTTTGCTAATTGTGTCGCTATGTCGCCACCAACATAAAAGTCCAATACCAGGAAGAGTTGATCCACGTCTTGAAATGAATGATGTAACTTGATTAAAAACGGATGAGAGATTTCTGCAATAGTAGCCAGGATATCTCTTTCTGATTTTGTATGCTCAATTTCCCTCTGCATAACGGTCCATTCCTTGCTAATGGCTTTCAATGCAAGAAGCTTCCCGTTTCTTCTTTCTCGAACGAGAATCACCTATGGCAAAAACGGAAAAACGACTTAGGCATTGTTCGAGATATTTTTTCAATGACGAGCACTAGTTACATAACACCAAAAACTAACCTTGCCCATACAGCCTTTACCAAGCACCTTGATGAATTGGAAATCTTGTATAGATGTAGCTGTCTTTGTGTGAGCCTGGTTTTGCATTGGAATGCGCTGTTGCCGTCTAGCAAGTTCTCGCAAAGAGATGCCTGGGTTTTCGGAAAGAGTGCTCAAACTAGAAGCTGCCTTTCTAAAATTTTCATCAACTGGTGACTTGGAGTTATAGCTTGACCTGTTTGCATTGGATGTGGAAGCCTGCAAGTTTGTTTAAGGTGTGACTTTGACATTCATAACAAAAGCGGGCACCTGACTTAATTAAACTTACCACCGATCGTGCATCAGGCACCTGAGCATCTTCGGAAGAAACGCTATTGGCATGGCGTGTTTGCTGTTGTTGTTCATTTGAGATGGTAGCTTGCATATTCACAAATCGCTGAACAACCTCTTTTGCAGCAGCGGAGTCTTCTTCTCTTTGAACTGTAAGAAAGTCTCGGAACAGTGAAGATTTACTGATGGTGGGATCTAATACACAGCGTCGCATATAACTTTCGATTTTTTCGGAATTGCTTTTTTGGGATTTCAATTGTGCAAATAGATTGCGTATACTGAGTCTTGAAAACGACTTGAACGCTACTAATGGGTCGTTGAGTGAGGGTAAACGACATCGAGTTTTCCGGTAATGTTGGCGAACCTAAGGTCGTAACGCAAGCGGGAAGATGAGTCGCATGGATATCAGAGTATCTAGGTGATGTTTATTCTTACCCGTTGATCAAACTCATCGAAATCGTCAATGTAGCGAACCAAAGATCGGATTTGGTGGTTGTCTTCAATGATAATGTTGAAAACCTGACAATTTAAGTGGATGTGTTTCAGGGCAGATGCTCTCCGACAAAAGTTTCCCCTGAAATTACAGCTTGCGAACTTACCGATAATGCCTTCCTTACCAGGCGGCGTCTTTGTTGATCAATCTCCTCTACAATCAATGTCGATTCAATAACCGCAACGTCCAAATCCTCCTCGTTTTCCCAATTCAAAATGCCGCATTGAGTTGGCGTGCCTGCATCGTCATTTGACCCACTTCTCGGGGGATCGCACATGAAATTTCAAAGCTAGAAACCTTGGGAGACTTTCTGTGATAATAATTAATTCTTGTCCGTCTCCTTGTAAGTGAAAGAGGATATAAGTACTGAAATCAGTGTACAATGGTACAAGTAGGCACTTGAATCGCGGATAACTAACCAATGACGACAAAAAATTTTGGGTTCTTATTTGGTGGCACCAAGGCTTTCCCTCGATATGGTCCAGAGCAAAAAATTTTAAAAAAAAAAGCAAAAAGGTTACGTTATGGATGGAGTTTAGTCGACTACACCTATCTTTCCGAGAGAAAGAATGATGCGTTGGATAAGAACAAGAGAATAAAAGAATAAAGAATTGCTTGAAGCCAGCTGAATGTGGTGGGGAGACGAAAAAGTGTTAAAAGGAGGGGAGGTAAGCTGTAGTACTAGCTTTGCCCTTGATCACAGGAGGTTCGTGATCACGATACTGTCAAAAATAGCCTCTGCATACAGCAGATCAAGATTTTTATCAGATGAAAAGACATACTTTAGTATGAATGATTTTTTTTACAAGTTGTGTTTTTGGTGAGGACGGCCAAGCCTGGATTGCCTAAAATCCAAAGTGTCTTTTTTTTTTGGCCACACCGGATTGCCACTTGCCTCAGATGGTGATCATCGTATCGGGGTTTTAAAGTATATATAACTTTTTCAAATGGGCCAAAGTCCATCCGATTCCTTGCCTGAGGACATCTTCATACACTGACAAGCACCTCCTTTGAAATTGGGTGAAGTAGTAGTGTCATGCACATCATGCATTTTATGAAGCAGCAATACATGCTGCAATCGCGAAATCTACTACGATAGTAGCACAGCAGCAAAGCATACAAACAATGTTATTGCGCAATTCCGAATATCGAATAGAATGGGTGTGCGATTTGGTAGCATAAATGTTGATGCAAACAATTTTACAATGTAAAAAGGCCGAATCATTTCGGTATAGGAATTTCAGCCATATCTCATTCCGACATCCCCATTAACTGCCCTATCTGGAGCGGTGATCCATTAGAGATGCCCATCTGGATTAATTTATAAGTCTCGATCAAAGTTGATCATCTGGAAATAAGCTTCAAAGTGACTGAGAGTAGAAGAGAAAACATTTGAGCCTTCTATATTCTCCGTCTGTAAAGCGCATGACACTCTCTCGAACAAAGTGGTTCCTTAGCAAGTTATGATGAGGGAAGGGCTACCAAGGCGTTCTGACCGAATATAGAAATCAGGCGTGATTGGGCAAACCTGTAAACGTTGCCAACTTTTTTTTTACGTTTCCCGCTCGGACAGCTTCGCATCTTAACGATCAGTGCGTTATTCAAACATACTATGTGGGGCGCGCTATCGATCAAACTCGGTTTGATAGTATCTCTTGCATCTCTTTCTTTGACATGAATAAATAGTTCGGGATGAGAAGAAAAATCGCATTTTTCACCTTCTGCTTTCTTTGCTTACATTCGTTGTTTGGCGACTTATTTGGTTAATTTTGGTAAGTCTCTAGTGTGGGCATACGTGATGTTGAAGTAGGCGTCAACAGCAAATGATATTTTCCTCTGGGAGAAAAGTGTGACTGCCTTTATGGGGACGGAGACGCTAAACCAAAAACCCACGCCAGCTATCCACTTGTTTCTCCACGGCTTCTTTCTCGTTCAACTACTTCTTCTACAAAAGAGTCCTTCAAATACGTACACTTTAATATCAACATGACAAGTAGCTTACGTGACGTTTACAATCCGGTATGGATCCACGCTGTGGTCAAGTTTTATCTTTGTAACTCGTTTGACTGATCATACACTTCACTTCATGCAAACAGCTACTCTTTGAAATTGCCTGGGAGGTTGCCAACAAAGGTGAGATTCATTTTCTATTTAAGCTATAGTATACTTCTGGAGACAAACGGTCAGGACAGCGAGAAAAAACACGGCTCTCGTAATCAAGTGTCCGGTTAGTCCGCTACGTTCAGCTGTTGCTGGGAAACGGCGGTGGCAAGAGGAGTTTTAAGATGATCGAGACAAAGACCAATGACACTCGTTTTTGACCTCATCGAAGCTGCAAACCTCGAACTATTATTTCCCATTTGGTCCTCAACAACAAGATCAAAAACTAATGAAATCGCACGATAATTTGTACTGTTATGGCCGTTTCACTAATCTTAGCTCTTCCGTCTTGCAGTCGGTGGTATCTATACCGTCCTCAAAACCAAAGTTCCAGTCACCGTTCATGAATATGGCGACCGCTACTGTCTCATTGGCCCCCTTTCCTACAAGACGGCCCCCATGGAGGTTGAAAGTATGGAGCCCCCCAACAAGGAAATTCGCGAGACGCTTGAGACCATGTCCAAATATGGAGTCAAGTATTTGTTTGGTCGTTGGTTGATTGAAGGAGCTCCATATGTTTTACTCTTTGACACTGGAAGCGTAGCCAACAAGCTCGATGAATGGAAGGGTGATCTGTGGAATGTTGCAGGTATTCCCAGCCCTCCCAGTGACTCTGAAACAAACGAAGCTATCCTTTTTGGTTATCTTGTCGCTTGGTTTTTGGGTGATATAGCGGGAAAGGTAAGAAAATGCTCTCCGTCCCTTGTCTAACCCCAACCGGGGCTTCGTCACTAAATCCCGACCATCATTTTTTTCCTACTAGTTCAATGATCCCAGTCACGAAACTCGACCTGCCATCATTGCACACTTTCACGAGTGGTTAGCTGGTGTTGCCGTACCGCTTTGCAAGAAGCGTCGAATCGATGTCACTACTATCTTCACTACCCATGCCACTTTACTTGGCCGCTATCTTGCTGCAGGGTCAGTGGACTTATACAACTCACTGCGTCATTTTGACGTTGACCATGAAGCTGGAAAAAGAGGAATTTATCACCGCTACTGCATCGAAAGAGCTGCCGCTCACTGTTCCGATGTCTTCACCACTGTCAGTCATATCACAGCCTATGAAAGTGAGCACTTGCTCAAGCGCAAACCAGGTATGTACACCCCCTGTGTTGGTGCTTATCATGACAGCTGATTATTAACTGCACTCATCCCGACAGATGGCGTGTTACCAAATGGTTTGAATGTTGTCAAATTCTCCGCTATGCACGAATTCCAAAATCTGCACGCTCTTAGCAAAGAGAAGATCAATGATTTTGTTCGAGGTCACTTTTATGGTCACTATGATTGGGACTTGGAAGGCAACACCCTCTACTTCTTCATTGCTGGACGTTATGAATACCGTAATAAGGGTGTTGACATGTTTGTCGAAGCTCTTGGTCGTACGTATCGTCTTTTCGATAGCCTCACCAGAGACATGCATGAACTGATTTTTTCCACCTTTTGCAGGATTGAACCATCGACTTCAAGCCGCTGGCTCACCCATGACAGTCGTTGCATTTATCATTATGCCTGCTACCACACACTCTTTCACTGTAGAAGCTCTCAAGGGTCAAGCTGTCACCAAGCAGCTGAAGGAAACCGTCTCGGGTATCCAGGACCGTATAGGCAAGCGAATCTTTGAAAACGCTTTGAGGTAAGCTTGAAAATGATATGCATTAGGCACACGTAGCGTCCTTGTATTGTATACTGAACCATATTACGCAGGGGTCATGAAATAGATATCAACTCGTTGCTGTCCGATGAAGACAAGGTCCTTCTCAAGCGTCGTGTTTTCGCACTCAAGCGGTCTTCACTTCCGCCTATTGTTACACATAACATTGCCGGAGACTCCGAAGACCCCGTTTTGGGTCAACTCCGCAGACTCCAGCTCTTCAACAACGAGCATGATCGTGTCAAAGTTGTTTTCCATCCCGAGTTTTTGAACGCCAACAACCCTCTGCTCAGTTTGGACTATGAGGAATTTGTTCGTGGATGTCATTTGGGTGTTTTCCCGTCTTATTATGAGCCCTGGGGATGTAAGTAGGCGCATGTATACCATTGACGTAATCTGGTGCAAAATGGGCTAACGCTTCGTTTTCTTAGATACACCTGCTGAGTGCACGGTCATGGGAGTTCCCAGTATCACCACTAACTTGTCTGGCTTCGGATGCTTCATGGAGGAAAATATTGAAAACTCTGAAGATTACGGTATCTACATTGTTGACCGTCGTATGAAGTCCGTCGAAGAATCCATCCAACAACTCAGTGACCAAATGTTCCGATTCTGTCAAAAGTCTCGTCGCCAGCGTATCAATCAACGTAACCGTACTGAACGCTTGTCTGATCTTTTGGACTGGAAGAGAATGGGTTTGGAGTATATCAAGGCTCGACAATTGGCATTACGCCGCGCCTACCCTGACTCATTCGATGAAGATGATGAAGATCTAGGTACTGAGACTCAGCACGTCAAGATACCAAAGCCATTGTCGGCTCCCGGTAGCCCACGTTTCCGAGGAGCCAATGGACATCAGATGCCCCAAGACGAAGACGAAGAGGACGATGAATATCCTTTCCCAGTCATTGTCCGTCGCAAGAACTCAACGAGAGAAGAAGAGCTTTTGCAAGAAGGTGACATTGCCTCTCTTAATAAGCTGAATGAGCTTAGCTTACAAGAAAAGAAGCAACAGCACAAGGCTTAATGTACATGTTGAAAGAAAAACACATACTCCCAAAAAAATTTTCTCCCCTTTTATTTCAGCTTTAAATTGATAGCAAGCAGCGCTGACCTTCTTTCGTTTGCCTCAACATTTCCAGTTGTTACATTAAAGTTTCTCCACACCATACCAAAACTGAATCAATCCAACGTTTTTGCAAGTAACTACTGCGCAGTGTCGGTATGATAGTCGTTGTAGTCGTTGTATTTTCGGAGTTATAGCCGGCTTGTTACAGCATACTATGCGCTATAGAATGAGTTATTTGCAGGAAGGCTTGAGACTGTTTAGCAAATGTTTCTTCGGTAATTGTCGTCATCCAAAATCTCATACTCTGGCGAAAGTCAGTGAGAGGCGCCAAAATCTACTTGAACAGCAACGATTCCATCATCTCAACCTTGATTGATAATAATTACATTGTCAAGTAGTGCAAAGCGTCATTTGCCAATGGAAGTCGTCGATAGATTCTATTTCTGTAATGTGGGGGTTACTTTCAGTGAGATGATGAAGTTCAACCAGTGGACAATAACCGCACCTTAAAAGGTAATAAGGAGAGAGAGAGAGAAGCAGCTGTCAGCAAGGCTTTACAACAACCAGGAATTTGCTTTATTCAGTAGTGTAGCCTGAGTTCTCTTTTAAGTCTGAATTGGTAAAATGATGAACGTATCCACTCCGCGCAATGTTCATACTAAAGCTAGCGCAATAGGTGCTTGTTGTCTTACTCGCTATGTTGACACGAATGGACAAATCTCTTCTCTAATGTACATTGTTCTAGAACATATTATCAATTTAGCTTCACACTAGCCATTGAAAATATCAATGGCCAATATGTTTACGCCAAGAACTTAGTAAGGAGTGACAAAGCACCCAGGGATCGGCACGCGATTCCACTTCTGAATATGGTAAAATACTAATGTATTTCTTCTCCATTCCCGAGGAATCCAGAGAAAGGAGCATACCTTCTAATGGTCTCTTTTGGGTCGTTGGACATATCCTGTCGGATCTCAATTTTTGCTTCACTATAGTCATTACCTTTTTTTTTTTTTTTTTGAATCGATAGCAAAATAAGGAGACTCTGGGATCACAATGGCTTTCGATGGAATTTCACATTAACCGATCACTTCTTTCAAAAATTTAATTGCAGATCCAGCTGACAAATGGCTAAATAAAACGCCAGGTTCCTAAGCCCTGCTGCAGCTGACATATTGGAGCATTGGATGTCCGAAGAGTGAGCTCACTAATTTACTATAGCCAATTGAGGAAGATCTATAGGCTCATTGAAGAGCTCACGTCGCAAAATGAAAGACTTTGCAGTAAAATGATCAAGCAATAGCAAGGCTTTTTCATGTGGCATTCCGATGAGAGGCGTTGTTTGAAACGCCAAAATATGATCGAGCCGATGAGTTCCTGTAATCTGATGCAGTTCTATGTTTCCATCACACTACACTTCTTATAAGATGGTGTAACAATCAAAATATAATTACTCTTAGTCAGGGCCTTCACATATCAAATCATGGCCACATCTTCTAAGAAATTACTAAGGATTTACAGCTGTAGGTATTTGGAAGTTTCCATTAGAGGGAGGGGTTCCCAAATCGGATTCAGAAGCCAAAAAGGGGAAATGCTGACGACAGCCTCAAGTCAAATTTATAGTCCGCGCAAGCAATTGTGAGCATGGACCCAATTATGCTATAGCGATTTCTAACTCAAAATTCTGCTTTAAAAAGCGAGACCACAACCCATCGATTTTATTTATCATAACTTTCTGTGTTATTTTACAAATCAAACATGCCTCACAACCTATTGAACAAGCTTGCACCCAAGAACTTCATTTTGAGTGAGTATACACCGAACCTAATTCATACTACCTGTCAGCCGGCTAGTCGACTAACACGAATGGCACGAATCTAGAAAACCAAAAGGCAGAAAACGTGAATTTGGCCGAAATCATTGGAGTCAAACCCACTGTTCTCTTCTTTTATCCCAAAGATAACACTGCTGGATGTACCAAAGAGGTAAATATGATAAAATCCCTTGATACATTGGAAGGCAAGACACTGAACACAATCACATATGTAGGTTTGCCAATTTCGTGATCAGTTTGACGTGTTGACCAAGCACGGCGCTAGTAAGTAGAATGTTAAAGATTGAAAGAACGAAGTGCATAGTGACTTACGAAGAAAAATCATTGTAGCGGTTCTCGGCGTAAGCAGCGATTCCGTGGAGAGCCATCAAGAATTCGCATCAAAGCAGAAATTGCAGTTCGACATCTTGTCCGATGAGAAGCAGGATCTACGCACTGCATACGAAGTCCCCAAGTCGATGCTTGGATTATTACCTGGTCGCGTTACCTTTATCATCGGAAAGGATGGTCTCATCAAGGAAGTATTCAACTCTCAATTGGATACCAATGGTCATGTTAAGGCATCCATTAAGGCTCTTGAGGCAGAAAACAAGGAATAGTTTAAGAAACCTTTGTTTTATTTTTTAATTTTTTTTATACACACATTATGTCCCAAGTACGATGATAAACACTGCATTATTATAATAAATGAAATCAAAAGATATGGAAAAAGAAACAGGCCCATTAACGGTAACAGCATTTGCATTAAGCAGAAGAACAAAAAAAAAAATAATTGGTCGGGGGATAATATTTCGGTGTGTCTGTTGATTTTAGAATTCTATCACTTTCTGAGAGAGGCCAGGCAATAATACACATGAAAAGTATTCACTTGCTTCCGACACTCCAATGTTCTCGACCATAAGGTCCCATTTGTCCTTGAGAAAGTCGATGGCACTTTGACAGAGCATGTAAACAGCCCAGTGGTTTCGGATAGGTAATTGAGAAAATATCTTGACAGCTCGAATGATTTGTCTAAAAGCGACAGCCATAGCTTGTCGATCATCAGTGTGATTGATTAGGTCCTGAAAAGTGAGCAATGCCACAGCATAAGGATGTGTTTTGAAAAAACACCAGTGTCGCTTGAACCTTGATATGACATCCAAACACTCTATGCACGCCTGCGCCGATTGCAAACAAATTTGCATGGCGACTTTTGTGATATTGCATATCGGCATGAACCGGTTGGGAAGAAAAGATCTGTACAGTTGGAGAAGAAGTGAATGGTATTCCAATTCCAACATGAATGGAACCAGTTCCGACCATTTAGTGGACCCGCTGAGGGATGCTCGTGCAGTTTGTGAGGAAGGGACTCGTAGATGACTTGGGATGCCTTCGTACCATTTGTTTATTCGATTTTCAATGTCTCGGATTTCCGGTAACTGAACGCTTTTGTTTCCTGAACTTAGCGTGAAGACCATATCTCGATATATGAACATGTCGCGAAGTCTCCACTTCAAATAAATCACTTTCGCTTGATTGTTTTCGTCTTCGTACTCTAGCGGTGAGACTTCTGGAACACGCGCAAACGTGTCTTGAGCCGTGCTCATAATCCGTCGGCTCGAGAAGGTTGCTAGAGAAAGCTCGACATAGATGCTCAACCAGAATACACGACAGTGAAGCTCTCGTGTGAGAAAATCCATCTGTGGTAGTTTGTCGACCAAATCTAAGTCTGACATCATAGTGGCGGCCATCATCAAATACATATAACTCGAGCTGTTTGATTTTTGTTCAAAGCTACTGCCAGCTTGGTAGACGCTCATGATAACCAATGCGAGTGCAACTTCGAGACTGCTCTTTTCGTCAGTCTCTTGTAGCAATGCGCGTGCTTTCTGGAAGAAAGGCTCTCCTACTTGGTTTGGCGGACCTTGTAACAATTTGTGATGGAATACTGCATCATGCCTTGCTCCCCATGCCAGCATAGCATTCAGTAAGATGGGATCAATGGTGTTGTTTCTATATTTGTTCAAAAAATAGTTTGGATCCGGTGGTTGGAATGTAAAGGAAATGGAACAATTGAGAAGCGTTTGAACAAGAGCTTCACACGTTGCCGCCGAAATGACTTCGTTCGCGATTCGCCAATCAGCCGTATTAATGCCAGTCCAGACGTCAAATATTTGATAGTTGCTACTTTCAGGTGCCCAAAATGGTTTCGTTTTCAAAATGGCTATAGAGCTGGCGGTATTAGCCGCTTCTTGGTCCACTGACCGGGTACTTGAGGCAGTACTACTGTTGTTATTGAGATTGAACGCTTCCTTATTTTCGTTTTCCTCCAGCATTAGAATGGTACTGACTCGCGTAGGTTGATTTGACACTTGTAAAACGATCGTTTCAGAAATGATCATCTCATACAAGGAACAAAAGGTCAACGTCTTGAGGTCAAATGAAGTGTTGTTATCTACTAGGGCCAACTCGTAAGATGTTTGTGGGTTTCGAAAGTCCATGACATAGTCAATAATTGTGTGTAAGCTGGGTTGTAGCGGTATGAATGGGCTATCGGCAAACGGTGCTATGTCGTCGTCGTTGAAGAAATTGACGTCCGGTGCTACTGGGAGAACCTTGCTGTCTGATAAGCTACCTATATCGGATATCTTTCTTTCGATATTCTGCATAAGTCGAGGGTTGGAGATTGCAAATTGAGTTGTTGGAAGCTGAGGATCAATTGTATTCGAACCTGGAGTTGACGGTGACCGTCTTTTCACCTCGTCAACGAGTTTCTGTATTTCTAATCGTAAAGAGGCTATCAGCTGTGTGTTCGCCATTGTAACTTGGACATCCTGCTCAATTTTCGACAAGCGGTCCTCAAAGGTGCGTTTTAAGGCGTGAAACTCGGTGGTTCGGACAAGCGAAGGCGCTCCTCCATAGGAGCATTCAGCGTTTGCATCTAGATGACACCCCCCAAAAAAGAAATTAAACCTACAATTCGTACTAATATTGGCCACTAATTGATTCTCTTCCTTCTCCTTCTCCTTACCTATACATCGACCACAAGCCGGGCGCATAAAGTCGCATTTCACTAACGGTAAAAAGGCTTAGATGTTGTTTCTTCTATGTCGGGTATGAGTGGTGCATGCATCACTAGTATTGAATGTTACCTTTCTTATTTCTGTTTGGGTTGTAACCCCGGTTGAAAACAAGAAAATGGAGTAAGTACGAAAAGGATCAAAGGTAATCAAGTATAAAGGATAGATGAATCACCTGCAGCGTTCGCATGCAGTCGTAAGTCGCATGCGCTTATTACTTTGCTCATTTGATTTTGGTGATTCAGCATCCATGAAAAATGAATAGCAATAGAGAAAATCCCGCTCAGTCTCAAGCTCTAAATCAAAGCTGCAGCAGTTCGGCTCACGCTTCTGAATTTCAATTTGTTCAAGATTTTCACAAACAAACAAGTAATCATCTCCATGTCACATCCCCTTTTATTCCGTGATAAAGTTGGACATCACCTCTTCCCTCGTCTAACCACATTTTTGCTGGATAGATATACAATATGATATCATAATCATTATTTTCCATGAACTCTGTTGTTATTAGTAAAGATAGCCGGTTCAAAAATCGTAGCCACAAAAGGAAGGTCTCTTGCAGATCGTTACTGTGAATTCAAATGTACGACTCACAGCTTTAGCCCTTGTTCCTCTCTTTTCCTTGTTTCCGTATAATGAGCGCCCATCCACTTATTAATCAAGAGGCACCCAGTGCAATTACACTCAAAAATCAAAGAGGCGAGGATATGGACCTGGAGTGCATCATTGGACAAGGCAATCCCATTGTATTATTTTTTTACGCAAGGTATATTAAATCAACGAACTGTAATCCATGCATTGTGTGATTGACTAACGCAATTTGGTTCAATTCAGACATGAGGGGTCGATATGCACAAAAGAGGTATCTGCCATAGCATTGTCATGTCATTTAAATGCAATGCTGTCTTTCTGACAAAAGAGTGAAATACCTCGTTCAATTGATAGGTGTGTGCATTCCGTGATAATTATTCTGTAAGTTTCAGAGTGACACTGGCAGGAGCAAACAAGTCCTTGCGTTTCGGAGTTCCATATTACCGAGATTTGGGATTGATCAACTGAGTTGCCCCTCCCCATCCATCCCATTTCATCGGGTTGTTCATTTAGGTTTTTTCAAAGTATGGCGCCATTGTTATTGGTGTTAGCGGAAACCAGGTAGAATCCCATTCATCTTTTTTGAAGAGGCATAGGATTCAGTTTGATATTCTGGCTGACACGGACGGTCGATTGCGACGAATGTATCAGGTACCTAGAACTAGGTTAGGCTTCGTCCCAGGTATACCCTCTTTTCTGCGGAGTTTAGCCCTTTGACAGCCCCTATTTAACTGACGAAACTCTTAGGCAGAGCTACCTTCGTTATCGACAGTCGCGGCCATATCAGAGATTATTTCAGCTCGCTGATGAATTATAGAGGCCACGTAGAGAATGCTATTCAGATTCTAGATGATTTATATGATGAGGGATATCTAAAATAAAAAATAGTGCTCATGTTTACGCATCTCCTCCAGGTTTCGGTTCTCCTCATTATCCACATTATCCATGTGTATTTTACTTTTTGAATTTGTATGGTACATTAATAAGCATCGTAAAAGATATGACTGCTGATGTTTAAGTTACAAAACTGTCTCTTAAGACTGTTGCTGTAGTTGTAACATTTTGATGGAAGACTGCTGTATGCGATGCACCAGTTCACCCATGCGGTGAGCCCGTACAAAATCTAAATTGATACCGAGTTCATCACTGGCGACCATGTCGCTAATTCCAAGACTTTTTTCCAAGTTCCTAGAATAAATATCAAATAAGTGAAGGTTTCAAATGAAGGACAGGAAGAGTGATAGCTAGATAATCACTTACCCTGGCAGCAATTCTTGCGTCTCAAATAGAACTTGGTGCAGGTTCAATACTAATTCAGGTATGTACATCTGCCGCAATACTGCATTTGGTATCATTTGACCAGGGTTATCTAGATATGGGGAGAGTAAGAGAGACGGTTAGGCGCAGGGCATGCATAGGAACTCAGCGCATGTACACGTACCATTAAGGCACCAGCGTGATCGAAGTAAGTGCTGTAGCTTACTGATGAGAGTGAAACTCAGTTGCTATAGAAGGTAAACCGGTGAGTGCTGACAGTCATGATTAGGACGTTAGCTATGAAGGGTGTATTACCTCGAATTGTGAAGCCCATTCTTGATATGCACGCAGGCCTTCCAGCGAATCGCTGTTTCGAGAATTTTAGTCAATCAACCGGTATCTCCTTTAAGTTAATGTCATCATCGAAATACTTACGTCTCCGTTGGTCGTTTAGTATGAAGGTTGCTCCACAAACTGAACAACCCGCATGTTTCAATTAGCACGTCATCCAGCTTCATTTCAGCCACGATATGATTCAAGTCTCGTTTATCGTCTGTCTGCTCGTTTAAGATTGAACTTATGATTGAGCTTGGTAAGTAGGCAAAAACAGTCTGTGCTGCACTAATGTTGCCATCGGCTGTAATGCAATACCAATCAGTAAACAAATATGACATATCGAATTTAACTCATGGCGTGATATACATACCTAAGAAACATCTGATCATTGCATTGCTCTGAATTATAGCCTCTGGATGAAGCCGTTCATCGAATGTGAGCCACTCAATACTTCGAATTTGTCGTACAACGGAAGGGTCTACTGGTTCGCTCTTTATGTGCCTTGTGGTGGTGCTTGGGGAATACTTTAGAAAAAATGAACATTGATTAAAAAAAAGTTTGCGGTATCATCCATTATTTAAGTTGAGAAACCGCACCTGCTTCAATTTTGTTGGAGCTTCCTTTTGGTATAAGTTCCACAATATTCGATGCACATCAAGTTGGTGATGTTGGCCAACTTCAATTAGCAGCTCGCGTTCACCTCGATCACCATCAAAATCTAAATCGCTATGATCAGCCAAAGTGCTTATAATGTGACACATCATGTGTATACTTACGTTGCAAATACGTAGAGTACGTATGTGCTTGTTTTTCTGCACTTGAGAGCTTTGAGCAATACAGTGCAACAATCTGTGCCTAAAGCATGATCGTTTAATTTCAAAATGTTGCGAGTCTTTCCATCACATATTCAGCATTATACCTTTAAACCGTTGTCGGATTGAGAATGACATTTTATGTATTCGCATATAATAGCGTCGCTTTCGGCAGTCGGTGTATATGCTGATATTGAGCTCAAATACAATATTAACAGAGTGACAAATCGAAGCAAGTGATGGCGGAGGTTGTTATCCGTACTGAAGATGAGCAAGAGTAAGCGGACGACCGTTTCCAGAAGAGTGACTATCGAGCATTAACTTACATTATTAACAATTCATTAGCAGTTTTTTTTAACACCAAAGCATTGTGTAATGCGTCTACCAGCTCATCTAAGCGATTCGTGATGATCATGGCTTGACAATAATGGAAACACCGAGTTGGGCGATCTGCGTTGTTGTCCTTTCTCTGTGCGCTACTGAATATGATCTCTTCAGGCGGAATATCGTTTGTTGAGCCACTTCCTGAGACCATAATATCGTGTAGTAAGTTCTCCACAAGTGCATTGTAATATGCCCACACGGTATCCTCCCAGGTAGAACAAGCAGGCAGGGTCTGCGTATATATTACAAAGAATGAGACCATATGCCATCATTGTATGGAATAAAAGTATGATACTCACATTTTCGACATCACCACATAATGCGGCATAGGTTGCCCGTTCATACAAATCTGCATTGCTCTAACATGCAACTTCAATCAGCAAGACAAAAGCGAGCCATAGAGGAAGGGAATCAATACGTACATCCTTTGCTATCTGGCTGCAAGACGTCCTCCAAAGGTTTCGGGCAGTCGCTTCTAACGATGATAAACTCTTGACGCGTAATACGCCATCTCCATCTTTGATAAAATGATAAATTCAATACAATGTATCCCTTCTATCAAAGTTAGAAAAAAAAATCTTACCTGTCATTCCTTGGTTGTGCTCCAGGTATCCATATAACCCGGCTGATTGCCATGGTTCATCGCAGAGCTCACACATTTTTATGGCCTCTTTAATTTGTCCTCTTCGCACGAAGTTAAACAGTGATTTGGTTATTTGGCGGTTAGAGTCTGAACCTTGTGGTTGCAGCCGTCGCTTTTGCCTTTGCGGGCCATCGTCGTCAATTTCCATCATTGTTTGTGTTTTCATACTGGCATTGATCTTTCTTGATCGCTGCTCAAAGGAGCTCACTCCAGAACGTTTCCATTCTTTTTTATCATATGTTGTAGGTTGTAGTTTTGGCGCTGTATCCTGCAGCCATCTGAGTACACGCTATAGTCAATGTTTAGTAAACGGATAGCTGACACCAAACGAAAACGAAAATGAATATCAATACACTAACCAAGTGTTCTTGAAGAGCGACATTATCATCATTATCAGTTTGCCTACTACAAATAAAACATCAGTGAACAAAACTTTGGATAGATTATGCCAAGCAGCGCTACATACTTAAAGAGAGAAGATATAAGATCCCATGTTTTGGATTCATTCCGCAGGAAGCTGGCTGTTTCGATTGATTGTGAAGGGATTGACTCTGATAATTGGCTGGCTCTAGAAAGGAGATAAATCAATATAAAGTGGATCAACTGTCAGGCAGGAATATCGAACACAAAGATTTATATACCTTTCTTGCGAAAGATCCCCAAACTTTCGGCATAGCGTTTTTTTATCTTCTAAGATGCGATCTGCACTATCCAAAATCTCGGCAAATTCGCTGTCGATATCTTCAAGACTCTCTGATTCTTGGACATTCTGCAACATAGAATGTTATTCACAGCGCAGCATGAGTGAGCCATTAACATTGTATTATTCTTACCATGGTATTCGCTAGTTGAGCGTAAAGGTGAATACGGTGGTTAATAAAGGACCTATTTAGAATGCTTCAGTGACAAAGCTAATTACCAAGTTCACCTGGCTTAGAATATATTCCACTGTTTAAAGTAGGCTTAATTTAGTGACTTTCGCAAGACATCAACTCAGATATACTATTTTGGTTTTCATAATACCTTTGGGATGCTGCATCGTCACTAAACATTGCCGAGAGCTGTTTAGTTGTGAGCAAAAACAAAAATGTCAACGCGTTCCTTGATGCATTTCACAGTCTCGTTGAGTTTGGTCGCCGAAATTTTTATGGCAAAAGTAAGGTGTATATTGTGAGTTTGACTTGTTGTATCTCCACAGAGAGACAAACAGACGAAAGGAATAGAAAGGATTTACGTGGCGAAAATATTTAGTTTCCTGGCCTTCACTTTATAATATATGGCCAGAAAATAAAATCCCTAATCATCACGATGCGAAGAATAAAGTGTTTTGGTTCATAAGAAAGTGCAGATGCCATTGTCTTTGTTTTTGCCTCGTAGCACACCATAAAAGCGAAGCACGTAGAATCCGTCGCTATTCAAGTTACCAATAGATATATATTTGATTAACGGAATGCCCAAGAAGGTATACACCTTTCGACCCAAAAAGAGGCAATGATCATCCGGTATCATCGCAAAGTTGATGAGCCTTGCTTGACTGAACTGGTAGCTGTGAACACTACTGAGTAGGCATGTGGAGTTAGAAAAGCACCCACGAAAGTGGGGCCTTGGCTTGGGCATGCGTTATGTATCTCACCACGCTGATAACAGTGTGGGCATTATGTAGCGCCGGCAACATGGCTCGGCAACCCTGACGATAGAATTCGGAAGCGGCCAATTAAACGGATTTGAAGGAATAGCGAATTTTCGTTTCCAAAAAGATGATGCGGTTACAATGTTTTTGTTGTTATTCGAAAATTGCAGGTGGAAATCAGCTGAGGCAAAAGGTTCAAGCTTGGTTGTTTATTTTCGTAGCATCCACTTACGATACCAAGATGTGCACGCAGCCGTACGACGCGATGGATGTTTTGAATTATAGACAACAACCAAAAACGTATGTTGCTTACGTTTTGGCTGTGCAGCATTTGGCCACGAAAGATATTTCTGCTTGCATCTTTTGTCTGGGTACCAATTTGGTGTTGTTAGGCCAGGCATTTCCTTTTGGGGCTGTGTTCGACCGGAAGAAGGTCATGACCAAAGATGTTTGGCGAATTTTATACAAGAAATTTGAACTTAGCGATAGTTGCCTCTCTACAAAGTCCTAGGAGATAGTTTGAATAACGTAGTACGGGGAACTGTAAAATCAGACAAAATTGTGAGGAAAGCGCCATTCTGGTCGATGCTTTCCTTTGCGATACAATAACAATAACAACAACAACTATAAAGATCACATCCTCTTTCACAATATTGGATCTCAGACATTTCTCCTCTCCTTTGTGCCTCTTCACTTTTATTCTACCTCAATTTAGACCTCTGTAACAATTTTGTGCGGGTCAATTTCGTGCTTCATCTTCGAACTTACAGTCAGATTCACAGTGCACAACATGTCTTCTTTATATGATTCCGAGAACAGTTCTATTTCCTCCTCCCCTCCTCCTCCAATGCAATCTCTGGATGTTGAAATGGAGGACGTCCAACCTACCTCTGCAACTTTTCCTTCGTCAAGCGCTGGCCGTGTAAGTGGACATGGTGGTATATCCGGCAGCTACAGCGTCGGGGTCCGACCCTCGTCCAAGAAGTTCAAAAATAGACACACCACTGGTTCTTTGAACCGCTTGCAGCAGCAAACCAATGGTCTTCGCATAGATGATGGCCTCTTCCAGCGTCTCAAACCAAAATCACTGGTAGTTGGAAAACGATATGGTAAAATTTCTACACTCACAACTTTGTAGGTTGGCAGCGCAAATAAGAGTTTCTTACCCGATATCTATTCAATGACTTTTCAGATATACTGGGCAACCTTCCTTATGAACTTGCAACCCTGATCTGCTCTTATGTAGAACCATTGTGGCTCTTGCGAATGAGCCTAGTCAGCAAAACGTGGCTGATTGCTTCCCGTGATAACGAACTTTGGAAACGCAAATTTGCAGCGAATCCGTCATGGAAAGTCAATATCCCTTATCAACACCTCGATGAAATGGATTGGCGACATCTCTACAGTCAGCGATATTTGCTGGAACAGAGATGGAGTACGGGGAAAGTCACCACACATTACCTCACAGGACATGCTGATAACGTGTATTGCCTACAATTTGATGACGAAAAAATCATCACTGGTAGTCGCGATCGAACAATCAAGATCTGGAATATGAAAACTCGAGAATGCATGCATACACTCACTGGACACGAGCAAAGCGTTCTCTGCTTACGATATGATGAAGAAATTTTAGTGTCTGGCTCTTCAGATCAGTCAGTCATCGTTTGGGATTTGCAAACCTTGCAAATGAAATACAGAATAATGGTATGCAACGAGACCATTTTGTGTTTTCTACCCAACATTTTATTCTATCCTTTCTCACAGCATCAATATTCACATATTTAGGGACATACGGAAGGAGTCTTAGATGTCGTTTTCGACAAAAAATACATCGTCACATGTTCAAAAGATAGTACGATTCGGATATGGGATCGCGCTACTGGAAACGCTATAAGGGTGATATCGGCGCATCGTGGCCCTGTCAATGCCATACAACTTAAGGACAATATTATAGTATCGGCATCTGGAGATACCTTTATCAAAATGTGGGACATCGAAACCGGAGAATGCTTACGAGAATTCGAAGGCCACACCCGAGGGTTGGCCTGTGTACAGTACGATGGCAAACGAATTGTCAGCGGATCGAATGATAAGAGGATAAAGGTTTGGGATGTAAAGACTGGCCAATGTATTATGACCTGCGAAGGTGCGTAAAAATATTTTTATTTTTTTCCTCAAAACGTTTCTCAATGGTCCTTTTCTTAATCATCCTTTTACTCCAGGTCACACCGGCCTTGTTCGAACGCTGAAGTTTGACGATGAAAAGCTAATCAGCGCCAGCTATGACCAAAGTATACGAGTATGGGATATTCGGTGAGTGGTATAAAGACTTTGTAGCAAGCACATTTTTTAGCTTTGCTAATCTCTTACAAAATGTACAGATCAGGGACACCCCTTCTAAACTTCCAGAGTGGCCATTTAAGCTGGGTATTTGACGTCCATTTTAATCGAACGAAAATAGTCAGGTAAGTCAACTCATCTGTAACTTGCTATGGCAAGATGGGCTTTCCATAATCTAAACTTTTTTTTCTGTCTAGTTGCTGCCAAGGCCACGATCAGCAGATTTTAATAATGGATTTCGGCCAAGGACTGGACACTACCTACTTTATATGACCTGTATTATGCAACACCTTCGATACCTATACCTACCAATCTTGCCTTCTTGTACATCCTTTTTTGTTGTTGTTGTCTTTCTACGCAATATTTTGTTTTGTTTGTTTCGCTTTTGTTTTTTTTTTTTCTTACCTTTGCTATATGCTCATTGCATGGAGATTTATAGCTTCTAAGGAAACGATGTGTCTCCGAGCCTATTTATTGCCAAATGCATTGTCCCAACTGCTCTCCTTTCAAATGCATTTTCCTTCTATTTTCTTTTACTTGTTGAACAAAAGATCAGATTACTCAGCTGATCTTGTTACTACTTTTATTCCTTCCAAGAAGCATTTCAAAGGAAAAATAATGTTATTAAAATAATGATAATGATAACAGGTAACACCTCAAAAGAGTAGAAAGATATTTGCGGTGCTTAATTCTCCATGTCTTGCCACTTGTCATTTGAGGTTTATCTCTTGGATTTCAGCACGTCACCTGCTTGAAAAAATCTGCTTTGATGATGTGTGAAACATTAGACTTGACGACATCTGTAGGCACGATAACCTTCTAATGTAAGTCAGCGTCGGTTTGATATACATGCTAGCCTTGCACATTGCCTATTTCAACATCGAAGCTATCCTCTATCATCTAATGTAGTTGATAACCTACAATTTATCAATTAAATATCTGGTTTGAGACAATTTTGATATATGAAGCAATAAATATTTTTCATTTTGTCAACAATAACGCACTCAAGTTTTAGACGAATGGATAATTTGTGATACCTGCCATTGTCTCACCACTTGCACACGCGAACAGCATTAATTGTCATGATAAATATTTGCAAAAAGCGTCAACGTCCTTGCAAACGTCTCGTATAAAATTAGAATCAAGGATGGGGCCTGTTTTCAAGGAGAAAGCTCAAGCTTTAAACTGCAGCAAGTAACCAAGAAAGAAGGTTTGCAAGGGGATCAGCCTTGCATCGAACCTCGCTGCCACTGTTTCTGGAATGGAACTGCAAAGAAGAAAGGAACACCCTCAGCCGATATCCTACTGGATAATAATCAGGCATAATATCTGGGGTTCACATCAATGGTACATTATTAGAGCATTAGGGGTTATTGTCTCAAGATATAACGCGGTCTTTCGGGTTCAGTTCCTTCAGGCTCCCTGCGATGCTGTTTGATGGTTTATTTAAAACCACCCCTGGGATCTCCGATTGTTCTTCGGCTTTTCGACTCAATTGGCGCCGTCACCTTAGTATCACAGAACCTCCAGAGGCTCGTCCCTTTCTTTGTAGTCTGCGTTTATAGTTGAGGTCACGAAAAAAAATCACAAAACGCCTTCTGAAGTGATATTGATCATTTGTGAAGATCGTTACCACTCAATCTGAAACGAGAATGCTTGCTGCATGCACCTATGGCTGACCTCCAATCGACTAGACGGTTGATCCATCTCGACGATATATTTTGTATTGCCAACAAAAATCTTCATTACCTTTTAAAAAATTGACTGATGGGAAACGCTTGAGCTATACGAATCATTGAGTGAGCATGATTTCAAAACTCGGCAAGGACCCGAAGCACTGAGCTCCGAGTATATAGTTCGGTATATGAAATCACATTCAGCCGGGTCTTTGCAGCAGGCTGACAGAGAGTTTGAACACTGTGCATGAGAAAGGGTGAACGTTAACTAAAAATTTAAAGTTATGGGAATTTGACGGTCAAACCAATTTAAGCGGTTCTTTCATAGACACGCCGTCAATGACACCAAGCCATTTACAACGTATTGAAGTCAGATACGGAAGGGATCCGACTTTGTTCATGACATAATCGTTATTGATGTTCTCAAGTTGTAACAGACCAGAAGATGATTTGGAGTGGCCTTCTTGTGATATGTTGTTTTCTCACCAACTAATTTGATGCTGTTCAAACAAGTAAAGGCAGTGCATGTTAGCGAAAGGAGATCCTCACTGAATGATATTATCTCATGTAACATATCTACGTCAGATACAGAGCACGTTTTAATTAATGCGGTGATTTCGGAATACACTGTAAGCGGATAATGATTACCTTCAACGAGCGCCATAACACACTGCATGCACTAGGTGGTGGCGATTGACCATTGGTACTGGGGTGGATAATGTCCAGTAATGTTGAGTGTTTCCTGTGGTCAATGTACGGCCAAACCTGTGGACGCCCGGCTACTGTCTTATTGCAATCTTTCTATCTTATGATAGCATGTCGTAATACTGATATACTCCTTATAGCTCTCTTCCGCCAAGCTAGAGCCCGCTGCATCAATTGAACACATGCTCACAGAATGGTTCGTGTGGCTGTCCTCAAACTTGCCATTTTGCGAGAATCCTTTCCTTTCCAGCTCGTGTTTTGGCCAGGTGCCAGTTCCACTAATTTGGTAAGCAACTTTGGAAACCCATTTTTACCTTTTTGATAGCTCAACGGTGGTACCAATTCCAAAAAAACAAAATAATAGAATCGACATCTTGCCGTGGTAATTGGCTGAGAAGCTTTGAAGTGACTAACTAAACTTATGAAAGAAAACTGTAGTATTGTTAATCTCATAAGATCTGCTCTAAGAATGGTGGGAATTCGCTGTGTCTCGTATCTTTCGCCCTGAGCTGGGAACTTTTTTTCTGGGTCGGCTGGCCTGGACATTTTTTTTCCAGCACTGGGTTGCCTACACACCATTTTTCAGAAAATTTCCTGGGCACTGTCTGAGTTAATATCCATTCAGCGAAAAGAAGCCTGATCCGACTACACGATATGGACTGAGGCGTAATAAGCAATCAATACAACGTCAATATTACTTCTCGTAGAAATTCATGTTGCTTGTGGTGAGGTGTCGCAATCAGTTCTGATGGTCCAGTAGGAATTTTCCACCAAACAAGGGCCCTATTCTCAAAGACCCAATAAAGTCCGTTAAACTTGCCCAATCAATATGACATGGCCATTTGGCTGATACCTCAAGCCGTCACTTTTTCCAAAGTCACAAGCAAGTTGTGTACTTTCTTACCCCGCTCTGTGGGTTCATCGGCTTCCACTTACAAAATTGGTAAACTGCTACGGAGGTCTCAAGTAACAAACACTTCTTTTACTCACAACAGCCTCGTTTTTCCTTCTTCTTTCCCTCTCTCTCTCTCTTATTCATACTATATTTTTGTTAATACTTGTCAACATTCGATCCAAGTACTTTCATTTACATATTCAATACCTTTAGAAGAAACTGATATTACAAGCTCTCTTCTATCGCTTCCCTTTATACTTTTATTATACTCAGCTAGTTATTCTTCATGACCGACTACGATGAAATGATCGTGCCGAAAATCGAAGAGATTCGACTCACCGAGCCAAATCAGCTATGGAGCAACAATAACGCATTAGCGACTGGACCAACTATCGATGAACAACGATCCATGATGTACAATGAAACCAATTTGTTAGTGTGGAACCAAAGTCGTTACGCAACTCAGCAGCCTCATACTACACGGGAAGTCAAGCGTAGAAGTAGTCCAGCTAATCTGCAAACTCAACAGCTCAGAATTGGTGATATAATGCAAGATCTCAATATATCAGATAGTCAAATGAACGCAGCTGTGAATGGTTCAAACGACCTTATGTTGGACGCATCTTCAGCCTCGTTTGACCCAGGATTCGTACAAAGGTTGCCGCTTAAAGATGATTTTCTTACTACTCAAAAGCGTAAGTAATTCCTTTAAGAAATCTTCATTAGAAAAAACAAAAAACATCATATTAATCTAAATTTAACGTCTGTTCATAACTTAGTGATGGAAAGCTGGGGGCCTATGATCAGTGGAATTGCTACACCTGTTGGTCAGACCCATGTTGGTCATCCACAAGTTGGAAATCTGACAACACCTCTTGATACAGAATTCGCACGCCGTCATTCTATTGCAGTCTCTACTTATGACTGGCGCTCCCAATCGCCCGATATGACCATCAATCAGCATACTGTAGAGCCAAAGTTTATTCATGACATGTCTCAAATACCGTGCGTTCTTGCACCCCCTCCAAAGAAGGATACCTCTCAACAACCCTTTGCAGATCAAAATATCTTCCAATTCCCTCTAAACCCACACCCAATGTCTCGTCAAGATTCACAGCCTTTACCATCTAGTGTTTCGCCGTCATCTGAAATGATGTCTAGCAATGGGTCATTGACTCCAACTTCACAATACATTTTTGGCCATGAGTGCGCTGAAGCAATTACGCCCATGAGTGTCATGTCACCTGAAGGCTATGCGAATCCATCAAGAAAACGTTCCCTAGTTCCCGAAGTCGTCGATACACCTATCTTTAATATGTCTATGGATATGTTTCAGTCACCTGCAGCTCATCGTAAAAGGACAAAATCAATGGACATCGGAGTTATGGATTACTCTGAAGACGTTTTTGAATCAGAGGTCTATGAATATCCATTGATGTCACAAGAAGATGTCGAGAAAGCCGAGACAGACGAAACAGCTCGGCCAAGAAAACAACGGATACGATACCCTGGAGACAGCTATACTCCTAAATGGGTTCGCTACTTGGGCCAAGCCAAGGAAGGCTATTGCGATAGCTGCCAACCTGGAAAATGGCTTCAACTGAAGAACAGTGCATACTGGTGAGTAATATTAATATAAGGCTTACTAGGCATTCCTCTTTTTTTTTTTTTCTCTATTATTCAACATTTATCTATCCAGGTATCACAAGCAATTCTTCCATGGAATCTCCTCAGTTTCGGGCAGACAATTCATGGAACCCATCGATCAACGGTGGGGAGACCAGGATGCCATTGAAGGTCTATGCCATCAGTGTCGCAACTGGATATCGATTTGCACAGCCAAAAGAAAGAATAGTGTTCTTTGGTACCGACACGCACACAAGGTAAGATATTCTCAGATAACCTCCAATGTGTATCAAAAATATTTGTACACCAACGTCGAATGTTCACCATCTTTTCTTCATCTAGTGTCATATCTATCATAAACCAAAAGCCACACAGCCTAAAAGACGCCCTTCTGTACAGTTTTAATTGTCTTTTTCAATTTTGTGAACACCTTTTACCATTTTCCTTTTGACTTAAACAATTTGTCCATTAACATTCCAGCCTTTTTTAACTAGCTGATTGAATTTTTTTTCTCAGTTATCAATCCATTGTACCACAGCGATCAACTTTCTTTCCCGTTTCTTTCCTCTCTAGTAATAAACACCTTAAAATTATTTCTTCTCATGATGAATGTGAAGGTATGTATTGGCTGAATCATTTGACCAAACAGACATTCGAAAATGATCGCGCCAATCCAGTACTCGGTGAATTATTTGAGAGTTAGCTTTAGGGCTTGAGCATTTATTTGACATCATGTAGGCGATCCGGTTACTCACAAATCAAACACTAGGTCATGAGTCATTTCAACACACATGGCGAACCGAACTTTACGCTAGATGACGTCCTCTCATATTGGGTTCCACATGCAAGACTACCTGTCGAAACCGATCAACGGCACCAGCAACCATCCTATTGCCACCCAGAGCAATCTCCAAAATTTTCACATGTTTCTACCGAACAGCATTCAAACTGCACCCTCTCGAAAGATCACCATACCGAAAAGGAATATAACCGCCTTTCTCCATCACTGGAAGCATATAAACGTCAACAATGTGACCTGCAGCCTACAATGTATGAAGGCACAAATGTCTCATATTCAGGTTAGTATTTGGAAAGTTTGACTTGGAAATTGCGGCGCTTTTTCTGAAGGTCCATGCTACCAATTCATTGTAAGAATATTGATGGTTTGGCAAGTAGATTTATTGAAGTTGCTCAATCCACTGTTCGATCGACTGGAGCAGAAGTTGGATAATGCCCTCTCTAATATACATGTAAGTAAAGATGAACTAACAACTCCGCTTCTGGGGCCGATTGGTTGAACTGAAACAAAAGTGACAGGTGCAAATAGAGACTCTACGAATGTCAGGGTCACATCAAATCAAAAACAACCCGAGGATAAATAAGAGACATCAGAGAAATATTCCGGTTCCTGTCCAACCAAGATGTCGTGAAAAGCAGATTAGTGCGAAATCAAAAATACAATCCGGCAAAAAGCGGTACAGATCGAGACCACATGGTATTGAGATAAGGCAGATCGATCGGTCGCTAACATTTCAACAGAACATATCCGATTGATAGGAGCGATAAACTGAAGCGATTCAAGTCCACTGCCCATGAGGGTTTGCCTTTAGTTAGGTCTGTAGCATGGAGAGAATCACCGCCGGAAAGAAAGGTAAAACTTACCAAGGTTTTTTTGTTTTGTTTGCGATAGTGACAATAGTACTGATGTCTCACTGTTGGTAGCAACGCATTATACTTTCCAAAGATGTTGAAGAACTGCTTTTCGTGTCGTGCTAGATTACCATTGTCGTAATACCTGGCGAGAAACTATTGTTTGCATTTTTTTTTTCCTGTGATGGCTGATGTAAGCTTCAATATGCAGTACTATAAAGTTGTTGAATAATAATGTATTGTACGCACCTACACCTTCTTCACTCAGGAAGAAACATGGGGTTATATAGTAATATTCTCATCATCTGTTTGGCCTTATCGTCAAACGAAAAATTTGTTCGTGTCAAAGGTGTTCATCTTTTCTGGAGGCAAACATTGCACAAAGCTCGAAACCTGCAGTGGCAGTTAGCATGCCAACGTCATTCTACTACGACCTATAAAACGTAGCTAGCAATGAACAGAAATGAATAATTCTATAACTTAAATGTAGGCAGTCCGTTTACATTATTAATACTGATACTGTCCGCAAATGCACCTGACAGAAATCATAAGTATGGAGCGCAAGGATATTCCTACAAATGGTATTAAAGTGATTACTACAATCTTCATCAAGGCACGGCTTCCTATCATGAGCGTTCGTCTGAACGTATCCTTACCCTCCTTATATGAAATTTCAGGAAGTGCTTTTTAAATGTACTAACTAATTAACTTGTTATGGGAGGAGTGCAGCAAATTCTTTCGTAATATGCACGAAAATCTTCGCACAACTAATGCTACCAACCCACAGTCTTTGATTTACAGTCATTATGATATCGAAGACTCCTATCACCTCAACAGCAACTAGCATTGATAGCCAGTGTAGCCTATGGAATACGTATGACAATAGTTTGAAGATAATTTTGGATATGTAAACAATACCTTTCGTCAAGAGCGTTTTGCTGACGGAAAGCCTCAAAAACGTGCCCAAAGCGAATGTTTGTTATTCGTACGAATAATTATGAAGTCAATTAAAATTCCTTTATAGAAAAGTAGTACTTTAATGAGCTTCTCATGGGCACGATACACTATGGAAGCGCCTGGGAATTGGCGGCTGAGCACTGGTAGAGCGTGAACCCAAAAGTGACAAACCAACTTGCATCTTGTGCACGTGATTTACGAATTTGTCATCATTTGGGTTCATGATATATAAACTGCTTTCAAGACATCTTTAATCCTCACTCTTTCGTTCCGAATAAAAAAGGCGAGACCGTCGTCAATTCGTCATCATGTCATATATATCAACACTCAACCTAGATCCGTCACCGGAAGTGTTCAATGAGGAATTGTTAGGGCAAGAATTAAATAACTGGGCAACGGTTCCTTTGTATTTTGAGGACACCCCTTTAATTGAAGGCTTTCACTTGGGCTCGGACAGCAGCGACTCTGAAACTTTGGGAACACCGAAAAACGACCTACAAAAACTTGAAGATGAATATTTATACCCGTTACTCCCAATGATGATCAAGAACGGTATGCCCTTTGTACAGCCGTTTGAGACGGATGGCACCACAGCCATTGATATAAACAATGTTTCAGCGGCTGGATCAAATATATCAAGATCATCTGCAGAGTCTTACACGATAGATGAAACGGAGTCAATATCTAGGAAACGCAAAGTGGCAGAAGAGAAGGACAACTTAGACAAGACACCACATGATGAGGACAAAAGACGACGAAACACCATGGCCTCCGCTCGATTCCGGCAGCGAAAAAAGCTTCGTGAAGCTGCTCTTGAAAGCACTGCAAAGGAAATGACTGACAAGGCTAACTCTTTGCAAGAAAAGGTGAATGCACTCGAGAAGGAGGCCAAATGGCTCCGCAGTCTCCTGGTAGAGAAGGGGGATACTCTAACACTCGAAGGCGATGAAGAACGGTAGCATTTCTTCTTCTATGGCAGGACTGCCATTGTACATATATATATATATATTTTTTTTGGCTTTCTTGCATTTGTAATACTATCCAGCTCTTCTCAATAAATACTGCAATGTTGTAAATACAGCTTGTCGAAGCATATGAACCATGTAGGTTCGTCAAAAAGAAAAAATATGTTATAATGCCGTTGTTTATTAAATTGGAACAGCCTGGTATGGACGCTCTACTGTAACTGTTTAGAGTGGAAAAATATAAAAATCCTAGGAGCACCTTGGCTTTGAAGTGAGATTGATATAAGGAGCAAAAACGCAAAAAACCACCAGTTGTAAGAGAACTTTTGAGTTGTCGTTGTATATTTCATACAACTGCCAGCGTTGTACAAGTACATAAAGCAAGGCTTTACGCCATTTTTCGGCGGAAAGAACAACCTTCAGTCAAGCGCGCACGTCCACCAGTAGGTTGGCAAAGGACGGTGGCACAGGAGCTACAGAGGACAACTGTTTGCGCATTACTGAAGACTGTCGAAATATTGAAACAGCCTGTCAAAATAAGTATTGGTTAGTTCAAAAAATCGCTAGCTCGCAAACTTTACTAGGGTCAAAGACTTTACCTGGACACTTGACATCCATGAAGTAAGAGTCGGGAGACTGCACGAGACGCTTGAGCTTGTATGTTTGCTTTTCTTGCTCAAATGAGGGATTCAACAAATCTACTGCGAGCTGTGAGAGTATTTTTTGTCAGTCTATGTTTTATTTGAGCAAGTAATGGTCAAATGCAGTTCCAGCTCATTCATTATTAAGAATGGAGATCAGTGGTAGGTACTGCTGCGGCTCGATCTAGTAGCTCATTTCTCATTTAGACAGATGGTGCCTAGCGTAAGGATTTACGCTAGATTCGATAGAATGAAGCCATTGCCATTTCATTGAAGTTTCGAAATTGATAGAAAGTTGCGCTACTTACAGTCATATTTATGAAATGCGCTATGGGAAGCAATGGGAAAGACGGTCTGTCTGCAGAATCTGCCAATTTAAAGGCCATTTTTTGGCGTACCGCAGTTCATTTCCCGAAACGGTTGGCGGGGTACTAAAACGTGACTGCATGTGGACGTTCCCGTTCAGCACGAGATTCCAAGTGAGACCAAAGCGAGGCTATCTCGAGAAAATTCTAGATCTAGGGAAGGCTCAAGCATATGAAACAGACGCTTTCGAAGGCTTTCTTAGAGTAGTATATGACCATTTCATATTTAGAACGGCGTTGATGAAGAGGAGAAGACGTTAAAGGCGCCTTATGATACGTCATCCAGCGGTTGGTAAAGGAAAACCTGATATTTCATTTTTCACAATGATGCTATTCTCGCGGATCAGCGACGCTCCATGAAGACAATGATCCTTTTCAACCAGTACAAGGAATGCCTAAGGAGATGGAACGAGCAATTAGAAGTGTTCTTTGTGGAGGAAGTGTGTCCATGGTATAATATTTGGAAGACATCAACTTCGATACGACTCATCTATAGATCTACCAGTGGTTTCTGTAGTATTCAAGTTGGCTCTAAATCAGTTTTCGAGGTAATGTCTCGTGAAAAAAAGAACACCACGATCAGGCGTCTCATAACTTTGGAAGACATATTTGTTTCCTTTTATCGCAAGTTGATACTAGAGAGAAATATTACTACATAGATTCATTTGTCCGAAGCCATCAAGCGTTCTCGAATTACTACCCTGCAACATAAAATAATCTATTCCAATATTCAATCAACCGAGTCTCTGAACAATGATATTTTTATTTGAAAGGAATTGATATATTATTGTAAAGGAAAAGCTCTCTTATGTAAAGCCAAATAACTTATGGGATCGAAGTTCCGCATACTTTGGTCGCTTAAGAGAGTGCTTTGCCACCTGAATATCGGTATGAATATCCTTAATTAGAGCATCTGTAGAGTGGAAGAGATCAATTAGCTACGCTTACTCAGAGAACAAAGGAAATGTTTAGTTGGTATCTTCACCTAATGAGGGGTAATTTTGCTCCGGTCGAATATATGCTAAAATTAACACACGCATAGCAACATTATAGAAATCTTCCGGAAAATCATGGATAATGTGCACTTCCTGCAAACAAGAAATGTTCAATTGATGCTACTTTGCGCAAGGATAATACATATCTTATTGAACACTTACTGCAGATCTTCTTTCATTCCTGTAGTACGGGTTCCAACCAATACTCATGACCATAGGATACACTTGGCTGGCAACTTCTCCTATTTGTACCCATCCGTAATAGACGCCAGTCTTGAGTTCCGAGCAGATAGCAGCGATAGCATCCTCTGACAGGTTGGCTGAAATGGTTTACCAGCAATTAGTAAGTAGAATGCAAGCCATTGACAGCATGGAAGTATTGTAGCCTACCCGTTGGAATGCCTAGTTCCCTACTTCCACGCCCATATCCCTTCACAACGGTCCCTTCCAAAGTCACAGGGAAAGGTGCTCCAGGATCAGAAGGTCCAACTATAAGTGGCCGTTCGGCTCGAATTTCGTTTGACATTGTTGCTTCCAACTGGCCCACTTTTTCAAGCGGTCAGAAAATAAGATTCCTTAAACGGTAAAGAAATTGTCAATCACGTGTAACACCCCAAAAGCATTTCACAAACTTTGGCACAAAAATGCATGGAATCAAATAATGGGTATAACGTCATCTATATTGTAATAAATCTTCAAGGAGCTATGATACATGGTGTGTAATCTGTACAAAACGTTAGTTAGTTATCGATGCTTGTAATATTTCTCTTTGCTGGGCTGAAGCTTGGGCTGCGCTTCGTCCCATGGGCCATGTATTTCACTGTTGGATCTGTTAGTATTAAAGGTTGAAAGACTGAACACCACATGTAAAGTAATCACTGACTTTTTGTATTTCTGAATTCTGATGAGCCATGCTGGACAGATAAAGGTGATAAAGGTGATTCCCAAGATATAAATGAACACAACAGCTTTAGATATGTGAATGAACAAGGTGACTGAAGCTGCGAGCATGATGATTGATAATGCTGTGTGCCCTGCCTGTGTTGTGTTCTGACAAGAAATTCTGTGAGTTTGTTGAAGACTTCACTGTCTCCTCGTATGTATACCACCAACCTGTAGATGTCTTCGAAAAATTGGAAATAAGGCGAACCATTCTACGGCAAATGCCGTCAATCCAAACACACCCATATTCGTTTGCAAACGCGATGCTAGCATAACGGAGGCAAATATTGCTGCATTGGTCGAAAGTGATCCAGGAAACCTGGGTCATGATGTGTGTCAGTGATACTAATGAAATGAGGAAATTAGTAGTGATTATATAGTACGTACTTGATGATGTTCCTAGGTCCGGCACTATAGTCATGCGATAGCATATTGACTATAAACAAACATGCGGTCAAAGCATAGATGGTATCGTCACTTGTCTTCAAGGTGAGCGTTCGCAAAATCGGTGATAGTCCCAGCAAAGTAGCAAAAAAAAACAAGGCTCCTTTGGCGGTCTTATTTCCTATAAGGTAGATATTAACATTCGGTGTCTGAACCTTCAAAATGACTCCAATTGTCCTACTTTTTGATGCATATGACGGAACAGTTTGCACTACACTGTAATCCCAAAAGATGTAGCCCAAAGAAGTCATCAATGTCCCGGCTATAATCAAGCTATTGGTAGCTAATTTTTGTTGCTCCAAGTTGATGAAAACGGCGATAAATATGACAATGCTGCTAATATGCTGTGCGATGACGCCTGATTCATATACTGTTGTCCAATAGTCGTAGGAGCGCACATTGACTGCAATGCAACAAAGGGTGGTGACTAGGGTCAGTCGGCGGGGTCAAAACCGCCATGTTTGAAATTTCGTAACGTACCATTTTTTTGTAAAGCATCAAGAAAAGTATCATCAACATAATTGTCCGGATAGTCTTGCTTAACATATAGTAACTTCCTCCATGGCAGCTTTGTTCCGTCACTCGCGTTCAATCGCATGCGCTTGGAATTCATGAGGAAGCAGATCACGCCCCTGAGAGGAAATTACAAATTTGTTTGCACGTCACACTCGCGGTTTGCGGACCTTTGCGACGGGCGGCTCTCTCACATTGCAAATTAGCGAAGAGCAAGCACCATTCTCCAAACTCATTGCTTTAAAAAACCATATTACAGGCTACGATCAGGAAATCAAGTACAATATTTCTGTAACATGAATCCCGTAAAAGGTGAAGAGAATACAATGGCTCCAACTTCCACAACTTTGTCAACTCCTGGATCGTTGATTGCAGGCAATAAACGATTGGATTCTTTTATTGATTCGGAAATCAAGATCAGAACTGTAGATAATGAAGAGATTTCAGGAAAACTGTTTACGGTAGATCCTATCACAAGCTGTCTTGCTCTAAATATCCTTTTTGGTCGCTTTGTGCCTGTTGCTACTAAACATTACCAAAACATTTGATACTAATTATATTGGATTGCTCATAAACGAGCACACGTTCATCCTTGACTGATACATACATTGCCAGAAAGTCTCTCTCAATGGCCAGCCATCGCAGAAATACGGTTTTCGCATCATCAAAATCTCTCATATCAAAGAACTAATCTCTTTCGAACCCAAGAAGCCTAATGATCGGAAGAAGCCCGTAGAGCCTACCAAGGATAGCATCGAGACGGTATACGCCCAAGCCAGCTCGGCTCCACGAAAGGTTTATATTGACCAAATCAACCAAAGAGAAGCAGAGGCGATTAAGTTGGCCAGCCAGCAAGCGGCGCGCATCGGTGTCGGTGTCACGAAGGACGCCCAAGCGATCTTTGATGCCTTGAGTAAAACGTAAGTTCCTGTTAGAGAGAGAAAAATTTTCTTCAAACCTCGGTATTAAAGATCACATCCTTCCAGGCTGCCCTGCCGATGGGCAAAGGATTCCATCGTGGTCATGGATGAGGTCATCATATCGCCGCCTTACAATGAAGAGAATTGCAGGGCAAACGCCTCGTCAACGGCGTCCTTGACTCGGGTTAAAAAAGTGGTAAGGATTTCTGTTATGCAAGGTAACTCTTAAACGTATATTGATTCTTTATGACCCTCCACGTATAGCTGGAAGGAGAGAAAAAGCGGTTGGGAGCCATCTCGAAATGAAGTGAAGAAAAGACTGTTCGGCTCCTTACATCCAAGCAAAGACAAAGCAAACTTAAAACAGGAAATCACAAAAAAAAATTGGAAAATAAAATTGATTTTTTTAAATTAGTCATTTGGCACTACCGAGTGATCAATGAAAAGACGATGGACATTGACAATACGATCATGGATATGGATCATTCATTTTTTTGTTTACGTTTTTATCAATCACGGAAAATTGTACAAATGCTTTCTAAAGTAAGACAATTTCTAAGGAGGGTTGTCGCTACAATTACATGAAATTGGCATTGATGAAACAAAAATGCTTATAGCGACAATTCACGATGTTCGATGCGAAATATAAAGAGGATATACATGGTAACTAAGTTAGAGAAATTTGTTAAAAAAAAAAAGGGTAGCTAAGAACTTATTGCCAGAAAAACGTTCCGTTTTCTGAGTTGGGGATCGGTAGTGACTGCGGCGATCTTCGGGGTTGGTGCTGTTGCTGTGGCAACTGCTGTGACAAATTCTCAGGACTACCTGTCATTTGGCCAAATATCCCATTGGGCACCTGTCCTTCATCAAGACTCTGAGCTGAGGTCTTTTCCTGCTGCAAACTGACTGATCTCTGGGCTGTAGATGGTGCCGGTGGCGCTGTTCGATACATACCCTGCTGATTTCCCAAATAGTTATTCCATTCTTCGATATCCAGTGACGGTGGCATACCCCAAAAAGCGGTACCAAGCGCATCGTACGACCTCTTATTTGTCTTGTTTTCGGTCGTATCCAACATAGGAAATTGATCCATAGAAGTGTGAACACTGGGACTTTGCGTTGGCGTAGTTGTCAAAGTAGTGAACTGTTCGCTAGGATATATCAGTGCAGAGGGGTAGCTATTACTGTGCGGTGTATTAACAGTAGAGAATGATAGAGGAGTTGCATTTGACACCAATTCTGGTTGTAAGTCAGTTGACTTAGTGGAAGGTGAATCATTAGGCAGCTCATACTCGTCGTCAGAAGGCTCTGGAGAGTTGGGTACCGCAATGCTTGGGGGCGGAGTGCGTTTTCTGCTAGTGTAACGATCCTTAAACGGGGTATCTGATTCAAGATTGATATCTCGTAAGCCGGCAAGCTCTCCAAGGATGTTACTGTATCGCGCTGCGGCCGTCCAGCTAGATTCAATATCGTCTAGTCCGCGCATAATCTTGTTAATGCTGATCTTTGCTTCGAACGTCAAATACGAATCAGGCACAGCGGCATTATTGACAAACAAGGTTCCGGCAGTGAATACATGGAATATCGCATAATTCAGCGTAAAGCGGAGCTGTCCATTGCTCAAAAGATTTTCAACAATGTCGAGGATAGAGTATGCCGCTGACGTACAAATTTGCAACGATGGAAAACTGGTTGGTGCTCGTGGTTGGGATGGGCCAGGAATGAACGGTCGGTGCAGCAAGATGAGTGCTGTGTAGTAAGTCATGTGTAATTGAGCGACAGGAAGCGGTGGAGCAGGCGCTTTTTCACCAACTCGGCAGCTTGGAGGCTTGTATTTTAGCGACTTTGGTAAACTGCCGTACCATGAGTTGAGTGCCTTGTCTAGATTGGCAATGATGGTGTCTGGAGCCATGGTCAAAGCAAGTTGTCGGCCCTTGACGGAGTAAATGTCTCGAAGAATATGGCCAAGTATGTCGCTCAATCTTACTGCGTGTCGGATGTACTCCAAAACAGGGGGACTATCATTCGGGTCGTCTTCTTCTGTTGGGAAGGTTGCATCCAAGTCACGCTCATCTATGGCAGTTGATCGTCCAAAAGCCGCACTAGTATAACGATCCACGATAAAGCAACACCAGAAAACTCGTTTTCGTTCTTCCCTTTCAGATGCTGGAATATTCCAATTATCGCAGTTGTGGTTCAGTCCAAGCGTCTGGGCCATACGAAAAGCCTTTTTGAAAATATTGTCAGTATTGAGATCGTCACACACTACTTATGCGTGCATTAAGCTCACTCACCATGCCATTGTATATCCATGATCGGCTGGTTTTCATTGCACCATGTTGATGACTGGAGAGTAGCAGAAGAGCTTGTATTGCAGATGTACTAACAATGTCGCACTCTTGATCAAGGAGGAATTTTGCTCTTTCAAAAAAGATCTCACCAGCAGTATCTGGCAATGTAGCGTCCTCTCGTACTCGTTCGTCTGGAGAGATTCTAGAAGCAATTGCAAAGATTGCATTCAGCAGCAGTGGAGATGGCTTGTCATCCTCATCCTCGCTATTAAGCTTTTCCATGAATGATTTTTTGTGAAGAATAGGCAGTGTTGGATAAAAGTACTTGAAATAGAGGTCGATCAGATGTTGTGCAAGATCAGGCGGAGGCATTTCAAGAGGGTTCAATATTTCGAGTCGACTGCCATTATTTGTAGGGTGACGTTTGACTAAACGTGCTCCAAAATGAAAAGCTCCATGATGAAACAGACGACTGTTCTGTAGCATATAAAAACCTGAAGATTTACCAAGATAGCGCATTTGACCACCGTCATCAATTGTTAGATTACCAAGACTGTCGTTGACCTGATCAACCGTCAAAGGAGAATCTAATTCTTGAACGGAATGAGGAAGGTCGGTGAGGGATAGTGATGGGATGTCGGGTGACGACTCTGGGTCATCCTCGTTGAATTGTCTTCTCATTGGTCGTGTTCGAATGAGCTCTCCATGTATGGTTTCCAAAGGAGCATTTAACTCTGCAATGAGTGCCTGTGATCTCGGATCATCTCCTTGAGCTAGAGTTCCTAAAAGTGATTCCATACGATGAAGACGATTTTCTATCGCTTCAATATATCCCTTAGGCGGACCACGCTGAATACGTTTCAAATATGTGAGCTTTGACGGTTTCCAATTGAAAGAATGATAGCCAATAGTTTTCATGACATACCTTTTTGGTTGTGTCCTTATATCCACAATTCAGATTGAACGCTTGGCAATTACCACATATTGGAATTGTACCGTCGCACTTGATCTTTTTCCTACGACAAAGGTCACTAAAACCGAAACAAAAGGTGAGCCCGCAATTAATAATTATTTTTGCCAAAGTGATATGCGCAAGGAAGAAGCGTTGGATAACCTACCATGCTCTACTGACTCTTTGTCTCTTGCTTTGAGACGATTCATCCCCGGTATCCATTGGTACAGTTATAAAAAGTGAATGGCGAGTAATTCGCACAGTACAAAAGTTGAAGAGTTTGTCTCAAACCACTTCAAGGTAGCTCCTGCTATTTGATTTCTGTGACTGCCAAATCAATTGTGTGTCCGACGGAGCGGGATTTCATACAATTGGAAGCCCGGCTGCCGCGTGCTCTTGTTCTGCGCAGGGGCAGCCAGGTATTTTATTCAATGTGCAAACAAATTCATAAGTATTCAACAAAATGGGTATGTCCACTTTGCTAGTTATTCACAGGTAAAATGACCAATTAATTAGATTCTGATGATAATTTGCCATTCTTTACAATCAAATTCAAATATTTTACCGATGCATGGCTGGTAGCGTCTGTCAATCCGAGTCAGTCAGTATATGCTCAGCCTCTTTCTGGTTTAGGCGATGACTGCAATTGGAGATTTATTGACTCACCTCGTTCACCAATCAAACCTTTTCCACAGTCGTTGCACTTGAGAGTAAAGTTCGACGTATCAGTGTACTTTCGTTGCTAAGTAAGCTATGCATTAGCATCAGTATATACCATACGCTCATAGCACCATTATCCGAACCTTTTTGAGGCTGTTCGCTAATTGAGAACCAGCTTGTAACAGTCTACCGTTTTCAGTTGAGAACCTGGTTTGGTCAAATTCGCCCGATGCCTCCATAGCCGGTGTTAAAGCCAACACATCATAGTCTAATATAGACTTTAGCATAGCGTTACCAAACTTGTTATGTCTTGGAAAATGACTTACGGATGCCGGTATACATAAGTAATATCCTTTCATCATATTGTCCTTCTCCTGGAAAACAACATCTAGTCATATACTGATAATCACTGGCATTGGACTAGGAATTTTTAACCCACCAAATTTGTCCGTTCTACCATTCGCCACATCGAAACTATCAATTTCTGGTTACAGAGGAAGATGAGCATAAAATTGTGATTAAATATAGCGTAAAACGTGGCACTCGTTCAACTGAAACTTACCGATTTCAAAATGCTTTGAGAAGATTGCAAGTTCTAGGATTAAAGTTGTGACGAATCATAAATCTCTCCATCCTTTTGACAATTCCAAGAATTCTAGTCGATCGCATATACCTATCGCTCCACCCCAAGAGTTTGGTTTCAGTATCCAGTTCACATACTGATCTACGAGCAATGCATATATCAGAAGTCAGCGCCTGTCATTCAAATGGAAATAATCCAGCTTCATCACATACCAACTGGGCGACTTTGAACAACCAGATTATTTTCAAGGTCGATGTTAATCTTATTCAAATGACAAGTATCCATTGGTCATTACATACCCCAAGATAGCATCGGAATATGTTATCGGATCGGAGAGAATTGATGCGGCAATGACTACATGCGGAACTAATCAGAACAGTTGTTCGGACAAACAAATATCGCGGTACCAAATTACCTTCACGCAATTCTTGGGATCGATCAATGTTTCTGTTTAAAGCGTAACCGACAGAGCGGAACAGGCAAGAATTATCATCTTTCATTTCCTAAATGGTTGCATGATAAATGTCAGATTTTTGATCAGAAGCGCCGACAATGACAACAACATGGAACACTTCACGTACACGAAGTACAAGATAACCTCCATCGAATTCAACATTTTCAGCACTAGCCATGGTGAATGCGGAAGACAGCTCTGATGGCATATTGTTTCTGACATTATGGTTTGCCTTTGTATTTGACTGAGTCTGAGAAGTTTGAGTCTGAGACGATGGAGGAGTGGTGCTGACAGAGCTTGCGGCGTTGGATATATTCACAATTATAAGATCCCCACTTCCAATTCCAAAACCAACAAGCGTAGCTGTATCGTCATTATGTGGTTTGGGCGGGTAACCGACCGATACTGTACAAAGACAGTCAGAGTAAAGCGATGAAAGGTAACAGGTACAGGCATGGTACAGGCATGCTACCTACATTGTATTGCTTTTCCAGGAGGCAAAGCAATCTGCTCACTAATTGCGACTCTCAAAGTAGCGAAAGTATCGTTTGGGTTGACATCAAGTGTTCCGATCCCGTTTGGATGCCTGTATCGAAGTCGCATTGGTTGCTAATCTCAGTGTACTGCAATGCAGGTGACTTTTTTTTGTTTGAAAGCAGCTGCCAAATCACCTAATTTAATAGCCAATCAAATTTTTGGAATTATCAAAGCTATTGAGCTACCAAACGAACCAGTCGTTTTTATCACAATAAGGATGCCACATCGACAGTCAGTGATCCTTCTGTCTGATTGAAAAATAATTTTCTGCTGACATGAGAGAAAAAATGCTATATGTTGTTGTTAAGAACGTGTCCTTTTTTTTTGTCAAGAGCAAGGATATACGTGTACCTGCTGGAAGGAATCTTGTCAAATTACAAACAGCGCTTTCGCTTTTTCCTTCACCGACTAAACCATACAACTGAACGACAGTGTATAGCTACAGCTGACTATTTTATGTTTTTCAAGGTACATCATACCGCTTTACACAAGTCTCATAATATCTCAGTATGAGTAATATTCACCTGTTTTGATCAAACAATGTTGGTTAGGTAACCTAATAGCGATGGTTCATAACGCCAATATAGTAATATAGATCCCTTCTTGACACCTTCTAACGTAGCCTATAGAATGAAAATCTTGTTTCATTGATATTTGTCTACAGTATTAGTCTTGTGTAGACTGGAAGAGGTCGTGGGCAATCATAGGTACGCTAGCTCTTCCTGGAGTTTGGCCACAGGTCATTTTCAAAATTCAATCCGCGCCAACATTTTTTTCAATAACCTTTTGGCTGTGGCTTCAAAAAGCTCAGGTTGACAAACGAGCCGATTTCACAAAGCATCTACATCCCCTCAAAGTGTTTATACACAATTTAATTGAAAATGTCGATGAAAAAGCTACAAGGTATGAGCAGTTTTATAACTGAAATATTCATACTCGACTAGAAGTACTATAATCTGGAACCCTTTATCAACATGAATGTGATATTGATCGCGAACGTTACCCTGTTACCGTTTTACCAATATTCCTTCGACCTTTAACCGGAATTGTCACCACCTTCCTGTCATTATATCGAAACTAATACTCTTGTAAATAGCTGATATTGACCGTGTGTTGAAGAAGGTCTCAGAAGGGGTGGAAATGTTTGAATCCATGATTGATAAATTGGAAGCTGCACCTCCCGGTAACCAAAAGGAAAAGTGCGAATCCGACTTAAAGAAAGAAATCAAAAAGCTACAGCGGCTTCGCGATCAAATTAAAACGTGGATTTCAATGAACGAGATAAAAGACAAGTCGGCCCTGATGGAAAACCGAAAGCTTATCGAACAACAAATGGAGCGATTTAAGGTTATAGAAAGAGAAATGAAGACAAAAGCATTTTCAAAAGAAGGTCTATCTCAGTCAGCAAAACTTGATCCAAGAGAAAAAGAGAAGCTTGAAACGAGCGAATGGCTGTCAACGACAGTGGAAGAGCTTGATCGTCAACGAGAGATGAAGGAAGCGGAATTAGAGACCATGCAGCGAGGGACGAAAAAAGGCAAAAAGGATCACGCAAAGAATGAGCGAATGAAAGAATTTGAACATCAGATTGAGCGATACAAGTGGCATGTCAACCGGCTTGAGCTTATCAATCGATTACTTGGTAATGATCAACTGGATACCGAGCAGGTATGGGCATGAGATAATCTATACAGATTCAGTTATAAAAACTAACTAATGTGAATATCAGGTCCTATCAATTCAGGAAGACGTGAAATACTTTGTCGAATCAAATCAGGTACGAAAATAACACTACATTCTAAGCCGTAGCATTCATAATAACTTTTTATCATGCATGCTCAGGAACCTGACTTTGAGGAGGATGAGTACATATACGACGACTTGAATTTAGAAGAAGAAGAGCGTATCTACAGTATACCGAATGCTGATGATGTGATTCCAAGTCTGGAAGACGAAGGTATGAGTGTGTGGGACACAGTTGCTGCTGACGTTTCACCGAATGCTAAGATAGCTTTCCTAGAAGATGATCCCGAACTGCTTGCATCTGGTAGGATTGTAAGTAATGAATCCCTGTAGCGACTTAGCTCCTCATTATGTTAATAGCGATCGTCTTCCTTCAGCCCTCATTACCACCAGCAAAATCAACGTCATTACACGTACAGACCACACCAATTACAAAAAGTAAGATACCAAATACTGCACGGAAACGCTTTGCTAAGTTTATTGCTAACGAAAGGCTTCAATAGAAGCAAAAGACGATTCTACAGGTACATTGCGCGCTTTACCGATCAACAAACTACGCTGTATAATACTCAATATCATTTCCTTTAGCTACATCACCCGTCAGTACCAAGTCTAATTCGCCATTACTTGCCCGTTCACCAGTGGATATCAAGCCGCCATCAGCGAAAATGCCAGTGGCACCAACAATTCAGTATGCACAAGCAGCTGCATCACATACACAACGAAAGCGAACAGATAGTGGGACAGGTTCAACGCAATCTGTGCACGATCGTAGCGATGACGGTAAATATTGCTATTAAAATCGTGAATCACTTTACGTATGATGCTGACTATCATTCTGAGCAGACGACGCGAAATCCAATGTACCTGCACCAGCACCCATACATACAGAACCAGTTGCTGCAGAGGGTAATGGTATCCGCCATACTTCACCACCAAAACAGGAGCAGAAAGACCCGAGCGCCAATATGCCGTCGACCCTATCTGATCTGGTGTCCTCCTTTGAAGCGCTGAAGTCTCGAGCTGTTGGGAAGAGCGATCAGGAGTATAATTCGACGATGTTGGATGCCAGTTTTATGCTCGTTCCTGATATTTTTGAGTGTGAAAGGTAAACCAGGTTACGATGCAGAAGTTGAGGTGAATGAATGAGTCCTGACATATCATATCTTCAGGCCCAAGCAGTATCAAGCAAAGCAGCCTTATCAAACACCATCATACTATCCCCAAACTGCATTGGACATATTTGATAATCCTGCCTTTTTTGAGAGAGTGGATGTTGATGCGCTGTTCTTTATCTTTTATTATCGACAAGGAACCTATCAACAGTATGTTACCATCTTCCCTTTGGCGCTTTCATCACTTCATATAACTAAGTACTGTTCGTTTAGGTACCTGGCAGCTAGAGAACTGAAGCGACAGTCATGGCGATTCCATAAAAAATACCTCACGTGGTTCCAGCGACATGAAGAGCCGCAGACCATAACAGAGGACTATGAACAGGGAACGTACATATATTTTGATTATGAGCACGCATGGTGCCAACGAAAGAAATCAGACTTCCGGTAAGACTTAACATTAACATTGGGAGAATCTCATACAATCAGTGTATTAATAATTTAACAAATTAAATGATTCTAGCTTTGAATACAGATTCTTGGAAGATTCAGATTTGATATAAGTCTTCTGTATATTATGAATAAACCCTCTCCCTTCCTTGCTTCTCAATATCGTTTACAAAAGATCTTCATCGGCATCACTGTCGTCATTCATCCAGTCATCATTATTTAGCAGCTCCTCGCTTTCCCTTTTCATCTGCGCTAATCCAGTCACCTCTTCCAAGTATTGTGGGTCGTTGAATGCCTTTTTCAAAAATTCAAATCCTTCCACTTCATACCGGTTTATAACCTTTAAAAAAGTTGCATGCGGTCATTCAGTGAGCTCAGTTGAGTAGTGGAGGTTCGGCGTAATGTAGCTTACCGTTTCAGAGCAAGCTGTACATCGGTCGTAGGCTTTGCCTGCTATCAGCATATTATTGAAGTTACCCAAGAATCCCCTTATCTGATGTGGAAGAATGCCTAGTGGCGATGATTCTTCACTTGGCTCTTTGTCGTCAGCAGCTGTATCTGCAGGAGCGTATACGCTGATGGTATAATGTTAGCTGTTATTAAACCTCAAACTGTTCTTCTAGGAGTGTCCTAAACATACCCTAGCTTATGATGGAGCAAGGAGACCATCAGCTCTACCGCCATGGCGCTTGCTATGGACGACAGGCCAGGTCTGGTGACTGTACATTGCTGATCCAAGGTACGATCGGTTAAAGACTGCAAAGGACTTGTGTCAAATATATTGCTACCAATCTACATGTCAATTCATCATACGCTCACTTACATCAGTAGGAGCAACCACGTCATTACAATAGTAGCACCCCAGTTGGTTAGAGTTATCTCCTACATCATGCATGTCCTCATTTGCAACCCGGACGCCATGTCTCATCACTAGAAAACTGTCGAAACCAAGAGCTGCATTGATCACTAGCTTACGCATTTGCGCACCAATCAGTGAAGGTAACCACCGACTTTCACGGCTATCCATCAATAAGTAGATGACATCGTGGCTGGCAATCAAATCTCTTAGCTGGTCAACCTCCTGGGAGACTTTGCTTTCGTTCGCAACTGTATGACCTGGCATTGGTATGGAGAGTTCCACACCAGTTGCATCCTAGTCAAAGAGAGGTTCACTTTTCAGTACAATGCTATCGAATGGATCACAAAATTATACACATACCACTCCTGGATAAACCTTTTGAAGATTGGCAGCAGCAGCTTGTGCTTTAGAAGCACCTCCATCCAAGCAATCTTCAAACACAAATAGGGGTTGTCGAACTGGATTAGAGAACGATACTTTGCCATAGTCGACAAATGTGATTTTTCGAACACCCCATCCCTGGATTAGAGGTTACAAAATAGATCGCTGCTCTCTTAATCTCAACCTTTGCAACTTACTAGTAAAGATCGTGCTACATAGCAACCAAGAGTTCCAGATCCTAAAAGTAGACATTTGGTTGATTGTATCTTTTCGAGTTGCAGCTCCGGGAGAAGGCGCCATCTCATAAGCTTCAAATTCAAGTCAACTGCAGTGTCAGCGAGCCTATTCAGAATCTACAATTAGCATCGTCGTCAAATGCGCTGTATAAAATAGGAAGTACAAGTTTACCTTGCAGGGTCCATCATTGGCGCAAGGTCAGCTAGCCTTGGTGCCAGCTTACCAGTTATACTCTTTTCCCAACCCACTGATTTGGGTATTGACTTTGCTACTCCAGGCATCCAAAGGTCAAATAATGAATGTTTCGACACCACATCTCAAAGCTCAAAACTTACCATCATCGGTATAAAATGCATCAGCTTCTAACTCAACATGAAGCAGAAGAGACGAAGAAAGCTCATTTTTGGCTAGCTTATCTCGTAGACATAAAATTTGAACTCTTTGTAAACCGAGTCTAACGTTAGCGTAAGCAAGTAGGTTTCTCAGTGGCCAGCCTGGATGCTCTCTTAGTCCAGAGGGATCCACAAATCCCAGCAGAACCTACCACCCGGGAAATTATGTCAGCATTTACGTTAGCGGTCAGAAGCCTCTAACCGACTTACATTTTCTGTGTCTCCACTCGAGATGAATTCCTTCCATTGTGCGAGGCTGCCTATGCTGACCTTGTCGGCGGCAGTGGATCGCTTTACAAGAAAGAATGCCGAATTTCCATTTGCTTGATTTTGCGATTTGTACTCAGCGTATGTCTCCTGCAAACTGTTGATCTATAAACCGCTTATTAGGGTTCTGATGTCCTAGCGTTCATCACCATCAATGTGTTTTACGATACCTCAGTTGTAGAAAATGACTCCCTAATGGTAGATGGTCCTTTTTCATTAACAAACGTCCAAGGAGATGAAGGAAGAAGGGCCGGGAAAGAAAACCAATAGTAGAATTTATGTTTCTTCAAATCCGCGTATGTCAAAATGGTAAAATTGACTAGCTGCATAGGGCATGTGTCGGATTCACCAGATACAATAGCTTGCCAAACCTGTACATGATAGCTATAGTTCAGCCTCATCAGTCTACATAAGATAGCCAAAGATTAACCACTTACTTTTTCAGAAGCTGTGTTTAATATCGCTTTTTTGTCGGCATTCTTGAAGTCCTCAATTGTATTTGTGTTCTTCAAATTTCCCGGAGCTGGAAAGTTGTTGACTTGCAAACTGTAGGACGGTAAAAGTGCGTTCAGGGACCATATTAGTCAATATAAAAAAAGCAGCACACAAACGATTAAATACTTTTGAAGCGCTTCGCGTGGCGAGAATTCTAAGCTTTCATTGCTAATAGATAGCCTTGGAGGGATTTCGACGGATCTTCCAGTGGTAGTATCCCGTACCGATTGACCGCTAGTGTAGAATCCTATAATCGCTTGTTCATCGTCAGATAGTTGGAAGATATCAAGCTTTTTCTTGGCCAATGCGTGCCAAAATGGTGCTTCTACAGCAGATTGAAACGGTGCGAACTGTACAATCTTTGACATTGTTGCTGTGCGATGCCAAAGTAGAAGTAGAAAGGTAAGGTCCACCGCAGTGTTGTAACAGGACAGATATTTTCTGGGTCAGGTGTCATGCCCTTCATTCATAACCTTGTGGCTAGCAGCTGTTTCATGCCATTTTTTAAAAGATAAATTACGCGATTCCAATGTCTTTATTATTAAACAATAACACGTTCTATAAGTTCTTTCAACATACTGGCTCTTGCTCTTGCTTTTGTGAAACAGTCCTTCATCATTTCTGGATCACAAACAGATCCTCCGCTCTTATGTACATATAGTATGGTGCCTTCTGTATCCAGTATGATACTAACAATCTTTTTGGACAGGCTTTCTTCACTATCGTTTGGGTCTGATAATGTAACCTTGGGATTGCTAAAGACGCAAAATGTAGATGACACTGGCAAACGACGCAATTGAAGGGGTCGAGTTTTTTCAGATGAGTCAGCTTGAACGATGCTGCTGGGAAGAACTGTTGCCTTTGGCAGTGAGACTATAGTTTCATGGTAAGTAACAGAATTCGAATGACTTTGTAAGGGCAGCGACGAAAGTGCACTCACGATCTTTCAATGCACAGATCAATGCCAATAAACTTGCATCCAGTATATTTCCATCATAGTTAATGCATACTATATCGGCATATAATGTCCATACGGCTTTGCCTTCCTCGATGCAAAGCTCTGACAAGTCTAATATTTGGCATCTATATCGATTGAACGTGTAAACGTGTAAACGTGTCAATATATTTATATCAATGTAACCAACTTCATTTGTTAACTTACGTTTCCACAACATGATTGATTGTTTCGGCGTTAATCTGCGCTTGTTCTGACGGTGGTCCTGGTCGAAAGTTGGCTGAACATATAGGTGCTAGTTCCACGTTTGGTACTGTGAAGTGACTTGAATGAGTATGGACGAAGAAAAGACGTGCAAAAAGTCCAGCATCAAGGGGGTCACATTACCTAGATATCCGTCCTTTGGTCGATCTATTCTTGGTTCTGCAACTTCAGCCTTAATTCCACATATAACAGTCGTGCCACCAATGCGGACCATTGCACTTCCGTTAGCTGTGCTTATAGCTCCTTGTCTTATTGATGTTGGTCTAAACGCATGTAGTGATCGACCGTCTGGTCGTACGTTTTCTTCAATGAATCGTCTAAAGTACTCATCAGGCTTGATTCTTTCAAAGATCTCGAAGCTAAATGAGGGTGCGACTGGATCTGCGTTCATGTTAGTGTCAAAACTTTGTTCGACTGTCAACGGGAGGCATAGACTTAAAATTTTCGAATTTGCTGGTTTTGCTGGTAAAATTTCGAGATTCCAAATACAGAATTGGCGCTGCACTTAAAAAAATGGCCTGTACATGACAAAAAGAAGAGATAATTCAGACAGAGAAGAATAAGAGGTTTGTCAAACTTGATTCTTTTGCCATGTTAGCCAGCTTATACCTTATATAAAAAAAGTTTTGAATATTGGACCGAATGATATGCTATGGCTCGCTCTTTTTCAGACTCTAAGTCACTAGACAATGTTCCTAAGCGACTTGTATTCCTATCTCCATTATCGCGTTCTTTTGAGTCGATGGTTTTAAACATTGAGTAACAGACGTATAAATACCGAATACGTTTTGTAAGCATCGATGTAGAGCTTGTCAATTGCTGCGTTTAAAGTTATGTTCTTCTGCATTTAATATTACCAATTACTGGGACTAGAAGTGGTTTTAGGAAGAGAAGTCGAATCTGGTTTTCAAAAATGTTAAAATCCTCTTTTCAAGAGTCATTTTGACTTTTGACAAACTCGTGGAGCATATTGCACAGAAGCAGGTGCATATAAAACACCCTATTAGAATTTTATTCAAGGAACGAGAAGATAGAGAAAAATTAGCGTGTTATGCTGGCATAGATAGATATTCAGGTTCCTAATAGATTCAAACAGAAAAAAGTTGTGTATCTATCATGTGTATCAAACAATAATACATAGCGAAAGGCTTAAAATTATGTGTCAATAGTACAGCGATAAGCAAAGAAAGGAAAGGTCAGTTTTAATCATATGTGACTTTATCCCCCTTCCCGTGCCTTAGAATTACTCTGTTTTTAAACCTTTGACGGTTCTTCGATTTCGCATCTCCCTGCGTATCTCTCTATCAAGCACGCCAGACGATAAGCGAAGGTATTTGATGAATAATTGAAGCTCGAGAAGTTTTGGTCAAAGATAATTTCATGGCGCCAAAACGGATACGCTGATGGATTCAGATGGCTCTCATTGTATCAAGGGCGTGTGCACCGCCAAGAAAAATGATAATCTCTTGTGGATATGATATTCGGTACGCAAAATGTTATGCCCCATGGGTAAAATAAAATAAAAATAAAATGAAAACCATTGTCTGCAAAATAAAAACCGTGTTCAATCTATAATCAAAAACCAATACCTTTGATCATACGCCGCAACCTCACCATTTCATACGTTAAAAAAGCGACGAGTTGTTTCAATAATCTGAGTTTGATAATTTTTCAACTTTCCAATTCCCAGACTCTTTGACCAACCGTCTTTCATCCAGATATTGTGACCTTTATTACCCCCAAATTTTAATCGCAATGGAGTGTCATAAGCAATTTCTCTTTGAAGAAAAGCCGTTTATTGGTACTAGAGCAACCATGTGTGATTTTGATTACGAGCTTACAGGCAGGCTCCTTCCAGACGAATTGTCGTTCACATATCAAATCAAATTTGCTTAAATTGAGGTATGTTTGAGTGTGTTTTGAGTTCCCCATACTTAGTCAATTTAAGTAAAAACGGGACCTGTGACCGATGAGGTACTGAACTTCTTGTTTCCAGTTTCAAGCAGCGCCAGAGAGAAGATGAGCCGTGGTCTTGTGACATCATTGGAAATGACAGCAAATTTATATAAAAAAAAAAAAGAGTTTGCGCACCGTACGATCAGCCTCGCTCTCTCCCCTTTATGCCCATTTTGCTCTTTCAAAATAATACAATACAATGGTTGTAGTTGGAGTCTTTGGAGCTGTTATTTTGATTCTCGCTACCATTGATCAGCTATGGACTTCGCTGAGCGTTACGTCTCCAAGCTTCATTTCACACCAAGTACCAATTGTCTACGGTGTCATAATGCGATGGCTGTATCGGCGAACCAATCGATATATATTTCTTAGGGCGTTAGGGCCCTTAACAGTTCTCACAGGCAAGTTGATATTGTATTTTTAGGGGAGAGCTGATTCTTCCACTTGACTGGTTTTTAACACTAGTGCAATCTTTCGTTACCGAATAGGTAAAACAATACCATGCGGCAGTTTATTTACTAGTTTTATCAACCCCTAACTGGAACCCGTTTTCAGTTCTCATTATCTGGTACATACTGATATGGATATCATGGGCGATGATATTTGGTGGCTTTTATAACGGTGCTATCGTCAATAACACAACGTGCGTTTGTGAAGCCATAATATTATGAGAACTCCGGTTGAGCGTATCCTTAATTAACTTTTATATACCCAAATTTTTTTCCAAATATGCAGAAATGAACCCGCTGGCACGGCAGACATCATATATTTCACAGGTAAGGCCCATATACATTCATTTGTCCATGTTTGTAATGAATACCAAGTCTAATAACCTATACAGGGTCAGTTCTTATCAGGTGGTCTTTAAAGAACTTCGAGAAGCAAAAGTTAACAAAACAAATTCACTTGAATGTCCAACCTTCAGCTATGTCATATTCACTTTAGGAATAGGTGATTACACCGCAGTGGACGGGGTATTCAAAATATTGACGTCTGTTTGCGCTTGCCATGGATTTTTGATGGTCTCTATTAATGTAGCATATGTGTTGAATGCTACCGGGGTAAGTTGTGATTGGTTTCGACAAAGTTTGACTTTTGTTGTTGTAGTACTTGTATTGATTTAGGCAAAATGGCTTTCTCGCTACACAGGTCGCTTCTGAAACCCGAAGGTTAGCGGCTGAGATATCTGGACTTGGAGGAACGCCATGCGTTATGCTCTTGAATTCGTGGAACGGTCGAGACCTAAAAGCTCTGAATACCCGTATAGATAATTTACTATCATCTCTTTGTGGTCAGGTAAGAGAAATTTTTTCGTATGACACGTTTACTGCCAAAGTTGGCGAGAGCATGTAGTCTGACCTTTATTACAATAGGCACAATCGCACATCTGCTATCCGTCACTATATAAGTAAGGATCTGCCATGTCGCACCCGTCTGTGGCCCTTGAAAAGCCAATAACATCGTCTTCCGTTTGCAGCTATCACAGTTTCGATACCTCCGGCTCCGGACCTTGCCGATTGGCGGCATTGGATGAGATGCTCACTATCCTCCTGTGGTTAGTATACCTCAACGTAAGCAGCGGGCTACAGTACTTGATGTCAGAAATTAACAGCCTTGTAGTGCATGCCCTGTAGAAATTCGTCCCGATTATCTCTGTATCATCGCGGCAAGAAATTCGATTGTAAGTATGAAATTTCAGATTCAGCCATTTCGAATTCATTTTTCTCATATATTTGAAGACATATTATCTGGAAACATTGCGTACAGTACATATAGTGGATGGCAATAAGGTACCACCGCCAATCAATCTAGATCCACTACGCAAGGCAGGAATACCAGTCGTTGCGCAGCATATATATGAAGCAGAGATATCCAAAAATAAGGAAATCTTGGATAGAAGATCCAGTCTATGGGCAATGGTAAAATCAGGTGGACATACCTGGGAGCAAGTTCTGACTATGCCCAAGTTTAAGGCCGATCTTGAACGTTATCAAACGTTATCTGCTGATGGACTGCCTACTTGTGTATAAGCACCAACGTTAAAAAAAATGCAAGCAATCAAATCTCATTGGTTCTGTAGCAATCTTGCCGTAGCGCAACAACTTCTGGAACGTCCTTCATATCAAGTTGCACAACATATACTATATATTTTGTAATTCAATCGCACTGTATTCAAATTTCAAGTGTATTTCACAATTGTGTCTTTTCATGTTTCTTTATAAGGATATTCTGCAAAATTAAATTGGGAATGTCAGTTCAATAGACTCATCACATAACTAAGTATTCAGAATGAAAAGCCTTAACATACCAATATCTCCGTCCTTTCGTCTCCAAAGCTTCTTCTTTTTCTTTGTAGCAAGGTGCTCAGCCCAGACCTCAACACAATGCTTCTTCTTGAACTTTCGAATGAATCCAGGGTCCCTACAACCACCAATGTCAAACAAAAGTTGAACCTCGGATGAATACGAATACCACTTTCAAAAACTTACCAAAGTTCAGAGGCAATGCCCAAATCTTTACAGCATCTCATCAGAGCATTGCTTTTGCAACCCTCTGAAGCGGTAGGCAAACCAGAATTGTCGAAAAAGTCCTGCTCTCCTCTAGCTTGCGAAACAAATCTGGATAACAAAATTCAGCTTTTGCAAGGTGCAGTGATGGTTTTAAAGTGACGCTGTTACCTTCCATGACATATCAAAGCGTATTCACGTGAAACATTTTTGGGAGATATCGAATGCTCTCCCCTGGGTGCAAGACCCCATCCTCCAGGTCCAAAGGCCTTATTCAAAATGCGTCGATATTTGATTTCAGGAAGATATAGTAGACCATCTAATGGGGTGTTGGGTGTGTTACCATCATGCTTTTATCAAAAAATTCTCATCCGTTATTAGTAGCACCCTCCCTACCTGGCTTAATCTCGATATCATCGGCCGTGATAGGTTGCATCAGAACTTCAGCAATTTCTGAAGAAAAAGGTTGTGTGGATAGCCCATGGAAGGACCTTGACCAGTCATGCGTATTGCTTTGCTCGTTTAATTCGATGCCATCTTCCACAGCTGGAGCGTCGAATTCTTGAGTGGCCGGGAAGTATGCTTTACCATCGGTTGGCGCATTATTTTCCGAAACTACTTCCTGAGACCCGACAATGTCTTTTACCTTTGTCGTAGCCTTCATTGTCGATTGGTCTCTTCTTGTAGGTGAATACCGCTTAGCCGATATCGTCTCTGTCGTCGATACTGCGCGAATTGTGGTACTCTGTGGCGCAAAATGATGAGACACTGCAATTTTGACCAACACCCCAAGCAGAAGGACAAGCCTCGGAGCTCTTACCTGTATTTTGGCTGCTGCTCTTCCCGCAGAAGAGATTCTGCTCATTGCTCCCAATGAAACACGCAACATTGTACAATGTGAGAGCTGTTGGCGAGCGTCGAAACTTGACGCTCCTTTTGCTATGGACCTTACAGCAGTCACACTTTTTTGAAAATGTGTCCTTTTTTTTTTTTTTTCCTTCCTAGTTTGAAAGTGTCTGCCTTTTCTCAACCTATCTCGTATCTATGGACGCTTGGAACGGCTCATTTGCTCAGAATCAACTAGAAAAGTTCGGTTGGAACAAGTATGTACTCAATGTCAGACAATTCCAAACCTGATGTCCAAACACTGATCGCTTTCATTATTTTTCTTTAGGGGTGACGGTCTGGGAAAGAACAAGGACGGCAATGTTAAACACATTTCCGTAACGAAAAAGAATGACAAGAAAGGTGTTGGAGTTGGGCAGGATCAATGGGAATTTGCATGGTGGGATCATTTGTTCAACAAAAGCGCCAGTGGTGTGGTCATCAATAAAGACGATGATAAAGGCGAGGTAAGTTTGAGTGCGTTTATATACCTCGTTAGTAACCACGATTTACTTACTTTACATTCATTATAGGTAAAAGTAGAGACAAAGAATCACAATATGCGAAAGTCCAAAACCGGCATCATCAGTACAGTTAAGCCGTCTGGTATATCCGAGTCAGAATCATCACCGTCAGAGACCCCATCTGGAGCGTCCACACCTGTTCTAGAAGAGCAACCCCGAACAATGATGGATAGTGTCAAAGTAGTACACCAATCGTTTGCTCAGCGCATTGCGTCTTCCAAGCTCTACGGCGCATTCGTGAAAAGTACAACAGGGGCTCTCGATCCGTAAGTTTGAAGCTAAAACTTATCAAAGGTTAATGTTACCTACGTACTGATTCATGGCTCTTAGGTCTGCACCCAATTCAGAGCAGGCTTCAAAGGAAACTTCAGCGAATGCCTCAGATGCAGACTCTGACAATGAATTCAAAGACTATTCTGTCAGGATAACAGATGCTGAGTTGTTCGCGGCATGTGAAGGGCGAACAGCCAGAAAAGGTGGCCGCGGTCTGGTCGACCAAAAGGGCAAATTTGCTCGTGTCATGACCGAGTATCTTGCAAACAGCGCTGATGAGCCGGCATTACCGTCGAATGTTGAGGAAAGCTCAAAAGACAAGAAGCGGAAGAAATCAGATGAAAAGGATGATACCAAGCCAAAAAAGAAGAAGGCAAAGCGCGACGATGCTGACAAGGAGAGCAAAAAGAAGCTAAAGAAGAGCAGCAAAGAGAAAAAATCCAAGAAAGATAGTGATGAGAAGACAAAATCCAAGAAAGACAAGCAGAAAGGCGATGCAGTGGCAGCGAGCAAGACGGAGAAGATAGAAAGCAAGGATGAAATGGCGAAATCGAAAACGGCTAAGAAGGAAAAGAAGGCCAAGAAAGAAAAGTCCAAAAAGCAAGATAAAGATTCAAAAGTCAGCAAGAAGAGATCTGTAGAGGACGTTGCGGATAGCGAAATCAAAGTGAAATCAAAAAAGAGCAAAAAGTCTAAGAAGGATTAGAAAATGGAACGTAGCATACCAAAATTGACAAGACAATGCAGCTTTTGTTGCTTCTGTGAAATCTCCCCCATTAGAAATGTAATATACTATTCATCATTCAACAAATCAAATCATACACGGGGAAAGGGATGTGATGTTTCAAAGGATGTTTGATTGATCTATGACTAGCGAGCAAACTAATATTTACAATTTAATCGTAATGACGATGGGCTATATAATGGTATATGCAAAAGAAAAAAAATCATTGTCGACCATTTAACGTGATCGAGCACACAAACACATCATCAATTGCCATAGTGCTCCGATGCCGGCCAAGACGGTGACGGCGATACCACCATAGAATAGCGCATCATACAGAACGGTATCACATAACGGCTGAGCAGCTTGCTTGACACCGCTGAGTGCTTGGTCGCAATTGCCTTTGGCGACTTTAGAATAAATCATTAATGCCACACCTCCAGCAACGAATGCGACTGATATCAATAAGCAGAACATCCTGCAGCAAGTCATACCATAGCACAATCCTTTGCTGGGTTCGGTGTAAGGCTTCGGTAAATAAGTAGCTGGGTCATTTGCACCTTGGGAGGTAGGTTTTGCTCCTCGTCGTCGCTCACCGGGTAAGAAGCCATCTCTATCCGGGCGATTGTACGACACTGGCGCTACCAAGTGAGTGGGTTCTTGTAATTCTACGTCTACATCCTCGTACTCCACTTCTTCTTGCATAGGCTCGGGTTTGGCGCTGGGTCGTCGGTTATTGGCAGCAGATAGTAAAGCAGTAGATTCAGGATCTTGTCTCCCGTTATAAGCTTCATGATCTGGTTCTCGGTAACCACCTAGTGGAACGGAGTGTGGGTCGTCATAGCCACTATGAATATTAGGGTAAGACTGATTATTGGGCGTGGGCCCCTGAGGTGGGGGCGGCGGTGTATGGTAAACCTGTGGCTGTGGAGTAGAGTGTGGGCCGGCAGGCCAGGAAGTGTTGTTCGAGTAATTTTGAGGGTAGAACTGATCCTGGTAATCAGCGTAATTTTGTGGGGTTGCAGTGTGTTCGTGAGGAGGGTATGCGGGATATGCTTGCGGTTGACCTTGATCAGGAGGGTAAACTGGATAGTACTGTGTTGTAGGAGCTTCTATGTTGCTCGTAGCTGGGTACTGAGTATTAGGTGGAGGATATTGACCAGCATAAGCATCATAATCGTGCGTCTCTTGACCGGGAGTGTGTGACATTTGTAAAAGAAGAGATATTGAAAGGCGAAAGGGTGTTGCCACTCGCCTATTTAAATGGGAGGCTCAGGTTTATTTTCGCCAAGCCAAGCTCCGACGTGGGCAACTGTGCCTTTCCATATTCGTCCAATCTCAACAATAGATTTTTTTTTAAAATAACGGTTAGTTTATGCCAAAAATACCAGGAATTTTGTTTCATTCGGTGGCTTCGCAAGCAAAGGTTATTCAACAAGCCAAGAATCAAACAAATATTGGTTTTAAGAGGCTTACCCTTGTGATGGAATTTATGAGTGCCATCCAACAGTGACGTGAGCCGCTGCCCGTTACGGCATGTGAAGTAATGTCCACTGCACACCAGCCCGGCAGGCGGCCCTTTATACAAGAAAATGTTGTTTGATATTGGTAAGTGAACAAGCTGAAAAGGGAAGTGAAACTCACACAATGGAAAAAAAAAATTTGGAGGGAAAACAAAGAAAAAGGAGCAATTGCGAGCAACCGCTGTACTGTACAAAGGTATTATATCCAATGGTTACGTGAAAGGAAACTGACAGGCACCATAAGACCAAGGAAAAAAAAATATGTAAATTTACAAGAATGTAAAGTAAGAAGAAAAATGAATGGATGGTTGAATGAGTGGGATTTGAAGGGAATGAGAAACAACAAAGTGCTAATGACAAAAGCTAAAGACGGAAAAACAGAGGTTCCATGCAGAATGATAACGGGAAGACACATGAAGCAGCCATGATATTAGCATATCATGTGAATTTATCGTACACTATTCCTTGCAATGCCTGGCCTGCTTGAGCGGCGGCTGCTTTGATTGCTTTGGAATACGTCCCAGAATCGAAGGGTTTCATCTCCTGCGCCGGTAACGATAGTTTTACCGTCAGGGCTCATTGAAAGGTATAGTACGCGATAAGAATGTCCCGTCAAGGTTGCTATTCGTTGCATATTGTCGTATTTCCATACGATCACTTGATTCGAGCCCGTACCTCCATTTGGAGCATAACCATGAGTTGAAACCAATTCGTTAGACGTCTTGGACCACAAAATATTGCAAACTTGAGAGCCAGTGTCGTATGAATGCAAAAGACTTCCAGTCATAGTGTTCCAAAATTTTATGGTCTTGTCAGCCGTACCGCCACCGCTAACAAGAACACCACGTGCCGAAGGGTTCCAGGCGATTGCTTTAACAGCTGCAGTATGGTCGGTAAACTTGTGTAAAATTCGATTCTCATAATGATCCCAAACCATGAGCATATTGTCGTTTCCCCCGGAAGCTAACATATTTTCGTCTGGGTTCCATTTTAGGCCACAAACTTCTTGGGTATGTGCATCCAATTTTCGAAAGTACTGAGCTGGAACTCGAACATCTCGGTGAAATATAACGCGATCACGGCCACCTGAAGTAAGCACTTGGTTATTCCAGGCAAGCGAACCTATAAGAAAACATAAATCGAGTGTAAGTACGCGCTTTGTCGCGGTTTATTACGCGTAAATGATAACAACTTACCAACTCGAGAAGTATGGCCATTCATTGTCCGCAATTTTCGACACTTTTCGGCGTCCCATATTAATACGCTACCATTGTTGGTACCAACAGCAACATGCGATCCGCGCTGAGTCCAATTGACGGATGTGACTGAATCACCAGGTCCAAGGTCACATAGTTTGGTAACTTTGCTTGTCGTAGCATTCCAAAGGTATACGCACATCCCTAAACCGACAGCAAGTACGTCTGTTGAGCCCCAATCCACCAGGTTAAGGTAAAAGTCATCCTGCAAAGCAAAGACTGAGTTAGCGGTGCTTAATAAATGATACAGCGCTCGCACTGAGCAACTCACTTGTAGTTCCGGTGCATCAAGGACTTTCACAGGCGTTCTGCTTATCTGTCGTGGTAACTTTTGAGGACTTTGCAAGATTCGTTGCCCAACAGCTCCAATAGGACTGGTGGAATATTTCGCTTTGTACGGTGAGTCCACCTGTACGGGTATCTCTTCTGCATTTCTGGATCGGCTATGTCCATAAGTAAACAGTTTTCGTGGGGTACGTGGGGAATCCTCGGAAAAGGTCTGCAAATCGTCCAAAGAAAAATCCTCGCCTAGTAATTCTGTTCGTAGCATAGCTTCGTATTTACGATTGGCAATTTCTAAGACGAATTATGGCGTTAGAATTCGCTCCGACAACAAATATCCCCACTTATCAATAACCTTACCACTTTGAGGTGATGTGTCGATACCATTGCTGCTTCTTTTTCCTTTTGAAGGTGTCCGCTGGTCGCCTATTAAGCTGAATTCCGTTGCGAGATTCCTATCGCGAACCGGTATGAATCTATTTAACGCAGGAGAGTGAGTCATAGCTAGCTATGATGGTAAGGACTATAAGAATGTCCGGCACTATACCTGTCACCGTATATCTCTCGTCGAACACGGCTAGGTGGCGTAGAAGGAAAGACGGAGTCGATGGATATTATTCTCGATGAATCGTCGGACGAATGTCTTGACGGCGTTGATGGTATGGTAGGAACGTCGTCATCACTATGACGCTTAGAGGCGTTGGAAGTGTGTTCCTTTGATTTTGGTATTGACCGAGTGTGAACAGTCGTTTTCCGAGAAGCTGACCGTAGCTTACTCGTATAATCTGAGCTCATTGCTGGCGTAATGACGAATTAGGCTCGACTAGCAGTCGAGGATGCCGTAGTATAAAGTGTACTTAAATTGTGCAATGCGTTGGAAATGCTTTCTACTCGATACTGATTTCGTTATTCCCAGTTTTGCAAACAATGTAGGTGTGTTGAGGAATATAGGGGCTTTCGGAGTAAAGCTGTGATGCAGTGGGGTGATGGGTGTCGAAGTGTTGTCGAGGTAAGATCAGTTGTGTAAAAGGGGCGGGTGATGCTATCAAGACCAGCAGGCTTTTACAGGGGTGGAGGACTAATAGGAGAAGACTTTTGCACAGCCTATAACTTTGCAAATGCTCCCCAAGATGGATGTACGAGTGTCGGAAGCTCGGCGGCAAAAGTGACAGCTGAAAAGGAGTGGGTCTTGGTGACAAAGAGAAAGGGAAATCAAGTTCCGCCCTATACAAATCGTACTTATGCCCTTTTATGCTGTTTGGCCCAATAAAAAGGCAAACCGCTAGGAGTTCAATTTCTATCAAAACAAGTTAAAGAACTTCTATAATGCCTGATAGCATCTTTCATACGTGTTCAATCGTGCTTACCAGTGAAATAGAAAGGCTCGTCACTGTGTAGCGTAGGTTTACACGTGTGGCCAAAAAAAAAAAAATCCCAGGGAGTTTGGTACGAAATCATCATTTTGAATGTTTACACATCGAAAACGTGACGTAGTACCTACGTCATCAATCAAATAGTTATTTCACCTTGTGAGCCCACAACAATCTGCCTACCACAACGAGATATCACCGATTACAACATGTCCTTGGTTAACAGACCCAACAACGTTATCGCCAGCCAGCGTTTCTTCCAGGTATGAAATTTTTTTCCAGTAGAACGCTTGTCGTCTTGAAAACAATATTCGTGAGCTCTCAATTACATACCGACATTTATGCTAAATTGTTCTGGTATCAAATAGGCCCCATCCAACACCTTGCTCTACCTTCGTGGTCCTAGAGACAAGTTCATTGTCTACTCCACCTTCCTCGTTTTGGGAACTGGTGTCGTTGGCTCCCTCTGGGGTGCTATCAAGATGGCCAGAGTAAGATTTTTTTTCTACTTTCATTCAGCTCGTCTCGAATCGACACAGTTACTAACTTCAATTCAATCATTTGTAGGGTCAGAAATAAGCAGCACTAGAGAAAATCATTGTAATCAAATATGTCCTTCAAAGAATGCATTGTTAACAAAGCTTAGATAATCGCAATGTTCAATGAAAGTTTTTTTTTGATTTTGTTCCAATTGTTGATTCATTGATGGACCGCCAACTACAACGTGGTTAAGCATTGATTTTGTATATTTATATTGGGAAAGTGGGATGCTATGTTGGACTCGATGCAAGATATGCAAACTACATTCAATTGGAAAAGCTATTGTATCATTCGATATTGCCGTGTTTCTGTGAGGTTTTCGTACAAATTGCTCGAAGAGCTATTCTCCGAGATAATGAGATCAATCATGGATTCCTCAGTAAGCGATTTTGGCTTTTCAAAACTCGGTAACAATGGTTTCCTGTTTTCCTTTGCATCCACTAGTGCATAATATGCACCTCCAAAGAGGGTAAGCAGGATGCCGAACGCGTTGGTAGGGTTTATGCGTAGCTTGAAAATAAAGATAGCAAGCACAATCGAAAGCACCTGCTTCACATTGCCTTCAAAGCATTGATTTGTGAGAAAGGGCTTCTAGGGTTTTAGCACATATTTTTTGTAATTGGCCCTTACCTGCTACTGTCATTGTCACTGGACCAGCCTGCTTGTTTGCAGTGAAGCTAACCACATTCAAAGAAAATGCAACAATACCGTTGAACAGCAGTGCCACATACACGCCAGCATGCATATTAGTGGTGACGAACTGTCGAACTTCGTGCAGTTCACCAGTAAAGTATGAGTAAATGACTGTTTGGACAAAGGCGATAGGGCTCATACGAAGTAAAAGATCCAGTGGATGTAACTTGAGGCGTCCGACTTGCACGCGATTGGTAACCACTGTCTTCAATGCTGCTAGCCCAGTTCCCAGAACGGTCAGCAAGAATCCTAGCAAAGTAAAATCGTACTCGCCAAATGTTGCAAATCCAACCCCAAAGATAACCTAATTTGCGATGAAGTTAGGATCAGATGAATTGTTTGCTTTATACTCCTAAGATGATCCTTTGATAACGTACCGGTAGCAAAGCCAAATACTTTGCTTTAGAGTAGGTTGTCCGCAAAAATAAAATGGATATCATCACTGTAAATATCGGGGTCATAGCTCTGACAACTTGATGAAACTGTCATATTGTCTTTTGTGTTAAATTCATTTGCAGTCAATGTTGTTAGGTCGATGTTTTTACATACCGGAACGCTGACCATGTTACTGTTGATTATGAGATTCCCCGTATTGTTATGTTAGTATTAAGTTGCCAAATAAATCATTATTCAGTAACGATTGAAGAATGAAAGGGAGAGTAGTGAATACGACAGAAGTATACTTACAGAGATACGTTACTGATGGCGATGTTGATGGTGTATAAAACGGAAATAGCAAGCATTACCACATTTTCTTGAAATGAAAGTTTAGTTGGCGTAAATGATCCTCTTAACCATAATGTAGTAGCTCCAATTGCAGAACAGAAGGTGTGAACTGCAGTTAAGGTCCATGGATATCGAAAGTCCATCAGTATAACTTTATTGTAGAGCGTAAGAAATAAGTTGAGCACAAAATATAGTGCCAACCACTTGTACGGTGACGTGCTCGATAGAGAAAACTTTGCCATAGTAGTCGAAAAAAGGTTGGGTTGATCTGCGTGACAGGGATTCGAATATATATATTGGAAGATGGAGTGTCAAGAATGATTTAAAATAGACAATATTCGGAAAGACGTCAGATCTATAAATGATTGTAATGGGTCGTAAAGGCAAGTGGCCAGAGAAAATGAATAATGAAAGAGCTGAGGACAAAGAATGCAGAATACTTGAGTAATTCATCAATCAGTAGGGAGAGAACTGATGGACAGGGATCGTTCAGGGGATTAGAGGCTAAACGTGAGCGGGGACACAACAGAACTCAAAGGGGGTTCTTTGAATTTTGTTTTGTATCAGAAAGCTAAAGTAAATTGGAGATTTCTACAGCACATTATATCACTAGTTTCAGTTGTAAGTCGCCACCAAAATCACCAAACAATTTATATTTAGATTGCTAGGTTTGACAATAGTTAGCGCTAGGGATACATATTTTTGCTGGATATTAAAACAGCGTTCTACAGAGAGGGCAACTGGATGAGTTGGAGCTGCTAAACCACTGTAGTTCGTTCATTGATGTTAGTAAAAAGTATATTCTCAATTGACATTGATATGGTTGATTTCCGGAATTACCTTGTACAAGCAGCTGGCGTGATATTTGTTTTTACAGGTTCTGCACTGTTTGCTTGGTAGCGATCTATCGGTCACACTCACGATGGAGTAACAGATGGTACAGTCCTCGATACCTTCGAAGTGCATACTTACATTGCGTTTGAACAATGTAAGAGCATCTACCAAGTTGCCATTCTGTGCGTATCGAGAGTAATTAGTACTAAGAACAAGCTTTGTTCATTTGCATCTCTCTCACTGTACCTGTGAGACAATAATTGCTGATACAGCAAGTAACCAAGCTCTCCATCGCTTTTCGTCCACGCCGACTTTTTGAACACCATTAACATCTACTTTTCGAAGGGGGAACATGGGTGGTAGCCTAATAGCCATTTCAATGTTCTGGTCGTCAACTCTATAGACAGCAATGATTTCATTGACTGCCTTCAACGCCTTCACTGTGAAATTTTCATCTTCAGCAAAAAGTGACTTTGCATCCGCTTGCACAACAGATTCTATCTCGCTGTTGATGATGAGAGAGCTAAAGTACTTGGAAGTATAGCTACAGTGAAGGAGATACTAGAATTTAGCATGGTGGGCTTTTGATTTTTTGATACAAAATGTGTCCATTACCTTTCAACTGCAAGGCTCAACTGACGGCTCTTGATTTCGGCCCACCATTGTCTATTGCAGTCAATGCTAAATTAGCGTGGTATGCTATGTTATACATTTATAAGCAAAAACTTACCGGACAAGCGATGGCGTCTTTTGCAACGATCTGAAGTAAATATGCGAGGCCAGCAATTGCAAGCTGAAATCGAAAGATAAATCAAATCCTGCAAGATACTCCTTTTAGTCAAGTTCTTCAGATATCGCATTTTCAATCATGAATCCCTTACCAAGGATATCAAATGTGTTCACTTCCCACTTTGATAGGTCAAAGGGTTCGACAGTATGATCAAAGCCTACTCCCAGTATCTTGAAGATGAAATTCATCAAGCTGTCTGTTGCCGAATTTTCGTTCAACTGCTGCACATAATTGGACTTGAGCTTGAAAGTCTAGAGGCCAACCAATATGACTTGTGTTAGACAAGATTTACGATAGTACAGGGCTCGGTGTACTTACAATATCTTCAAAGTGATCATATAGGAGCATCCATGCCAGTAGATAACCGAAGATGTCATGTAGCGTCTAGTATACATTTTTGCTATGAGAACAACGTGATAACAGCATGGTGTGGCATACAATATGAAGCTTTCTTTACCTTGTCAGTAAATTGTCCATCCATCCACCCTGACAAGCTAGGAGGGTTCAGTACTTGATCAAGCAATCGATGATTGAAATTTGCTAGAGATGGGTTTTCTAAAGACGACTGTATTTAGCAAGGCTTCGGGAAAGCAACATGTGAGTAATAGCAACAGCAATATTACCTTCACTATGAGAAAACTCCAGGCTAGCTGACAGACCTTGCGCCTGCTCTACTATATTCGTGCTCAGCAACTTATAACTAGCTTTTTGAAAGGATTCACTGGGTGCGTTGATAATAGATAAGAGATTATCTTCCACACTCTTTTGCTTGACCATCTTGTCAGGAACATCCTCCAGTAATTGGGCGAGAAGCTCATGAAGAGCAAGTCGTGGTGATGTTGGCTCGGTTGCTATATGATGACGTGAATAGAGAAACATAAGTCATGCCAAGCATGGAGGTTATACTTACTTTGCTCTGCAATCAATATATCGAAAATGGTCTCCTGAATAGCTCCGCTGTAATCGCTAAATGCTGAAAGGAGGTCTTCGTTCTCATCAGCAAGATTTTTCAGCGTGGCAAATAACGACAATGCCTCATAGACCAAAACTGTGTCCGCTGGTGAAGTTATATCGGCCAACTTGTTATAAAATTACAGTCAATTAGCATCAGCGAAGCTCTCATATCTGACAGTATGATAGCTTACCATTAAGCATTCTTGTATAGCCGACAGAATATAATCCCAGTGACTGCCAGGGACATCCAATAAGGCTGGAGCCATGTGAGAAAACAACTTTAGATATTGGCTACGAACTCGAGCATTTCGGTATGAAGAAGCCTCTGATGATTCATCCGATTCAAACCATTTACGCAATGACTGCATCAAGAATACTAATCTTGGAGGCAGCATTGTAAGTGGAAGTTTGTTGGATATACATTGATTGAGGAGCACAATTGTTTTCCATGCTACAGTTTCGCGGTCACGCAGAGGAGTATAAGTTAATAATGCTTGTACAAGTTGGCATATCAGATTTCACTCACCGGTACTGTCGTTCTCATCAAAAAGATTAGTCATATTCAAGCTGGATACCTGGCTAGCCAGCCTGTTCTGGAATCGGATGACAGCTTGTGAAGAAGGGAAATGCACCCTCAGTAGGTCAACGATGAATGCAGGATAAAACACAGCTAATGAAAACGGATGGAATCAGTATCCATATTTGTAAACAAGCTGTATCGGCTTCATTAGACTCACCATCTTTTTCACTACTGAGTACCAGGTTGATCCATGCCTCAGCGAATTTATCGTCCGATGTTCCTACTAAGGCATACCGACATACGAGTTTCAAGACCTCTGCATAGTATAGGTTATCACTGTTCTGTGCAGCTTGAGCAAGTGATGCTTGGACTAGCTGATCAACCATGCTGCAATGCTGAGTATCTGGCGTGCTGACGCCATCGGTTGAAGTAAGCCATTGAGTAGATGGCTCCAAAGTTAAAGATAGTTGAGGTGAATTTTTCAACAATTCTTTCAACATGCTTTGGCCGATCTCAACAGCCTCTCGAAAGGCTATTTCGTTAGCAGACTCGTATTTCGATCCATCCCATATTCCAAATGGAAGATGAGCTTCCAGGTATTTATGGCAAACCTGACCGGCAGCGACGAGTTCAAGAAGAACGCTAGCACGTTTTGCGTTACCATTGTCTCCAACAAAGAGCTGGATACCCAATTGTCGGGCAAGATAGTGAGCATATAGAATGCATCTTCCGTAGGAGCTCAAGCCATAGATATCGTAATCGACGGGTGTCATTTCGTCCTCATCCAAAGGTGCTTGATGTATAGCTCCAGCGATAGGATCAGTGATCGCAAATGCGACTATGCCCATTGGCAATTGGTGCATAAAAGTCTGGCCTAAGGTTTGCCAGTCTGTAGCTGGCAGCAAAAGGCGGTCAATGGTGGTTTCCTGAAGTTGAGATTGCTTGGCTGTTATTCCCGCCAGGATCATATTGGCACGCTTCACAAATTCAGTGGGACTAGAAGTTGAAAATTGGTAAGTTTAAATCGTAAAGTTCAACATGAGCATTGGTATATTTACACTCACCTTGAAATGTTGCTCGTATCCATAAGTTCACTGCGTATGTGATCACTCAGTCGCTCAGCAATAGCTTTCTGTAACTCGATGTTATCTTTGATGGTATGTAGTAAACGTTGCCAAGCCGCGTCTGCGTTCGTGTAAAGTTGCTGCTTGTTTTTATCATCGCCAGCGTCAACGTTGACAAAGTTGGTTTCAAACACTGAAACAATTATCTTTGCTGTCGTGCTATCCTCAACTAACCGCTTGACGGATTCTTCGTCGGCAAGGATGGAAGTGGTGATCGACATGACCGTAAGAAGGTTGTCCATAGCTCCAGTAGCCTCTAAATCATTTGATGAAATACTCTGCAATCCTGCAATCATTGAGTTCGCTAATTCTATCATTATTGATCGCCAACCATTGGGGGTCAAAGCAACTGAAATTTTCATTATTAGCTTGTAATCTCCATACTGCGATTGCTGTAGTTCAAATTCTTACGGTTGTAGGCCAAAACTGCATTGATAACAGTAGACTGCAATAGCTTGGGATCCATACTTCTTGAAGTAGTCCCGTTCTGACATAGTTTTTGCTGCACCAAAAGGTGAACTTGCTTATCTAATGGAGATTGGCGTACTATGTCGCTCATGGAATCAAGTGATGCCTAGACAAATATTGTGAGGTTATATAATTATAGGTAGCAAAGTTTGTATGTTGTGCATACCTTTTCACAGATCGCTCCCAGTATGATAAGCTGAAGACTGTCACTGATAATATCGCCAGAGCTGAAGTCAATGTCCTCCACAATTATGTTCCAAATGCTTTGGGTAACAGTGTTATCGTTGCAATGGGCCATGAATTGAATAACGAACGTAGTCAAGGTAGGTATCCTTTCTAGCTTTTGTTGCTTCATGCCTTTTGCCAATGTCTGTACGTTTTCGAACACAGCCTACGATGAAGGCTTTAGGAAAAAATAGCAACTCAAATTTTGAACATGGATCTATACCTACCTTAGTTTGACTTGGATTCTTGAACAGCAAAGATTTGAATGATGAAAGTAATTTGACAGCCAGATACAACTGCGATGTGCTTGTCTCTGTTTTTTTTTTTCAATTGTTATTATTATGCTTTTAGTACGAAAGCTAGTCAAGTGGCGCATTTACCTTCAGCATCCAAGGACTTTTGAACTGCAGTAGCAAATATTGTGGCTGCCAAATCCTCAACCGAAGAAGAAATGGAAGATTTCGTTGCATCATCGGTATATACGGTCTGCATGGATGAGAGCAATTCACTTGTTCGCTCAGGCAAGACCAAATGTGCATCGCCACCGTTTGTATCGTCTATACTTGATACAGCAAATGATTCAACCTCGGACCACAGCAATTCAAACTCGGCTGTAGATGACAATATGGTTAACAAACGTACAAGGGACTTGCAGTGATACGCAAAACTCACCCTTTAGAGATTGAATAGAACTCAATGAAATCAAGTGTTTACTTATGACAACGCTGATTGATGAAGGATCGAGCTTTTGAGCAATACGGTCCGTGCCGGTAGTTGCAAAATACAATTTGATGACTTTGCCAAACTGATCATGAATCAAGTAAGAGCGGACTTGCTCAGCCTCTTCATCCGACTCAATTCTCTTACTGCAAGTATATATGTATTCAGATTAGCTGATTGTAAATTATATGACATAATGATGTATGTAAGCAACCTACCTAGCAGTAGCTGCCATATAAATTGCGCATTCCACAAAGGCATTGATGAATATTGAGGCATTATTTCTGTCAATGTGCTCACTCTGTCCGCCAGTCCAAAAGGACGTAAAAATATCGACGTAAACCTGATAGCCCTTAATGATCTTCAATAGCGCATATCAGCTGACTGTCATGTCGTATACGTTGAGCTTTCAAGCCTCTATAAAATTTACCTCGTTTGGAAGATTTGCAAGAAGGGCAAGCATACTTGGATAGGCAATGGCAGGAGATCCATTCAAACCATTACGAAGGGCATTGAGAAGCTTCGGAAAGGGCGGTTTCTTTTCACTGCTTACCCACGCTTGAGGAAACTCTATCAAAGCTGGATTAATAACTGCTAAGATGTTTGACAAACACTTCTCACAGGATTGTTACTACACACCATTTGATAACACAAGTAGTGAGTCCCATAGTTCTGGGTGAGTAGTTGGGTTTGATTCTGCAAATGCTTTGCTTAAGAAATGTTTACGAATGAGGGGTAGCCTAGGTTCGACCATATCTAATCATTCATTATTAGTATACGTTTACGGTCTACCAATCTTAATCTCGCTGTGACTATACCTGGCCATTTCGACAAAATCACTTTTAAGAAGTTGTAGACGGCCTTTCGAATGTAAGGGTTTTCATCAGTGGCGTATTTCCAGAATTTTTCACTGTCCACCAGATTATCATAGTCCTGCTTCACTTTCGTCCTGTCATCCACAGAAATCTCGTCTATGATCCAAATGTGTCAATACATAGGGTCTCTCTAACTAGTCATCCAGACCAAGGTACTCACTTATAAGGTACGCCAGGACATGGAAGGATTCGATGATGACTCTCGCAAACTTCGCATCCATCTCCTCCTTTGTCACGTCACGAGGATCACCTAATTTCAAACATGTTATTAGCGCTGCACCGATCCTGAACCACCAGTATGTTCACCATTTACACCAACTTACTGAGAGTATCTGGGGTTTTCTCCAATATCATCTCCGAAGTATACTCAATAATTGATTTCTGACAGAAAACAAGAACTTCCTTCTTCTTATCCAAAGGAAATGCAGACTAAAGGTTTTCGGTTTAATAAATCAATTGGTAGAATAGGAAAGATATCGATGATGACGACTTACTGAGAATGAAGTGGTGGCGATTCGAGCTACGTCTTTGCTTGGATCGAAAAAGCAAATCAGCCATGGGCCAATCATGCTCTTAAGATGGGGAGCAATTTTTCTTTTTGCAACAGATACAATAAACTGATGAACAGATTGAGTGGCCAATCGCACACGTCTGTCAACGTCTATAGCTAGTTTCCCGAATAGGCGATCCTGCGGGAGGCAAACAACAATGGGTTGAGTGACTGAAATTGGCACGAAGTTTTCACGAGCAAAAAGTTAAACGCACCCAAACGTCTAAAATGCTAATGACTGAAGATTCGTTGTTCTTCAGATATGATTCAAATTCTTCCAATGCTCGTACTTTTGTGATCGAATCACGTTTCGACAGTTTCTTGATAACCACGACTAGCTCTGGGCTTAGGTCATGGCTAGTCGCTATTTCGCCTTCTGAACTACCGCTTTTTGCCATTGGCGAGGTTGGAGCAAACGAACCATGAGCAGGTGTTACGAATCGAGCGAAGCCTCCGAGATTCTGAAGATCGACTGCGCCGTTTCCAGCACCTGCAAGATCTGCAGCTCGGCTGAAGGTGACATCAGAGAGTGAATGGGTAAAGTGTATGGATTGCTGTTCCAATTCTTGCATGCAAAACTTACCTGCTACTTGCTGGCTGGGCTTTGCCTTTGGGCCTTGCGGGCTTAGTGGTTTTCCCCATGACGACGAATAAATGGAGTTCAATGAGGGAGGTGGTCTATTTTACTTGACTGCTTTTCAGCTCCGGTCTGAGATGATCCGAAAGACTGTGCCTTGCCTTTCCATTATTCCATGTAACTTGTAGTTCCCTGTCTCTAATGTACACGGTAGACAGATAGGATAAAATGACCATTTTGTTACCTGTAGCCTCTTATATATAAGGTCAGGCTACGAAATGATAAGCACTCAATGCAAAATATTTATTTTGTGGCCTGCAGATGGCTGATCAAATCCTTCATAGCGTTTGTTGCTATTTCCTCTATATTTTCTGTATCTGAATTCATTATTGATAGGTCATGAATGTTATTTTGCTTCACTTCGTTTTGGTTTGCATTCGGGAAGAGATGGGAATTCCACTTCTCGTATTGTGGCCAAACCAATTGATCGAAATATCCAGGCGGATCAACCCAATAACCTTCGAAGAATATATCAGATACTAATGCATGACATCACACAGCAACTTCTCATTCCTACCTTCTTGAGTTACATATCCTTGTCTGGACTCCCTCCTCTGCTTCAGGGTGTCTTTCCCAGCATAAATAAAGAAGCTGCAATCAAATTGCTCATAGATCAATGGATCCCAATAGAGTAATATACCATCCGCTAGGACCAAACGAAACTTTGAATCAACGTCTTTGGGTATCATTTCTTTGAGGTGATTCAAGAAGTCGTCAGACACTGTCATGGACCCATCATGGGTATTACTGTCTTCACCTCTAGGGTGATCATTGCTCAGCTCCCCATTGTGTTCGCGTGCATATTGCAAGCTTTGGTGCATTTTGACGGCATCAAAAGATTCCGGACAATCCCAATTGTCTAAACCAGTGTCTGGATCAGTTGGTATCTCTGTGTCAGGCTACCGCATGAATACAGTCAGAAAAGGTGTCGACGTGACCATTTTAGATCATTGCAACCACAAAAGAGCCTGAATACCTTATAAAAATCATCTTGATGAATGACAACCGAGTTTGAAAAGACTTTTCTTAATATACGAGCCAGGGTCTGGTAAATCATTGTGAGTTCACCATTTTGCGATAGCCTCATGAGCATGGACATGTCACTTACAGTTTTTCCCGAGCAGGACGGACCACTTTGAGGAGATTCCGGTAAAGTTTTGTTGTTAGCTTGTTGAAGTGCAATTCAACATAAATCGTAGTCATATAATAGTAGGATACGGTACCTGATTCCGACAACGAATACCTTGGACATTTGCCGCAGCACAATAGCGGGGAGAGGCAACGAAAGCTAATTTTTTTTATGCCCAGATGCAACAATTAATTTTTGGTACGCTTTATCTCACTCACACAATTTATGATGCAGGCTGCAGTCGAATATACGAAGAAAAAATCATCACTGAAGGAATGTATTTAATTATATGGCGACTGAAGTCGACACACTAATTGTAGCATATAATCAGAGTAATCAAGCGCATATCAATGAGAAGACTTGCAATGCGAGTACAACACGAATTGTAATGAAAAAACAAACACATATATATCCGGAAAAAGGTCGAACATCAGAAAATTAAAAAATCAAAACCGAGTTTACATATCCACCATTGAAAAAGCCATTAGCCAAGTCGTCGATGTAGATCAGAGAAAGGGTCAAAGTTTACAAGTATGTAGGCTGCCGATATACAAATTTAATAGAGACCGGTGCTGGTGAAGTTGTTGAAGATCAACAAATTGACAGTGTCCTTAGGGAGAGTGGCCAAAGCATTCTTGGTAGCCAATTCCAAGATCTGGTCCTTGATTTGCTTGGGGGTGACCTTCTCCTCAGCCAAGCTAAGGAAGTAAGCTGCAAGACCAGCAACGTGGGGTCTAAACACATCGGGATATAACATTAGAAACAAGTTTCAATTTGGGCCAGTCAAATTGAATTTAAATATACGTACGATGCCATGGAAGTACCAGAAATCTTATTGGTGGCATGGTCGGATCCAATCCAGATACTGGTGATATCAAGACCAGGAGCGAAGACATCAACGCACTTGCCAAAGTTGGAGAAATAGGCACGTTCGTCAGTAATGGTTGAAGCACCAACTGTGATAGCGAGAGGACTGGCAGCTGGAGAGTAGTTGCAAGCATCACGGTTATCATTACCAGCGGCGACAGCAAAGACGACACCTTCCTCAACAGCCTAAAATGAAAAAGATAAGAAAACAAAAGTGAGTTATACGACCATGATATAGAAGAGGAATTAACACAGATACGTACACCATCGACAGCGTCATCCAATGCTCTTGATTTACCACCACCAAGACTCATGTTGGCAACGGCACCCTTGTACTTCTTCTTAGCCTTCTCAGCTTCATCTTGATCGATAAGGTGCTGTTCAGTGGCCCATTCGACACCCTTTACGACGTCAGACATGCTTCCAGAACCGTTGGAGCGCAAAACCTTGACGGCGACGGGCTTTGCCTTCTTGGCAACACCATACCGCTTTCCGGCGATAGTACCAGCGCAGTGAGAGCCGTGACCGTTACCATCTTCATCGGGATCACCGTCAGGAATAGTGGCACCCCATTCAGCACGACCATCGAAGTCAACGTGCTTGACATTGATACCAGTATCGATGACATAGACCTTGACACCTTCGCCACCCTCGGCTTCATAGTTGTACTTGCTAAAGGTACGAAGGTTGAGGGGTTCGCGGTGAGAGATACGAGCCAAACCCCAGGGAGCATTACGCTCCAACTCACTGGCATAGACTACAGTGTCGCGCTCAATATAAGCAACCTAGGAGATAAATATTCCAAATATTAGTACAACATGATGAAACGTCGGAGATTGCATCTTGGCATAGGGGAAATTTAATCATTTTTGCCAAGCACGGCGAGGCTGCGGCATAGACCATGCAGAAACAATTTCCACACGCGGGCCGCATCGGCGTCGGCACGAGCGAACGATATCCCATACTGAAAATGGTTACTTACGTCTTCAGATTGTCTGATTTTGTCAAGAGTTTCCTTTGAGAACTTTCCTGAATATCCCTTGAGCTTCGGAAGATCAAAAGCATGCTTGATTCCGTGAGCGGCATTGGTGTCCAAGAGTTCAGCCATAATGGAGTTTTCGTTGTGCAAAGCACGAACCCAGTGGCAGTGCTGCATGGCATTCTCCGAGTTGACGTGATTCTTGAGAACAACAATGTAAGAATCAGCCAGGGCTTCGGCATCGTCTGCAATGTACAGGGGAGCCAAACGGCCGGTATCATAGCTGTAGTCCATGACAGGCACTGCAGCAACATAGGTTGAAAGGAGTGCAACTGCGGCGGCGATAAAAGTGGTTTTGACCATGGTGGAAGTAAAGAGTTATGTCAGGGAAGATTTTCACCGCACACTCGACTTTTCAATGAGGCGTCCCTCATAAGGGACGTCATTTTGGTCGGCTGACACGAATTTCAAAACCAGCCTGCGTTTGCCCACAGCAGGAATCGATAGGTCACCGTAGCACAGGTACGCACCACACACTGCTTAAAGAAATCCAATGACGAAGCAATGTAATGCCCGTAAAAGAAACATACAAAAATGAATCTGGGCACAACAGTTCGTTGAGAAAGTTGAGCATTAGGTGGATTTTATTGCCGAGATTTGAATGTCAAAATATTCATGGGCCATGTACATGCTTCTTCATTAGGCACAAAACCGAAGTGCTTCAAAAGTGACTTGCAAGCAATGCTCGATTTGAAAGGTCGGTGGCGGTTAAAAAGATGTATATATTTTAAGGAAGTGCTCGTGAGTGGCGTGACAAAGCGACATTATACTAGGGCTGTGGGGCCCTTTGTCTTAGAAAAAATAGGAAATCCCGCATTTTCAATACTTTCAAATATGTGCAATCCCTGCCAACATATTGATTCGTTCAACAATGTTAGACCTGCCATAGACATCTTTCCTTTAAGCAATAACCAGAATCTTTCGCTATCCTACCTCAACCTCACCTCAGCAAAGCTGCTATTGATTGTATGAATTGTGAAAATTGATTTCCTTATTTGAAAATGTTTCAACTTGCTTCCCCGAACCACCGAATTCTTCGCAGAGTCAATCGTTCCGCATGCAAGAGTGGCAAGACAGAGGGTTTTTCTTGTAGAAACCTTCTAAAGAATTCGAGGTTTGCTTTTATTTTAGTTTAGTTTCCACCCTAGAGCATAAAGTGTACGCTGTTGGTATGAGAGGCTCATGGCGTAAACCATTTTTCTATCATGGTTATCAGTTGTCATTTATATTATTGGACAAGGTTGATGATATGAAGTATTTTCTGCGGATACGGATCGCTATTGGCAAAGGGATGAATAATGGGATTTCATAGACGTAAATCATGCACAGTAGAAATTCTTTACAAATGGAATTCAGCCAATAGGAGACTGAGATGGGCTACTCAACGCGGGTGTCCGGGTTTCATTAGAAAACCCTTTTTGACAGGCCACACCAGCCGAAACATCTAGCCCTGGATATCTCATAAATTTCTCACTCAGTATTTGCAGTTTACGAAAGATCTATCTATGATGAGATATCAAAATAGGTGGGATGCATATAGCTATGAGTTAGATGGTGTTAAACTTATGTCCGGCCGCGCTAAATACTGGGGCGATCGGTTGAATTGGAGGAAAAAGGGAAGGCGGGGAAAGGCGGAAAACGACGGAAAACTTGATGAAACTCCTACCAAAATTTTTTTGGGCCAACATTTAGGTATAAATCACCTTGCCTCAGCAACGTTTTTTTTATCAATCAACTTTTTTACAATTTCCCCTCGTTGCTCAGTTCCTGCCTCGATTTGAAAAAGACTCAATATGGATTCTAAACCCATTCGTGACTCACGAGAGGCAAGTGTCCGCCCCTTCGTCATTATTTGCGCTGCCATTGCCGCGCTTACCACCTTCAACAGTGGTGTCAATACCGTAAGTGCCACATATGTCCATTATACATGATCGCCATCAACGGTTGATCTCATACTATTTATGACTTTGCAGAGTGTGCTCAATATTCCTGGAGATTATGTTCGCAACTGCCCTCAATCTGGTGTGCAAAACTACCCCAACTCATCTCTTCCTATGTGCATTCCTATGAGTGATTGGATCTGGTATGTATGCTGCTAAAGTGTGGAGACCCAAAAAAATTTTTTTTCTTTATGTTAACTCACTGCTTTCTTATGTTACTAGGGGTGTTGCTACTGGTATGTTTGCCATTGGTGGTCTTCTTGGAAGTGCTGTCGCTAAGCCCATGTCCGAGAGGTTCGGTCGTCGTGATGCCTTGATCATGATCAACGTTACTTTCATCATCGGTGCCGCCTTGCTTTCTACTTCTACTACTTCTGCTCAATTCGCTATCGGTCGTATCTTCTGTGGTATTGGATCCGGTTTTGGTACTGTGGTTGTCTCCATGTACATTGCTGAAATTGCTCCACCCAAAAACCGTGGCGCCCTTGGTACCATGCTTCAATTGTTTACTACCATTGGTATCCTCGTCATTGAAGCCATCGGCCTTGGTCTCTTGTCTCCTGTCGGCTGGCGTGTTGCCACTGTCATTACTGTAGTCCCCGCCATCATACAAATGGTCTGCCTTCCCTTCTGTTCTCGATCTCCTCGTTGGTTGATCTCTCAAAACCGCATTGAAGAAGCCCAAGTTGAGCTCTTGCGACTTCGTCATGGTGACATCGAAGCCGAATTCCAAGACATGGTTTCTAGCGCTCAGAAGAAGAAAATCGTTGAAAAGGAAGCGGCTATTACTGGTACTGCTCCCGACACCGATTCTGCTCTTGCAGCTGAGACCGCGGCAACTCCGTACGAATCAGAACTTGCTTTGTCTATTCCTGAACTTCTCCGTATTCCAGTCTTCTGCAAACTCACAATCATCATGATGATCATGCATGCTGGTTCTCAACTGTCTGGTATCAATGCCATTATGTATTACTCAACTACCATTTTCCAAATGTCGTTTGGTGACAATGCCAAGTATGTCACTGTTGGTGTCGGTGCCTTGAACGTTGTCCTCACCGTGGTTTCTCTCTTGGTCATCGATCGTCTTGGACGCAAGATCCTTCTTCTTATTTCAGAGTTTGGCATGTGCATTTTCTGCGTCATTATGTGCATTTCTGTCGTATTCAGCGTCGCTCCCTTGCAAATTGTTTGTATCATGCTCTTCGTTTGCTGTTTCGCTGTCGGTCTCGGAGTTATTCCCTTCATCTACACTGCTGAGGCTTATCCTACCTATGCTGTCGGAGCTGCTACCTCTTTGGCCCTCGCCTGTAACTGGTTCTTCAACTTCGTCATTGGTTTAATCTACCCCACTCTCCAAGCTGCTATGGGTGGCTATGTCTTCTTGATTTTCGCCGGTATTGGTTTGGTTCACGGTATCTTCACCATCTTCTTCATTCGTGAAACCAAGGGCAAGTCAATCGAGACCATTGGTAAAGAATGGGGATGGCTTGATATCAATCCCAGAGAAATTAAGGGTGTTCCTGCAGTTCCTGAAGCTGCTCCCGCCAAAGCTACTGCTGATTACGCATAAGACTTTTCCAATTTCTTTTTTTTAGTGTCATTTAAAACACATTATGTCTTTTATCCCCTCTCACTCTTACTGTCTAATCCTTCTTCACTTCATCGTTTGTTTTCAATTGCATCACATTTCATTGTTATGTGCAATGAAATCATCATATCCTTCTTTCTCAATTGTACAGCAAGAAGTTTAAACCTCACTAAAAATATAGATTATTTATTTTTAAACATATCGAGCATCTCTGGATTTTTTTTTGTGCCTCTAAAATGATCTGAGCACCAGCGCTATTGTTAGAAGCTACCACTGCGAACGTGCTCATAATGGAGCTAGCGCAAAATCGTATCGTGTAACGAACGTTGAGTATTAGTTTTCCCAGATTTACTGCTATAATGGTAATTAGGCATGTGCACAGATATGCACTTTAAACACCAACTTACTCTTAGAACCATTAAAGCATTTGTTTATTTCATACTAGTTACTAGCAACTTTTTTTCAAAAAGACCCGATTAGCCACTTCACGCACTGTTATGTCACTTCCTCGCAGAATCGTAGGTGGTTGTTGTGGAAAATGCGGGAGTAACAAAAAAAATTTTTTTTTTAAATCGCAGTTTTTCCAGTAGGCAAGATACGACCAGTTTGTGAAACTTACTGAAGGAGTCTGTACCTGTAATACCAGGTCAGACTCTGTTATTTCCATTCATATCATGAGTTATGATCCCTGTCTTTAGTGGCCATCATACTTGTCACTGCGATCAACATTAAGTGGTGTTTGTACAAAACGTCATAAACAAAATTCGGCGGTGGTTTTGGAATCTTGGTGTCAAACCTGACTTTAGACCTCGGCGGGCAAAGGTTCAGCTTTGAATAATCACTTTAGCGAATGAATTATCGAAACTCTAAGCTCATAGACTCTGAAGAATTATTGCACAAGTGCATGTTACACTCTGCTGTATTAATTTAGAACGAAGGCTACATGTTTTAAAATTGTAACATATGTCTTGGCGAGCAAATCGGCTATAAGTTTTTTCTTATCTGAGAGTGAACTTTTGCCACCTACCACACAAGTGGAACTTTTCTTTATTGAATGAGTCGAACCCCTGTTAGACAATGATGACTTGGTTACCAGCTGAATTTTATTACTTCACTTCAAGCTGATGTAGTCGAACTAATCAGCAACGTATAGTTCCAAGGGTTCAATAAGAATGGAAATAGGTATGGTGATAACGTTGTGATCTCAATGGACGAAATTAGTTGAACAACCTCTTTCATGACCTATTTTTTGCTGCATTTGGTGAATTTTAACCCGTTGACGGACCTTTTTCTAGGAAGGTAATTATTCGGGGTCTCAAAGGGCCTATTTTTACGATATTCCCATCAATCGTATAAATCAGACTACAAAGTGGTACGATTCCCACTACAGTCGAAAAGTTCCGTCTTTCCCCTCTTCTACATCTTTCTTACACTCATTCACTTTTCAACGGAATGCGCACCTTCAGCTCTGTTACATTATTTGCAGCCGCTGCCTTTGTTGGCAGTCAGATATCATCCGTCGTTGCTGGCGGTGGTCAGACGGTTGAAATTGTCAACTCTTCAAACTTCTGTTTCTTTTTGCCACCACCTGGATCAAGTGACATGAACATTTCTGATAACGAAGGTGATGCTGTCGCCTACTGCAAAGGTAGCACTCCCAAGGTTTCCGATTCCAATACATTCCCTTCAGGTTTCATTTTGTCCGCTCACGTCGTCACCACCAGTGACTACATTCAAGTCACTGGCCAAATTGACCCCACCAAGGCTGGTCTTAATGCCAATGATGATGGTGGTCAGTATGATATTATGGCCCCTAAGGGAGCCACCTGTGCTGGATATGCTTATTTCGTCAACCTTGTCGAACCTTCCGGCAATGATTACTGTATCAGATGTTGTAATACCGAGACCAACTGCAACCGTGGTATCTCTCAAGATGGATGCGCTCGTGTTGTCCCTGGCGACTATTCTGGACCAGGTGTCGATAGCAGCAGCGATTCCACTAGCAGCACTTCCTCAGCTCAAGAGACCAAAACTACTACCACCGAAGCTGCAGCTGCCACCACCACTTCCGACCCTACTGATTCTACCACCACTACCACCGCCGATGACAGCAGCAGCACCACCAGCTCTGTCGACGCTGCTGCCAGTGCCCTTATTACTTCTAGCGTGCCTGCTTCTTCCTCAGTCGTTCCTTCTACCTCTGTTGCAATCGTTTCCGCTTCCTCTTCCTCTTCCATCGGTATTGCCACCACCAATCTACCCACCGAGAGCGTTAGCGCACAATCTGTCAATGCCGCTATTTCCACCGCTCCCATCACTTTCACCACTTTGGCACTAGGCGGTGGCATTGTTGCACTCATGCAATTTATTTAAAATACCATTTATTCCCAAATCAATATAGTGTAGTGAGGTCTAATAGCTATACAGCTTAGTTTATTTATCTGAATTGAAGACCAGACACTCAAACCAACTAATTGCTCATTGTATCTCATTGTAATTTTTTTTTTTGCTCGTACTTTCACCATTTCATGTATAGATCGATAACCCAAAAGACATTAAACATCTCAAAATGGGATTTTTTAATTCATCTGTATGCATAGCCTCGTGTTATATCCTGCTTGATTGGGTATTAGTTACAAACCACCAACGCTAAGTGAAGACAATGATTATGTTATTATTATAAAGAAAAAGATAATGTCAACGCAAGATGTGGGTGAGCAACGCAATAAACAGAAAGAACACATAATTAAGTAACAAGCGTACTACATGGAATTATGGTTCCATTACAACTAAGCTGAATTATCTACCTGGATTTCTACGTAAAAAAGAACACATTGAAAATTACACGCTAGTCCTTGCGGGTGCAAGTATAAATCGGTGTGGGAAGGTAAAAAAAAAAAACCAGGAACACATCACTCACATCCCAGATAAAAAATGGAGGAATATTAACAAGCTGCCATCAGATTTACTTGCATGACTTGCCCGTTCGCTCGTCTGGATTATTACTTTCTTTTGGTGGGAGCACCATTATGAGATTGAACAGCACTTGTCGTTCCAGCTGTGGTCTGTCTATCATTCTCTTCCGGGACATCTTCATCATCACTGCGTTCATCACTTGCTGCGTTGCCAAACAACACTTTAAACAGCACCTTGAACATCATTGCCGTCCAGAACAACATGAGTCCATACAAGACCAGTTCCAGGAAAAGGATAATGTACTTTGCAAAGTAGGGAAACCAGCTGCCGTTCAATGGGTCCAACTTGAAATTGACATACAAATCTGGCTCGGTGTAAGTAGACCAGATGATGCATCCGTACAAGAACACTCTAGTGTAGACCCATGTACACAACATGATGAAGAATAATGAGTCGCACAAAAACCGATAGTTAAGGTAATTGAACGATTTTGCCAGCTAGTAGGGGTATTGCTTTAGTACTCTGAATAACGGTTTGAAATACGAAGAAGCTTGAAGATACTTACTGCTAACAAAACATCTGGAAGATCCATGCAGACAAAGATAGCATTTCCGATACGAGTGTAGTTCATGGAATAACTCAAACTAATGAGCAGCAATGTGGTGATATGGTGAAGTACAAGTTCACGATAATCGGAGCGTGGTGCCTCAATTTGCAGAACAAAGATTTGTTGTAGCCAATAAGAAAACTGGACAACATAATAGTACTTGAATAGCTTTGTCTGATAGATATGTGGGTAGCCTCTCCAGAACTCAGATGTGTTGAACCAGTATGTTGAATTATATGCGAGGTGCTAAGCAGGCCATGAAGGAAAAAAAAAATTGTTCTAAATTAGTATCAGTGTGAAAAACTAACCATGCTAATAAATAAATATAAGCGGTGTGGCGGGCTATTGACTTATTTTGTATCAATGTCGTCAGAAATCAGTGTACAACGCTGGAATAAGACGTTGGAAAGCGGTGAAACTTGGATCGAAATGGTTGCAGAGGCGTATGCACAGTTTTGTTCGTGCCAAAACGTTGATGTGTCCAGTGGGCAAACACCACGAAAACATGATCATATTTCCTAGTTATATGTAAATTATCACTTACCACACCAACTAAAAAGCTAACCGAATAGTAAATGACGGTCCACATCTGCTCCGCAAAGCGAGTTCTCTTCTTCTTCGCGACTCCGCCGGCGACGGCAATGGGAATCAACACATATTCCATGGTAGCAGCTCGCAGCATGGTGAACACGTTAATATAGAAGAACAAAAACATCAAATCCCATCCTCCTTTCCCATAAAGGCCAGTTGTCGCATCCTGGTGCGCGATAAATAAAAATTTGTCGAAATAGGGGATGCCCACCAGGTAACATACGCAAATAGTAGCGATGACTTTTAACGGAGCATCTGGCGGGAAGATGAAGAATCAGTTAAATTGTGACGACTGGCAGGTTTCACACTCACTCTGAACACTTTGTTAATAGCCATACCTATTTGGTGTTCAGCAAGGTAATCTGTATAATCTTTAAGTGTATATTTCTTGTTGGAAGACCGCCGTACAGATCGCTTTCTGTTGAAAGACGATGAAGCATTAGACACCATAGTCGACAAATTTGATGGTGAATTCAGCATCCGATAAGTTGAAAATGTAAACGTCTGTAGACTTTTGATGAATAAAAAAAAAAAAAGAGAAGACAGAAACAAACAGTCATACAGAAATCCGCTTTTAACCTTCTACTCATTTCGGAGCTACTGACAGAAGTCTGACCTTGAGAGTTTCTGAAAATTAATAACAACAGGACGTTGTTCATTCTTAACAGTGCTTCGTTCATCAAACCATCCAAAACTACATCGACCTTAATTGCCTCATCCCTTTCTACTGCTTTGCTATCATCACAAATGAGTTATTTTGTCATCTGTTTCTCGGTGGGTTTCATAACACTGGAACTCATTCGAGAGCTTTGATATTCCGAACCCCGCGAACATGTGCCAATCATTGATGTTGTGGAGGAAAAAAAAAGAGGCGCTTCGGGTTTACAGGCACCATTTTGTTTATATAAAAATACAACAATATTGCTTCTAGATGAATTCAAGTTCTATATTATGCTGCTTTCTCGTACTCGTCAAGCAATGGTAGCATGACAACTTCGTTGTGCGAGTCATCTCTACCCCTTGGTATCTTTGCAAACGAGTGTTGAGCAGCCGTCGACGTGGATCGGGTATGTGTACGATTGCTATAATCGTGCGAGTTCCACTTGCTTCCATTTGTTCCACCAGCACTCGTCAAGGGAATGCCAGAGAAGGTATTGGCATTACTGGCACTTGAAGACGACCGACCAGCAATCAAATTCCATAGAATCGGAGTTGTCATCAGTGTCATAGCAGTAACCGCCAACAGTAAGTAATAAACCTCTCGACTAATGACACCGATTTGCTTCGCTCGACTGGCTAGTACAAAGCTGAATTCTGATATTTGTGCCAACCCAATGGCCATGATTGAGGACTTTTGAAGGTCGATTTTGAAAAGGACAAGCACCACGGAGATAATGACGTACTTGAAACCAATCACAGCTGCTGTCATGGTAATAAGGAGCATAGCTTCCGAAACAAGGAATGACGGATAAACATGAAGGCCGATAGATGCAAAGAAAAGACAGGCGAAAACATCCCGCACGGGTTCGATGATGCTGATACTTGACTCGAACCATTGCTTACGAGACCGTACGATCACGCCTGCTGTGAAGCATCCGAGTTCCATTCCGAGCTCGAGTCTAGCAGACAGGACCATCATAACAAAGCAGATGGCAATAGTGCCCAAGAGTAAGAGCTCATGACTGTGTTGCGTAATTTTTTTTCCCAACGTACGGTGCAAGAGTCGCACAGCAATGGGCAGAAGTCGTGCAATAGCAATGCTGATGACTGCATAGATGGCTAAATAGATAGACATCTTTGCGATAGCGAAGAATATTTCTATGCCCGATTTACTGAGAGCAGGTATCATGGCCTGCCATCAACGGAGAATTATCAGAAAATGTGTGTGATTAAGCATTATGCAATAAAAATAACAAATAAACTTACAAGCATAACACCTAAAAGAACGTCTTGCATCACAAGTAAGCCATACATTTGTTCAAGTTCAGTTGATTTAACGCACTTCACAACAACTGCTGTAGAGCTCAAGCTGACGCAAGCTCCTACGAATACGGCTTCACTCATGTTAGCACCAATGACGGCACCAACCAGAGAGAAAATAACGACGGTTGCGAAAAGGATCAGCAAGGCTCCTCCGAGTGCGAGACGCCACATTGCGCGCATTTTTTCCAGAGAAAATTCCAAGCCGAGTACGAAAACAATGAATATTACGCCTAACTGTGCCAACGTTTCAGTCTGAATAAGTTCCTTGATAAGGTCGTAGCCAGAAGGTCCGGCTAAATTGCCAGCTAAAATGTAGCCAAAGAAAGCTGTATGTTTGAAGCAATATTAGATTATCGTCGTTGGAGGTACTATCAAACATCGCACAAATGCGTTCACATACCTGGAAGACCAATGGCGCTGAAAATCCAACCGAATATAAAGGAGCCGACCAAGATCAAGACCAAATCATGAATGAAATGCATATCTAGTAACAGGAAATTTAGTAGATGTTACAAAAGCTGGGCAATCATTAGTTTCCTGTGGCATTTACCTTCATAGAATATAGTCGTGTCAGATGGTCGAGCCATGACATACTGGTTATTTTCTTGATCAATTAGGGTTACTTGTCTTCCTTCCTCCCCTTTACGATGCTTGCCAGATCCCGATCCATCTTTGGTATTTCCATCATTGTCTTCCACTTTGATGACTGCCTCAAGCGAGGATCCATCCTCTTTGTTGAGGTTGTCGGAAAACATGTTGTGATGCATTTCTTCCTCTAGATGATCAGCGTTCTCTCGAACATCCTGAAGCATACCATTGACAAGGTCCCTAACGGCTTCGTTGCCAATGTCGTTGCCCTTTTCAGAATCATCATGTGAATGATGCTCTGAGTACTCCATAGCTGGATGTGACGCATAGGCATGATGTGGCTGTTCCTTGGCGGGTTGATGGAGTTGGTGGTGCGAATTCTGCAATGCTAACAGGAAATCAGAAAGCTGTTTCAAGGCAGCTTTCTTGTAATCCATCATCGTTCCATCTATCGTATCACTGTATACATCGAACATGCCAAAAACTAACGATTCCAAAGCTTGCATGCCCATAACTTTGATATGTATTGCTTCCAAGAGTCGAGCATTTTCAGCACTTGGTGTTTCGGCAGCTTCCATTTTGGCTATTTTTTCGGCCAAATCTTCCTTTAAAAGTTGACCTCGTCTAAGTATGTCATAAATGCTTTGGGCTTGCTTGATTTGTGCTGTCTGATGTTGATGAAACAATTCTTGGCGTTAACGAATGTACAAAAGATAGCAGATTATACTCTGAAGAAGAATTACCTGTGATTTCCAGTCCTTGTCATTAGGACCAGACTGTACGGCTAGGAAACAGAAAGTGTACACTATCCATATTATTCCACAAATGTGTAAGGTACGCATCTGTCAGGTTCCTATCGATAACCTCTTGACGAAAGTGCTAATGCCCAAAAATGATCGACGCACCAAATGTGGACTGTGACCGTTTTCGTTGTCGGGAAACCCAACTTTTTTATTTTTCCAGGATTTTGGTCACGGTAAACTCTCTCACCAAACCCAAGGATTTCCAATGGCTTGGGGCGGTAACGACAATGCTGTTCAGAAATGGATCAAACGACTAGAGGACAATGACCCAACATTCACCTCGCTTCATATCCTCAGTTTTCGCCAGGTGTCGTCGGCTGACTTGGCCCAGTTGTTTACTGCACTCGGACGGAATTCCACGTTAAAGCACTTGTATTGCTCAGGACAACCTTTGGATGCGACTGCAATGGAATCACTCTCGGAAGCATTGGCTTTGAATGATACTCTGGAATCTATCAATGTCGGTACAACAAAGTTTGGGGCCGATATTGCTCTGTTTAAAGCTTTTTGCGAAGGATTGGCCGTAAATGAAGGCGTACGGAAAATTGATCTGGACAACAAAGGTTTGACGTCGGCCAGTGTCCAAGAACTTGCTGAATGTTTGGAAAAGAACACCGCCATTCATAGTCTTGTCATTTCACGTAACCTTTTGGATAATGGCAGTATTGAAGTTTTGATGAACGCTTTATCTAAGAACCATAACAGTCAGCTGAAGCATTTGGACCTGTCCATGAACGAAATCACCAAATACGGAGGACAAGCCATAGCAGAATACTTAGCTGAATCCAAGAGTATAGAAGAATTAGACGTATCGGACAACCCTCTTGGTCCAGGTGGAAGTTCGTTAGTACGAGGATTACAACATAACACCAGCCTGCATTCGTTGAAATTGTCTGGCACACAACAAGAGCTCGAAAATTTCAACCTTGATAGTACAAACGACACTTCAACTCAAACCTCTGATGGAGATCTGATTATGGAAGCGTTCAGTAGTGTTCTTCCTACGAACACTAGCTTGAAACTCATTTGGCTGGACGGTGTCGGTGTGTCCAACAAGGGAATGGCCAATTTTGCTCAAGCTATCGGAAAGAGCAATGTTATGGAGCTTAGGATGAGGAGAAATAACATTGAGGACGAAGGCGTTACTGAGTTCGCTCGGGCTATACAGCAAGGTACCTCTCGACTGAGTAAGCTGGAATTAGGAGAAAATGCCATCTCAGTATTAGGATTCCAAGAACTCCTCGCCTGTCCCACCATTCAGTTTCTCGGTCTCTTCAACAACAAGATCAATACCTTTGACAGTGCTGCATTCGTTAACTGCCCTAGTATTTCAACGGTTGATATTGGCTGCAATGGTATATCATCCTCTGATTTCGGCATAATTTGTGAAGCACTGAAAGGTGGTTTCGCTGCATCGTTGAAAATGCTGGAAATAGGAGGGAATGTCAACAATGAAGACGACGACCTTGAAATATGGGAGAAAATGGCCGCCTCTGTAAACGAAGTACGACCAGATCTTGATATTGCATGGAAGAGACTACATGCCGTTGACGATCGCAAAGAATAGATGTTTATAGATTTGTAATATAATACCTCCACCAAATGTTTTGTATGCTTTCAAGAATAAATGGTTACATTTGGACTCTAACGCCGTAGGTCCGCCGGTGTTACACAGCCGTGATAGCAAACAAATCAGCAGTCTTTAGTTTCGTGGTCGTCAGGGACCGCTTTTCTTCTCTTTCTATAACTTTATATCGATCATTTCTTTGATGCGGTTCAGTTTTCGAAACTCTTACGACCGGTTCGTTGCCAATCTAAATGTTCACGAGGTATTCTTCATGCTAATGTAAGTTACTGGTTGCTACAACTGCTGTATTAATCACTCCACCGCAGTTATCAGGTAGCCTTGGCGACTTAGGCACTCTTCTACCGCTAATGATATCACTCGCTGTCAGTGGCCAGATAAATCTGACCAGCACATTGTGGTTTGGGGGCATATGGAATATAGTTAGCGGCCTAATTTACCAAGTTCCCATATGTGTTCAACCAATGAAAGGTTTAAGATAAAGACGTTAGTGTTAACATGGTGACAAAGGATTACTAAAGCGCGCTCAATTTTTAAAGCACTTGGAGCCGTCGCGCTATCCAGTAATATGTCAATTCAGCAAACTATGGCTGCAGGATTGGGTAGGTGCTTATTGTGATTCGTGGGAAACGGACTAGACATTAATGCAGTTCGTGAAGGCGTAGGAGGTATTATTTTCTTCCTTGGGGCAACCAAGACGATACATATGATAGGTATCATAACGCCGAAATCGGTTATAAAAGGTATCCACAAAAAGACCCCCCCCCTCAGCAAGCCGAAGCTGTAGTGGAATTGAGTAGTAACTGTTCTCGTTGCCTGTAGGTATTCAGCTTGGCACAGGTGTTACGCTGATGATCAAGGCACATGATCTAGTAAAAACGTTACAATGGACCATCACTGGAGCAAACTGGGCCGACAACTTCACCTGGGTCCTTCTTGCCTACATCTTTGTGATTGGTTGCTACAACCGCCGGGTACCATCCGCACTGATCTTATTTCTCATAGGTTTAACCTTTGCATTGGTTCGTATGTTCACCAACCCCAATGGACCAATCAATACACCTCGCCCTGGCGGACATTATCCCGATACTATCATTGTTCCCAGTCCTGATGATTTCAAAACAGGATTCCTGAATGCTGGTCTTGGCCAAATCCCGCTTACCGCTTTGAACTCAGTCATTGCTCTCTCTGTTTTGATCGATGACCTGTTTCCTGAGAAACATGCTACTACGACCAGCATTGCTATGAGTGTCGGTCTCATGAACCTCATAGGATGCTGGTTCGGTAGTATGCCCTTTTGGTAATTATCGACCATTTCATAGTTCACTTACGAGCGCTAAGCTAATTATATTATTCAGTCATGGTTCTGGCGGCCTGGCAGGACAATACCGATTTGGTGCAAGATCCGAGGTGTCTATCATCATTTTAGGACTGTGCAAACTGCTACTTGGCATTGTATTCGGCGGATCTCTGGTTGGTCTCTTGAAATTATTCCCAAACTCACTTCTATCGGTCATGTTGTTTGTTTCTGGCCTTGAGGTATCGTATATCATTCACATTGAACCCATTGCTTTGACTTCGCCTAACGTGTATTGGAAGCTTGCTACGGCCGCACGGTCTGTCAACGACAAAGTCGAGGATGATCGTATAAAATACGAGAATTTTCTGGTTATGCTTATCACAATGGGGTCTTTAGTTGCCTTTTCCAATGATGGTATTGGGTTTCTTACGGGTATGGTAGGATCTGTCCTGTTGGCAATCCAACGACTCGGACCAAAAGATTGGTATGAACAATTTAAAGAAGGCGTCAGGTCTCTCAGATTGCAAAAACAGAATACAGACGACCATATCTTGGTTACTAGTAGTAATGACCTGAGTGAAGAGACGAGCTCTAATTATTCATGAGTAGATATTCCTAGAGGCGCAAAGTAGACAAGCTGACTCTCAATTTTTCTCATAAATACGATTTAACTTTCATACGCGTCTCTTTAACCAGATTTTTTTTAAAGACGCGACGAACAACGATCGACGTTTCGGCTAAGCATGGCTTCTTCAGCATTGCTTGCAGCGTTAGCAAATTTCGAACGCTGTGACAATGAACTAGCAGAATCTGTTTGGAAAACGCTATTGGGTCCCCTCGAAGGCGATAAAAAGCTCTCAAAGAATGAGCTAGAAATTCATAGAAAACGACTAACTCCACTCGCCATGACCATGATCAACCAAAACTTGGTGTCGTTTGGAAAACTGCACGATCGTGCAGAAAGTCGAAACAAACTAGCCGAAGATAGTGAAATGATATCATGCTTGATTGATACGTCCTTTTACGCACTCAAAGCTCTGCATCTTCTGAACGACACAAAGACAGTCAAGCACTTGGATGTCGAAAAGGCAAGATCCAACCTAATCACCAAACTTATCAACATTAGCCAGGTGAGGTTACTGCATTGGCTTCAGTTTCATGTCGACTTTCATTAATCAATCCTTTAGTATGAGCGAGCTTTTCAAGAATTAGCATCGTTTCGAGCTCATTTGGCCACCCTTATTGGAGTCAGTTTAGAGACACGGCAACAAGAAGCTAAATCTGTAGACATTAAAGATAAAAGCATCTTAACTGAATCCATTAATTCCCCGAGCACACCTTCATCACCTCGATTCATGAAGCCAACTGCACGCCAACTCACAGCCGAATTATACAAGACTGTAGCAGTAAATAAGACCAAGGATTCGCTTTCGCAACATGCGGATCTCCTATACCTTCCTATGCAAGCAAACATGAACAATTTGTCCATGGTGCGTCTTATTCTAGCAAATCAGTTGAACGCCATTCGATGCATTGTAGAGATGAATGGTGGAGCCAATATACCTGTAAGTAATGATGTGGTGTATAACATCAAAGCGTTCATACTAACCTCCTCGGCCATCACAGGAACTCTCTGACTTGCTGGAAAGGAAAGGAAGTTTTTTCGACTGGTGTCACCATCTCGCGACGATAGATGAAGAAAAAGCTCAAGAACAGTTTGAATACTTGTACCGACTTCTCTCAAAAGCAGCGAAAAGCAATCATTCAATCACGATTCCTCCCTTACAAGTACTAAAGCTACGTGTACAAAGTCTATGTGCTGCCTACTTTTCAAAAAGAGCAAAATTTGGTTATATATGTGACCAGTTGGTGCGAATTGGCGTTACTTTTGAAAAAGCCAGCAACCAAGGTATGTTGAACGAATTTTATACTAGATATTTGCAATATAGCTAGCTCTTTTCTGACATCTTTGCAGTTCCTACACCCGTGAAATTTCAAACTCTTCAGCAACACTGCGAGTACATCTTGAAATTCGTTGAACCAGCTGTCAATGATCTTGCAGGAATGGACAACTATTTTATTTTATGTGAATATTACGCCTATGTGTCGCGAAAGGTAAGGACGCATGTTTGAGTATTGACGAGTTGTAAAGCTTGCCTAAAACTGCTTTGAACATTTGCAGAGCGGAAGCTATCAAGGTTCATTCTATGCTTTCAAGCACATGATGAGACCATTAAGAATCGTCCTACAGGATCCACAAAATTGCCAGAGCTATCATCTCATGTATGCTGCGTCTGCCAAAATGTCATTAGCATCAATTCAACTCGATAAAATGATATCTTCCAATGCCTGTAGGTTACTTATTACCTAGCTAGAAAATAGCACTACTTTTCACATCTAACACTGATTACTAGATGCTGATATCAATACGACTTTGACCGAAATCTCATCCTGCATCGAGTTTAGTGTTACGTCGCTGAGGAACAACGTGGAAATGTCAAAGTATACTGAGCAAGCAATGCGAAATCTTTGTAAAAGCGTAGACAACTTTCGTAATAGCTGCAATGCCATGCATGGGTTCTTGAGCAAAAAGATGGAAGAATCAATAACACGACGAGAAATTGAGCACGATCCGTATCAAACACCTCCACAACGAAAACACATGCACCCAGATGAGTTCGGTGAATGGAAGAACAATACTGCCAATATTTTTGATTGCCTGATCAAATGTACAGAATTGGTTCCCATCTGTATACGCATGCTGTCATCTAAGGTTAGTTTTCATGACGAGGCTGCAGACTATATTTCAAGGTACTAAGTCGTTCCTACGATAGAATACCGATTTATCATTGCCTGGAGCAAATACCGATACCATATCGTTAGCACATATCGACGTTGTGTTATTGTTAGCCAGAATGGTATTTCGCTTTGATGACCCGGAAACTCATGAGCGAGCATTTCAATTCTTGCGCAAGGCGGAAATATTCTGTAGTTCTAATGGATTCACTGAAGGCATTAGATGGGTTTCAAGCACTTACTACTCCTTTGGCGCCAACTTAGCTACAGAAGGTGAATACGGCAAGGCCATCGTTCCGTTGGAAAAATCTTGTGCTATTCTCGAACAGGATCAAATTCGAGCAAAAACGCATTCGGAACAATGGAGCATGCAACTTTGCAAGCGATACGAACTACTTGGTGCTTCTCACCTCAAAATATTCAACCAGCGGAAAGCAATAGCTGCCTTACAGAATGCCCTTCGCCATCTTCCTAAAGCTACCATCAACGAATTTGTTCGCCACTGTGCTTCAGTATCTCTTACCCTCATCGTTGAAAAACATCCTGTTATCCCAAAACTAATTGAAAGGTACCTTCGGGCAGCAGTGATAGACGCTCCCGACGATGAAGTTGCGCTTGCTACCGAGATCATGGACCTTCAGCACCTTAGCCGTGGTCAACAAGCCATCCTCAAAGAATGCGAACTTCAAGTTATGAATATCATGTCCCTTCGCACCAACGTTGCTATGTTTCAATTGAAGTTAATTGATCAACTACTGGATGCCTACGAACCGACCTTGTACCCCATTAGAAGGTCAAGGATTCTGATCGAAAAGTGCCGACTACTGGCCACAAAAGGCAACACTCAGCTTGACTCCAAAGCGAACGGCATGTCAGCTATACAAGAAGCATTGGACTTGTTAAAAGGGGACCTTTTTGTGAAAGATTCAGAGCTACTGGACTATCGACGGTTCTATCTGTCAATGTGTTACTCTTGGAAAGGTGTCTGCAATCAACATGACGTGCCAGTTGCAACTGACTCATTCGAATTGGCTTTGAGGTGCTGGGGAACGATATTCAAGCCGATACCTTTGCTTGGAGAAGATATTCCATTGGATGATGAAGGGAAGGTGGCTATCTACAGACAAGTTGACGGAGTTGATCGACTATATGGTCATCTTCGCATGCTCTCAGATCTATTTTCTGTAAATCGTCGACAAATTCAAAGGCTAGCTGTATTACGACTGTTGCTTCAACTGAATAACGGACTTCGAGGCTCGGAATCGGAACACATCAGTGATGGCGTCATGCTCTGTACAGAAGTAAGCATCGCATACATGGAGTTGGGCTACACTGGTAAAGCGGCCATAGAGTTTGAGAGAGCAGCGCGTATACTGAAGACCGGTAGATGCGACATTGAAGCAAGGCTCAATTACATGTTAGTGTATGCACAGTATCTTGCCATTACTGGCGACATTGAGCGAAGTACTGAGATATACCAGCAAGCCAAAGAGCAAGGAGATAAAGCCTCATTTCTGCGCAATACGAGCAAGTTCAAGTCTGCTCAGCACAAGCTATCAAGATCAATACTACTGGCCAATGCCTCATTTACCCGATCTTATATTTCGATGGAGTTAGCTTCTGTTGACGATGCAGTGAAGGATGCCACAAATTCATTGAGGAAACTTAGTCAAATATCTTCATCTCTGTTTCGAAAATCTGCAAGTCGATCGTCTGAACAACCAGATCAAATGGGTAATCCATTTAACTCCAGTACCAAACAATATGAGGCCAATGTGACAGAGGAGCAGCAACATAATGGCATTGTCCAGACAGTCACCGATATTGCACTACAAGATGCTCACTGGGGTATGGCACAAAAAATGAGCAACTGCTTTACGAGACTTGGAGTATTGCACAGTGCAAGAGGCTCATGGCGTGAAGCAGAGTATTTTCTGAAGCAGGGTCTGAAGCTATCCGAACAACTTGGCTCCAACGTGGCATCTTCAACATACCTAGTTTATCTTGCAGATCTTTATTGGAAGATCGACAAGTACGAAGACAGTCAAAACAATCTCGAGAAGGCTTTGGAACTTCAATCTATGGTATGTAGCCTGCTGCTAGAAAGAAAAGCATTATTCTGTATCTAATTTTTGTTCTATACAGGGTCTGCCATTTCCAAAAGATCAGGCAGATCTGAAGATCATTGTAGGGGATGTGGATGGAAGTCAAGGTTATAATGATGCAGCCATGGAATCGTACCAAGATGCTGACAATATCCTTGCAAACCTTATGGAGCGCGCATTTATATCAGGTCTCGAGCAGTCTTTGGCCAGGTATAGAATTTTCTCCATCATACATGCACTTACTCGCACATCGTCTAATATGATATTTAGAATCAACGAAGGCACTCCCCGAACAATCAGATTTTTAAAAGAGTTGAAGGAACCACGCATCAGTCACTTTAGTACCGAATGTGAGTACCACTGGCATACATACATTGCTTTCCTTTAAGCTTTATTAATGTGGGATTAATCTTCTTGCAGCCGAATACGATTGTATCCTTTTACATAGCAATCATGCGAATGTAATTATCCGGGAAGGTAAGTATTTGATACCAACAGCTTTCACTGGATTACTCATATCTAATTTTTCAACACAAATTAGCTTTATTGATTGCCACGTCAGGAGATATCAAATCAGCGTATGCTAAGCTAGAAAGTTTAGAATCTACCATGCCATTGTTTTCTAACGAGGTGAGTATACAATCTTTTCTATTAAGAAAACCGTATTACTTTAATGACTTAACGTCTCAAACAGGCAAGCAAGTTAAACACGGCAGTCAGTAAGCTGAAACTGCATCAGACCTTGGCTGAAATACGAGATCATAAGATTGGACAGCACTTGAGTAAAAATGGTAGGTTGCGTTGAAGAAATTTATATCAACTGTCTTAAATTACCGGCATACTCATATTCAACACAATGCTCTATCAGCAATGTCGTTGCCATTGCTGAAGTCTAGTTCTTCTAGAATGCCTATCCGAAGGCCAACAAGTGCTCTTAACCTCAAGCTCTCACGAGAAAATGTAAAACAGGCGATTGAACGGTTGATGGAGGCATTGTCTTCGGGTGTCGACAAGTTGGAATTACAGTTGGTCAACAATATCTGTCTTAATATGGCCGCATCACTCTTCTTAAAGAGCCTTCTGTCAACAAACGGCATGCTAACCAACGAAACAGCCACGTTGAGTGTCTATTATCTTGGTAAGATTGTTAGGCCATGATTACGAGCATAACAACCCTTTTTTTGCTAAAGTTTGTACGTAGAATTATCGAAAGGTGTTTCGTTTAGACGAGAAATGCAAACATGCCTCAGTCAAAAGTTACGAAAATCCATAGCATTTGATAATGAAGAGAAGTGGCCACCGGCAATATATACCGACGGCAATATTGATGGTGAAGACGAAGAGATGGTGGATCATTGGCATCATGCCCATCTAGAGCAGCTCCGTGACCTGTACAAAGAAGAGCATGAACTTGACGAAAACGGCTTCCAAACCAAATTCATTAATATCTTACCTCCAAATTGGACTGTTTGCTCTCTTACCTTAGATCCTGCGCAAGGGGATTTATATATTTCACGAATGCAAGCCAATACAACGCCATTGCTCCTCAAATTACCATTACAACGATTCGCTCAACGAAATGGCGAAGGTGAAGATATGAGCTACCAGGCGGTTACAGAAGAGTTCAACAAAATCATTTCTGAAAGTAATGCAACCATGCATAGTGGAAAGACGTTTGAAAACAAGACAGATGTTGAAAAGTGGTGGAAAACTAGACATGAGCTTGATGAGAGGTTGAAGCATCTCATGGAAAAGGTCGATGATAACTGGCTGGGTGGATTCAAGGTAAGAAATATTGGAGCACTGCGATACATAACTTGAGACGGTTGATAACATTGGACCGCTATAGGGCATTTTGGCAGAGGAATGCAAAGTGGTCGAATCCATACTTAAAAAGTTTCAAAGCTTCTTGAGTGAGCTTATCTGTAAAGCTGCAAATGGCCGCTCAGCTAGGCCGGCTATTTCCATGGTACACAAACCCAAACTGCTTGAAATCAGTTTGGATATCTGCAAAATGATTTTACGGATCGGCCAGAAAGCTACACATAAAGACATAGAAGATATTGCTTATTACCTGTTGTCTTTGTATGAGATCAATGACACCGACGTAAACTATGACGAAGTTGATATTGGCCAGGTACGTCTTTATCCTTGACAAAGATGCATAGTCTCCAAGTTGAACGATGTTGACACTTTCTTTTAGCTCAAGGATGATATCAGTTCAGGAATTCGGCACTACCATGATGCGGTAAAAAAAGTGGATCAACAAGATTTCCCTGGCAATTCTCAAAATCACACTATCCTCATATTGGACAAATACACGCAGCTATTACCGATTGAGTGCCTTTCCGGGCTGAAGGGCCGCTCAGTCTCACGCTTGCCTTGCCTATCGTTTCTACGAGATAGGATATTGTATGCTCGCTCAATGCATCAGATAAACGACCCATTATCAACCGATACTGCATCTGAATGGAGTGACATCGTGTTAGATGGTAACAGTGCCTTCTATGTTCTTAATCCCTCTGGTGACCTCAAAAAGACCCAGGCAGAGTTCCAATCGGCATTACAAAAGTAGGCTCATGCATAGTATCAGATTGTCGTATGTTGTACGTGCTTACCAATACTATTTTGACAGCCGCACAGAATGGCAAGGAACCGTGGGACAGCCGCCTATGGAGCAACAAATCCAAAATGCACTGAAACAAAAAGATATATACATGTGAGTATTTGTCAGCGGTTGATTGTGATCCCACAAGTCTCTCAGTCATCTAATTTGCCAATTTTTCCTCATATCGTAGCTACTTTGGCCACAGTGGAGGCGAAGCCTTCATCCGCGGACATGTAGTTCGGCAAGTCAAGCATTGTGCTGTTTCTTTGCTGATGGGTTGCAGTAGCGGGTTGATGAAACCAGTCGGCCAGTATGATCCGTACGGGAATGTCATCAACTATCTTCTTGCAGGGTGTCCAGCTGTCGTCGCTAACTTGTGGGATGTTACTGACAAGAGCATAGATCGATTCACGAAATCCATGATGATTCGGTGGGGATTGTTGGCACCACCAGGAAATCAAGATGCTTCACAATTCAAGGGATCTTCGCTGACGGAAGCAGTTGCGCATGCTCGTTTCGACTGCCCTATGCAATATCTCATTGGCGCTGCTCCAGTCGTTTACGGCATCCCTGTATATCTCCAATAACATGTAATTTTTCTCACTCAAAACAATGAACATTTGTAATATAGTCTTTGTACTTTTTTTATGCATTTAATACGAATCGATTGGTCTATTAATGATGATCGGGATACTGTTGACGTACACAAGCAGTAACAAGGAGTGTGTTTTTCAAGGGGATGTGGTATTAGCAGTCCAATCCAGAAAATGAGAATATGATGGTGAGTTACTACAGCATTAGGATGAATAGAATGCATTCCGGTATTTTGAGTGGTAGCATGAAGTGAAACCATCTAAACCTCTTCGTTGGTGAAAAACTTGGCGACACTTTGAATGTCGGCATCGCCTGGCAAGCTTTGTCCAGCATCCTGTAGATCCTTTTGCTTTCTACGTTCTTCCATAATTCGAAGAGTGAAGCTGCTAGCCTTAGCACAAACACCAGGTTTTCCGGCCAGGAACCATTGAGCTCTCATGGCCACTAATTTATCGACAATTCCCAAAACGCTAGCATCGGCGGGCTGAGAATTGGCTGGAACAGGAACAATGTTCCAGTTCTTTTCTGGGAGTTCGGCATAAGGTATTGGTTGGTTGGGTCGGTCAATTGTCGTGAGGGTTATGTTGAGATTGTCCAACAAATAGTTGATGGCTTCATGGTGAGCCGATTGAAGCTCTGAGAGCTTGAATGACATAGATTCTGGAGTACGTGTGGATGCATTTAACAGATGAGGGTAATCAGTCAGCAAAAACAGAGGTGGATATTGAGTCATGCCATTGTCTGCAACCAACTTCTGAATCTGCGACACTAAATCCTTTGCACAGTACACTAGGTTTTCGAGAGTCTCAAGTCGTTCCATACGCCAATGGATGGCCACAAAAGGTGTTAGACTATCGGCAATGCCTTTAGCAATGTTCACCCAGGTAGAGCTGTATTTGAGTGGTTCCTGAACCTCTAGGTCTTCAATGTATGGGAATCTATCCATGTTATAATTAGTCTTTCCACATTTACCCTTAAAAGAGAGCATGTGAAATTGGCCATTATGCCTAGCAGCTCACCTTCGATCATAGTACAAATTGATGACATCCAAGGAAGGAATATCCGTTACTTTACCATTAGCATAACCGTCGTTGAGGGAATGATCTGACATAGCTGTCTGAAGAATCTGTGAGTAATTTCCTTGGCGTCGGTCAGATCTCTCTGGATCTTCCAAGACGAAACGCTTGGTGGTTCTGCCTTCGAAATTCATGTAATGCTGCATACAATTTTGTACACCATCCAAGAAGTGGAAATTTTCATTGACTTCAACATAGAGTTCCTGTGCAGTAGGCTTGATGGCAATTTGAGCACGTTCTCTAGCCCATTCCTTAAAATCTTCCAAACTGATGTAGTTGAAAAACCTTTTGTTATTATCCAGCCATTCGTAAGAATAGTAGAAACTGAATGGCAGTCTCCGACATACGCCCAGATGCGAACTATGCACATTTGGAAGTACAATGGTACGGTCCAGACGGCCGGAAAGGAAGGCAAGTTGGCGAAAGTGCATTTGCGCCTTCGATTCTTGTAATAGCAAATCAGGAGAGCAGGCATTAGGCGGAGTTGAAAGATGGGCTAAAGTAATTGCAGTTTGTACACATACCTTGTTCAGTAATAGTTATGGGAAGGAGGAAACGGCAGTTATCACGCCCACAGTACTTCCGATCAATGAGTTTTCTCTGATTTTCAGCTGTCTCTTCTTCTCGACTGGTGTCAATTCTGATGTCTTCCAAGAGTTCGTGATCTTCTGGTTTAACATATTCTACAGTGATATCTTCTTCAACAACGATAGGCCGGGTGGGTGGCGTATAAGCAGTAGTTGATGGCTTGCCTAGATTTAAGGACACAAAAAAAAACAAAGCGATGCACAGTAGTGCAAAGGCAATGTACTGCCTAGATGGCCGTCTAGATAGACGAAATGCCATTGTGTACAAATTAGAGAAATTAGATGACCTTAGTGCGGGGCAGACTTCAATTTTTTTCTGATTGGCTGCCAATACAGCAATATCTCCCTCTGCGTTCTAAATTTGAATTTGCACAGTCAAATTAGACTTCTCAGCGGTGTATTAAAGATCATGACTAAAGGCTATTGTGGCCAAAGTTAATATAAAAAGCCGACCCCAGACACGCTCTGGTCTGCACATTTCCCCACACTTCAACATGGCCTGTAACACTCTTGTCGATATTACCAAGCTGTCTCCAAAATTCCAAGATCTCTATGCTAAGGCTAAGGATTTCGTCGAGGTTTGTGTTCCCACAGGTCCTTCACCCTTCCGCGGGAACCGTGATGTCAAACGACAATGCTAACGTTAAGCATCCCCATAGAATGAATGTATTCCTGCTGAACCTCTTTTCGCTGCACAAATGGGTCAAGGTGATCAACGCTGGAAGGTGAGTCAGAGTATACGATTAACTATCAGTACACGGCCGATTGATTTGCTAACGGACGATATTACTCTTCTCAAGGTGATTCCTCCTGTTATCGAGGATTTGAAGAAGAAGGCCCGCAGTCTTGGTCTTTGGAATTTGTTCTTGGGTCGCGATTATGCTGAGGGTGCTGGCTTGACCAATTTGGAATATTCATTGATCGCTGAACTTACCGGACGTTGCCCACATCTTGCTCCCGAATCAATGAACTGCTCGGCTCCTGATACTGGTAACATGGAAGTCTTTGCAAAGTACGGTAACGCAGCTCAAAAGAAGAAGTGGCTGGAACCCCTTCTTCAAGGAAAGATCCGATCCGCATTTGCCATGACTGAAAAGAGAGTTGCATCTTCTGATGCCACCAATATTGAAACCAGCATTGTCAGAAATGGCAATGAATATGTTATCAACGGTTTGAAGTGGTGGATCTCTGGTGCTGGTGACCCTCGTTGCGCAGTCTATCTTGTCATGGGCAAGACCGACCCCAACAACAAGAACCCTCACAGACAACAATCCATCATCATCGTACCAGCAGGTACTCCTGGTGTCACCGTTGTCAGACCTATGCATGTCTTTGGCTATGACGATGCGCCTGAAGGTCACTGCGAGATCGTCTTCAAGGACGTCCGCGTCCCTCTTGAGAACATGGTCTTGGGTGAAGGTCGTGGTTTCGAAATCATTCAGGGTCGTCTTGGTCCTGGTCGTATTCATCACTGGTAATGTGACTTTCAGTTTCTATATATCTCACTCATGTTGGCGCACACATTAATTTCATTTTATATTATCAGCATGCGTTCCATTGGTATGGCCGAGAGAGCATTGGAGTACATGATGGCTCGTGTTACTGACCCCAGCCGTCGTACTTTCGGTAAATATCTTTACGAGCATGGCACTATCGTTGCTGATATTGCCAAGAGCCGTATGGACATTGACCAAGCTAGATTCATGGTTCTCAATGCTGCCAAGAGAATCGATGAAGTTAAGGCTAAGGGCGCTATGAAGGAAATTGGAATGGCCAAGGTAATTTGTCTGAATAAGCTCGATCTTGGTAACAAGCTTGGTCGGAGTACTAATCAAACTATGTGTATTTTACTCAGGCCATCGTCCCAACTATGCTTCTCACGGTCCTTGATCGTGCCATGCAAGCTCACGGTGCTGCTGGTATCAGCCAAGATTTCCCTCTCGCTCGCTGGTACGCCAGTGGTCGTACTCTCCGTTATGCTGACGGCCCTGATGAAGTTCACATCGCCCAGATTGGCAAGGTCGAACTTCGCAGAGCCGAAGGTATCAAGCAGCAATTCGAGAAGCGCGATAACGCTTCTGCAAAATTGCTTGCTGATAACAAGCCCAAGCTCTAAAGCGCTTTGTACAGTGTTGTTAATAAAAATAAAAAAAGATGTATTCCAGAGGTGTAACCCATCCATACAAAATCGTCTTCAGGGTCCATGATCGTCGTGGCAAAATATTAGAGCGCCGTTTGAACAATTTACTTTTTAAAGGTGGGGTTTTGCCCCTTGGGAAAGGCAATCCCATTGCGCGATCTTTGTTCTCTCTAATGGAAATGTCTAATCACGAACTTGGTCAACTTCTTATATGTGGTTTTGATGGCCTGGAACCTACCCAAGGCATTTTAGACCTTATAAAAAACCATGGACTGGGCTCCGTTATCTTGTTTTCTCGTAACATCGATACACCCGAGCAAGTGCTTAAGATGACATCTAAGTTGCAGCAAGCCGCCAAGGATGCTGGTCATACTCGACCCTTGCTCATCGCAGCTGACCAAGAAAATGGTGTTGTTCGTCGTCTGGGATCGGCGGGTACTTATTTCCCGGGCAACATGGCCCTTGGTGCCATCCGCAGCACCGAGAATGCGAAACAAGTGGCCGTGGCTACATCTAAAGAATTACTTGCTTTGGGAATTAACTGGAACTTGGCTCCTTCGCTGGATGTAAACAACAACGCTCTCAATCCTGTTATTGGTGTTCGTTCTTACGGTGAGGATCCTGAATTAGTTGGCAGGCTCGGCGCTGCTCAAGTCAAGGGCTACCAAGAGTCGAAAGTTGCTACTAGTGTGAAGCATTTCCCCGGTCATGGAGATACAGCCACTGATTCTCACTTGGGAGTTCCTGTGATTGATAAATCCGTAGAAGATCTTGAAAAGGTTGAACTTATCCCCTTTCGCCGAGTAATTGCTTCCGCCGATCCAGCTTCTGTTATGGTGGCCCACATGTCACTTCCTCAGATTATTAAGAAGATCGATGGAAAGCATCAACTGGTTGCCAGCATTTGCAGAGAAGTACCCTATGATTTGCTACGCAAGCGCATAGGTTATGAAGGTCTTATTGTTACCGATTGTTTGGAGATGGATGCAGTCAAGGACACTTTTGGAACTCCTGAAGGAGCTGTTCTTGCTCTCAAAGGAGGAAACGACATGGCTATGATTTCACATACTTTGGACTTTCAACTTCAAGCATTTGACCTTGTGAACAAGGCCTATCAATGTGCAGAACTCAATGCTGAGGAAATCAAGGCATCTCTTGCAAGAGTGGCTTCCCTCAAGGACAAGTTTATCGACTGGGAAAGTGCATTTCCATCTGAGCAAGGCCTGAAGGTTGTAGGCGATCCGCAACACACTCAAATTCGAGACGAACTATACGATAAGGTTCCAACCATTGTCCGCGATCGCACCAACATATTGCCACTGGCGTTACCTAAATCGGAGAAGCTTCTTTTCTTGGCTGCCCATGTGCCACTGACGCTTGCCATTGATTCAGAGCCGAATCCATTTGCTTCTTTCTATCAAAGCATTGTCAAACGCCATGAGAATACTGTTGACATTACTTTCTATGAGGACCAACACACTGATTCTGAGATTGAAAAGGCCATCTCCGAAGCGGCTACTATTATTATTGGTACCGCCAATGCAAATTTGCATCCCTTCCAAGAGGTCATGGTCAAGCGTGCTATTGCTTCAGGAAGGCCGGTTATCGTCACTGCCGTCATTAATCCTTATGACCTAATGGTATTTCCAGAACTTGATACATACCTCGTCACATACGAATATACCCCTCCTGCACATGAAGCTGCAGTCAAGGTTATTTTTGGCGAAATTCAAGCGACATCTAAGCTACCGGTATCTCTGCCAGGTATCGGCCAGTATGACTCCCAACCTGAACATGAATGGTCTATTGCATCATATGACGAAAAACGTGACTTTGATGAAGTCAAGAAGCTTTGGGACATTTGTCTGCCGGACTGGCCCCTCTCTGCTGAAAAATTTGGCTTCGTATTGACCAACGGACCAAACCCTGCGCACTACGTCATTCGATTGAAGACTGATGGAGTCATTGGATTTGCATCTACTTTTGCTACTTCAGAAAAAAAGACAGTGACAGGTCACTTGAGTCTTATTTTGGTATCTCCCGAGCACCGGGGTCAAGGCGCTGGCATCCTTTTGCACGAAACTGGAATGCACAGGCTGAGAAGTTTACCAAACATACAAAGCGTCCAGCTCGGTGGCATTTACCCTCGCTTCTTTTGTGGTGTACCTGAAAATCTAGGTCCAAAGACTCTGGATTTTTTCAAAAACCGCGGCTGGGTTATGTCTAAGGAACCAGTTTGGGATCTCATCCAAGACTTGACTAACTACGAAACTGACCAAGTCATCAGCAATCGCATGAAGAAGGAAAATATACATTTCAGCCGCATAACGCCCTCTCGACTATGGGAGCTTTTGGCATTCCAAGAAAGGTACTTTGACTTCTGGCTGAGCACCTATCAACACCACGCCGAATTGGGTGACTTCCAAGACCTGATTGTTGCCAGGGAAGGAGATGAGGACGGTAAGATCGTGGGAAGTCTTGTCCTGTATACAGCTTGTGGTTCTCATCCAAGAAGAAGTGACGTGCCATGGTCCGACTCGGCCTTATATGGAGACGATTGTGGTGGTATGTCTTGTGTCGGCGTTGCAGATGAACAACGAGGCAGAGGCATCGGCCTTGGCATTGTTGCTTATGCAAACGAAGTGCTTAAGCGAAGGGGCGTCAAGAATTCTTATGTTGATTGGGTCGAAGCCGTAGGATTTTACAAACGTACTGGTTACTCTGTATGGCGTGGATATTACATGAGCTCGAGACAAGTATAGTCTCTGTTAAACCGCGAGCTTGGAAACCTGGATATCCTTAATTGGCCATGCGCAATTTTGCAATTTAGAAAAGAATAAAAAATTATATACAAAAAAAAAAAAAGCATGCTCTCTCTGAGTTTCATTGGGGTGTACAAAACAGGAGGCTTATTTTTCGTTGGCCTTCCTCTTAATCCATTGCTTCTTCATTCGTTCAATCATCCGGCATGTCTGCCGCTGCCATTGTCACTCCTTCACATCAAGATTTATTGAGTAGAGACTCAAAAACATCTTCCACCCTATTCCAAGGAAATGTTGACCAATATCCACCTGATGTTGAAAATACTTTGGATGCCGCTTCTGGAACCGCTCGCACACCTCGACCTCAATTGAAAAATCTACCCTCCAGAAAAGACTCTTTACCCGAATTACAGAAGATACCTAGTGGACCGCGTAGGTCAAAAACAGCAAACCATGTTTTACAGTCGTTATCACAGCCCATAGTGGCCACCCCTGAATCAGATACCACTCTTAGCCCTGAAACATCCACTTCGCTGACCAAAAGAATATCGAAAGTTCGCCCTGTCATTCGTCGTAATACAACAGGGCCAGATGCCATACCTAGCGAAGACCTTGACTTAACGCCAGCTTCTCGCAAAAGACAATCATTTAAACGGCTATCCAGAAGGCGACGCGACGACGATGATGATAGAGTTATTATCGGTATTCGCATCGCCGAAGGTCATCAGAACTACGTCCTCATGTACAACATGCTCACTGGTATTCGCATTGCCGTAAGCTTTCTTTCTTCTTTTCCTATGTAGCTGCCTAAGCCTTCCCCCTATACTGCTTGATCATCATCCCAAACACCCATTCCAATATGTTACCTCCTGCTTACGCAACAAAATTAATTCCAACAGGTTGGGCGAGTTAGTGCGAAACCAAGTCATCCCCTCGCTGATGAAGACTTTCTTGCTGCGCATAAGCTTGTCTTTGATGTGTATGTATAAAAAAAAATAGCTGTGTCACAAATTACATTTCATGCCATTTTTACTAATCACTCCTTATCTTATTGTCTTTTCCATTCTATCAGTACCGGTAATGAATTGACTCCTGGAGCAAGATATGACTTCAAATTCAAAGATTATGCACCTTGGGTTTTCCGACAAATTCGAGAAAAGTTTAACATCGACCCAGCCGACTATTTGGTAGGGACACAAAACAAAAAGTATATGCATCCACCATGTTTCCCTTCTCCTTTTGTAATCCCAATTTCTTTTTTTTTTTTTCTCTCTTCTAGATTTCGCTCACCAGTAAATACATTCTGTCCGAACTGGGTTCACCCGGCAAGAGTGGAAGCTTCTTTTATTACTCTCGAGACTATCGCTTCATTATTAAAACCATTAGTCATACGGAGCACAAGTTCATGCGCAGCATTTTAAAAGAGTACCATGAAGTAAGAAATAATTTAAGGATACTGAAAGTTTTTTAAACTTTGCTTACTGACCTTTTCTCAACATTCGTCCAATTTGCTCCTGTTGTTTGTTCTATTAATAGCATGTCAACAGCCATCCAAACACTTTACTTTGTAGATACTATGGACTTCATCGCGTTAAGCTGCCTCGAGGTAGAAAGATCCATTTCGTAGTTATGGCCAACGTTTTCCCTCCCAATAAGGATGTACATGAAACGTTTGATTTGAAGGTAAGACACCTGCAATATTTAAAACATGAATTAGAAACTATACCTAACCGCTATGATCATCATGCTAGGGTTCCAAATATGGCCGTCTTCTTGCAGAAGAAGAGATTCAAAGAAATCCAAATGCTGTTATGAAGGATCTGAACTGGGAAAAGAAGGGTCGAAAGCTTGCTTTGGGTCCTCGCAAACGACGTCTCTTTATTCAGCAACTGGTTCTTGATGTCAGGGTATGTTTTTAAACCTCGTGCACACCTTCCTGCGATATTATAAAATGAAAGCTGAGCACTAACTATCTACTCCTATTTTTGTACTTTAAATAATTGCCCTCCTTCTTCAGCTCTTGACGCGACTGAATATCATGGACTATAGTCTGTTGATAGGAGTGCATGATATGATTCGTGGTAACAAGGACAACATTCGTGACTCAACACTACAAACCTTCCAGCCCGATACTAAGACGGCAGAAAGACATGCTTCGGTTATGAAGCGACGTCAAAGCAAAGCTCAAGTTGTTCGAAAGGCCATCCGTGACACAAATCTCAATCGTATTGATATTTCTGAACTTCAAAATGAGAAGGACGAGTAAGTAACACTAGTACGCGTTTGAATTTTTCCATATCGGTCTCATTTTAACGCTACCCTCTCTTTTAGTCGCAGCAGTAGTGCATTTTATTCAGACGATGGTGGATTCCGATCGACTGACGAAAGTGACATGCCCACTAACCAGTTATACTTTATGGGTATCATTGATATCTTAACTCCGTACGACTTGAAGAAGAAATCTGAGCACTATTGGAAGTCCATGACCCTTGACAAGGTATGAAATTATATCGCTTATTAAATTATATTCCCAGTTGGTGGGTGGTATGAATCTTTTTCGCTAACCACACTTTGAACTCTTTAGCATGGCATTTCGGCTGTCAAGCCTTCAGAATATGGCCATCGTTTCGCATCGTACATGGTTAAGACCATTGAGTATAACGAAGATATAACCACGGCTGTGGAAGAAGAAACTGCTGAAACCAAGAAGAATCAGTAGACCAGCCCAGCTCACTGCGAAAATTTACCCCAGCCTGTTTTTTTAATATACTTTTTGCTTTTTGCCATCATGTCCTTTTCCCCATTCCCTTCATTTTATTTTATCTTCAAAACGTATGTCCACAGTAGAAATTGATATACCCTGGCCAAACTGTTATGTACTTCACCTTCTCCTATTATTCCATTTCATATATATCTATATATTGTGTATAACGGAAAGGAACGCTTCTGCGATCCTACGGTATTCAATAAAAGAAAATCACCTTGCAGCCGGAGCGCTACGGGAATCCTGCATGGCTTACCGTATACTGGTCTTTCTCCGGTAAAACCAGCTCCCCGCAACACATATCTCACGCGGGATGTGTTTAACGATTTAACCTCATTTACAGAATAATTCAGCCGTGAGAAACGTAAAATCTATCAAGGCAATGAATAGAAATTGCACGATGAATGCCGACACGAAGTAAAATTTGTTTGTAAAATTGACATCCTAAAGCGCAATGATAAGATGATTAAATCCACGATGTCTTATCAGTACGAGATAAATATTTAAACCCAGTTAAGCCAATCACGCCGACTGATCTCCCTTTGTCTTCCGAGGCATTTCGGTAGTGACGAAGTGGTTTCTTCTTCTGTTATCCTTTCTTTGCATACTCCACTATGGCAGACCCTGCGACACAATTGATGAATTCTGGAGATACAGCCTGGGTTATGGTTTGTGCACCTTCATGATGATGCCGTTCTCATGTCTAACATCGTACCCCGTTCTAATTGTTTTTCCGGCGCCTGCATCCAGATGTGCACAGTACTTGTTTTCATCATGGTAATGGATTGAGCAACCTCTCAGCTGTTGATACAACGTTTCTTGTTATACTGACTTTACGATATTTTCTTCAGTGCCCGGGACTTGGTTTTTTCTATGCTGGTTTAGCTAGAGCAAAAAATGCCTTGTCACTTATGTATCTCACCGTGCTAGCAGTCGCAGTTGTCTCCTTCCAGGTATTAACTCACTGACATATCCGCTGATACTCACCCAGAACGAACATTAATCATACCGCCTCTTTCCTTCCATGCAGTGGTACTTGATTGGATATTCACTCACGTTTTCTGAAACGGGAGGACCGTTTATTGGCGACACAGGTAAAGGAAAAAAAAATCGATCTATCACATGGAATGACCAACAAAGTCAAGTCTCACCATACATGTCATAGCCCACTTCTTATTGAGAGGCGTTGGAATAGCACCGCATGTTACCGCCCAAACTATACCAGCTGGCTGCTTCATGATCTTTCAAATGATGTTTGCCTGCCTTACTCCTGGTACGTCTATCTATCCCGCCGAGTTTTGACGAATTGGCTTTTTGTGACTGACCTTTTATTTTTTGGACTCCATCTAAAACACAGCCCTTGCCTTCGGCTCCGCTGCTGAACGTATGTCGGTAAGTAGAGTATATGATAGCTTTATCACCCTTGTACACAGCTCATGAAAATATATTATGTATTTAGCTTGGACCTGCAATCGTTTTCCTCTTCGTATGGTCAACTTTGGTATATGGTGAGTGATGGTTTCCGCCTATCATATTACGGTTTCCTTTTTCGACCTTATCTGAACGTTTTACTTTTTTGACTATCGCGATTAGATGTGATCACATATTGGGTGTGGGCTGGCAATGGATGGCTTGCAACCCTCGGCGTTATGGACTTTGCTGGGTACGTATGCTGAATCATGGGCAGATAACCCGATTTGCAACGACAACTGACTTTCTCACGACGTACAGTGGCACCCCTGTACATATTTCTTCTGGTTTAGCGGCTGTAGCGTATGCTATGGTGGTCGGCAAACGACGAGACTACGACGAAAACGCTAATACGCCTCACAATGTATCGTTTGTTTTCTTGGGACTCGCCATGATGTGGTTTGGATGGTTCGGCTTTAACGCAGGCAGCGCTTTGGCAGCAAACGCACGCTCAGTTCAATCACTCATCGGAACACATTTGTCAGGATGTGTAGCGGCCATTGTTTGGGTATTAATGGACTATCGCCTTACCAAAAAGTGGAGTATGATCGGTTTATGTACTGGAGCTGTAGCTGGACTCGCGACTATTACACCAGGTTCTGGATTTGTATCAAGCAGTAGCGCCTTGGCTTTTGGTGCTATTGGAGCCATCGTCTGTAATTTGGCTGTTCAGTATAAGCACAAATACCACTTTGATGATGCATTGGACGTATTTGCTGGTACGTAACTTTATTTTACCAGTATGCAATACGAAACTCAACGTCCAACAACTGATCTTTTTTGGTCTATATAGTACATTATATTGGAGGACTTGTCGGCCTCGTTTTGACCGGTATCTTTGCTCAGCAAAAAGTCATCGCTCTCTCTTATAACGAAGGGGACACTGTTCCTCTTGGTGGCTGGTTGGATGGAAATTTCATCCAAGTCCCTATTCAGTTGGCTGCAATCGTAACGGTCTCTGTTTGGTCATTTGTGGTTACTTACATCATCCTCGTCGTTATCAACAAAATCCCATTCCTTCGATTGCGATTGAATGACGAAGCTGAGATGATGGGAGTCGATTGGTCTGAAATGGGTGAACGAGCATATGCCTATTTACCTATGACCGAAAGCGGTGAATTTATCACGCCCAATGGTAATAGTACCAGTGCAGACGTTGCCCAGGGAGTTGTTGTGAAGCGTGTTCCCGACATCATTGAACAGCCAGCAGAAGCAGGCGGTGATCTTGGAGGTATCAAACTACAAGACATGGATCTGGCTAGTACGCCCAGTTACTTCCAATTGGAAGGAAACCGTAATAATGACCGATCAGCTTCACCTTCTCCTACCATAAGAACCGACTCAACTCGAAAGGGTTCCAGTGGGATCAACGATGGCGCCTCATCGTCAACTTATTCAAGTAGAAAGCAACAAAAAGCACGAGCCATAGACTAAGCTTCCATTATCTGCAACTTGTAATCAACACGACAAAGAAGATCCCAATCACTAGACTCCATCACATGTGTATCTAGTACCATATCACCCTGTAGCTTATCCCCTCTTATTTTTTTTTGTCACCCATCGTTCGTCCCACATGCATTCACATTTCTTGACTTTTTGTAAATTGGTAAAATCAGCTTTTTTTTTTCTCTCGCATTTGATACAATACATTCCTTTTCGACAGTTTCATCCAATGATTTACAAATTGTATTTAAGAAAACGGACCTGCCATGCTTTTAAATTCAAAATGCCATTATCAACAAAGGTTTCCAAAATACGGTGTCAGGGAAGGTGTCATGAATCCGTCCAAGACATTTTCAGTTGTACCTGGCATATTTTTTACGTACATTTCAGAACTACAACGTTCTTTGTCATGTATGATCCTTGGCATCAAAGAGAGAGGAATACAAGATAAAATCGAATCTGTATGCGATTCGTTGACCGAGTCGTCTGACTTCAGTAATGGATGGTTAAAATAGTATTGACTGTAGAGCCGATTTCAATTGTAGCTAAGATATCTTTGACTCAAGCACCTCCTTCAAAGTTTGCCAATGCTAATTTCAACTGTGAAAGGACTGTACGTCGATCATACAAAACGTACACAGAGTATCAGCAAATCTTCCAATCAGTAGCAAGTACAATTTGCTGGCACATCTTCCGTTCACCATCCTATCGTTTGCATGTTTATGCGGTTCCTGATATACCGCATGACTGACGGTCAAGTATACAATTTTACCTTACATGCAACTAGCTCGAACAAACTGACAGAATCTCAATTTTATAAAACTTTTTTTGTCTTTTGTTTTACAAACTACGTCTTTCTAATTTATTTTCTTTATCATTTCCTTTCCCAACGAAAGAGTAAAATCAGTCATTCCCTTTCTTTTTCCTAAAACTTTAAGCGGCTCTTCCTTCCACATATACCTCAAGGGCTTACGTTTGTGCCTTTCATCAATACCGTCATTTTCTTGATTATAAGCACATTATAAACAATTATGTCTACCGTCGACCGGGCAGGTGAGTAAAGATTTAATTCATCACCTAGTAACCATTTCTTTGCACTGACTCAGTTTCTCCACTGCTGTATTTCCACTTTAATATACAGATACCAATAACGCCTCCATGTCCGATATCGATGTTTTTGGAGAAGATATATTGCGCGCCATTCACCATCGAATGGATGGGAGAACCGCCTCAGATGCTCAAAAGCTTCTCAATGACCTTATAGAAATGCTCAGTGCTGAGCATAATGAGCTAAATGATATTCCAAAGCGCCAAACCTTGGTCATGAACGATGATGCCCCTCAATCATCTGTCCCACCTACAAGACCGTCGACCTTGAATGCTCCGTCGATAACTTCTACTTTCATTCCTTCATCTGCTACCCCTATTCCAAGCGCAGAACAAAGCGCTGTCAAAATCGTTGCGGACGCACTGGGACCTACATCTTCCATGGAAAACCCGCTCATTGTGACCCAGACAATCTATGTAACAGCCACCCCATCCAGCATCACCTCCTCAACTACAACAGCTTCTCCAGCTACCGCCGATGATGAAAGTAAAAGCATGGCTGAGCTCCTGAAAAAATACAACAATGGAGCACACAACTATAGCCTTACGATCATCATCTTGTTGTGCATTTTCGGCGCGATTCTTGTTATTGGTCTACTGATAGCAGTTCTATGGTGGAGAAAGGATAGACAACGAAGAAAGCAAAGGGCTATTGAGCGAGAAAGGGAAATGGAAGAGCAAAGCAGAAAACCCCCAGGCGGTTACGCTTACGAACAATTCATGGCGAATAAACACGGTCTGAACGCAAGACAGCCACAAGATTATTTTACTGAAGCCGGTTATCACACAGATGCAACTTCTCCACCAAACCATTCAACACAACCTTTGGGGGCTCCTTCTCAGTATGAAAATGCTATAAAGTTTAAAGGAAAAGCGGCCAACTTGCCTGCTATTAACACTGGTTCAGCACAAGTAGAAGATCCTCCAATCTCACCTACATTTGTACCCCTACCCGGTACTCCCATGAAACTTGTTTCTAGACAACAAGTATTCCAGGATCCACAGCGGCGAAGAGGGGTTGACGCATTAGACTTGGATGCTCAACAAGAATCCAATCAAAAGCACTGGAAATCCGTCCACTCTGATGGTGGCCCCTCTTCTGTCACAAACTCAAGACCTGCGGGTCAAGCTTCTAGTGACAATGAAGGTAATAGTGCAACGACCGCTTCTTATTAAACAAATATAAATATCTAATGGGCTCGTACGCCTTTTCATAAATAAAATACTATCCATCACAGCTCAGAAATTAATATACGAATCCAGCGATGACTCGGATAACACGATCTCTCCATCGCAAAGTGTTGTAAGCAAGAAGGCTTCAGAGGATCATCGTCGAAAACTTTCATTGATTTCTTTCTTGGTTTCAGAATAGCTTAAACGCCAATATTAATACACAGAAAATTTCGTCCAAAGCTGGTTCTGATCACAGGACCCAACGTGGAGATGGGCATCAAGAAATATCGGATGTCGCTGCGGCTAGACGCGTCCTGATGTCGGTAGATATGTAGACAATTGTTAGGCAGCTGAACGTCTAATATTTTAAATTATTTCTGTGATTTATATCAATGGTTCACCAAAGCATTTCTTATTCATTGTATTATCAACCTCTCAATCAAAAAACATCATGTTCCTCTTATCTGAATCCTGTTGAGTTGCACTTATTAAAAATACTCCTTTTGTCTGAAGCTACCATATAGCATTTACAAAGTAGTAGAGTGCACCTTAAATGCTTCACATAGTTTTTCAACGAATTGCTTTTTTGGAAAAAATATGTTCTTAATATATTTTTGCCTCCATTCAGATCCCAAACGTATTGCATATCACTCACGGTAACTTTTTTGAAAAGGTACTGAAATCTGACACTTGGCATAGCGAATATTTTTGGCACCGCCGACTGAAAATTGAAAGTCACACAGCTAATCAAACTTGGCACTCAAAGGGGAACTTTGACTGATCGGACCTTGCTGTGCTTGAAGAACTGTTACTTGTATACCAATGAGGCTACTCAGATTAAGCAGCCTGCTATGGTCAATAGCTTCCTTCCACGCTGCAAATCACTTTGTACATGCTGCTGAAGGTGAGCTATACTTTGATTTACGTTCATATGGTATTTTGTTATATACATTTGTAACTGTATCACTAATGCCTGGAATTGCCTCAATGTAGCTGAAGACTATCGCATCAAGGCGTTGCCAGGCATCGCTGATCTCGGTAACATGACACAGTATGCAGGGTAAGTCAGAAATAAAATATAACCTAAATGAGCGTCTGTGATTATAACAAAATACCCTTTTTTACTAGACATATAGAGATCTCACCGGAGCACAACGCCAACATATTCTTTTGGCTGCTGAACAGCCAAAACGTCAAGTCATCCAACAAGCTAGTAAGAGAGCCATTCAGAGTTGCTGAACGCATCATATATTACGTACAAGGCTAACTTATCACCTCCAGGTCATTTGGCTAAATGGTGGCCCTGGCTGTTCAAGGTAAACAGGATAAAGACATTCGACCGCACGATAACAATTTCATACAGCTAAAACAATTTTGTTTTCTTTAGCATGGATGGAATGTTTTTGGAGAATGGACCATATCGCGTCAACCCAGATATGACTGTCGACATTAACCCAGGAGGTTGGCAGGATCATGCCAATATTGTTTTTGGTAAGCATTTGAAGTTTCCTTCTCATGCGACGCACACTGCTAATCGACATCACACAGTTGACCAGCCAGTGGGAACTGGATTCAGTTTCGCAAATACCGATAGTTATGTGAAGAACATGACGGAGATGGCAATCAGCTTCAACACTTTCTTAGACTTGTTCTTTGAAGTGTTCCCTGAAAGGACTACCAACGAAGTGAGTCGAAGTGACTTATCGTATATTGAAGACTTGGTAATACTAACAATATGAAACCAGCTCTACATCGCAGGAGAGAGTTTTGCCGGCACTTATATACCATACATTGCACAACATCTATTGCAGCAAAACAAAGCGGCTGGCACAAAAAAGGTGAGTTCTTCAGAAGCGGTGGATACCCATTTACGTTTCTTTTCACTTCTGGTAAATTGGCTTTGTATCATTTACCGAAGAAATTTCAGTATGATCTAAGAGGACTAGCTATAGGAAATGGATGGATATCGCCATTGCATCAGGTATGAATTCATCCCAAATGCGCGTTTTTATATCAAGGAAAAATCGCTCACTTTATGAACAGTATGAGGCTTCATACGACTTTGCCTTAAGAGAGAATCTTCTGAAGGGTCAATACAAGGTATGATTATAAGCATTGGATTGTGAACGCTTGTGTCGTGAGTCAATCTAAATAGCATTCTATCACTAGACGATTGCTAGTGAGCACTTGGAATACTGTAGAGCATCGTTGGAGAGACAGGAGCTGATCTCAATCGGTGTTTGTGAGCAGATTTTGTCCGACACAATTGACAGCACCACCTACATGTAGGGCATGGTTTTCAAGCATCTGATATTTGCGAACACACTCGGAATTGTACTTATTGTCATTGCATACCTCAGGGAAGATGATCATTTCTATTGCATTAATCAATATGATATTCGTATGACAAAGGAGCCCTCCCCACAATGCGGTATAACTTGGCCACATGAACTACACGATGTCACAAAGTATCTGACCGTAAGTAGCATATGCTGGTCAAAATCAATTGAATTCAGTGGAAACATATGTTGATTGACCATTGTTAATCAGAGTAAGAGCGTTGTACAAGCAATACACGCTAACAAGCAAATGCTTGGTTGGACAGAATGCTCTGGTGCTGTCGGCAGAGCTTTGGATTATGATGAGAGCCAGCCATCGTATTATGTAAGTATATATGTTCAGTATTTTTCTCAGTACCTTATGTGCATGTACTAATGTGCACTGGCGAACCGTAGTTGCTCCCTGATATTCTGGAAGAAGTCCCAATCTTGCTATTCAGGTAGGAAAGCGATAAAATACACTATGGTGACTATCATTGCATCCTGTCGTTCTTACTCTTATGATTATTAGCGGTGACAAAGATTTAATTTGTAACTCTCTCGGTACCGAGTACCTTATTGGCAATTTGACATGGGGTGGTGCCAAGGGATTCCAGGTAACGTTAAATAGTCATCGGATGTTGTACTTGGTCACTGGGTACTCATATAAATGTCGTAGGGATCTACCGCTCAAGAGTGGCATATAGGAGACAAAATAGCTGGATACAACACCACGGCTCGAAATTTAACATATGTCTTAGTCAAAGATGCATCGCACATGGTTCCATACGATAAACCTGTTGAAATGTTGGACATGATCAATCGCTTCATTGGCGTCAGCGATGGAACTGTGAAAGATACTCCTAGCTGGGTTGGACCACAGCCAAACGAGGATAAGGAGATTCCCGCACCATCCTCAGATCCCGTTCAAAGTTCTCCGGAAACAAGCGATGGAGAAGGGGAGGGAGAGGTCAACGAAGATGAAGATGATGACCCTTGGAGTGAATATTACAACTGGTAAGCACCGAGGCTTATGCATCGTTAGATGAGAATGTTTGCATTAACATACTTGCCATTAGGGGTACATCAACTTTGATTGTTGTTATTCTTTTTGCCGGTATTGCCGGGTTCTGTTGGTACCGATCAAGCAGACGTGGAGGTGCACGACTTGGATTAGGTTCTCGCCCAACGTTCATTAGTAAACTCATTGGCAAGACTGGTTTACGAGGTGGTGGTCCGCGTCTCAAAATACCACAAGACGGAGACGACAGCAATGAATTGTAAGTTTCTGTTTATGCCTTTCTTTTTTTTTTTTACCGTCAGCTTCATAACTAACATGCATAATAGGGACGAGCTGGTGGTGGAAACTCCCACTCTTTTCGCGGCTGAAGATTATTCAGACGACGATAGCGGAAACGAACGATATCCCGGACAGTCCTCTCGCGATGGAGCTCGCAAGAATTTACTGCCGAACAAATCCAATTTCTCAATCGATGATGATGAAGACTAGTAAAATGTATAATATTTTACGATTTTCAAATAGTACATTCCATTTTGTTTTGAATAATAGAGACGCTTTGTTCATTTTCCTTGACATCATGTATGACAGACGGGCCATGTCCACTCGGGTAGGGCCATGCTCACTCGGGTAGGAGGGCCATGCTCACCCCGGGTAATGTTTGGTCATTTTCTGTGTATGAACGTTACCGAGATAGTCAACCCATTTAGCGTGTGGTGCAGCTCATTTATAGCACCTGATGTTATTGCTGCATAGAGATTATCACAGACACGCTGTCCATCCAATGGAGTGTGCTGCGGATTTCATCAGCTATCATGCGATTCATGAAACACAGACATCGTCCTAACCGTGTATATGAGGGCCGGTATTTCTTCACAGCTGTTATTCAGTGTTAATTTATCGGAGCTATCGTCTGTGTGCTGTCGTGGGAAGGATCAAAGCGATAGTTTCGGTGATCACAAAGGCTTTCGAACTTTTAAACAAGGCTGGCGAAAAAATTGATGTGGAGCATGTTTCTCGCCTCAGTCTCCGCTAGGAAACCGGCCACTGCAACAACCACTCTGATAGGCAAGACATTCACTCGACGTTTCATGGGATCCACAACCAATTTACCTCACCCAAAGAGCTGTGAGTAATTTCCTTTGTAGCATTAGTAATTTTTTTGTTTCATTCATTCCAACTAATAGTGTGCGTCTCCCGTTCATTCGCGTTTAGTGGTGGTTGAGCAGATAAACCCTTTGGCACCCCCAGCCGAGGCTAAATACAGGTTCATAGTCAACCATAACGACCCCAATGAGTTCTATCTTTCGTATCCAAGAGGTAGTTGTCGTCGTGTAACGAACGCTAGTAGATAGCAGAGACTGATTTGCATCGACTTTAGGTGCCTACACTGGTGCTCGAACGATTAGCCGAACGTCTGTGGCCGAGCTCAAGCAACATATCTTCAGAACCTCGAACTCGCTGAGACTGATGTCTTTTTCAAAGGACGAAGAACAGCCTGAGCCGGAATCCGTGGTTCAAGATCTATCTGTGTTCCGAGATGAAAAACAATTTGAAGACCGCATCGTTCCTATGCTACGTGCTGGCCTGCAGAAGTATTATGCAGAAGTGGAAGAGGAGGACGGGAAAATTCATGAAACAAAAGTCTCTTTTCTTTGTGGGTACAATCTTGATGTATGTGTAGTTGAAGACTGGCTAGTTGTCATTGGGTTCTGTCACTCGTCTAACGTTCCATTTCCGTAGCCACCGCAGGTCTCCTTGGCAGCACATTTTACCCCGCTAAAATCACCTCCTAGCGGAAGAGTTGCTGTCGATGTTCAAGGATCACCGCGACATCATGCAGCGGCAAAAGATTCACAGTGGGTTAGGTATGTAATCGATGTAGCGAAACCAGATGGCCAGCTACCCAGCTAAAGCATCCTCTATTCCTTTGTAGAGAACGGCAGACTCTGGAAAAGAAAAAGTCTCCCAATGCCAATGAAGTGCTATTGACGGATCATGATGGACACGTCTATGAAGGAATGGCGTCCAACTTCTTTGCTGTCATCAATGAAAATGGGTCGCCGACATTGGTAACAGCGTCACTGGATTGTGTCTTACTAGGAACAATCATGAAAATGGTCCTGCGTGTATGCGAAGAGCGCAGCATTCCCGTAAAATGGATGTTCCCGAGCCTGAAAGATGCATCCGATGGCAAGTGGGAGGGCTGCTTTATCAGTAGTAAGTTGTAGTTAGAGTTATCCTCTCATCAAAAATGTACATGTATGCTAATGCACTGTTCTAGGCACCTCAAGATTGGTATTGCCAATTGAGACCATACAGTTCAATGATGAAAGGTAAGTGATATGATACGATGATTTATTTAACAAAGTGCGCATTATTGAACAGGTTTGTTATAGACCAAATATACAGTTTCCTTCTGTTTCAGAAACGGTTGAAATAATACGGAAAGATGTTCAAAAAGAACTGCTCAAAACGGCATACAAGATTCTCTAGATGAGCACTTGCAGAAGCAAATCTACGTTTCTAGTCAATATCAGTGTCTATAGGTTGACTGTCTTCCGCTTTGTTATCGTCCGTTTCTTGTTCATCTACTAGAGTGAATTCAATTATAAAGAATGTAGCACTATCGTCTCTCATTTTTGCAATGAATCGTAGAGGCTATTAGAAAGAGTTGATCAATAACAGTTGTACATTGGTGTTTGTTTCATCAGCTTTAACGTACTTGACCGTCCCAGTATTTTAGTACTTGTATCTCAAAGCCTGGTATATGAATAGCACACTGAGAGGGAACATCTTTTAGTTTTCAATATGGAGCTCCGGACTTTCATAAGCCTTACCTTGTCAAAATCCAAATACTCATTGTAAAAGTCCATGGAAAACACCATGTCAGGTGTAATTTCGAAACTCTTCCTCTTATGTTGATCGCATAGCGCCTTACGCCTTTGTCCAGCTCCAATATCAAATATGGATGGATCTTCTTCTATCCGTTCGCCAGAAGGGGATGGCCATGGTGGAAGAGTATCAGGTTTAACTTGGACGTTGAGTGTGTTCATAGTGACGACCAATGGACTAAAGGCTGTGGGCTTATCGGCGTATAAATCTAACTCTATCGCTGGATCAAACCATTTTGCAAAGTTCATGGCGATGGAAGACCCTGTTGGTAACCGCAAGGGAGCGTCGAAAGTGTTGCCAAATACGATATCGTCGGCCGTGGCGGGAGTCAAAAATCGCCCTTGAATCTGTATGGAAAACTTGTCCGGATGTTCATCGAAATACTTTGAGGACGGAGCAGCTGCTTTGTTCACGCCTGTGTACTCGCGGACCCTTACCACACCACGCCCTTTGAATGAGTCGGAATTCAACTCAAATGGGTTGGCGTCGTCGTTTACCACTACCTTTTGCATAGTCTCTATGCTTGTGCCTGCACGCACTTGCAGTCTTGGATGTCGGAAAGAGTGCACCATTTTGTTTGGTCAATGTCTTAAAATCAAGAAAGAAAAAAAAAGCTATGATTCGGCTGATTTATTTGTTGGACATATACGAGCTGTTGACGTATGTCATTGGTCATTGACCACGACTTTATCCTGAGTTAAAAAAAGGTTAATTATGATGGTCAGTGCTTTTTAGCCGTATATTGACTTGCAGCAGGGCCCTTTTCCGTGAACCTTTCGCCAACACCTCTGTTTCGACTTGGCTAAAAGGTGTGACCCCCCACTGAATCTAAAAATTGCCTTCAAGCTGACTTTTGGCACCAAAATGGCTCAATCCTCATCTCCGCCTGTGCAACACAACACAAGTGCTTTTTTTATTTGATCCTGTTTGTTGGTCATAGAACCTCTTTCCTCTTCTTCCGTCTATTGGCACAACCATTCATCTCGTCTCTTATATTCCTCTCAAGAGCGACCTCGTACATCATAAAACATGAGCTCGGTCGTTACGTTCGACACTCAGCGCTCACAAGATGCTTCGCTCGATGTTAAAGGCATGGCTACACAGCTTGGCCTTAATCTTGCTATTTCCATTGGTGTTGTCATGGGCTTTCAGCTGCTTCGTCCGAGAAACTCATGTACGTCTTGGAGTTTTTACTTCGCCAAAATGTCTCATGTTCATTTCAGGGGCACTTAAAATTAAAGTAACCTTGTTCTCTACCAAAATAGTAATTTACGCGCCAAAATCAAAACTCGGGACAGACCAGTACGTATACTCTCAGCCCCGCTCTACAAATAGATCGCAGTGAAAAGAGCTTTGTTTGCTTATGATCCCCTATTTTACAGGATGAGAACCCCACCGCAGGTCGGTAATGGTTTATTCGACTGGATCAAGCCTGTACTGCACACCGACGACGATGTTTTGCTAGATAAGGTTGGGTTCGACGCTTACATGTTTTTGAAGATTCTTCGAATATTTCGACATACGCTATACGTTATGACTTTTGTTGGAGTCTGTGGTTTGATACCCCTCAACGTCATCGCAACATCGAGGACAGGGTGAGCATCTGATAATGTTGATAAGAACAGTAGTGCAAGTTGAACGAAACTAACTTGAGCAATTTGATAGTGTCTGGCCACCTGGAGTAAGCATCGACTTCTTGTCTCTCAGTAGTATCAATAATGTCAATGGAAAAACATCACCTCATGCCAATTATACATGGTATTGGGCACACGTTGCTGTCACTTGGATATTTACACTGTCCATCTTTTTCTTTTTCTATCGTGGTTATGGCGCTTATGTCCGTCTTCGTCAGAAGTTTTTCACCAGTCATGAATACGTCAATGCTGTTTATTCGAAATCCATCCTTATCATGAACGTCCCCGAGGAATGCCAAAGCGACAACACCTTACGTACGTGGGCACACCGCATTGGTATCCAGTCACATATTTCGGAAGCAAGTATCGGTCATAACAGTGAAAAATTGAGCAATTTGGTGACTGAACACGAAGAAGCAGTCAAAGAATTAGAAATCTCTTTATCTTCCTACTTAGGAGGTAAGTTTTTGTCTAGGCCATTGGATCTTACTGAGCCCTCGTTAAGCTAGTCTATTTCCTCGCAGATGGAAAAGGCAAGAAAAAATCTCGACCTGTTATCAATACGGGTGGATTTCTTGGATGTGGAGGTAGAAAGGTTGATGCTATTGAATTTTACACAAAGAAATCAAGCGATCTTGAAAAGGAGATCAAACAACTTCGTGCCAAGCTTGCTGACTCAAAAGCTGCTAACTATGGTTGGCTCGCTTTCTCCAAGGTATCCGTCGCCCACAGTGTTGCAAGACATCTAGCAGATGGAAAACATTTCGAGACAACCTTCGCCAAGGAGTTAGATAAACCCAAGGTATTGTTGGCTCCTTCTCCATCAGATGTCATTTGGGGCAACTTGGGTATAAATGTCACAGTAAGAAGGACCAAGCGTCTTGTTGGAACCGCCATTTACTGGGCATTGGTTTTCCTTTGGATTATTCCTATCACCGCATTATCTGCTACATCCAACATCAAAAACTTGCTTCGACTTGTCGATCCAGATTCAAACTTTGCTACCAATTTTCCTATCTTGGTCGGTCTGATTGAGCAGTGGTTTTCTCCAATTGTGTTTTCACTCTTCTTTATCCTCTTCCCTATGATGTTACGCTTCCTCTCTCAGCAGCAAGGTTACATCAGTCAATCTTCTCTTGATCGTCAAGTTTTCAGCAAACTGTACGCCTTCTTCATCATCAATAACTTGTGCATTTTCAGTCTTTCCAATATGATCCTGGCGATTTACGGTCAGATCAGAAATATCATTGTGCATCAAGGAACTGGAGCGGATCTAGTGGAAAGTGTGTCCAGCAATGTGAACCAGCTTGCCATGAATTTGGCTAGTGTATCGAACTTCTGGATCTCTACGGAAACCACTAAAGCTTTGGGTATTACCATGGATTTAGCTCAGCTAGTGCCTTTGGTTACCATTACCCTCCGTAAACTTATCACTCGTCCTAGTCCACGACAACTTCAAGAAATAGCTAAACCACCGGAATTTGGATACCCCCAGAACTACAACCTTCTTTTGTTCTTCTTCACTGTTGGTTTGGTATTCTCAGTAATGTCGCCCCTGATCTTAATCTTTACATTGGCTTACTTCTTCATTGCGACCATGACTTTCCGTTACTTGCTATTGTAAGTGTGAAATAATTACATTGACAATATGGCTTTGATGGCAAATAGCTAACGCTGCGACACACAGGTACGTATACACTACGAAGATAGAGACTGGTGGCCGTATGTGGCGATCTGTGTTCAACCGTGTGCTCAGCAGTACAATCCTCTTCCATATTGTCATGATCGGCATCCTCAATTTGAAAGGCGGCCATATCCATTCATACGCTCTGATCCCTCTACCTTTCTTGACAATACTATTCAAGTACCTATGTTCCAGGCAGTTCGATACCAAGGCTGATATGTATATTCCAAGGAGAGGAGAGGAGGAGGCTGTGATAGCAAAGGCGCATGCCAGCGGTCGACAGAGCCACCTCAAATCCAGCTTTGCTGAACCTTCACGTTTCACCAAACTTTCGGTTCCGACCGTGCACGAAGATGTAAAACATCTATTGCCCAACGTGTATCATGCCAATATGCATGATTCAGTCAAGAAAGAGACGGACCGGAAAACACATCGCACCAAGACCAACCATGTTGCGGTGTTGGAAGACAGTCAAGGCTTAAACTTACAATTTAACACAGTTAACAGTGATCAAATTGCTTCTGAACCTTTGATGAATGCATATGGTGGCATGGATGACGATATTGGCTACAATGATACGGATAACGACAGCAGACTCAATCTGATCAAGACTAACAGCCAAAGCGCTTCACACTATTCTGAACTATATAACAGTCCAAGGTACCCACAGGAAGCCCACACCAGCCTGATGAGCTCTTATGACCCCATGCATCCAAAGCATGGGGGTCACGATGGTTACGGCACTGCCATTATGGATCCAAGAAGCCCATCTGTAGAAACGCAGTATTACACACCAGAACCAGAAAAGGTTCGGCAATGGCCCAACCACTTTGAACAAGGGAACGATGTGTTCGAACTGGCCAACATGGCACCACCTGTGCCTACTCACGAAAAATATGAATGGGAAGACTCTGGCAAAGAACTAGTGGACGAAAATCCGGATGATTCAACATGGGAGGAGGCTACTCAGGCCGGTGTGATATATGATGATCCAGACGAATACAGCGAACTTGAAACTGAAGAAGCACATCGACGTAATTCGGATCCATATATCCCTGCTTCAGACAGACATTCTGCCAATGACAAGCGAAGAAGCAGCATGCCCAACATAAAAGTACAGTCAGCAAGTGGGCCGTATGATCGGAAGATAACACAACCTAGAGTTAGTACAATGCCTTTATCGGAAAGTGCTCCGTTAGCCAATACATATACACGGAGCCAAACGACACCTGCTTTCCTTGCCAACCCGCCACCGATTCCTCCATCCCATCAAAGTCGACCAATGGATAATCGATGGAGTACTATGACTGAAACAGGCACTGGGAGTCGCTACGATAGGAGAGAATATGGCGGTGGCTACTTTTAATGGCGAGCGAGAATTTCAGGTGTTTAGCGTCATGGGTGATTTGGATTTTATGAAACGAGGCCGCAATCCTATCGTTTCAAGCACATGTCGATCTTGCGGGGTTCTAATTAGCCGGCACGTTTGATGGATTCTGGACAACGGGTGGCTCTGTGGCAAACTACACCCGGTGATTTATTTTAGTTTGAATAAAAAGTTAAATTAGACACAGAACACATCTGACTAGACGTGATTGTGTGCACATTGTCTTTTCTAAAAGACTTCATTTGTTCTCTAACTAGACAATTTTTTCGCCCCAATCCAAGGGGGGGGACTTTCAATGTTCACATTCCCAAATATGGTAACTTTCTATCAATATAAAGACCCCAAAGCGTTTTTTTCACAGTTCAGAATCAGCTCATTTGCCCCATCTCTTCTCTACCATGAACGTTGCCATCACAAAGCTCTCGGTAGCTGAAGCTCTTTCTCAACCAAGCGTCATGATGGGAGTTGCCCTGAGCATGACGCTGTACTTGACTTTCTTCTTTGGAGCTCTCAAGACCAAGTTCGCTACCACTGACAAGCAAATATCATGGTTGTTGACGTTTATGAGCAGTGGAGGATTGACGCTTGCCTCCATCCCGAGATTCTATCGCTTCTGGAAGTCAGGATGGAATATTCAGAGCTTTCAAGTCGACCGCACACTGGATACACTTGTTCTATGTTACTTTGTTTCATACCTGATACTTGACCTATGCCTTGGAAGCATCTATTATAAGCGTCAGATCAACATTCTTACAGGATGGATCCATCACTCTGTATACACCGTCATCACTATCTATTTCTTGCGCTATCGTCTTGGCGGATTCTTCACCACAGCGTCGATTTTAGAGATGCCAACCTTGATCATGGCTCTCGGCAGTTTACGATCATGTTTCAGAAGCGACTACTTGTTTGCCGCCACCTTTTTTGCATTCCGTCTTGTTTTCCATGCCTTCATGATCAAAACACTCAAACAAAACCATCACATTCGTTCTCTCTGGATCGTCGCTGCATCCATCTTCCCTCTCCACTTGTTCTGGTTTCATGGTACGTGTCGAAAATTTTGTTTTAGGCCCTGCTGGGTGAACCAATCAGCGTTGGCATTCCACTAACTCCACCCCCTAATTTTTCTTGGCCCATCAGGTTTCATCAAACAGCAGATGCGAAAGTATAGAGCTTATATGGAGAAGAGAGCTGCTAGAGAACAAGAACAGCTTAAGGAGCAGATGGTTGTGTCAGAACCATCCACTTCGGCTTCTTCATCAGCAACCTCTGCTGCTGGCCGCAAAGAAATCAGCCGACTGCGCAAGTTTTTCGCTAATACTAAACGCCTTTCCTTTGGCTCATTGACTGGAGCCTTATAGGTTAATAACCCCTATAGAATCAGACTAGCCTACCTTCTTCGTTATTATGCTGCTTTCTGTCAATGGTCCTTCTTCTTCCTATTTATGACTTTAATCCACCAACCAACCTGTATATATCCAATTATCCCAATTAGACCCCATCACTGTTCATCCCACAGTTTCAATTCACTTAGTCCCTTATGTATATATGTGTTGATCATAATGGGATGCAGGATTTTTCATCCTATTCAATAGATCATCGTGGCTTAACACCCTCCATGTTATCCCGATTCTCCTCCCTATCATATTATTGGTTTGAAGCTCCACAGAAGAGTGGATCGGTGATTGAACATCATTTTCTCATGGAGAAGCTGGTCATTTTGAATAGCCATGGCAGGATAGATAGAGAACATGATTGCCAGAATTTAAATTGAAGTGAGCTTTTGTTTATGTCAAGCGAAAGTTAAAATGTCTCAGAAATAAAGACTGCAGGTGAGTTGGAAAATGCGGGGGGAAATTCTTTTTCGCAAGAACTTCAAACCTTGCGTTCCGATACTTCCAGTACTAATAAATAAGCTACAAACTGACGAACCCAGCCTGGCCCCACTTGACTCTATCATCTCGCTATGACTACTGCGACCACCGAAAGAAGTTTCAACGTTAGTGACGCACTCAAGCTAACTGGAAGAGTTTGCGTAGGTATGTCTGTTGTTTTCCCCAGGATCATCAACCAGTCCATCCCACTCTAGTGCCTAACCCCATGTCATCTAGTGACCGGTGCAGCCAGTGGTATGGGATATGAAATTGTTCGCGGATTTGCACAGTCGGATGCCCGTGGAATCGCTATGATCGACATAAACGATGACCTTGGTGAAAAGGTCCGTGGCGAGCTCTCAGCAGAATTTCCCAACGTAACATTCAAATACTACCATTTGAATATCAGTGAATATGAAGATGTGAGTATTTTTTATGGATAAGGTAGATGCTGATGGTAGTAGGATGGAAAAAGCTTATACTTTTGTGCACCAGGTACAAAAAATCTATGCACAGATTGTTGAGGATTTTGGCGAAATAAATGTGCAAGTCAGTTGCGCCGGAATAGCAGGCTATACCGCCGCCGTCGATCATACACCCGAGACTTGGCATAAAGTATTGAATGTCAACTTGCACGGAACCTTTTGGACGGCACAGGCTGCTGGCAGGTGAGTAACGAGATCCGTGACAAGTGGTTTTTAGTAAACCTGTATTAAAATCCCATTGTATTCTAGACAAATGATTAAGCAGAACAAAGGCGGTTCAATCATTATCATTGGTTCAATTTCAGCACATGTTGTGAATCGACCGGATTTCCAACCCGGGTTGAGCAATTACTGTATTTCCAAGGGCGCTTGCGTGCAAATGGCCAAAGTACTGGGTGTGGAATGGGCGCAACACAATATCCGCGTTAACAGTCTGTCACCTGGAAATATGAAGACTCCTCTGGCTCCTACCGACGAGAAGTCCATCAACTTTTTCAATCACTACACCCCCCTTGGTCGCATGGGTGCAGCATGGGAAGTAGCTGGTGCAGCTGTATATTTGGCCAGTGATGCTTCCTCTTTCCAAACCTCCACCGATATTCTGGTTGATGGTGGACTTGTACATTGGTAAATTTGGACCGACCAACACATGTAATAAAAACAAAACGCAAAATAAGACACTAGTGGCCACTGTATTACGAAGAGGGTGTGTGAAGGGGGGTTTGTCTTTTTTACAAAAAGGATCCACTTCTACCGGATCCAAACTTAGAACTCAATTCTCCAGCGCGTTTCAACATTTCCTGCTTGCGTTTGTAGTCCATCCGACTGCTTCCACCCTTTAGATCTTTTTCTCTATCAAACGGCCGCTTGGATGCATCTTCTTCTTCAAATGTCTTTGATTTGACATAATTTTTACGATGCATGTCCATAAGTGACATTGCGCGCTTTTCAGACTAAAGAAAAGTAAATATAATGAGTCGGGCAGATCAGGCTCAAATTGAGGACTTGAAAACTGCTACTCACGTTATACGCATTAACTTGATTCCGCAGTTCGATATCACGCTGTGACAGCTTTACGGGTTCGTCTTCTTCGTCATCTCGGTCTCTTGAACGCTTTTTGCCGGCCAAACGCTCTTCCAGCTTACGTTGTTTATCCGCAGGTGTGTCAGTCCATCCGCTGTTGTCCACTTTGTTCTTGACTTCTGATTTGCTGAACTGACGGGATTTGCCCTGTTCAACTAAATGAAGAATGAGTAATTGAAAATTGGGAGATACATCGTCGAATTGCAGTCAATCCACTAACCTCCTTTCAAAAACTGTGCTTCAGGTGGGACCAACATCCAGTCGCCTCGCTGCAATTTTCCTCCCTTGTCGTTTTGTTGCTATAGCAATGGTTAGATGGACAGTTTTCTAATATACAGATTCTAACTTTGCAGTAGATCTAACCTCTTCAGCAGCTTCCTTTGCTCTTCGAGCTCTTTCTTCAATCTCATTGATAGTGGAGCTTATGTCTTCGTCATCTTCCTGTAAAAATGTCAGACTACTGAACGTGCTATGCCATGATTTGAGCTGCTGCCACACGAACCTGCACAATCCCTCCAGGCAGAACAGGTCCAATAACATCGTCTTCATCATCTTCGTATCTACTAACAGGACCGCTGGGAAGTGAGGGTCCTAGGGGAGCTCTTCGACGCTTTGGCGCAGATTCTGCTGCTGGTGCAGGCTGGAGCATGTCTGGTGGCAATTCTGGAGCATAGGCGTCAATGTCATCCTCGTCGTCGTTGGGTTCAGCAACGGGATCTTCATTTTGTTGTCCTTCCTGTTCACTCTCTTCCTCGCGCTTGTTTTTCAGTAAATGTTCTGGAATGAACGGTCCAATCATGGTGTATAAAATTTGTTGAGAAGTAGAAACAGATCCAACACTAGCGGAGTTGGCCTGTCCTCGGCTTTTGATCTTCCCAATGCCTACATTAAGCATCTCCATTGGCCGACGCAACTTTGCTTTATTCATACCAAATCAAGCGATCGTCCTTTGCGGAGCAGCTTCTGGTATATTGCTGATTGCCGGTATCACACAATATAACGAACGCAGGAGAGCAGCACGAGCAAGAGCCCAACAGAATGCTTCAAGATTACATAGACGAAGAGCACTGCGACGAAGGAGGCAGCTTAACAATGAAACATCAAACCAAGCCGGATCAAATGAAAACTCTCCCAACTATGATTCTCCTCTCAGAATACCTTTCTTAGATACAGAAGAGGACGGAGAGGATAGTCTGCTTCTTTCGTCCTTCAAGGAGTGGACCGAGGCCGACGAGAGCAAGACATTGTTGAACTTACTATATGCTATTGCTGAAAATCAGAGTCGCAAAGGTAAGCATAGTGTCTCTATATGCTATTATATAATCCTATCTCATAACCATGTCATTATTAAACTGTTTAGGCTACATTCATCGTAAGCTATTTCTCCATCATCACACCTTCCCCGTTAATTTTTGACAGCTAACAATTTCCTGTGTTTAGGTGGTATAACATGTAACAAATGCAGTACTTCACCGATACGAGGACTGCGATACAAATGTGCCAACTGCGTTGATTTCGATCTTTGCGAAACTTGTGAGGCTGGTAACAGTCATAACCGAACCCACGTCTTTCTCAAAATCCGTATACCCATCCCTCCACTGGCGAACCCACGAAGCGCACTGTTACCAGCATTTTATCCCGGAAAAGACATAGAAGATACCAACCTTGATATAAGCAAACTTCGAGAACTTCAAAAGAAATCTCATTGTAAGTCTATGTAAATGTACGTTAGATCAAATCCAACACATTGATTGATATGATTCAATGTAGTCGATCAGGTCGAATTGGAGGCTTTATACGAACAATTCAAGTCATTATCTACAATCGAAGAAGGTGATGGAGGAATCGACAAGAGCACGTTTGAACAATGTCTGGGCCCACTTGGATTAGAAAAGAATTTGATCACTGAGCGAATATTTGCCTTTTTCGACCAAGATGGCGACAACATCATTAACTTCTCCGAACTGGTTACTGGCTTGAGTGTACTTTGCAAAGGCAACCTGGACGAAAAGATAAAGTGTGAGTACGGTGTCCTTTGCTGTTATAGTGAATAATTAGAATGCTTACGTTGGTGGTGATTTTACATAGATGCCTTCAAAGGTTACGATTTGGATAACGATGGCTATATCTCGCGGGACGAACTATTTAGAATGTTCAAGGCATACTTTTATCTGTCTATGGAACTAGTTCGGGATGTTGTGAGTGCTATGGAAGACGATATGATGGATAATTTCGAATTCTCAGCCTCACAGCCTGTGAGTGCTGCTTTCACAGTCGCCATCCCTTCCACTTCTTCGGACGAAGAAGACAATACGAGTCAGAATGGTGGCGCCACTAGTGGGAACGATGAGCCTAGGGTACGTGAAGACTCGAGAAATCGAGGGTCAAGGAGATTAAACACACGTAAAGAAGATTACTTTCAACAACAGTATGCCGATGAAGGAATTTCTCAACACAGTCCTCATGACCGACCAGAAGTACCCAGCTCATCGTCATCGGAATCTTCCATACTCGAAGACCCAGAACCAATGGATTCTCCCACCGATATTTCTGAATCTCACTGGCTTCCACCGCACGACGAGATGCCAACCTTCTCGTCCAGCGGCTTAAAGGAAAAGCAGCTCGTTACTGTGGAAGAAAAAGAGCCGAAAAAGCCATGGGAGGAAAAGTTTCCCATCATGGAGACGATGTCTCGAGATGCCATCGAGGAAATGGTGGAAAAGACGTTCAGAAGTATCGATACCAAACGTGAAGGATATATAAGCTACGAGGAATTCAAGCAATTTGTACAAACGGATTCCAGTATAGTTAGTTGGTTTGAAGCTCTAGGGACTGTATTCTAATGAATGTAATTTCATAAAGATATAATAAATTGGTAAAGAAACTAGTGATGCATCATCTACTTTGAGACTCGGTTGTGTAGCTTCATGCCACGGACGAACAAACTAAAAATAAAGGCGAGAAGCGCAAAGCCGACGGTGAGGGAATAGCTTAATTTCAGAGCTCTTTGGAAGCATGAGATAACCACCACTCGAATCTCCTCGGGTAAGGTATGGATAGCAGATGTTTCTCGACGAACCAAGTCTATGATCTAGAAAAATACAAGTGATTAGAAACGGATGGTTCTCACAACATGGAATGCCATCGAAAATTTGATCTACTTACTTCTTTGGCATCAGGTCCAGTGATGGTTTGTTCCAGGTATTCTTTCAGCTTTCCTTGGAAGACAGTGGATACCAAGGACAGACCAATGACTCCGCCAGTGGAGCGGAAGAGGTAAGATATACTGGAGATCGTTGCGATGTCTGCATCCGAATATATTCATGTTAATATTGCTTTTTTTAATCTATGTCCATTCATTCCCACTTCATCTTCAAACGCACCTTGAGATTCAACGGAAGACAGCATAGCAACGAGAGAAGAGGTCAAACCTCCTCCAGCAGAGAAACCATCGAGTAACATGGCGCCTATCTGCATCCAAGGAGGAGTAGATGGTATCCATGTAGAAATACCAAACATGGCCACGGTAAGTAGAAAATAGGTTCCAACCATATAAGATTTGAATCTGCCTGTGCTTGACATATATCGGCCAGCAGACATGGAGCCTATGGATACGCCTATGACTCTGGCTGATACCCAAAGTCCTGCTTTGGAAGCGGAGAAGCCCATGATTGCTACAAAGAACAATGGAGAAAAGTAGACCATAGAGGTGGAAGCCATCATGGAGAAGAAATTGCAAAAGGAACAGACAAGAGGATTACGCTGAATCATTAACCGCATGGGAAGAACAGGCAGTTTTGCAACGAAAGTTTCAACTGCAATAAAGCAAAGTAGCATGACACCAAAGCCAACTAATCCTGTGATAATTAACGGGTGACTCCAAGCCAGAGTATTGCCACCATAGGAGGTTGCAAGGATAATACAAATGATGGCAGTCACCAAAGTGAGCGCGCCGCCATAATCGACTTTCTTCAATTTGTCGGTGATATGATACGATCCATCCTCCTCAGCTTCCAGGTTGTAGTTTTTCAAAGGCCTGGTAAGCAAAAGCGCAAGTAGGAGCACAGGGATGTTAAGGTAAAAGCAATATCTCCAGCCAAATCTCTCAGTGATCCAGCCACCTAGAGGTGCTCCCAAACTGCCACCAACAGCAAATGCGGTATTAGCATATCCCTGGTAAACACCACGTTCCCTCAGTGTCACAAGATCGCTTGTGATCACACTGCTCATCGTGTTTAAACCACCACCACCAATGCCTTTTGTAAAGTGTGCATTAGTAATATTGCCACTGATGGTGGTATATAGATGAAACTTTCCTATTTACCTGCAATGACTCTGGCAACGACGAGAAAGTTGAGATTTGGTGCAATACCACAAAGCAAGGAGCCAATGAGAAAAGCACCTTGTGCGAACATATACGCAGTTTTGCGGCCGAAGATATCGGATATTCTACCATCTGTAGAACAACAGCATAGAGAGTGGGGGGAAATAATAATAAAAAATAAATCAATCAATCGCTATGCTAGGTTTTTTCCAACGTAGTGACTTACACAATGGCTGTAACGCAGTGTAACTCAAAAGGTATGCGGTTGCGATCAATACGATTTGGTTGGAACGTTGGAATTCGCTGCCGATCTGGCTCATTACTACAGCTACAATGCTGGTGTCTAAAGCAGCCAGGAGAACACCTGTCCATAAACTAGTTGAAGGAATTTGAAGAATTCAGTTAGGTCTACTTTGCTGTGATAGATCTGGAAGGCTAAGGATTCATGGCTTACCCGAGCAAAACGTTGATCCTTTTGGCTCCATTCAACCTTTTGGTAATAATGTCTTCATTGCTTTCGTAAACTGATTCTACGTCCGATTCGTCAGTGTGTGTGTTGTCTGTGGGAAGGTCCACAGCCTGATATGATTTGGTATTGCCGCTTCTAGCCAATATAGGTTGATTCGCAACTTCATCGTCTTTGAACAACGGCATTGTACTTCACTGCTTTGAAAGACGCTAGAGCCAGCGTATAAAAAAGAGTGTGGGATAAAAACTCAGATGAATAAACCTTGGATGGCCAAGTCCTTTAGCAATTATGAGTCACGCAATACGATAGCTTCGTTGGGCAAAATGTAAATAAAATACATGGATGTAGTCCGTTTACTTTGTCTGCTGTAAGACCGGCAGTAGCAGAATATACATATCATCCGACTGTTCGCAATACCGGCCTCTCGGTCCGATGAAACAAAAAATCATGAAAAAAAATTGGGCAGCCACTGGCTATGAGATGCAGTACGAAAAAAATGGGAACACAAAATGTAGCTAAGCCAAAGACGTTCCTTTCAGATGCTTGGAGGACACCTCCATGTCGACAATCCATTGTCCATTGGTAGTAGTATCTTCTTCTCCACTGTCACTATCTTCAGCCATCGACGGCTTATACCGGACACGACTAACGCAGCAATATGGAGTCTCCAATAGGGTAGATTCCTGAAATCAAATACATAGTGTCAATTTGAGTTTTAAAAACCATTGCAATGTTTTAAGCTCAGTCCCATTACCTGTTTGTAGGATTCCAGCAAGGCATTGATGCCCGCAGCGTGGGTGATAAGGACAACGACAATATCTCTCCTCGTCATATCTTGCTTGAGCATGCCAATGCGATTAGCTTTCACATCGCAAGCGATCATTGTGTCCATTGATCGTCGTAAATCATTGAAACGCTCTTCCATCTCGACTCGTTTTTCTGGAAAGACAAATTCGTCTCGTATAGGAGAGTACTGCCAGTCCATTGACAGTACCTTTGATATCTCGACATGGTTGCGTGCTATGTCTTGTATTTTGCGCTTCACCATCTGCTGCGCAGTACATTCCACGTCTTCAAAAAATCGTTCGGTCATCCATTCGCCAGCGGCTGGTTCCAAACGTAAAAAGGTTTGTTTGGCGTGTTGTAAACCACGGGCAATGCCCACAGCGGTATCGATGCATCGTTGAAATGGTGAACATAAGAATACTATAGTCGAGTTTTCGAGTTTAACATCTTTCTCTCGTAGCAAGTCAATTAAATAGGCCCCAGTCTTCTGCGATTGTAGTTGTCCCTACAAAGAATACCAAGTTACTTGATAATCGTTCCTGATCATGTAGCTTAGTAAAATCTGTATATACCTTTTCAGATAAAGGTGGATCCCATATACCATCGGAAGGGTCAGCTTGCCAGTTTTTGTCGACGTGATCTAATTGATCAGGGGCGAGAATAGTAGTTGTAGAAAGGGAGCTAAGTGTTGAGTGAAAAAACTAATACATATTGCGAGTCGCACTTCAGGCTCCTACCTTGCCTCTCTCCATGTCGGACGATAAACACCGTCCTTGACAGGGTCGGCATAGTTTTGTTGCTCGACAGCTAAAGGAGTTGATGGTGGGGAGTACAAGAGAAAGCTAGAAATAGACGAAATAAAAGCGGAAGAGAAGAAAATAGTGCCATTGAGAGTGCGGAAATCATTATCACGTGTGAATAAACACGAAATGTTCCACGTGATGGAGGTCAATTGGCTGAGCACGGTCGCAATATACGGTGGTTGTTTCGTACAATGGAAACAATAACACACAATAACACATTGATTGCTTGCCTGACTGAGCTGAGACATGAAGTAAACCATGAGATCGAGACTAGAGGTCTTGAACTGCCTGTGTGTCAACGGCCTTCATATTTTATTTTGTTATCATTGGGTGTAAACAGCAGCCAATTTAATATACTAAAGCTCATTAACCTTGTCTTGCTTCAAACTGACATGACCATTGTTACCCTCTTCTACGCTCTCCGCTACATCTTCATAGACATCGAATCGTCGTTGTGAGTAAATAGGAATATGTTTTCGTCTATTGATAATGTCTTGCGGATCTTGGTAGTAGAATAGTTTGTGGCTAGTACCAAATGTTCTCCTTATAATGTTTATTTTTTAACTACTTACCTATTTCAGCATAAATGATGGCTTCTGACTCCTCGCATGTCGCCTTTACATCACCGTTGGGACCAACGATAGTAGAATGGCCCCAGGCGTGGTAGGCTGCAGATTCATCTCGAGCTGGAGAGCAAGCAGCTACATACATTTGGTTATCTACCGCACTGTAAAAATGGTGTGAATGCCTATGTGCCGTTGAACCATGTAAATTGACTTCCAGAATGCTCACCGTGCACGTTGCAATAATTCCCAGTGCATAGGTCCGGTTGTGGTGTTGAAGGCTCCCGGATAGATCATGGCAATGCAGCCCTTTCGCGCAGCAATCATGGCCATTTCCGGAAATCTGTATTGAACGCTTTGTTAGACCATGTCCTCCAGCAATCTCAATGTGCTTCCAACGCCCTACCTAATGTCATAACAAATGCCAGCACCAATTTTGCCGTAACCTATAAAAAAAAAAGTTTCATCAGTACGTACATGTAGGTAACTGACACGTTGAATATACTTATACATACTGGTATCAACATGGGTCAACCAGGACCCAGCAGATAAAATGTCGCTCTCCTATGTCAAGCTACTGCGTCAATACCTCATTAAACTATATGCACCCTACTACCGTTACTATACCTGAAAGCGAATTCCACCAGGAATATCTATATCAAACAAGTGTACTTTTCTATGCGTTGCAATCAGGGAGCCAGATGGGTCGTACACTGTAAGTGTGTTGAAGATCTTTCCCGTTGCTTCTTCTTTCTCGGGAATAGAACCTTAAAATTGCATGATGTGTGAACACGATGAAGTACCGTACATCTAAGCTAAATTGGTTCCCACAAACCTCCAAAAAGATAAACATTTGCGTCCTGTAGAAGCTACATTAGTACCCATTTACATGAATAACATATAACAGAGGCTCATACCTTTGCCATAGATGCCAACGCCTTGGTAGATGTGCCCTCAGGGATTGTTTCTGCGTAGTCAGGGAAAAAGTTTGTTCCGTAAGGAGAGTTGAAGCACTCCTACATGAGCTCATATGAGTATGACAGGATGCTTTGATTCCATAGCTTGACAGAATATTTTGGTTTCAACTGTACCGGGAGGACAACTATATTGGCACCGTTTTTAGAGGCTTCTAAAACTTTAGCGCGAGCGTGCTTCAAGTTCTTTTCTTTATCTGCTGTTACAGCAAGCTGTACTAATGCAAGTTTGAATGGGGATCCTGCAACCGACATTGAACGTGACAAAACTGGCAATGAGGGGATGAATCGCTTGGTGATGGCACTAAGCATAGAAAGAAAGCGTTGTGGTGGGCAGGTTGTCAACTGAGATTCAAATGCGTCGTTCAAATTGGTTCTTTTTCATTTCTTCACTATGCGGATTTTTTCATTACTATCTGAAACATATGTAATGGTTTTCACCGCCAATGATGGTATTGTTTCGAAATCTCAATTAAAGCAGTTGACCTCCTTATCGCTTTTTATCTATTTGTGACCTATCATGACACATACGCTGAAGAACATATGGCACAAGGTGACAGCCCCAGACTCGCCACCACCAAACGAACCATTGCCGCCGTCCGAAGATCAGATTGATATTCCTACATTTCCTGCATATGATCCCGTCATGAGCGAGATTTACCGTCACCGACGGCATGTTGGTGTCAATTTAGGATCCATGTTCATTCTGGAAAAGTGGCTATGCCCGCCAGCCTTGTGTTCTTGGATTATTTCCAAACCCTGGGAATCAGAACTAGACTTTCTTAACGCTGCAGGACCGGCACTACAAGCTCGAGAAGCGCTTGAAGAGCACTGGCGAACGTTCATAACTGAGTCCGATTTTGAATGGATGCAGTCGATTGGAATCAATGCTGTTCGCGTACCCATAGGTTACTGGGTTGCCGGACAAGACTTTATGATTGGCGATTTTAAGAAATACCAAGGCGTCTACGATTCAGCATGGGCGAGACTTTTAACTGTGATTGATATGGCTGGGAGGCATAATATTGGCGTTTTAATTGACTTGCACGGTGCACCAGGTACGAAGCATCCATTCCCTCACTGCTTATTGGCTTCTTGACTGGTCGCTGACGATTGTTTAATTAGGAGGTCAAAACGGAGATACTCATTGTGGAATTTCGACCCATAGGGCGGAGCTTTTCAACTCTAATCACACAATGGATGTCGCCCTTCAAGCCTTGACGCGGTTGGCGAAAGATCTAGCACCCATCAATCACATAATTGGTCTCCAAGTACTAAACGAACCAATCGATCACCCTGAGTTAGCCACCTTTTATCAAAAGGCATACAAAGCCATTCGGTCTGTGCATCCTGACATTGTGCTGCCTATTTACTTTGGCGATGCGTGGAACATAAAAAAGTATTCAACATGGCTGAACCAATCTGCCATGAAGTTTGTGGTCGTCGATACCCACCAATACTTTTGCCACATGCCAGCTGATCATGCCAAATCTGTCGAGCAGCACATAAAGGATGTACAAACTAATATTGCCTCTCAACTCCAGTTTAGCGCAAACAATGTGACTGGCAATGTGATTGTAGGGGAATGGAGTGTCGTACTCAATGGAAAAAGTATTGAGAAATCCCGACGAAACGATGCCGAAGCTATGAAATCATTTGGTCAAGTCCAACAAGCTGTCTACGATCAAAACTGTGCAGGCTGGTTCTACTGGAATTACCGAACTGGCGATGACGGCTGGTATTGGAGTTTCCGTTATTGCGTCCGTAATGGCATTATGCCGTCGCATTATCACCAAGGACAAATATCCCCGGATGCTGTGCAAAAAGTACACCAGCAAGCCAAGGAAGAAACGGACAAACGAATGGAAACGGCTTTCACACAACATACTAACTATTGGAGCAATCATGGACTGCCAAATTGCCCTGATTTCTGGCGATTTCAGGAAGGATTTAAGGCTGGCTCTACTGTTGCCCTTCGGTTTCTGACTAATGGTCAGGGTAGTAGAATAGGCTTCAAACGCCAGCTGACAGTGGAGTACAGTGATGACCATCTGCGGCGTCATCACGGAAGCACCAAATCTGTCTTGTGGCACTTTGAACATGGTTTTGTGCAAGGCTTGGAAGCCATTGACCAGATTATCCAGCAAACAATTGCAAGATAATGATGATGTGTTTTCTAATAAACAAACGTTCGTTAAAATAGCGATTTCCAATGTTTTATTCTCTTTTTGATAATTTTTTCAAAAAAATTAGATAGTGAGAATCCCCTGAGAGGGGGGGGATTTGCTTGCAAAGTTATATACATTCAAAAAGGTATTAAAAAAAAAATTCACAAAAAGTGACAAACATTTGGGTGGTATCTATGAGCAAGCCGGTTGCTACTGTTTGAAAACTGAAAGTTTCAGGTGGGGTGGGGGTGGGGGGGCTATCTAGAGAAAGGAAAATGAATTGACGAATACTGAGTTCTTTATGTGCGTGAGGTCCACGCCATGATGGTCTTGCTCAAAACGACGATCAGATGGTACTGTTCCAGTTTGCATATTGGGTAAAATTTCGTCCTTCGTACTTGCAGAAAGGGTAATCCGACATTGCAGGTCAAAATTTGCCGTCGGAGTTGCAGTGGCAGTAACAATATCCGTACCTCCAATGGACTGCCAGGAAGAGCTGGAGAGGGTAGAATTGGTGGTAGCAGCTTTGACTTCATCCAGTGAACAGGAGTAAGTAGGTGTGGCTGGCATATCGAAGGAGAGCGGAGATGGAATCGTGGCGGCCGCTTCCTCTTCAGCACAGGTAGGTGATTGGGGTGGTGTGCGAGGTTTGGCACATGCCCTGGCAGCAGTTTCTGGAATAGGTAATGGAACTGCTGTAGAAGATTCGTGACATATGGATAGACGAGTGAAATGTCGGCAAGAAGCGATTTGTCTCCTTAGTTCATGAAGTTGGATACGCTTATCAGGATTGATACAGAAGATACGTTTTATGATCTCATTCAATTCAGTTGTGATGGGTAGTATGGATAGTAAAAAATCCGGATTCTGCAAGTATGCATTAAAAGTATCATCTTTCACGCTGGCTTGTTTCCAGGGATTTCGGCCGGCGGTTAAATTAATGAGGATCACCCCTAATGACCAAACATCGTTGGGTGCTGACTTGTAAGGTTTGCTATTTCGATGAATCCCTCCTTGGCATTCTGTTTGTTTGAAAGCGAGGATTGTAGGAAATCGAGAATTTATGATTATTTTTGTTGGTTTTTGTTTGGTTTTTTTTTTTTTTTTTTATAAGAAAGATAATTCAATGATTAGTAAATATACCTATTGGGCAAGAACGATATACTGTTCAAAGACCTTACCTGGAGAGAAATAAAAAGTACTTCCACATCCAAAATCAACAGAGTCTTCATCTGTTGTAGCGAGTCCGAAATCAGCGAGCTTGACACGGGTACCACCTTCGAATACAAGTATATTTTCAGGTTTGAGATCACGGTGATATACACCATAGTGATGACAGTACATGACAGCATCAATGATTTGAAGAAAAACTCGACGGATAGCACGGTCGTTGCCCGCATAACAATTGGTTTCGGTAATAGCATTAAATAGATCTCCTTCTCGGGAGTATTCTAGTATCATGTAGATACATTCGGTAGTGTGAATGACTTTCTCCAGTGTCAAGATATTAGGATGATCTGACAGCATTTGATGGAGAGCAATTTCTCTTTGTTGGAAACCATGTTGTCGTTTTGTCAGGCCGATTCTATTAAGACATTTGACGGCGTAGTGTTTACGAGTAAGAACATGTCTTCCAAGATAAACTGCACCGTATGCTCCCAAGCCTAGTAAGCCTACGATTTCCAGACGGTCATTGTCAATAAAGGTACCGATACGCTGAGCGGGATCACAGGTGCCTCTGGCTGTTCGTGTTGTCATGTAGTTGCTTCAAAAGGGGGGCAGGGGACGTTGGTTCACAGGAAATGACAAGAAAGTGAAAGAGAGATGATGGAAAGAGAGAAGGAGGAAAAAGAAATGTGTGGTCAAATCATGCACAGCTTATGTGAAACCTTTCGTCTTATATAGGATGGGGGACCTTTGAGTGAATTTATCCACTGAAATAAAAATAACGCCCTCCAAGAAAAAAAAATTTGCATAAAGAAAAGGGCGCCCAAAAAGCCTTTTACTGTTCCATGAATGGAAGGCATACTCACGCGCATGGCCCTAATTCCCCCTTCGTTTTCTTTTTTGATTTGCTGTCTATTTCTCTGCTGTTGCAGCCATCTAAAGCGGGCGCTCACCTAATGAAAATGATCTCATACCTTGGTCGCTTGCAGTAGACTTGCAGATGGCAAACCTTCTCATGTCCCAACTTTAAATGTCCATCTACTTATTTCCACGCCCTTGCCCTTAGCAAATGCTTTGTGTAACAGCATGTCTTTTTTTGGAGGATATGATGCGGAGCATCACTTGGTAGCCAAGCCTTGGGATGGGCTATCGGTTTGTCTTCGGTGGGAAGGATTCAATAAAAGTTTCGAACCATAACCTCGCATCGTCATAGGTGTACCCCAAAACCTTACCCCGAGCAGTGAATAGCAGGAGAAAAATCTGACACACCTAAATCATTTTTTTCCCAGCAGCATATTTCCCTGAAATTGCTCATGCTCCCCAGTTCCCTACTCAATATGCAAATTTACGCTTTCGCCTTGCTTGGCGAATGTTAAGGTGTAAATTGTCAATCATCTCAAACCACTCCTTTCCCTAGTTTTCATTTAACGGCATAAGAATAGCAACATGTGCTGTTATTTACCTCTACCGTAGGCTTTTTTTGTCAACCTCAAACAATCATTCAAAAATATCAGGTCAGAAAAAAAAAACTGACGATATACCTGTTGATACCCCCCCCCCGACTTCGCATCAGCTGCAGCGGTTTAGATTTTGCAATCTTGCATGGTTGTGGCTAGACCATTTTCTTATAATTTGAAAGGTGCTGTTTTGTTCTACGAACAGGTGCGGCTTTTTCTTTGGGGAAAAATGTTGAATGTCTCAACGCATGTGAACTACAACGTTTAAACCCAGAGTCCCATCATCCATACTTAATGTATCGTGGCATGCATCTCAGCAATAAAGTTCATCATCTCCACATATTATAAACTTAGCATTACGCAAAACGCACAATGATTATGAAAAAGCCAGAGACTGAACAATTTTCTTTATACTCTGGTTACATATCTAGACATTGTTAAGCCAGTATCATCATGCAAAGAAGTCCTTTGGCATTAACAATGTGAACAGAACCATTCTCTTTCTTTTTACAACTAAACCTTAAAACTAAAAAGGCTACTACGCTATATTGGAAGTAGGTATATGAGGGTGTGACCTTTCCTCTTGGTCATCCGACTGACGATCACTCGATTCAGTCGCCTGAATGGTTGTTTCATTGCTAATCACTGGTGTTGAGGCGGAAGAGACGTCTTCTAACGATGACAGAGTACTTTCGCTCCTTGCCGGCGGAATCTCCATTTGGGGTAACTGGGCAATGCCGATCGTGTCGCTTTTGTGGCCAGCATTACGCACCATCACAGGTAAAGTGCCCATCCTAAAGTAAAACCAAAGTAGGCAGTCGGCGCATATGATTAGCAAAAGTTTATCAGCGGTAAATATTGGCCCACAACAAATAGCGCCAGCCTGGGCATTTCCCCCCAGCCTATTCCCAAAAAAAAAAAAAAATACAAAAAAAAGCCCATCCCACAGTGCCTGAACTGAACATACCTTGCATAAAACATTTGAAGTCGTAATCGGATAGACTCTTGATACAGATCATGAATACTTCGGCTATTGTAGTAGCCTTGGCGAGCATTTCGTACAAATACATAGAATTCGCAAACAGCCACCAAACGGTCACGACAATATCGGTCAATACAGGCCCAGTCGTCATAGTAAGCAATTCGAAATCGAAAAGGTAACGGTGATCCATCGTTTCTACCACAGGCTTGACAACCTTTGAAGTGTCCCTGAGTGTTGCCGCTGAATCTTTCCCATATCATACTCTTCTGTGCCGTGATTCGAAGTTGGACATCGATGGGACGATTGGCTTGTTGGTCAGCAAACCCAACAGGTGCTTCTTCTATAAAACATTTGTTCATGACAATGGCATCAATGATTTTCTTAGCCGAGAGTCGTGGGTTGGGTCCAAATCGAAGACAGGGTTCTACATCCTCAGCTTGGCAATTTTTCATAAAGGAATTGGTATGTAATTTCTTGAGCGGCAGGCTTCTTCCAGTGGCGATAAAATCTTGAAATTCTCCCAGTACTAGGTCGTCAATATTTGTGGCGGTGGAGTCGAGATCAGCTCCATTTTGAGACTGTCGTTTGGATGAGCCATTTAGCAGTGCTGTCATATCGGCTAATCCTCTTACTCCTGCGTCGCTCATAGCCGATGATGACCGCTTTGCTTGTTCTCCAGAGTCCGATTCTTCTTTCTCTTCTTCATTATTCTTGAGTTCCATCTCCTCCATTTTTATTCGTAGTTCTTTAAGTTGCATCTGTTCAGCATGCAACCGATCACGAGTTTCTTTGAGTTGGTTTTCCAAGTGTCGTTGTGCCACTTCTAAATTGTATTTCTCTCGCTTTTCGTTCGCAACCATGCCATTCGCTTCTTCGAACAATCGTCGACTAAGGTCTTCGAGTTCATTCTCTACCATATCTTTTGAATGTTGAATTTCCGCTACCCGTTCAATTTCATCAACATACTTTTCATTAAGGAGTTCCATGTCGTTTTGCAAAGCCATAAATGCATCTGTCTTTGCGTCCAAGTCATCTTCCAACTCTTCGATTCTCTTTGTCATGTCTTCAATCTTTTTTGATTGACTCTTTATACTTTCCGTTTCATCCTTCAACTTTTGCTGCAAGTGTTTGATTTCTTCTAGTTCTTGAGCCTTGTCATTTTGTAGTCGTTCAACGGCTGGGATTATTTGGTCACACAAAGCACAGTGCTTCGAGTCGCTTGACACTAATATATGGGCACATGGACATTCGACTCGATCACTCCTTCCAATGGAATTGAGACTATACGAGCTACTTGTGCGTACTTTAGGTTTTCGAGCCGGTAATGGACTAGATGCACTTGGTGAGCGAGCATCCGGCGACACTGGCAATGGTACCATGCTGGCTTCTACATTGGTCTGCCCAGTGGACTTTGGTACATGCTCGATGACGGCTTGAAGTCTTGAATACAGATTAGCAATGTCGTTGGCTGTTATATCCTCATTTTTCTGAAGCGACTTCGAGGCATTAGCATGATCATCTGGAAGCTTAATGGTTTGGGGCTCTATAGCTTCGGGCTTTTCGACATCTTGCTTATGTGCGCCACTTGAACCGACAGTGTCATGCTCGTCCATGTTATTAGGTGGTGTGGACGAAACATGGTCTTCGTCCATTGACATAATTATTACAGACGGGGTGGATAGATCTGTAAGGGCCCAATAATGCCGATATCGTTTTCAACAGTAGCCAAAATTTTGTCATCAGACCAGGTGACCATTTTGGTGGAGTTGTGCGGACTCCTGTCTTTTATTGGCTTCCAATGCTATTATACTGGACCTCTCCATATTTCCCGGATAACTTTTTCATCTATAATATGACGATCTATGATGGTATCTACATGGCAAGCTCTAACGTTGCCGTACATATGACCTCCAAGTGAAGGTGAATGGATGATCAAATTGCCCGCAAATTTGTGTCCTGCAAAATCCAGCATTAAAATATATAAATTACCAGTATTACTCAGCCCAAATTATAACTATTACCTCCAAAATGACTTGTGCCGTAGACATCTACATGTTTTCCTAGCTTCTTAGCTTCTTCTCCATGCAGGCCTTTCGCTTTGAGACACCGCTTGAATTCGTCGACCAGGATAGGCCCTAACACTCCGCACCGAGCATCCCGCATTCGGTGCGTGCAAACCAGGACCACAGCCTGAGTGGTATCGGCCAAATTCTCGACTTGAACATGTTCTTTGACCTTGTCGAGATCCTCTTTTTCGGGTGCCCAAATGGCGTCTAATATTCTGGAGAATTCTGGCTTCAATGGGTCTACGGCTTTGGCGACATGGAAAGCTGGAAATAGAAGGACATCGCTCGCTGGCCATGGCTGGTCAAATTTATCGCCCTGTATCCGTTCACGATCACATACGGTCAGAAGTGTGTTACTACCCGGAGGTAATTGTGTCCTGTCATGATGATGGAATGCCTTGGCCTCTCGATGTTTGATGTTTTCAACAGCTTGAACCATGCCGAGTTTGACCTTTTCCACCTTAGCCTTGTGCCATTCCGGTCCTTCTTCTCCGACACAAACCACCATGTGGCGATTGGTAGTGGGTAATCTTACCATGTCGCTTTCGAAATCCACTTTTTTGCCAATGACATTGGGAAATGGGTGCTGCTTGCACGGCACGAATCCATTTTCAACCGCGGTAGCTGCGTCTGGGCAACATGGTTCAAAACGGCGGAACGGGAACGGCTTCGTATCGAACGGGATACTTGAGAAACACCTAGAAAATCCTCTTCTGCTTGGTGCAAGGCGGAACATTATGATGGTAAGAAGTTCCTTAACGTGGTGAATGTCAAACGTGTCCCGTCAATTTATCGGCTTTTTGGCCACTTTGGAGACAGTCACACTGCCCCGATGGAAGCGCGCATCTTCGGTATTGGAAGGCCGAAAAGCCGTGAATGAAATGCACTGAATGACAACGCCTATGAAAATATCATGTTTGTATAATTGTCTGAAACGTTGCAGTATGTTAATGTGGTAAGTAATAGCTCAGTTTATAAAATTGTGGCCACTTGTATGTCGTGCCCTGCGTCTTCATACATGAAGTTAAAAGCTTTTGATCTTCATGATGAGAGTATCCGTTACTCTATTGGATTAATTGTTTCAAAGTTGATAAATAGTAACAAAAGTTGATTGAATACTGCCATAGCGTGTTACATTAGTTTATATTTGTTTGACACATGCTGATCCTCTTTTTTTGCATTATACGTTGTATTTCACATCGTTGATATAAAACCAAATGTCTAATTGAACATATCGGCTTTTGACATTAAACGTAGATTTTCATAAAATGTCAGGCATACAGCAATTGCCTACAAGTTTGAGATTTTGTCACACGACAAGGCTTCCTTCAAACGATGGTTCAATGCTGACACTGTGAGATTGGGCTGTCCTGAAACCTATATGGGTACAATTACTTTTTTCTTTTTTTCTTGTAAAAGTAGGATCCTTAGCATACTATGAAAGCAGCCATACATTGATTGAAGCTGCCGTGAGGTCTCACAATGGCACTCACGCCCAGTCTCATTACGCACGTGACTGCGAAATCAGTACTGGCTTTTGAGTAGTCACCTGATTGAAAAGGTCAGCTTCCATACGGTGGAGTGGGTTCATTTCAGAGTACAATCGCGCAAATGAGTGACAATGAACGCACTGGACCAGCGGCCGACGATGAACTCTCGCTTCCAAAAGGTAAATTTTGTCACAAATCTGTGATTTACGCCAAATAGGTCATCGATCGCGACCATTTCCGTAAAAGCTGGAAAATGACAAAATCCATTCAACGAATTCGTCCCACTAATCAACGCACATTTTCCATTACCATCTTGTCATTAAGCTACGGTGCAAAAGCTCATAAGTGAAATGATGCCTGGAGATATTGTTTGTGCTAAAGACACCCGCGATCTTTTAATTGATTGCTGCGTAGGTAAGCTGTCACTCAAGACATCTGGATCAGACTAACCATGCAAAAAAAAAAAAAGGTTAACTTTTATCTGTCTCGCCCAGAATTTATACACCTTATCGCATCAGAGGCAAACGAAATATGTGAAAAAGAGACCAAGAAAACTATAGCAGGAGAGCACGTTATATCGGCACTACAAACTTTAGGTTTTGAAGACTATGTTGAGGAGGTGGATGAAGTATATAAAGAGCACAAGAAGCAGCAAAAGGTAGGCATATGTTTTCTTAGATTGTGCATCGATTGCGTAATATATGTATGGCTGAGCCACGTTTATTTCTTCACCCTTGCAAACTGCTGCATTACAGGACCGAGATAAGCGAAGTACACGGTTGGAAAATTCGGGCATATCAGAGGAAGAGCTTTTGCGACAGCAAGAGCTCTTGTTTGAGAAATCGCGACTCAAGTTTGAAGCGCAAAATCAGTGAACATAATTCTAGAAACCATAGTTAGCCAGCGCATAATATCAATTTATTTCTTTTCCCTTTCTGCCGTGCCAGAAGTTGCGCAAAAGTTCTTGGTTTTTGTGGTCGGTGATTATCACGCAACATATTAGACCGCATTTAGTCACACTGTGACCCAACATGGTATGCTACCACTCATGTATGCGCCTCAATACGTTGGGGGTGAAATGCCAATCGTCACCGGGGCTCAGGGCACCCTCGCTTCCAAGATTGGATATTAGTGACCGATACGATGAATGTTGCTGAGGAAGCAAAGCTAGCACAAGCTGGGTATAGCGAAATTACTTCTTGGCCAGCCATTCTCAAAATTTGAATCTAACCGATAGCGACCACGCATCGAGATGGGGATATAGTTAAGTTGGCCGAGATCGCGCTTTTCGGAATTTGGGGATTGTGTTATGTTGGGGGCAGGGTTGACTTGTAGGATCAACCGGCATCACAGCAGCTGCCTTTACTGTAATTCACTTTCATTAGCATGGAGTTTTGTCTTGCCGACCCAGCATCGCACAAACCAACGCCTCCGAAACCAGTTTCTTGAAATGGCGTTGTCATGGCGTATAGGGTTGGTGCAGGGTGCTCCCTTATGTGGTTTTCCCTGACCAAGGGAGGACAATATTGTAGCTCTTGACTGGAGGTTACATGTGCTTATATAACATGTAATACGCTAGAAAACCAGGGTTTATACCACATTTAATATTCTTTCTTGCGAAAAATTCTTGGAAGAAAAAGATCTTGTGATAAAGATCCCCAATTTCGTAAGACTTTCGCAAATTGTTTGTTAACACCGGGTTTGTTCCTTAGCACACGAAAGCATGGCTAGTACATGCATAATGATCATTTAAATGGATATTAAAATACTCTTTATTGAGATAGAGTTTGTTTTGGGTATAAACGTCGTACGTGTTCTCGATTAAATGTGCGAGATTTAAAAAAGTGAGAAGGCGAAAACTTATGTATCCCAGACGAACGAGTAAAGAAGGCCGGAGGACATCGGTGTTTGAATATATGGTGGCACGCCCATCTCATGAATGTCATTGGTGGGCAAGCTCAGGGTCCAGCAGTCACAGCAAGGGTCCAAGACAGTTTTTGTTAAGAAAAGCGGGATGACCAATGTGAGAGTAAAGCGTACCATGACGGTAAAAAAAAAAAAGAAAACTGTGTCTTAGCTTACGTTTCGACAACAAGCTATAGAAGAGTACGTGTAACATGACCAGTACGATGTGGATGATGATTATAATAGGGGCCTAGATGGACTGTAATTGGGATTGAAAGCCAGCCACCTGCTCAAATCCCTACCCTACCAAGGTGGGGCGTTTGTGCGTGAGTAAAGAATTAGAGAGTAGAGAGACGAGAATACCAGAATAACTCATAACATTTATTGTACCACAATAAAAGTTCGCCATATATTGATAGAGCTACGACCACATTATCATTTTCCTTCATTGACTAGGTCTCCGAAAAAAATCAGGTTATGACATTACTTGTTGACTAAAACCGAGATCGGGATATCATCTCTTTTTCTGAAACGAAATTGTGCGGGGCGCCACTAATTCTGAATATAAACTATTATCAAGGGTTTACTCCTTTTTGTATTAGAGCCGCAAAAATATTGGTGAGGTGAGAATCTAAGGGTCCTACTTTAAGTCATGTGTACGTCTTTGATAACCCTGATCCTTTTTGCGTACCACATAGATCAACAATTAGGCAACAAGGACTTCCTTTCTCATCTTCTCTTTCTTTTCGCACACAAAGTCGACGCTAAAATACTACTTAAAATTTGAAACAACCATCCAAGCCGACTTATTAAAACTTACAGCAAAGTCAGGCTTCGAACTAGCTGCTACTCGTATTCATTTGCTACGTTGACTTGCTGCTTAGAGCTGTCACCTCAGTTTCAACATTTCGAAGTAGCAATGTACAATCAGAATGGCAATGTGCCGTTCAGCTGGGCCAACGTACAACGAAGTCAAAATAGTGACTTACTTGAACCAGAGAACGAACCTACATCATCTTCATCATCACAAGCGTTCAACTATACGGAAAGAACCATTGCTATAGAACATGCCCCATATAACTATTACGGAAGATACCAAGAAAGACCAGCAAACCCGGTACACTCAGGTGTACCTGTACAGGACCTGTCTCACCGACCAATGGTGAATGACCTTCATGGACTGGTGAGCACAAATGCATTATTTGGCTGTGTTGCTTTCCTGTCTTACTTAGTACCCTTTGTGCCATAGGTCCCAGTCCCAAATTGGGATGCATACAGCCCTCATACGGCAACACAGCAGGCAACTGCGGCTGTTCAATCGCTAGAACAAGTCCACCACCCTACTCACAATGTTCAATATCATCCATATCACATGCCTCATGCGCAAGCGCCAGCATGGCCTTACTATAACCACCCATACCCAGATTATCCTCAACATACGCGTCGTAATAGTACTCCACCAAATTATCCAAATTCGGATAGTAGCGAGGTGACAGTCGGAAAGGCAAAGGTGCGTGTATCAAATGTTTCGCTTTGTGACAGGTGCTGCAAAGAAAATGAGGCGTCTTACGATATAAAACATTTCTTCATTTAGCCACCGTATGTAATAAAGGCTTGCGCTTCGTGCAAAGCCTCACACGTCGCCTGCGATCCTGGACGCCCATGCCAACGATGTATTCGTCTTGGCAAGACCGACACTTGCGTCGATGCGACAAGGAAAAAACGAGGGAGACCGAAGAATAGTACAAAATCACAACAACAGCAAGCAACTTCTTCAATGACAGATAGTACTGGAAGTAGCTCTGCGGAAACGACACCACTTCACAAAGCAGCTAACAGAGATTTACCAGACCAGCTATTGGAATTGAGTCAAATACTGGGAGAGTACGAAGTCTCGTCTGGAGAGCAAACCCCAGCTGAATACCCCAACATGCTAGGCCATTCCTTAGGGAGAGTGTCAAGCCCCCCAGCCAGTGTTGAACGAAGAGTAACACCACTCAGTCCTTCAGCAGTTTTACGATCCTATGCTATGGATGGGCATTCATCCATTAGAAAACAAAAATCATTACCGAGTTCTTTCTCCGCTCGCAGAGGCTCATCGACTTCACCTAACTCTTCTCCGAAGCGGCGGCATTCTCATCGTTCTACGTTCGAAGCCGCACAGACGAATATTCAACCCGTCATGCTACAACACCATCAGTCTGTTCAATATCCAGGTGCTCAGCATCGTCCCACAGGTCAGCCTTTTAAATTTCAAGATACTTCTTTCATCGATGTGCACGGCAGCACTCAAACGAGAATATCTTTGGCGCATACTTACTCAACTGCATCATCTGCTCCTTCGAGAGCTATTCATCCACTTTCTTCTCAATTTACTTACACCGATTCCGATCAAGAGATCGAGAATCAGAATATGCATCACAATCGATAGACATACGGCAGCTACAATTTTACTTCTCCTTCTCTAATTAATAAGGGTCTCCCTTTTTTTTTTTATATGTATCTTGACTATTTTTTGACCATGCACGTATAGCATCGAGCGATGACATATGCCAAGGGTTTTGTAGATAATTATAGGAGGTTAATGCATTTGAAAGAAATAACTTAAAAGATTTAACTTTCCCCACTGTATTTATGTTATTGCCAGCAGCGATGTGCAATGGTTGGTCTATCGGAATTTATATTATAAGATCTATTGGGGGGAGCCGAAGCGAAAGAAATGGGGTAACCACCATATAAAGTGTATAAAATGTGTTCATTCATATTCTTGCGACGACACCAGAAGTTCTGGGTGCTTCTTCCAGAATTCATTGCCAATGATGTCATCATGCAACACGGTTGGAAGACGCTTTAATCGAATAACTTCTTCACCACTTTTTTGTGATACAGATTTTACCTCGGTCTAGTGATGTTATAGAGTGAATAGATTAGTCTATCATGTTAATGTTGCCTTAAACTGTACATCAACTTACCTCTTGACGTATGATAACAGATCCCTTGCGGTAAACAGCGTCGAGGGTATTATAATTGATGTTGAAATCGCTGTACAAAATTTCGTTTTTATCCTTGGAAAATGTTCCCTGAACAAACGATATTGTGAGATATAGTTGCGGATTCGATGCTTTTGCGTAATCCAAAACCTACCCTCAACTTTTCTTCTGCTTCTTGTTCTGACTTTCCAGAGTGTACAATGGCCCAGAATGTTGTATTATACAGATTGTTGATGTGGCCTACGTCGTTCATAAAGAACAATGGGTTAGACTAGACAGAAATCCATACACAGCTGTTCATGACACTGCAAAAACTTACAATCTGCTTGCCGCCAGCTCAGATAGTCCCGTAGAATTCTTTGGGTGGGGTAGCATACTAATCGTGCATCGAAGCAAGGTGGTACCAAAAGCTTAGTATCTGGGAAGTACTCTGCCCAGTGCATGGTATAATTTGATGCAAACAAACTGACGATGGTCGATGTGATTTTGCTGCAAATTCATAGAAAAATGTGATCAGGTGGGGGCAACACAGTATAATAAATGATTCCTTATATTTACACATACCTAATTCTACGAGAGTAAAGAGTGCTTGAAGCTGGAAGAACAAAGCTTTGATGGTCTGATGTTAATCATGTGACTCGGCCAATGCACGGATCAATGAAATATGTAGCTGTATCTCACCTGTATTCGTCACTTTGACCGTAAGCAATAATGATATCTCTTATGTTTCCAACAACTTCGAGGGCTGCTCTATTCATAAGGTGAATGGCTCTCAGATCGTTTGGCTTTTCGAACTTGTGCATGTCGGTAAAGCTTTGCCAGAATAAGTCAGTTAAAGGTCGGAGGCCTAGTGCGGCGCAGTAAACGATACCCACCCATGAAAGCCTCTGCCGTCGATCCGAACCACCATCCATGTTCCAGGTAGCGCGGAATCGTCTAATTCAAATTGTTTGACGTATTCGTACCGAGATTTCGCCATTGACTGATAGGTGTGCAAATGCTGTTACTTTGTGTCCCATTTTTTTTTTCTTGAAATGCTGCAGCGCAGAAACAGTCACTCTGTCACAATTCGACATGATATGCACACATACGCGACAAGTGTCACCTTGATGTTTTACAGACAGCTAATACGTACACTTCCATTACTTATTCGGCAAATGATAACTTTAAAATGGCCATGGGTGGCATGATTCAAATATGCTTTATTTTTGAGGTATGATTAGAGCTCATCTCTAAACTCTGCTCCTTGCTGTGAAGCTGGCTGCTGTTGGTCTCCCATAGCATCCAAAGCTTCCACCAAATCCGCGGGGTCCATAGTGAATGCTGGTTGTTGCTCTTGCATTACCATGGTTTCTTTTGTGGATTCAGAAGCATCAGAATCGTCTTTATCAGTAGACTTCTTCTTGTTCAACCTCTTTTGGAAGTCTGCCACTTCATTGTCGTATTTTTCCCATTCTGGGACTTGTCGGCGAGCTCTATCTAGTTTCGGTTCCTTTGTCAATGGGTTGTTACACTACAAATGTGGAAATCAAATTAGTTTGCGGTGCACACAACTGAAATTACATTTATGCAAGCAGTCAATATGTGGCCATACCAAATCAATTGTTTTGGCTTTCTTCAAGCTCTCGTCGCTGCACCATGTCTCGCACCAAAGCCATTCTTGAGGTAAAGAGAAAATGGGGACGTCGTGTTGCATGTTATTTGGGAGATCCTGGTCCAAGTTGGCCAAAGAATTTGGATCAGCGCTAAGCTGTTGGTACTGGGCACGAAGACGGTCTCCTGCTGCCAATTGTCTGAAGCGAACTAGATCAACGACATACAAAGCGCTGTACAATCATGTATGAAACGTGTAAGAAAAAAAAAAGCCCAGGAATGTAAAATCAAAAGCATGTCGCTTGCAAATCGGTGGCCCATTTACCTGATATGATATGGCTTTTCTTGCAAAAATTCCTTCCAGTATCCTTGCTTCCAGAAGCGGAAGCCGTCCATCTCTCGTCTATCATCGCAGAAAGGTGTATAGCCATATGGGGCTCCCTTGAGGTCCATATCCACAAGTTCCTTAAGATCAGTTCTCACAATCTATGAAACTGTCAGTAATGGATGGCTACGATGGAAAAATCCATGGTTGACTATCCACAGTACGTACCTGATCAGCATCGACGAAAATAACCTTATCCAAGTTCAATGGGAAAAGCACATCTAAGAACAATATTTTGTAGCTGTTGAAAAAAGGTGAGTCCCAATACCGCATTCCATAGTAATGGTTATGTCGTGTTACGTACCCCCAAATTGTTCTCTGTCGTTCGGTTTGGCTTCTGAGCCAAGATGGCCACTTGTAGGTAACAAATTCGTATCTGAATCCGAATTCCTCTGCCATTTCTGGAATCAAGTCCTGTGTACATACACGACATTAGCTTCGTGTGTGCGCGGAAAGTTATCATCCTGTACCTCACACCATTATTTTACCTTAAACTTGGGAGATAAAAAGTTTTCAATGAACCAGAATTTAACAGTACTTTCAGTGTGCTCAAGAACGGAGAGAATCATAATGGACAAAAAGCGTTCGTACAGATGACCAGAGGCAACAGAAAAAATGTTGATTTCTGCATGAACAGTATCACTAACGCTCTGCTGTTCAGTTGTTTTGCTTTTGAAGATCCTGATGGTAAAGAAGTGAGCGACAATGCCACAAAAGGAAAAAGGCAGGGGTAAAAATATCTACTTACTTGCTCTTCCATGATGCCCAGGTTCCATCTTCTTTTCCATGAGACGGAGCCGTTGTGTCGCTAGTCGGTTCCAAAACATCTTCCCTCTCCTTGCCCTCGTATTTTCTTACACGTGGATATATGGTGGCACCTTGGAAAGTCAGAAGATCAATGCTATTACCAGAATCTTGGATAGAGGGACTGTTCCAGCCTTCGTTACCGACACTCTCAAGTTCATATACTTCCTTTGAACGACCCTCTCTGATAGAGAGTAACCAGACACCGGGACTCGCTTTGAGCTGGAAGTAACCAAGGTTGGCCATGACAATAGTATCCGTCATGTTGGCTGCGGTTGCAGAGCCCATTACAAATTGAAGTCCACGGGGTGGGCCTTGACTGCTCATATCACGGCAGTGGCCCTCAACAAGGATGTATTCGAGTTCAAAAACAGCCGTAACACCGCTTTCTCTATGGGATTTATCAATGGCTTTGAGTAAGATGTTATCAAGATCGTAATTGGCAACCTTCGGTGTAATATGCCAGGACTTGATCTCTTCGGTACCAAGAGTATAAAGAGGATCTTCTGGAAGGTTGGCAAAGTAAGCGGTAGGATGCTCCAAATCGCCGTTTTCATCAAAGTGCAATTCACTATCCAAGACATATCGATAGAATCGTTTCAATGGGAGTTGCTCCAAGTTAAGAGAGGGGTTCAAGTAAATTTCCAGATATATGTCTTCGATCTTTGCCAAAACCTCAAGAATGGCTGACCATTTTTGTGCATTTTCACTGGCTGGATCCAAGATGACCCCAACTTGGTATTTGGCCGTGGAGATATCTCCTGAAACAATTCTGCAGTGTTCTCCATTCAACTTCTGGTAAATACGGTTTCGGGATTCTCCTTGGTGCTGTACGAAGATAGTAAAATCGCTAAATTGACTTGCTCGGCTAATGAGAGAAGTAAGCAGCATAACCATATCGGGGTCCAAGTTCTTCTGTTGATCGTACTGTTCATCAGAATGAAGGTTTGCATCGATTTGAATCTCTTGATAGGCGCGGGTGACGGGACCAATACGTCTCTTTGTCTCGTGCTCTACCAATAACTTAAAGTCATCATTCGTAAAGGTGATGCCATGGCCGACGATCTAAGTTATGTTTAAGTTAATCCAATGATCACATCCAGCGAGCATGCATAAACAAACACACTTACTCTGCCGTTGATAACCACGCCTTGGAAGTCTCGTTGAAGACCAGCATCGCTCAGTTTGCTAAATAGCTTGCTCCAATCCTTTGCATGTCCTCCGGTAATCATCTCAACAATAGGAGACCCAGCAGAGAATGCCTTGATCTGATCCACCAAACCAACATGGCCTTCAGTCTTGAGAGCAGCATCAAAAGTACTTTTGAGATCGTCGACTGAAATGTCTGCATCGTAAAGAGCTTGATAAATAACATTGGAAAGTTTAACTCCCGTATCCGGATCCGTCAACTTTGCACTTGCACTAAGGTTAGGGTTATGCATGATGGTTACTCGCACCGCTGGATTAGCAGCCTGGCAAGAAAAACGTTCGTCAGCTTGATCCAGATTTTCAAGAAAAAGGTCATAGTATTACTTACAGCAGCTTCTAAAGCAGTTTGCACGAGTTTAACGCCGTCAGCATCGTCCAAGTTCGCAATAACCCAGATGGAGGTACTAGCAGCTTCAGGTGTTTGATCTAAAGGTATTGGATCATAAATACGCATGGCCATATGTCGAGTTATGTAGATCATCTTATAAACTTACCTCGGTGTAGGTAATGCAAATTCTGAAGAGGATAATCGATTTTTTCCAATGGAAGTGTATTGAGGGGATTCAATTCTGATTCAACAATAAAAGCACTGCGTCTTTTCTGAACGTTGGGCTGTGTCAGAACGTGCTCATATACATCGGTATCTCCTTTGATATCACCATAATAGATCTAAGCCGCATAAGTTAGATATCTGTGTACTGAAGTTTGATGTTGTCTAGTATAAACTTACTTGACGAGCGATGTCTTGCATTTGTTGGCCCAGTCCCATATTCAAAATTTGCATCCATGGCTACATAATATGGTTATCAACAGACTCACTCTACCATTCATAAAACATATTGAGCATATAATCATTACCTGATCTTCGGCTATCAAAAACAATTTGCCATTGATGAAGACTGCTTGGTCACTGTTATCGTAAACAGAAAGTCGTCTTTGATATTTGGTAGTGTCTTCAATATATTCATCAAATCCATGAATGACTTGATCAAACGTTTTTTGATTTTCGTCGCTGAATACGCTCTCTGATGTGGCATCAAAGGCGGCTTTCACGGTATCGAGACTAAATTGCTTCTCTTCTTTGCCATGAGCAATTTGAAGAGCCTATTTGAACCAGTTAGTGAGCTGCATCGATTTTGTGTCTTACAATAAGCTGGATACAATAAATACCTCATTCATAAATTGTATTGCAGCTGCTGCCCCATGTTCTTCCTTAAAATAGTGTACGCAAAGAGCCATCGATGTTTCTATAAATTTCGTCAGTTAATATGATAACTTCCTATCTGAGATGGTAATCAAATACTGACCTGAGCTTTCTCTGTGACTTCCGAATTTGGGAACAACACCAAATCTAATAGGATAGCCTTTCTTAATCATATCTTGCACAGATCCACCGATGGTTGCAGCCCAGTTGGGTTGCGATAGATCAACGGTAAAGAGTACATTAAAAATGTTTTTACGAATAGTACGTAATTGACCAGGGTAAGTAGGCTTCAAAAGCTACAATGAAAATGTTAATATTTTGAACCAGAGAAAGATTAACTCAACACAGTAATGCCGTTCCGTCTCTTACATCGAAAATATCATCCGGCCAATCAGAGTACCGATCATCGTTTTCAATATCATTCCACCAAATGACGATGTTTTCATCATCCGAATCGTCACGAACATCAAAGACATCGTCAGCCTCTTCATTGTTATTTTTTTGACTGGCAAGTGCAGGGTGGGTAAGCAGTGTAATGGCATCAGCCGGGGAGAGCCCAATGTCAATCAAGGCTTGAACAAGAACTCGTTCCTTCTTCAATGAGGTCAATAGTCTGAAAAAAAAAAAGAAATTGAGTGTGAATCAAAGCAGTTCCACATCAAACATAGCCCAAGTCGTGAGATGAAGAACTTACGTGTAAGGGTCAATTTGATCCGCATCCAAGCTGATACCATTGAGCCACATCGCGTTCATTCCTGGTCGTACGCCAAAGGCTTGATTTGAAGAAATTTCCTTGAGTAAGGTTTGGTTGACCTCAACCTCAGTAAGGCTATTGGCATATTTCGGGAAATCCTGTGAGAGTTGCTTCAATGTGGATAAGGCGTCCTTGCTGTCGAGAATGAACTCCGCTGCCTTAATACCAAGATCTGATTGTCCGATTCTTCAGTTTAGTCACCAAGCAAAGTCGAAATGAAGACCAAAGCGCATTAAGCTCACCTTTGATTTGACCAGCGATCAAGGGTTCCATAGTAACCTTCTCAACGCCAAAAAGATTTTCTTCGATTTGTTTTCCAAAGTTGGCTAGCTTCTGTCTAATACCATTCGTCTCCTCTTTGGCACTCACGTCGCGATCATCGATGACCAAGTAGTCAGTATTCTTGAGTGCCAATTCAATTCCGTAACCAGACAATACAACTGTGTCGTTTACATTGCTGCCAGGCTTATAACGAATGATGTATGTGATTTTGTCTTCCTGAGCAGCCTTGTAAAGGATGTTGTGGAGGTCAGAGAATGCCGTCGACATGACATCACCATACAAGATAGCAGTCCCAGCTTCTGAGCTCGAGCTCGTAAAGATATGGTCAAAGGTAAGAACAGAATGATCATGCAGGTCCTTTTTCTTGTTGGAACTGATTGCTTTCTGAAGCTTTTGTGAACCACAGAATTGCTGTCCGTCAAATTCCACCCAGCTCTCACATTTCTCGTCAAAGGCTATGTTGGCGGTATTATTCATTCTGGGAACGACAACATTGGAGTAGTAGTGATGATACGCTTCCACTTTGGGGGCTGTGGATCTCATTGACAATGCCAGTTTCGTAATATCCATCAAGTCAGGTTTGAGGTAGTGCTTTTGCTGTATGATGTTTAGGAGCTCTGTGTACATATGCTGAGTGCTTTTTAAGTTTGGAGCCAACTCAACCAGATCAGATAGGAAGGGAAAGTAAGCAGAGCTATTCTCAGCCGACACATATTCTCTGCAAAGGACTTTGGTTAAATGGTGACATTGAATACGGTTCCGCGAGGACGTAGACTTACAAGATCTCGAGTCCAAGATTGGGCGCGGTCCAAGGAGCTTGTACCTCCACTTGAACTGGAGGTGAAGTCTCGCTTGCAAATGCGTAGTTCAAGATAGCTGCCGTGCAAACGGACAGCAGACTTAATCTAACCATTCTTTCTGCAAGCGTGTACTGTACAAAGAAGGAGTGGCGTGTCGTAAGATTTGGCGAGTTGCCAATTTCAAGGACCGCTTCAATGTTCCTTCGACACATTGCAGTAGCGGCACTTTCGCGTGGTCAAGGTTGCACGGTTTGCTCACAAGCTAACGTGGTGGGCCAGAACAAGAATACATTATATTCAGTCAATTACTTATGCCAATGTATTACTATTTAACTGTGTTATAATAGGCAGACTAGAAACAACAGGTATTGCTAAACCATAGCCCAGTACTGAAGGTACGTCACGACAGTGTGCTTATGCGGCCCTTGAAATCAAGAGCACATCCCAGACAACGAGCATCAGCTCCCCAACAGGTTGTAGACATTGTCGATAGGCTGAAAGAATCCACCCCACCACAGAAATATCAAAAAGGTTCAAGTGCTAAAAATCAATGCAATCCCACAGTTACCATGCATCGAGAGGGCCACCTTACACTCATCAATTTTAAAAATGTCGCATCTATAATATTCCCAACCCAAAGATAAGGGTATTGGGATGCGATGCCAGAATGATATAGGGCACATCTGTATCTTGGGTTCATGTCCAGGATAGCATGAAATGATTGGAACCAAAATAACCGTCGCAGAAAGACAAGTTCCGTCTCCGCTTGCTAGCAATTTTTACCAAGCCGAGCATAAGTTGGTGTCACTTCCGCAAATCGTTCCTGTACAGTATGTCGGCAGAAAATTCGAATCCTCCATCAGTTGAACAGCGAGATCCCCAGTATTTTGGATACTATGCTCAGCTTCAGCATCAGGTAAAGAATCAAAGGCTTGCTATTGTAACATGTCAAGATTGAAGCTCTAACTTAATGCACTTACAGCAAAATATGCTGCAAGACACGGTACGAACGTCTACGTATCGCTCGGCTATTTTGCTAAACGGACCCAACTGCTTCAAAGATAAACTTGTCATGGACGTAGGAGCAGGATCAGGAGTGCTTTCGTATTTTGCCGCTCAAGCTGGCGCCACTAAGGTTTACGCTGTAGAAGCCTCGGATATGGCTCGCAAAATGAAAAAACTCGTAGACGCCGCGTCCGAGCCGCTGAGCAGAAATGGATTCATGAAGGATAAAATAGAGGTTATAAATGGTATGTATGGGAATTCTATGTGAAACTTTGTCTAGTACCTGATCCTGATTATTTGAATGAACGTCTACAGCCAAGATCGAACAACCTGACCTTCCAATTCCGAAAGTGGATACAATCGTATCGGAACCCATTGGTGTCCTTCTTTTCCATGAGCGTATGGTAAGTTGAATTGTTGATGGAGATATCCTTCGAGTTTAATCTAATAATACAATCCGAGATAGCTGGAAAGTTTTATCCATGCTCGTGATACCTACCTAAAGCCCGGCGGTGCTTTGTTCCCATCGAAAGGCGTTATCTTTTTAGCCCCATTCACAGATGCCGGTTTGTGGACAGAAACAATTGGAAAAGCACGATTCTGGTGAGGTTTTCTTTCTGTGATTTCGTAGAGGATATTATACGAGCACATGCTAATATGCGTTTGTATTCCACTAGGCAACAAGACTCGTTTTATGGCATTGATCTTAATTCACTTTACCAAGATGCGAAGGACGAGATGTTTGGTAAGTCAGCGGGATACAAGCATTTATTCCTCATATGCATGAGATATTGATGGCTGGATCTGGTCCATAGGAATGCCAGTCGTTGGTCATTTTGATCCACAAAGTCTTCTCTCAGCTCCTACGGCATTTGATGGTTACGACGTCGATTTTTCAACTGTATCGGTCAAGGAATTGCAAGATATGACAATCCCTTTTAGATGGGTATCTAATTATACTGGTATCATGCATGGTGTGGCTGGATGGTTCGATTTGCTTTTTGCACCCCCGCCATATAACACAAACAATGCACAAGAAGACCCTAACGTTCCTAGCACGGTACTCGAGATGTCGACTGGGCCAGCCGCAGAGCGCACACATTGGCAGCAAGTCCGGTTCTTGTTTAAAGAGCCTTTAGCTGTTAATGCAAACCAAGTAGTGCGTGGATGGATGCGCTGCATTGTGAACGACATGCGTAGTTACACCATCTATGTAGAAGCCGTTGTTGGGGACGAAGGCGGCCTGGTCGAATTAAGTGACTCAACCAACATAGCCACCGATCGTAAATTCGTAGAAGACTCAGTGCACGCTCATCCCCTTCGAAGACGTGGTATGTGGGAGCTTCAAGAACAGACCTACAACTATTCATACAGCCCCGGAATGGTTCCACAAGAATCTAAGCCTGAGTACATGTGTCTATATGAACCTGAAGGCAATATGGTCATCGACATGGAAGGAACAACCCCGGCACCGGATGCATCCAATTCAAATTATATCAATTTTGTAAATTAGGCCATCGCATTTCCTATAAACATCGTTTATCATAACAGAACAAACTTCAACTATAGTCGCAATCGATTTTTTGAAGCTCATTTTAAAAATACAATTGTTTATTATTTGTCACTTATCTTTGGCCACAGTGAATTGGTATTTAAAGCTGAAATTTTGACACAGCTATAAGCTAGGTCATAAAAACAATTCGTTTCGTAGTGTCATTGGTCAATTTGGTGTTCTTGCAGAGGCAGATGGTCATCTCCAACGGTTATTGTCAGGATATGAATATGATGGCCCTGTAGCCTGTGGCTGGGAATAGTTAGGATTGGTAGGCGGATTTTGCAAATGATTACTTTGCGGTTGCGGGGGTCTGGCTTGTTGATAATGGGGTTCTACTCCTTGCACAGGATGCTGATGGGGAGGCTGTCCATATGGAGGTGTAGATACGGCATTATTGTAATTCGGTGATGGCCTATATGCTTGAGGTGCTGCATAAGCAGGTTGTGGAGGGGGCTTGGCAGTTTGGTGCGGTGCTTGCTGTTGTTGCGGCTGCTGTTGGGGCTGCTGTTGCTGCTGGTATGACGGCACTGCTGAAGCTTGTTGTTGTGGCTGTTGATATGGCGAGTAGTACTGTTGATTGTTTGCAATTGATGGCGCCTTCGCTGGTGCAGATGCAACAGCCTGCGGATAGGAATACACGCTTTGCCTTTGAACAGAAGGAGACAATTTCTTTGGTGAGGTAACGTCAGGTGGAGTGCTATAAGTGTCTTTCCGCTTCATTTGCGATTCCTCTAGAAAATCCGCTTTACATGGTTTGAGAATTAATAAATCTTTTTTTTCTTTTTCCTAACATAGCATGTTATTGAGTAAACTTACCCATATCCGTTGTTGAAAGTTGCTTATATGACGGCTTGTCATCGTCTACAAACATCATTAGGAATTGTAACGTACGACTCAAGAGCACAAAATAGCAATTATTGGTTTACCGGCATCACGATGGTCTTGTTTTTCCTCTGATGGCTTTTTTTCTCCCAATCTTTGCAAGAGATCATTTATTGTTTCTCGCATGGATAACAAGTCTCTTTCTAGGTTACCGAGAGTGGCTTGTGAGACAGACTGTGATTTTTCATCCCATGAATCGCGAGGTAACGGATGCCTCTCCTAAATTGGTACTAAATGAGATGTTGACGGCTTATTACTGATTTCCTCAAAACATCAAGCATACCTTATCAAAAACTGTAACTTTCAACACATTTCGCTGAGAAATGGCGTGGACAATGTCCATATCATCTATCATGCCAGGAAATAGAGGTCAGTAATAAATAAATAGCGAGTAGAGCCATACGAAATCCGCGCTCACCAGAAAGAACAATGAGATCACCGTCTGCATAAACATCAATTAGCAAAATACAACTTGACAATGGAATAAGCAATTTAAATATAACATGCCTTCATCGGTGTATCGCAATATGATGTTTTCGATGTTTGAAATTTTATGTGCAAAGAGCCTGTACATCATGATACACAGTTCGTCGTAAGTAGGCGTTTGGTTGATGGGAATTCGCCTTATTTCATCGCCACATTTGCCTATAAGCCATATGGTTCAGTACGACGTCTTATTGTAAGTTGCCCAGCACGCACGCCAAGTATACGCGCCAAGCTGAAACCCAGCAGGCTCGAGCCGACAGCTGCATGAAGAGCGTGGCGGAGTACATGTTACTTACACTTTACAATGATTTCCCCTGTCATTACTTTGCGAAGGTCAGCGTAATTTGTCGTCATGGTTGGTGCAAGTCAGTAACCAGGATTTGGTAACAGGCAGGAGAAGTAAAATAGCTGAGCAGTTGGTGAGGGTGAGTGGCGATGTGACTGTGATGATTTACCCCCACTTGTTTCCCATTTTTTCCCTTGTATTTATTTTAGGAAATTGAAAATGCGGGTTGGATTTCAACAGGATCAAGCTGCGAGCGACCTTGCTCTGGAAGCACAGGTAAGATTTTTTATTTGAAATTATCTAATGTACACTGCGACGCCCTTTTGGATCAGCATCGTATGTTTCATGCCCTTTTTTTCGCTTAACATACAGAATGCCTCTATGAATGATGTTGTTGGCGGACCTAACATCTTCTTGCATATTGATGACCAGTGGCCAATAACGGGGGCTATCGACTTTGATGCTTTTTATAAGACCAAAATCTGGAACGACCAAAGGTGCCACAACGTTGATGTCCCGATGTTTTCGTGCTGACAGCGCTATTGAAGGATCATCATCAAATACAGTGACAGTAAGTGGTAGACGACAAGGCTGATCATTTTCAATATCGCGTGGAATTAGCCAGCGGCACTCGAGAGCCAGCGCCCAAAGATGCCTGAAGGCTTGTAAGTGATACATATTATCGTCCGCCACAGTGGGGAAGAAAGGATAGAAGGAACACAATAGCGTTGCAATTGCTAGGTTCGATGTGCCTAGGGTATATTTTCCTCCTCCCGTGAATAGCAAACCAGCCGCCATGTGGGTTGCCATATGACTGCCGTAGTTTACATCGGGTCCAATACGGTCATGTAAAGAAGAGAGCCTCTCCCAGAGTTCTTGATTTCCGGTTCCTGCCATAACAATGGAAGCTGCTGTTGCCACAATATCTCTACATGCCTTCATCAAACTTCGTGTAATTTTTTGTTGAAAATTAGATGCTATTACATATTATGAAGGCAGAATCGATTAGTTCAGATGATCACTTTTAAACTAGATCAGCAAGCGAATCTTACCAGTCGATTGGCTTCGCTTAGCAAAGAAGTCAAACTGTTTTAAAAGACATCGGAATGCTTCTTCGTTACGAGATCCAGCGTATCGAAGGCCGATACTCAAACAACAACCAGCAATGATATTGGATGCAGCTTGCTGTAAAATTTCCATATCACAGTAGGATGCACCGTGTTCTTGAGGATATATGGTATTATCATTCAGCGCATTTTCAATGAAATCAGGTAATTGTTCTTGTATCCACGCTTCAGTTGGCTTGATATGGCTCCACATGATCAAATTTCTGCTGAGTACTCTGAGGAGCAGGAAATCTGGTCGAATGTAGTCTAGCATCGGTAGTGTGTCCGGTAAGGCAATTTTCTCAGCTATTCGTACATCTTCTGTCTTGAGATACATGAGACCAATAGCAATCATTGCTCCTGGTGCAGTGACATCGAGGTTGATGCGCCGGTTACTTCGGCTACTCGTCTTGGAAGAATTATATCCAGGCACATTAGGCAAAGCCAGCTTTTCATCCATGAATCCAAAGAGTCTCTCCTTTATCCCCAGATCCGCCAATCCTATTGTGTTATCTCCTTGCCCTAATGTAATAAATCCGAGAGCAAACCCTGCGGTAAGAGCTCGACTTTCGGGGTGACATTTGGCTGCATCTTCTGGTAAGATGTCGTTGCTTCGACTTATTTCATCAACCATAACCGAGGCCATTCTACGATCGCACGATCCCATATAAACAAGACCGATACCGAGTATACAAGTAGTTTGCGTCAAGTGTGAATGGCCGAGATCAGTTGAATCCAATGGAAGGAGAGATGGAAGGTGCATAGACAGAAGCTTAGTGACTTTTCCATCTCGACTACCACAATAGGCCGCAGCGACACCAAGGATGAAACCAGCAGATGCCAAGTCACAGTTCTCCGTCAAGTACCTATACCAGTCCACAATAGGCAGTCGTCGCAGATGCCCTGTTAAGCCTAGAGCGAGGAGAAATCCACCATGTGAAGGATTCAGTTCCTCTGGCTTATTGTAAAGAATCCATGATCCATTTACTGGTACATCTGGAGATATGCGCATTCCGGCAGCTACACCATTGTGAAACGCTGGCCAATCCAGATAATCCTTTGGAAGAGTGCTGATATCAAATTGGACCACCGTCCTCATGGGCAACACCTTCGCCGAAAGTACTAGCTCGGCAATTGGAAAAGCCTTGGTAGGATCCGGCTGACATGTACCAAACGACAATATGCCTCGGCCAATTCCGAGTGCAAGGGTTCGATGCGATAAATTGGTTAGGTGGGTTTGATGCTCAACTGAGAGATCCTCATCACTATATCCATAAATCACTGTTAGTCCACGGCCAAGTATACCACTTGATATAATGGTAGGACACTGACCTCATATCTAGATGTTCAGGCACAGTTATCTCAGAAACAACAGAAGAGTCTAGGATTGCTCTTGCCGTATCGATGACACCGACATGTCCGAATCGCATTTTTTGAATACTTCTAGTAGGGATTTCTTCGTATTCAGAATTTTTACTTTCGCTTTCGAATGCTAGCGCCTCTTCTACAAGCATATGGGTCTTCCTTCGGTCATTCACCTTGAAATCCTGTGTCAGTCTCTCATTCTCTGACTATTCGCGTCAAGTATTTCAGTCTTACATGTGTCACATCGATGTCCAGATCATTCGTTGAGTTCTGAGACTCCCCTTTAATTTGCTCGGCTATGTCTTCTCGGCCTACGAAAGCATACCTTTAGAAGGACAAATTTATATATGAATAGATGTATATAGCACTCACCTATCATATTATACGCCTCCACTGGCCAATCTGCGGGAGGGTTGCTCTTGTAGGACTCTAGCATGTCGTATATTGGCTTAGATACATTATTTGGCAACTTGGCTAAATCTCCTTGGTTGAAGCCTACTGAAATGAGTAGAAGTACTACTGAGGAAGCGTCCCTTAGCGGATCCGAGTACACAACAAATATAGATGATAACCGCTGGAGTAAAAGGCACAGTGTCCTCTTTCGCAGTATAGGATTGGCCATCATTCCAGGATATGGAAATAAGTCTTGAGGCAGGGGAAATGGTGGTAAAGGTCCTCGACTAGGATCTACTCCTTGTGTATGATCTTGTACCCAAGCTCCAAAGTCCGGAGGGAACTGGCTCAATATATGATTCTGAACATCTATAGAATTAATTTGGAAAGCTGCTCACCCATCACTATGCATTAGCAAGTTACATAGCTAGTAAAGATGTCTGATAGGATCTGCTAATAGCTTACCAGGATGATCATAACTGATGTCTGGAATACTGGAGTCTATATAGTATATTTTCCATTCGTCCCATTGCAAAATAGTCGCCAACTGAATTAACAGTAAGCCCATATTCATAGTATCCTGCTTCCGATATTTGTCCAGACGTAAGTCCTCCCAAATAAGATGCAAACCCAATACCACGGAAGTGATGTTAGAAATCAGTGATTCCTCTGGTTTCCGCTTTTCGTAGGACTCTAGAGACTTATAAATCCATTTCTTTATCATTGAATATTGAGCCTGGGATGTCTCATTGTCGCTTTGGTGACCTATGATCCCTTGAATATCATCTCCTAACTTCAGCCCAGATATCAGATTTGAGTACGCTGGCTGATCTAGAAAATCAGTAGAAACAGACACGTTGTCATTCTCCAAGGAAGCTAAAAGTTCTTCACGCTCCATCTCATCACCATGTAAGAAACAGAGTATGGCAGAAGCGAAATGATCCCATTCATCAGCGAGGGAATCGGCGGCTTCTGACTTCCACTCTTCAGAGTACTGATGGTACATGAAACGTTGTCGAATGCTTTGAAATACGTTGATGGGGACGGCAAAGCTTAATGCCATCAAACAATCTTGAACAAGACTGGATTTTGGCGTGAAATCTACTGTGATGCGATAAGTTCGAGAGTTGGACATAGTAATATTGACTTTGTTATGTGTTGGATCCTTGAGCTCCGTCACCGACAATGTCTCTTCCGACATAGAAAGTTGTCTGACTAGTGTTCGTAACTCCTTTCTTTTCGTGTTGTCAGGTGGTGAATTAAGTCCTGCGTCTAGTTCATGTATATTATTCGGTAACGAAATATCAACAAGGGCAGTGCCAGAACCGATCCACAGTTTCACTTTTCCATTCTGTATGAGCAATATATCGTAATAATTATGTCGTGTAGCTCGGATGGACTGTGCTGCTGATGCTTTGAATTCGAATGCTTTGACACCACGACCTCTACGAACATTAACTAATGCTGTCACATTGATGCCAATTAGAGTATTGCTGTGGTTGTCGTGTATACAAACGAGTTCTGAGCCATCCAAGTCATGAGCCATAAAAACCTCTGTCGACTTATCAGTAGTTCGACCTGAAGAGGATCTAGGATAACACTGTTCGTCAGAGGGTCGTCGACCATAGTAAAGCATGCTTAAATGAGCCTAAACCACATACCTTGTTGTTCGCTTTTCGGACCACAATAGTTCGATGTATGCACCTGAATGATTACGGCGCTCAAAAGAAGAATCTGCGTACTCAGACGTGTGTAAGAAATCCGTTTCGGAACTAAGATCATCATGGTATTGAACAAAGGAGTCCTTTCTGGTCAGTGGAGGGGGGGTTGTAGGTTTTGGTGGTGTAGAGGTGATTGCAACGCTACTGGTTTGTCGAATGTTCCTCTTACCGGTCTGTTTGACCGGCGTTGTTGTAGGTGAGTGGTAAGCTTCATTTGCTGCTCTTATTAATTCTTCTTTTCTCGCCAACGTTGATGACTCTTTTTCGGTGGAGGATGTTGAGTTATCGTATACATGGGAGGCGTAGCGCCAAATGTAATGGCTCATCTCTTTCTTGTGATAAGTCACCAGCAAGCGCGACTCGTCGCTTCTACTATCACAAGTTGTAACAAATTTAAGTTCATGATTATCGTCAGTCAGCGGCAAAATCGGTTCTGTGAGTCGCAGCTCCTTTTTTGCCATATCGTAAGAAATAGTGTCAGTCACCGAAAGCACCGTTGGCTCTTCCCTGGGATGAATAATAACTAATAATGGGGCATTAGCAGCAACACCTTTCCCCGTTGGCTTCGTATCTTTATGTTCAAATCGTGCTCCTTGACCATTCGAGTTTAGTTCTTGGTAACCTTGACGTCTTTCAAGTATGACACCAACATCCATAGCACGCCCAGTGTGGACTGGAAATGGTAAATGAACTGAAAATGTGTGTCCACTGATAAAGTGTATTTTGGCGATGTCTTTGAGAACAATACATATCGCTTTCTGCAGCTTTTTTTCATCGCAAGTCTTGGTAAGGGCTAAAAATGGAGGAGAGAGATCGCTCTTTGTCTTTTTCGTTGAATATGACAATGAATATGGTTGCTCTCCATGACGCGATCCGTTGTCCATATGTGAACTAATGTCAAAGCCTTGATTCGTATACCTTCTTTTCAAAGGAGATTGGGTAGCTTCAACATTGTCTACCACCCCTGTTGTCAATTTCCTCTGAGAGTCGACTGGCGCAGTCGCAAGTTGTGATGTTTGCCGAAATGGTAGTCCCTGGATGTTGGTTAAAGTGGGTTCAAGAAGATCCTCGTCGTATGGAAACCATCCAATAAGTGCTGTTCTTATATGTTGCTTGTCTTGGTCGAAATTAAAAGATTTAATGACTTGGTCTCCTCGACTCCAAACTAGCGTTGACCCAATGATATACAACTCTTCTTCAATATCAGCAGCTTGATTTTCAAACGTTTGATACGGCAATGATTGATAGCTCTTAGCTACTTCATCATACTTTCCGGCCACAGGTAACTTTCCACGATTCCCTGAGAAGCTGATGTGGTAGGATTGAGTTTCAGGAACTGATCGTTTCTTTCTAGGCGAATGGTCGTTACTCAGAAGAAAAGCGCTGAAGTCGACTTCCTCAAATGTTCCTACTGAATCCGCAAGGTGTGGGTTGTGTCGAATATATCGCTCCCCACGGGGTGAGAAGACTTTAATATCTTGAACCTTGAGGGCCATTTGACAGAAGAATCAACATGCAGGCAGATCAAATCGGCTATTAAGAGCAATGGTAACTTTGAGGGTATGGTGCTTGAATTTCCAAAAATTATGTCGCGATTGAATTTCCGAAACGCGCGGCACTCGTTACAAAGCTGAAAATTGCAAAGTTTATGGGGAAAAATAAGTGTCTTTACTTGTACCATATGAACTATACGTGAAATACGTTGCAAACTTCTAAAGTTATGAATGTAAATTAAAAGAAAAGAAAGCGTTAAACTATTAAATCGTCCAAGGAAGTTGTAGTCACGTTGAAACCAATTGACTTAAAACCATCCGCAATATCACTGACTTTGCCAGGAGTGGAGACTACGACTACGTTCGACCTGTCAGGCTCGAATAGAGCAACCAAGTACTTGTTGAGCACACGATACAAATCATCTTTCGTCGTGGCTTGTACTCGTGTCAGCAGATCACGATTATAGGTTGCCTTGACTTGCTTCAAAATTTGATTGGTAAACGACTGGCCGGCAGCATGGCTGATAGTATCTTCCCTATTGACGATACTGAATATGACACCACTTTTTGCTCCGTCAATGGCAGAGTCCTCAATCTCCAACTCCTTTTCCTTGAGCTGATATATAACGTTACGTGCTTGAAGGAAAGCCTTGTAGGCGTTGGGTGATCGATATATGCTGAAATACACGAGGTGTGCCTCCACATCAGCTCTCAAACTGCAGGAATAAGCTAAGCCTTGTCCTCGGATGAGTTTCCAGAAAATTCCTTCCATGGTTTCTAAGACCTCGTTCAAGACCAACAAAGGCGCAATATCTTCTGAATCAAATGATACAGGTCCAGGAGCACTATGCAAGGAGAAGGAACTCTCGATGGAAGGAAGGCTTACCACTACACCCTGCCGTCAAACTACTGTCAGCCTTCCGCAGCGAAAATGATAAGAGAGATCTTTTTAAAATTTCAACTTACAATATCACCTGGAGCCTTACCCTTTTGGTTAAGTACCTCTCTTGCCCATGGGTAATGTTGCACTGTAGCAGGTCTGCCAACTGATCCAGATTCTTCGAAAACCGAAAAGACCGATCTGGGATGAGGTAACTTCAGAATATTACCGATTATATGCACAGTGAAGGCAGGAGAATCGATCACTAAATGCAGTAAAGCTTGGTCAACGTAAATAAAAATCATATTTCATTAAATCATTGTACTTACACGCCTGACGGAACCGTTCACAGTCATCCAGCACACTTTGTGGATCTTTTTCCAAGCGCTGCAAAAGATCTGGAAGGTACTTTGCTTGATATAATACATTACTTGATGCATTAGTAGACTGTTCCCTTTGAAACTGCAGTTCTCTCATAGCAGAGTTCGCCATCTGGAAAAGGTGATGTAAGATGGAAAAATCTTATTAAACGGTTGTTAGCAAATAAAAGCCTTACTCCGCGTCCGTCTCTCTTGGCTTGTGGGATGTCATTAAGGATTTTGCTTGCAGTGATCTTCAGTCTGTATTGAATATGGTTGTTGAGTCATTTACGACAAAAATTCGACCGACAAGGAATAACCTGATGTTAACCTACCTCTCAGGAGTGAATTTTGTATTCCACAGTGCATCCTTTATCCATTGAACCGCTTTTTCATATTTTGCAGCCTACATTACAGGTTACAATGAGTTATTACTCGAATCATGAGCATCACATACCAAACCTTGATATTTCACTTACTTCGACTTTGATTCCAAGCATAGCAACTTCTCTGAAACCAACAGATGTACCAAGCGATGCATAATAGTCGACAGTGTCTTCACTAAGTCTCTTAACCACTTCCTCATACGGAATCAGACCGTCTTTGGTTTCAATAGGCAGTGTAAATAGAGCATCTAGGAACAAGGTGGTCAAGGGCCGAAGGTGAGAAGCAACATTGGCTGTGCTTATGTAGACAGAAAGCTTGATGAAACTCGAATTGATGTCTAAAAGGAAGGACAAAAATTAGTAACAAAGAAGATCTGAATAATGAATTTCGTGATCTTCAACCCACGGTCAAATTGAATAGCAAAAGGCAACTTGACATCGGCATCATTGTTAACGTGATCCTGGACGTCGTTGGTGCTGCAGAACACGAAGTAGCTTTAGTTACAATGCCATCATAATCAATTGGCATACCCGACGAAAGAACTTACAACAGCCCATCATCGGGTGTCCTTGCAGTCTGGACTTCAATGAAATCAATAGACGACACAGAAGGAATCGGAACGTCGTTGACAACTTCAGGTGGAACAGGAACTTCATTTTCTTTCTTGCATTCTTCAAGCTTTTCTTCCAATTCAGCCAGTTTTTTATCACCAAGGCGGGTACGCTGCTGGCTGATACGCTCGGACTCCTCTTTGAGTAGTTGGTCGGCGAACTCGGCTGATGGCTTTCCCAGGAGAGCAATGTGAGGGTTCTTGACATACCATCTAAACGGAAGGTAACATTAGATTACAGGCTAAACTTGAGTGTACCGACTGGGTGGGGCTATGTAGACACTTACTTCTCGAGCAAGCGAATCCAATCTTCGTTAGTATATTCCAATAACTGATTCAAATACTTGAGATCTTGGCAAGCAGCTTCCAGATCCGAACCATCTTCTTTTCCGTAAAGGAAATCGCCAATGCAGGTGATAGCGGCAGAGAAATGAGAGTTGGTCTCAATATTGTTCAACAACTTGAGTTTATCTCTAAGTATGACAGTCTTCATTCTGTTCATATCAATGCCTTCTTCTTCTATGACACGGTTCAAAGTCTCAAAAAACAGGGGAACAAATTCTTCCAACTCTTCTTCAGGAACATTTGCAATATTGCAGCTTAGGACGGCTCGAATCTGATCAACAATATGGAAGTCGATGTCTTGAGGTTGTGTTAGTGACTGATGGTATAACGTTATATATAACGCTGTATGTTTGGCTTACCTGTGCATAGAGGCTCCTCAATCTCAACAAATTCCTTTTGAAGGACAGAAACGGGAGAATCTGTCAGATAAGTGTTCAGAACATCTACCGCTTTGAGTTCCAAGAATTCCTAATGTAGAATGGATGTAAAAATCGATAGGTGTTTCAAGAATAAAAAGTATCAAACTTTTAGCTTACATGACAGTCAGGACCATTCCAAGAAATCATGATTTCACCCATGGATTCATCTTCATCAGGAAAGAGAACTGTTTCCTCAACAGTTTTAGCAAGTTTGGGAACAGGTCCAGATTCAACCCATGGTCTCTTCATTGCGGGAGGAGTAGGCTTGCTCAAGATGTTCGCTTCAACAGGTTCTAGTACCTTCAATAACTTGGCATGGTCAACCTTGCCGGTAATAATCAGACACAAATTGTCCGGACGGTAATAAGATTTATGGTAGTCTCTAACTGAATAGAAGAAAATATGATTGGAATTGAGTATGTGAAGGCAAAACGCTACTTTTGAATTCAATAGGTCACTTACTTTGGTCAACAGTGATATCCCTAAGTTCTTTCATCAAGCCACCAGTTTCTGAACGATAGCCACATCCCTGAGGAAACAAATGTCGCTGCATACGAAGCTGCATTCGATCTTCACTGGAGTTTTGACGTCCCTGCATCTCACTGTAAACAACCTGGTTTCATTTCGATCGAAATAAAGAGTCAAAAATGAGTACACAACTTCTCAAGTTAATGCATATTCAATTTTTGACGTATGTACTTACACCTAATGGCGGTAATATATTGTTTCACCAAGGAAAATTTGAAGTCAGTCTTCATTGAATAGTGTCACGGCTAAAATTAATGATATCATAAGAACAAAATGACTAACCTGCATCTTCGCCTTTTCCATTGATATGATGGACTTCGGTATAACAGCCGCTGGCAGTTAAAGTCGGATACAAAATATGGTCGATGTAAACTGGCAATAAATTCAAGAAACCTTCACTTCCGGCAGTTGTTATGGTGTAACAGGTGTGATCAACATCGGTCCAGGCGTTAGTACCTTGCGCCAAAGCCCTGTTAGCAAGAGAGTCCAGAACACCCTTGTATGGATATTTTTCACTCCCAAGGAAAACAAGACTACATAGAAAATTAGGATTTTTTTCATAAAGTTGTCAAAGTAACAACTGTGGCTTACTGTTCGAGAGTATGGGGGCAGCCATAGTCATCCAGGGCTATGCGGAAGAAAGTCACAGTTAGATAAGGTTGGTTGTTGTGTCACACATGTGGAGGGAGTATTAAGGCATCAATGAATGCGTGTGCAGCACAGCATGCTTCCCAAGCATCTGATTTGACAATTTGGCAAAACAAAGGCAATTTTGGCACCATGTCCCTAGAAACCTACCTTCGGTAGCTAACGCAAAATAGCCGCTCACCAACGGTGCTAAAAGTTCAAAAACTTCGGATTAATAAACGCATTCGGATTGAGAGAACGATTGGTACAGAAGTAGGATAGTAAATAGATTGATGCGAGATCAAAACTTTGGAAGAATTATGAGGTTTAAGTAAATAAACACGAATATAAAAAAAATCTTCGAATTGTATAGAATGAAGGAGCTTGGTATAGCTTGAAGTACGATTTCCACAAAGTAAAGGTGGAGTACTTCCTCTCAAAAGATAGAAAATGTCAAAGCTAAATGCAAAGATTTTGACAGTAACATGGGCTTACCATCAATGTCGGCATGTACAATGGTCAAGCCGGTTTTAACGCTCTTAAACTTTGTTACTTTGATACCATATTCAGTATCAATATGACGGATTTCTTTAAAATTGGAAGTATGTCCGTTTGTAGGATTTTTGGGAGACATAACGAAGAAGTAAAAAAGAAAGGAGGTCGATTACTGGGTGGACCGGAGGCAAACGCGTGGATCGTCCGAGAGCGAATGAAACAAGTGATCCCACTTCCTTGTCGGCCCTCTAATTTTTTAAGCCCCTGAGCCTCTCTTCGCTGATGGAGAGGACACGCATTATCTTTTCTCTAGCTATTGATGAGAATATCTTTAATTACCTGTTGGAATAGCTGTTTAGGATGGCCATTTGAGTCAGAATTAAAGGATGCAAACAATGAAATAGGTAATTCCGATGTTTACGGTTGTAGTATGAGAGAGTGAGTAAGAGAAGCTGACCTCTTCATCTTGAATGCAGAAATTTTATTAATTCGAGAATATGTTGTATACAGTTCTTTTTTACACCGTTGTAGTTCCATTGTCAACATTGGGCCGAACGAGTTCATCCACCACACTGGGAGCGCAGCACGGCGGAGTTTATATTTCGCATGGCAAGGACAACATGCAGGAATTTTCTTGACTGCCACAATTGCATGGTTACTCTCTCCGAAAGAGGTGAAGTAGAAAAAACATTTGCATTGGAAACAAAAACATACACAGTATTACCTATCCAACCATTATATAGTACCAAACAGCTTCTAGTATCGAATTGATCACAATAAGCTACAAAGACAATCCCATGACAAGAGATTACTTTCTGTGCACATTTATGGACCTCCTATGACCAATCCTTGTTTTTTGGGCTTGGGAGTCAACCTCCATATTAAAGTAAAATAAAGAAAAAGACGAAGCAGCAAACCTGTTTTGCAGCGGAACATTTCCTCGTTGCTTATGGTAGCGATTGGCCATCGTAGTCCAAATGCCTGTGTACCACCAGCCACCAATACCGAATGCAGTGCGATACAGAATAAAGTATAATCCGATCATGCTGAAAATGCATAAGAAAACGACAGTCAAGCTTTTTTCAAGTCAGTACGAAAGTACAAAGCTAGAGCTAGAAGGAAAGAGATCATACATTTTGGAATTTCCAATTGCGTGTTCAACATCTCCAGTTCTGAGTATTTATATGCCTCAGCAAAGGATAGTAAGTAGTCAACTAAGTAGCCATGGTGATATTTCTGTGGTCTGCCTTGACCTCAGTAACGAATGACTGGTAAGTTTACAAGCACAATACTTAGACATAACACGAGGTGTAATCCAAACGTGGGTTTGACTTCTAACAATACAGCTACTGCTACCGTTATGGAGGCTGTTGTCCCATGTGGCATACATATCTTTTTTTTTTTTTTGGAATCATCTGATTATATACCATCCATAGATGACGGTAATTTGGATATTAGGTATCTGCAAAACAAATTTGTTTAATTTGCGGCATGGTTATGGAATGTCTCCTAAATGTACTTTGTAATTAGATTGTTATTTTTTATTTTGTTGTTTGGAATGCAGTGAATCAACTCCGTAATCAGCTTTTGAAAGTTCACAGACAACGGCTTTTTCAGTTAGAAGGAGATAAGACCGCCGCAAGGTATGACATCGATTTCAAGAGATTGGAAAACAATTTTAAACTGCGATGTGCAAACAGCCGCTGAAACAGATGAGACGGAACATGCAATAAGGCGGCATTAACATGGAAGATAAGAACAGTGGTATTTCCGTATGATATTGGAAGCGATCTAATTGCCTTCCAGTATAATATCGATTAACAAATTTACGAGTTACGGCATGTGTGCCAGGAGTGGTAGGCTGAGATGCACCAAAAAATTTTTTGGAAAGGAGCGACGGTGGGAATATGAATCATGTCATCTAATATGCCATCGTACACCGATGGGAACGAAGAAGAAGATGTTTCCTTGCAATTTCTGTGTATTACACTTTCAATGTGACCTCACTGAGCCGAATCGATCTGCCATCTTTATCTACCATTATCAGCTACGAATGGAAATTCAACAAAAGCTGTGAGTTAAGAGCGTAGGTTGCACTGACGGAGATTGAAAGATCCAAAATTATCGATACAGCACCTATCGATTGCTTTTTTTTCGCTTTGCTCTCTTTCTTTCTCTTCCTCCACAGACTCCTCTTGGTCCCTTCAACCTGCTCCCCTCTTTCGACTGTTCATGTCTCCTACTAACAGCAAGATCATCACCCCAAATATATCCAGCAACTTAAAAGATATAATTGGGAAGTCAGCAACCATGTCTACATCTCCAAGTCTTACCTCTACCACCCCAGCATTAAATTTAGACAAACTAGCTGATAAATACAAGCATGGTCGCAACAGAATCATGTTCTTTGATTACGATGTAAGTTGATAGGGAATGAATTTCAATTTCCTTTTTTTGATTTAGGCGTCATCATACTGTTGATGTGATACCACTTGAAGCTGACTTTTCTTCATATAGGGTACACTCACTCCCATTCGCTCGCGGCCAGACGATGCCATACCGTCGGATGAAATGATTGATCACCTGAAAAAGCTTTGCGAAGATCGTGATAATACTTTATGGGTCATCTCCGGCCGAGACGAAGCCTTTCTAGAACACTATCTTGGTCATATTCCGAATTTGGGCCTTAGTGCAGAACATGGTTGTTTTATCAGAGACCCTGGATCTCCAAATTGGGTCAATCTTGCAGAGCAAATTGACATGGTGGAATGGAAGGCTCAAGTAACAAAGGTGTTCCAACAATATACAGACATTACTCCAGGAAGCTTCATAGAAAGCAAAAAGTGTGCTTTAACCTGGCACTATAGACAAGCCGATGAGAAACTGGGCCCAGCAAACGCGGAAGAATGCCGACGGCAATTGGAAAAAGAAATCCTTCCCAAGTTTGACGTTCATGTCCTGGTTGGCAAAATGAATTTGGAAGTTCGGCCATCAGCTCTCAACAAAGGCGAAATCGTCAAGAATCTTCTGAGCAAGCACAGTCAGGTGGACTTCATATTTTGTGCTGGTGATGACCAAACTGACGAAGACATGTTCCGATCACTTCGGAACGCTAAACAAGTTGATCAAGATGCCACCTTTTCTTGCCTAGTTGGCTCCAACAAGAGTGAAACTTTAGCTGACTACTTTGTATCATCGCCGGCAGACATCGTGAACGTTCTTAGCGTCATGAACAAGGCAGCACCAAAGTAAGAACTGTGAACAACTACATCCTTGTTTTGTTCTTTCCTTCATTTTCCTTTTTGCACCCTTCATTCTTGCCCTCGTTTTTACTTTTTTCCCATTCCCATTTCTTCTACCGCTCCTGTGGAGTAGATTCATTCCGTCTTTTTAAGCTGTAACGATTCATTTTCGTTTACGATTTATATTTTCAGGTCACATCTATAGATGGAAATTACTCCATTTGAACCGACCTAACTGTATATCAAAGTTTGCTTTCTTTTGTGCTCTCCTTTCATCGACAAGCTGACGATAAGACGGGCGGTTGTGCTATATAACTATATACATCTATACATATTTTGTGCAGATATCCAAATCATGTAACTAAAGCTACGTGGCATTCTAAATTTGCACTTTGGATAATTGATAGCCTGTTTTTGGGAATTAGAATCTGGTAGCGACGGTGCAGCTGGTGCGAAAATTTTATAATATGCCTTTTTTATTGACTAATCTTTGTAATTTCCTTTACGCTCAATAACATCGAATTTGATGTTGACCAAGTCCTTTGCTGCACCAGCTGGTCTCAAGCCAGCAGTAACAGTATCGCCAGGTCTAATTGGTCCAACGCCTGCAGGGGTTCCGGTTAACAGAACATCTCCAGCCTCTAGCTTCATGATGGTGGATACGTAAGCAATAAGCTTTGGGATTCTAATCAATTGAAATCATCCACGTTAGCGGGCATTTTAGACAAGCACGGTGGATTGAACCGAAAACCTACTCAAAAATCATGTCCTTCGTATTTCCATTTTGCTTGATGGTATCATTGACTTTGAGCCACAAGTTGACATCATGTGGGTTTGAAATGGCGTTCTTTGGGATAAAATCACTATTTCGAACAATAGCCATTAGTTTTGCCAAAGATGATATGGCTATCATTTTACTGAAGTCCTTACCTGATTGGTGTAAATGTGTCAAATCCTTTGGCGGCACTCCAGGGCAGACCCTTGGCTTTAGCTTTTGCCTGCAAATCTCGGGCCGTCATATCGATCGCCAAAGCATATCCTATGTATTATCGGCAACAGTGAGTTCGTCATGACACATCATCAATTCCATAGTGTTAAATCATGGGACTAACCTTCAACGTAGTCCATTGCATCAGAAGGAGAGACGTCTCGAGCGTCTCGGCCAATGACAGCAGCGAGTTCAACTATTTCATCTTTGTAAGAACATGATTGTTCAAGAACAGTACAACATAATCAGAAACATACTTTCATGATGAACATCACATCCCTGAGGTACTTCGATGGATCCACCGTTTGCCAGGTATGATGTAGTGGGCTTCAAAAAGAAGAATGGTGACTTGGGAACAGCATTACCTAACTCTTTGGCATGTTCCCTGCGAATCAATATATTAGAAAGAGGATACATAACTTATATAACACCAACCAAGTAAAAGTAATACTAACGAAAAGTTACGACCGATGGCAACGATCTTGCGACCTGTGCTGAAGAAATTGCGAGCCGACATGGAAGAAATAAACTTAAGATCGGTTTAGGCCGTTAGGTCGGCATTACTTTACTTTTTCAACGCCAGACGTGATCTGACTGCTAGGACCAGACGGGCGCTATACAATTCATTTACTTGATGATTTTACTAAAGTTACAGACGATATAACCATCTAATTATTACATTTTTTATACTAGGGCATTTTTTCTATAACACAAGGTGAGCAGAATATGTACAGTTGCCTATCCTAGGTAAATACGTTGAATGCCATCCTTTGCTTTACGGCACATAGCACATTCTTTTACTTTGTCAGCGCATGCCTCACAGTATACTGGAAAATGAACATCTCGTTAATAAAGCATTCATATACTGTCAAGTGAATAATGTGCTTTCAATAGCTTACTACAGTGGTAACAAGGTATCGTTGCGTGCGTAATGGTATTGTGCCAGCATACTCTGCACTTGAAGTCCGAAAGCTTTGCAACTTCGTTTTTCTCTTCGATTTCTTGTTGCAGTCGTTCGTTCTGCTGTAATATTTCGGTAACAAGAATCTCCAGGTTTGCTGTACGCTTCTGACAATGGCGCCGTAAGTCCATTTCCTCTGCATGGACTTGTTGCATTTTATCATGGCTCTCCTCTGCGTGCAGTTTTTCTCTTTTGAAAAGCTCGTTTTCCAATTGCAAACTTCGCTGTGTTCTCTCCAATTTTGCAACGTATTCGTACATAGGATATTGTATTGCCTCCATATCGACCATCATTTGTTCTTGAATTTGCAGTATCTGTTTCTTCTGATTGAGAAACAGGCTGGAAATGGACTTGTGGAAATTTGCTTCTAGCACGTCAAGTTGTTTCATCACTTGATTCCTGGTGCCTCCATTGGATTCCATATCATTGTCGACGGTGTTCAGCGTTGCCGGTGATACATTCTGTTTGGACGTTGATGGAGTCGTAGGTGAAGACATTACATGTTCTTTGCTTCGGGAAGGTCCAGGAGACTTGGGTGTGTTATATTCAGGATAAGTTCGTTTGTGCTGCGGCTGTGATACATCTATTTCGGAAGGTTCTGAGATGTTGAGAGTATTCAAAAGCGATGCCTTCGAATATGGATTGTCACTTGCTCGTTTAGGTATCATCAATGTCTTGTAAACGGAAGGCGGCACCATATTGCTCGAAGATTTCCCGGTCGTCGGAAATGTATGATTCTCGCCGGATGTATGATCCTGCATCATTTGAATACTGTACGCTGAATTCGGATCGTATGAAGTTGATACTGATGCACGATAAGGTTGATAAGACTCATTATCATTATACATATCACCATTGTTTACCCCGGATCGACTACCGTTCGACATACTTCTTCTGATTGGAGGCGCAGATTGTTGGCTTGCAGTTAGTTGATTTGGTAAATTTAGGCCAGTCATCCATTCAGAAATCTGGTGGTCGCTTTTGTTACGAAGAATCGCTTTTCTTAGAGCATATTGATGTTGCCTAAAAAGATCCTCTGAGCTATGTGTCTGAGGAGAAGATTGCTCATACATTCCATACTCATGATCCGATGCTGTTTGCAATGCTCTGTCGGATGTATGTCCAACGTCTTTTTCTGTATATCCGTCTTGATGCGGTGGGTACTCATCATTGGCTTCTGCAGAGTAACTACTGAAGCTTGGTCCAGCCATCGAATCAGCACCGTTATCGGCAACAATTGGTGTATTTGCATTTGAACTTGCGCCTAATATCTGGCGATCCTTTGTCCATCGAATGCCATGGCGATCAACGCTGCTGCCGCTGGTATTTGGTCGAGGATCGGTATGACTTGTCGTGGCAATAGCGTCGGAGACAATGGAACTGCTCGCAGAACCTTTCGGGCTGACAATATCATCTGATAAGTCCTTTAGAGCAGTGAGACTAGAAGAAACAGGATTGTCTTTTGCGACAGATTTTTGTGACTGACTTGGTGTAGCTTCCAACGATGCTGCAGACGATTCTACTGGTCCTGTAGACTTTTGAAGTAGCGCATGGGTACATATTATGGAAGGAATAAATGGAACTTCTTCAGCAATAAGAGCCCAACTGCACTTTGGTCTTGCGTTATCGACATCGAAGTTAGGGCAAGTGAAGATCACTCGATTTTTGTGTAGTCCACTGGTACTCAACAGCATCTTGACAGGGAAATTGCAAAAGCATTTTGGAACTGGAGGAGAGCGTTTAGGAAAAGAGTTTTGAAGCCTGAAACTGGCGCAGAATGTGAGATTAAAGGCGGGACAGATATTAAGCTCTACATGATTAGAATCCAGGTCGTTTCCTGCCTGTAGTTGATTGCGAAGTTGGTCCCAGACACGTTTATGAACATGAAACCCACAAATATTCGAAGGTTGAGCACGACCTTTTCCTCTGATCTTATCCAAAATGGCTGGAGATCTCACTACTTTCTTCGATCCTTCGGGTTTGGATGGAAATACTTGATCACTATTCGTTGAACTACCATTAGCGGGTGAGCTACTTGAACTACTACGGCTGATATCATCTTTGCGTTTGTCTGTTATATCGCTCGCTATCGAGGCCACGTCGTCGAAAGAGCTTTCATTAGCGGCCGAGATTTTCGAAGTTCGAAATTCCTGTAAATTGTGACATTCGTAGATAACACCAAACTCCAAGGTGTCAAAAGTAGCTGCTTCTTTCTTGCACCAACAGAGAGTGGGTTCTTCCATCTTTAAAAGCTTTTCTTCTATAGTCAGAGGATTATCGAGTCGCAGTATAGGCTTTTTTGATGATCTACTTGAAGTTGAAGGCATCTCGTTCAATGCTCTAGTAGTTCTCCGCGATGGATTCCCTGAATGCTGTACATTCTGACTGCCTAGAGTGTCCGTGAGCGTGCGTTGATCGTCGTCATTCTCGGCCGCCGTCACTTGTAATTCTTTCCATTGAAGTATCGCTTGTTGCTCTATGGCTGAAAATTGTGCATCTGTAGGACGTGCTGTCATAGACATTACAGCAGCTGCCTAGAGGTAAGTAAGTGCAAGATCTTCGAAAAAAAGTTTGGCGGAGGAAAAATTGTTCTTTCCTCGAAAATTCATATCGAACAGTCCTGACCTGTTTCTGTCCCCGCTGCCCTTCGTGATAACTCTCCACCATGGCCAACGCAACCACCAATCTTTTAGCTGTGGAAGTGAAGAGAACTGAAAAGGTAGCCTTAACGCAAGTTCTTCGAGATTACATTTCCAACGCCTATGCAGAGCATCCAGATCTCTACACTGATGACTTTCGAGTTCTTGATGAATTGCGAATGGACTGCATTCACCTTGGAGCACAGCATAATGCTCTGAACAGGCTGATCAAGTAAGTTGACTACTACTTCTATTGAAAATGGTTTTTCTTTTAACAATTTTTTTTGTAGATATCACGGTCAACTCGTCTTCATCGGCTCAAAGTTTCCTATTGACGTATGTGCTCAATGTCCTTTGCATTTCATCATACCACGTTTGCCTCAACTCAGACTTTCCTGTACTAAATAGGTTGGTGCCGAATTTCCTTGGTACCCAGCATTCTCCGCCAACGGTGGCAAACCAGGTAGGTGATCAAATAGAGAACAGTCGATGCATTTGTGATCAATGCTAATTGGCCCATTTGTGCATGTAGTTGCGTACAGGAATCTAAACTATGAAAAAGCCTGTGTACTATACTCTATTGCCGCTATGCAAAGTCAGCTTGGTATATCGGAAAACAGAGCAACTGCAGATGGTGTTAGAAAGGCGTGCATGTATTTTCAGGTTGGTTGTGGCAGCATGGACTTTCGATGCCTTTAAGCACATTTTGGTAACCAGTCCTTTATTTGGTCATAGAATGCCGCCGGCGCCTTTAAGCATCTACAAGATGTCGTGATACCAGAAATACGGACAGCTCCTACTAAAGACATGACAACATCAGCTCTCAACACCTTGGTTAGTTTGATGTTGGCGCAGGCTCAGGAATGTGTGTGGCAGAAAGCAGCTATTGATCATCTCCGAGATGGAACAATCGCTCGGCTAGCTATTCAAGTCGCTGAGTATTATGACTCAGCTTATGATCTGGCAACGAACTCGTCTATCTCAGGATTATATCCGCAAAGCTGGCTATCACATATGCAAATCAAAACGCTTCACTTTAAAGCCGCTGCACAATTCCGTAAGGCGACGGAATGCATTTCCCAAAATAAGTATGGCGAGGAAATTGCTCGACTTCAACTTGCAGAGTCTTATGTAAAGAAGGGATTGGACATGTCAGGATCATTTCTATCTCGAGGATCCGGCGTCAATGAGATGGTTATAAACGACTTGAAATCACTACAGCAAATAATACAAAGTAATCTTGCCAGAGCTCAAAGAGACAACGATGTTATCTACTTAGAACCAGTGCCAAGCTCGTCAGCTCTGCCTCCAATCGTAAAGTCTGGGATGGTAAAGCCTATGCCAACCACCGAAATAACTGATCCTGTTCAGCTTATGATGGACAATGAGAGGAGTCATGGGAAAATGCCCCACCCTCTGCTTGGTCTTCCACTTTTTCAAAAACTGGTTCCATTTGCTGTACACCAAGCTGCAAGTGTCTACTTTGATCGGAAAGAAAGGGTCCTTAAGGTTGATATTATCGGCAAACTGGATGAACTCACTGGGGTATACCAAAGGTAAAGTTTTTAGTAGGTGCTCATGACGAGATAAACAGATACTGTAATTTGATGGTTGACGGGTCAAATCCTTTTTAGTACTTTGAGATCTTTAAATCTGCCAACAGCATTACAAGCCCTGGAACAGCCAATTGGTCCCCCACCTTCTCTCATCAAGCGTGCGGATGAAATCAAGAGTAAAGGAGGATCTGCATTATTGTACGATATGATAGAAAAAGTGCGACAATCTTCTCTAAAGAATTCCGAATTGTTGGATCAAGCTCTCAATGCTGTGGACGAAGAGCTGGAGGAAGATGATGCAATGAGAAAACAATACGGTGACAGTGAGTAATTTGAGCACTTTCAATTTCATTGAAGCATCTGCTAATTTTGTACCTATAGAATGGCCTCTTCAAAAATCGTCAGAGTTAACTGGCCAGCTGATTGCACAAGGTAAAAAGCATCGAGAAACCATATTATCAGCACAAAAAGCGGACCAAACAGTCCATCAAAAGCTCGATACCTGGGTTAAGATCATCGATATTCTTAACTTACCCACTGATGAAATTGAGCGGTCCATTCCGTCCGTTCATGTTACGAGAGGATATTCAGCTCACGATGAGGATGATGATCTTGCTAGACAGAATAATGCTGCACGTCACCTTAGGGCTCTTCTCGAACAAGCTGACGGACACGTAAGAGAGCGCAAAGATATTATTGAACGTGCCCAAAGAACTTCTATGGCAGATGATATTTCACCTGCGTTGCTTAACAAGGCCGCTCAGCTCACCGCAAACTCACCAATAGCCAAAATCGAACCAGCTCAATTTGAAGATCTATTTGCAGAACAGTTGAGACAGTATGACGAATATTTGAAAGATGTGGACAAGCAAGAAGAAGAACAGGACCTGTTGATGAAAAAAATTGCGACCGCAAACGAGGACTTTTTGGAGGCAAGGCGATTTAACCCAGCTATCGCAAAACGAGAGAAAGCTTTGCAAAACTTGGAGCAAGCCTATGATAAGTTTCAAGAAATCTATACTAATTTGAAGGAAGGCATGAAGGTATATAAGTCTTACAAGACTTGTGGAATGGAGACTGCAGTACTGACATTCTTTCATACAATGCAGTTTTATACAGATCATGGGCAAAGTCTAAGTACATTCAGGAAAAAATGCCTCGATTATCAACAACATCGGCGAAATGAAGCACGAGAAGCTTTAAAGTGAGCGATTGAGATTGGGTCATGAATCTATCGAATTTAATTTGTTAACGATTTATTGTGTTTTGTTTTAGGACATTGGGTGTCAATCCACTTTCACTAGCATCCTTAAATTTGAACCCACAAGACAATGCCCAGCCTCAAGCTGGTGGCGCTTGGCAGCCGAAATTTGGTATTAGATTTAGCGGACAGAAACCATAGTCTGAGGAGAAATACCGTTGTGGACTTCTATTTCATGTTATGATGTGTATATACAATCTTATTAAAGTTGTTTATCTTTAAAAAATGTTGATATTGGCGAGCTCTCCTTGGATTACTGTGCCCATGCTTCGTACGCCTCGTAATAAGCCTATAGAGGGATCGTAGACATTAGTATTTAGTATAAGCATTTGAAATTGATGCCGTTTTACTTGCCTGATATTCCTCAGTGGTCATTTTGAGTTGATCGTCTTCCGTAATCTCATGCAATGGTACAAGTCGACCATTCACGGATACTTTGGTAACTTCCGTATCTATATCGTCGAAGTTGTCCGCGTCTTCTTCATCAGCGCTATCGTGCCGCTGCCTCTTACTGTCACTGCGAATGAAAGAGTTAGGGATCACTAGTAACAGATAAGTCACCAGCGAATGGAATGTTGGGCCTACCTAGCTTCAGTGTCATCATCAAATGCACGTTTGCTTCCAACTACTTCCAACCCAGTATCCTCGTCATCGTTCATGAGACCTTGATCGACCTCAGAGCCCATAGGCTCCGTGTTTGCGGCAAGTTCATTGAGGGAGTCATAATATTTGGCATAATCTGAAAAAAAAAAATTAAGTGAAAAAGAAGATAGTGTATCGACACACGTTCAAATTCTTACAATCTGCTCTATCTTGATCATACTCCTCATTTTCAACTGCCTCAAACTGATCCTCTTCGTCGGAATCGCTTTCTTCAACTGCATTTTCCCGATCTCCGGTGCCTTTCAAAGGTGCAGAAATAGTACTCTGTTGATGCCACACTGGAAGGGCGTTTTGCTGTCGCTTCTTATTAGACTCGGATATTTTAGCTCGGCGCGCAGCTTCATTGTCCATTTGCAAGTCTACTATGATTTCGCCTTGACCAGCTCCCGTATCTTGAGCTATGGCAAGCTCATGGCCATCTACAAACTAAATTTAGCGAATTGCATACGTGATACCTATGTTCAATAGTGCAGTACGCCCATACCATCATCACCGTTGGCCTTGTTGTTTCCATTCCCATCTATGCCAGCTGAAGTCCTTATAACATAACTGTACAAACTCATCAGTAATCAAGTCCAATGAAGGAAACTGATCAATACACCTACCTGGCTGGTATAACCAAAGAATCCGTTTGCTTCAGCAGCGAAATGATTGGCAAGCACTGTTCACGTAATCTTTATAAGAGAATAATTAACCGCCCATGCTCTTTGCTTGACAGAGATCAAGAAAAAAATTGAAGTCGTACCTGGCGAGTACTTCTTGACTATATTTCACGTTTTCGGCGTTATCGTTTTCTTCAAGTATAGCATCGCAATCCTCGCAGTGAAACAAGCCATCCGTCATACTGATAAGCCCAACAGCCTCAAGAGCCGGATAAGTTCTCTGGCAATTTGGGCAGACATAACCCTTGTTTTCAGATTCCTACAATACATCATGCCAATTAATATGTAATGTACGTGAGTATCAAGTTTGATATTTCCAGAATCTCACCGTTCGCAAGGTATCTCGGACCGATGTTTGCATTTTATACATTTTCCATTTCACCACGTTTACAAATTGCTTGTAGTCGATATAATAGTATGTCTTGGGTACGGCTCGTTGATCAGGTGCTCGTGCTTCCTGCTTCTGAACACTGAAAGCAGACGAAGTGTTAAGAACTCATAAAATCTTCACAATCATGAAAATGCGACATACATTCGAACTAGTCTATCCTCTCTCAGTTTGGCACACAGCTTGTGCAGCTCCCGAAGAGTTAACTTAAGATTGATCGACAGATCTTCTTCCTTAACACTGCAGAATTGAAAAAGTTAACGAGCTATTTCTACTACGAACACAGCAATGCCATATACATACTGCTCTCCAATCTTGTTCAGAGCATCCAGTACCACAATATATTTTGGATCATAGAACGCTCGGGCAACTCTAGCTACCATGGTCTTCAAGACATCGTACTGTGACATGAGGAAAGCAAAAGGGCACAGCTTTGCAGTCACACTGAAATTAACGAATTTGAGCAATATCATTCTGCACATAATCTGGTACGAAGTTACTTGTCCTTTGAACCACTGACTCGACTTAGCACGCTATCCTGACTTCACTCGGAACATGTTTGATGAATCGAAATCGAAAAGATATTCGTAAGTGCTATATTACAATACTTAAAAAAAAAGGTGAATACAAAAGGTGGAATGAAAGAAGTGGGAGAGTTATGAAAACGAGATCTATATGGTGCTGCTTAGAAGAATCGATCCATCGCCTACAATTTGTGGTTCGTTTAAGAACAAATTTACCAAGCCAAGAGTAACATTAGAGTATAGTAGCACTCAAAGGTTCAGCACGTAACTCTTCAACGTTCATTTCTGCCTCTGCATCTGTATCGATCTGGCCAATGATTCCTCTGTTCCAAATAATAGTTAAATTACTTGAATCGTTATGATTATGCATCTCTCTCTTTTGAGGAAAAATCACTTACACGCTATCACCTCGTATGACATAAAGACCGAGGGGAACAACTTCTGTGCCTTCCGGTGAAAAGACGCGTTCGTGGCACTTTTCTAATATAATATTTCCAGTGGTATCGATTCCTCTTGCGGTGCCCTACAAATCGATGTTTGCAGTTAGCTGACTGCTCATTATATGCCGTGATCTTATTACTATGACTGCTCACCACTATGACACGGCCGTCCAAAGTGATCACCGACACAAACTCTACAAGGACAAAAGATTAGTAAGTAGCTGCGCAGTGATTTCTAAAGACCCGAGGCGAACGGAAGACGTACTGTCAACGAAACTGTTCAGGATGCTCATTCTGCTAAGGTGTAAAAGGATCAATAGCAAAGTTTTCTTGAATCGCAGCTAGACTGTTGGCTTCAAACTTCTGGCCCATCTGGGTGAATGCACTTCACGTGACCAAAGACGGATTCTCGCGCCAAAAATTGACTCCTCACCTTGATCAATCTGTTCAGCTCTAAATGACTATCAAACGTCCTTTTCAGAATGACTCAGGCAGGTTTGAAAAGTTCAAATGAATAGAGACATAATTAAGTCGTCTCTTATAATGACAATGCGCTTCCCAACACTTGAATACATCTTATGGAGATAGGTGTAAATTCATAAGCTGGACAAAAATTGGGATATGCGTATTCAATAGGTAGCCGTAAGATTGTATCAGTATATAAGTTTGACTGTGCCTTTCATTGCGCTGGCCAACGTTGGTTAGGAAATAAGGAAGATTTTGACGACGAGCCGTTTCCATTCTTTGAAGCGGAGCTCAACATCAACGTTTAAAAACGTGTCAAACGAATTATCGACTTGAGCGGCCTTTTGCTATTCAAATTTACCTTGCAATGGCTAAGGACAAGCTTAACACCCAGGCTCCTCTCAAAATAGCATTTATCCACCCTGATCTTGGCATTGGTAAGACGTTCGATCTACGCAACTTTATATATTTCCAAGCCGACACTGATTGTTACTGATTGTTCGGAATTCAGGTGGAGCTGAACGGCTAGTTGTGGATGCAGCAGTTGGTTTGCAAGAACGTGGACATCAAGTCGTAATGTATACTTCACACCACGACAAAAACCACTGTTTCGAGGAAACAAGAGATGGTAAGGCGCCTCTTTCTGGAAGGTCGTGAAGAATACTCTGTTGGCTTTCGACTCACACTACTGTTATAGGCACGCTCGAGGTGCGAGTTGAAGGAAATTCGATCATACCTCGCACCATCTTTGGAAGATTTTACATTCTATGTGCAATTTTAAGACAATTCCATCTCTGCATATCTCTATTGAGGCAACAGAAAGACACATACGATGTTCTGTTCGTAGACCAATTGAGTGCTTGTATTCCATTGTTGAAGTTGTTCTGTTCATCTAAAGTAAGTAGTTTATCTGTCATATTACTATTGTGTGCAGCAGAGAACATCCAAAATATAACTTATGAAAACTCTTATATAGGTGTTTTTCTATTGCCACTTTCCGGACAAGAAACTGGCTCGTCATGACACCTTGATACAACGCATCTACCGTGCCCCAGTAGATCTCTTCGAGGAATATACCACTGGTTCGTACTAAATTCATCGGAACTGCACCATCTTACAAAATCTCATCATGAAGTTACATCTATGCCTGCAGGAATGGCGGATACTGTGGTTGTAAATAGTAATTTCACGGCCGGCGTATTCAAGCGCTCCTTTCCATCTATATTAAAAAATCCGAGAACGCTATACCCTCCTATTAACTTGGAAGCATACGATAAGGAAGTTGATATAGATGATCCTCGAGTGAAGGTTTTAATATCGTAAGTGGTCCAGCTTTTGCTATTTTTCTCATCATAACTTGCATTGTCTGACTAAATGTTTAAAAAGTGATAGAAAATTAATTGTGTCTATCAATCGGTTCGAACGCAAGAAGGCCATTGATTTAGCCATACATTCATTCGCAATGCTGAAAGAAGACGGAGGAATACGGCCAGAGATATTCAATAGTATGCGATTAATCGTTGGCGGAGGATATGACCCAAGAGTCGCCGAAAATGTTGAATATCATAAGGAGCTTAACAAGTTAGCGCAAGAGACGTACAAATTGAAAACTTTCACTCTGATGCCAGGATCCACTGAAGTGGTTCCTACCGACTCACAAGTGGTTTTCCTTTGTTCGTTCAACGACTCTCAACGCGGCTATCTTTTGTCGCATGCAACAGTCGTACTTTATACACCGTCTAATGAACACTTTGGCATTACCCCTGTCGAAGCTATGTATGCAAGAGCCCCAGTCATTGCTGCAAATAACGGCGGCCCGGTAGAAACCGTCAAACACAACGTTACTGGTCTACTCCTACCACCAACCCCAGAAAATTGGCGCGATGGTATAAAGTCCATTGCTACAGCTGAATTGGACGGACGTAAAATGGGAGAAGCAGGAAGAAAGCACGCTCAAGAACGATTCTCACTTGAGGCTTTCGTTGATCAGTTGGAAGATATCTTGGACGAGCTGGTCTCGGGTGGACGGCCTACGAAGCATTACTATGACAACGTTGAGTATGGTGTTCGAATTGCCATCGCCATTGTAGTATTTGGCTTATACGTTAACTATTGGTGGCTATGATTTGATTCGTCGGATCTCAATATGGATCAAAGTGTAATTCTTTACAAATGCACCATTGCATGTTTCAATAGATTGCAAAATTAACTCATTTAATAAAGTAGTAGTCAACGAAATCATGAATATATGCTTTGAACATCAATCATCCATATTTTCAATAATCGTCATATTCCAGGTTCTTATTAACCCTGGTGTGCTCAATCACAAACTGTAGATATAGAAGATAGTAACTGCAAAATATTATTGGGGATTACTTGTGAATATTGGATTGCTACTTGTTCTTCATTTTCTAATGCTCTTGGGAGAGTCTCGTTGAGAGTAGTAGTAAGCATCTAGTTCGCCTTGAAGCTCTTTAATCTTGTCATTTTGGGATTCCAATTCCTTGTGCAAACGATCACGCTCAGCCAATAGCTAAAATAAATTACATTGTTTAAATACAACTCCATGACCATCCATAACTTAGCACTATGTCATTTATCCTACCTGTTGTTCCCACATACGGAATCTTTGTTCCTCAGCCTTGACTTGTTCTGTAAACTTCTTGCGCAGGACTTCCTCCTCTTCCTTGAACTTGGGGTTTTCAGAAGGTTGGCTTCTAGGGTCGCCGAACTTTCTGGTTTCCATCTGAGATTGTCTGTAGTTCTCATAGTGGACTTCCTCAGTGGTTGAAATCAAGTCGAGCATGTGGGTACGAACAAGTAGGCTGCGTAGCTTTTTGAAATCGCAGTGCTCTTCGTTTTCAACTTCTGCAACACCCCATGAATATTCTCTGCCCTTTACAGAGCGACCATCAGAAGTGGTGACGTCTTGGGTGGAGCCAATGACAGAGAAAGGCATGGCATTCATTATATTGTGGTTACGCTTTGTGCTGGCTTCATCATCACTTTCAATTGGGCAAGAGTATACGCGAATATTTTGAGCGGCAATTACATCTCTGATCTGTTGATTGATCGATTTAGAAGACATGGTGAGTATACATCAAGCACTAAGCAGCCAGGCAGATGTAGAGCAGCAAACTTACGCTTTCCTTGAACTTGGCAAGATCGGCTGGTGTCAAGGTATCAGCCTTGGCAATGACAGGGATCAAGTTTACGCGAGATCCAAGTCTCTTCATGACTTCAACATCAAGAGGGTTCAAACTGTTGTCGTAAAGACAGGTTAAATGACACTTGCTATAAAAGAAAAACTCTTATGTTAGCTAATGCTGTTTCCTACCTGTGACCAGTGGGCTTGATAAAGTAGAGACAAGCATGAACTCTCATATCGACTATGCCCTTTCTGCTTGGTTGTTGTTCTTGGCGCATGTACTTCTCATGCTGATCGTCAATGAAATCTACGATTGGTATCCAGGCATGTCTGTTATTGACATAGTCACCGAATCCCGGTGTATCAATAACGGTCAGCTTGACCTTGAACATCTTCTCTTCCAGCTCTTTTAAAAGTAATTTTCATTCAGTTCCGCTGCATACTTTTAATTAATTGGGCTCACACTGACTTACCAGCCTTCGTGATTTGGACCTGCACAGTCTTGGCAGGCTGCTTGACCTTTCTTCTATTCAAATTCTTTTGATCCTTGATAGCAGTTGTAAACAATGTATTGACAAAGGTTGTCTTTCCAAGACCAGATTCACCTGCAGATCATCGTACATCAATATACCGTACATTTGAAAGTGGGGTATTTGTATCCACTTACCGCAAACCATCAAAGTGAAGTTGGCACCATTCTTTGCGACAATTTTATGGCGTTGGTTTGGCAAGTTTGCAATGCCTGTTCCGATAGAGGCGATTGGAGCGGGGGGTACGGATTCAACTGGTGAAGCTGCTGCCATTTTGTGGAAACAATGGTAAAAAGTGAAAAGAGAGAAGGCAAAGCAAGCTTTCAAAGATCAAACCATACTGAACAAGTAAAGGGAGATACTGGGGGAGGTAGGTAAGGGGCGCAACCATCTTACGCTCCAAATGTGGGTTCAGGGGTTGCTTTCAATGTTTTATTCGATTCGTGTAGATCAGGCAAGCAATATCAGAGGTACGTGCTACTATTGGCTATAGATCAATGTATACATGACCAGCCACGAATGCTTTGCCAATCCAAGTAGACGACTGCCACAAGTCAGAAGAAATGCAACAATAAAAACAGAAGGAGAGTCCTTTACCATACCTTTGTAGAGTATAGGAGAGAAGATAACCTAGATCATACAATAGGAGACTTTTTGCAAAATTGAGGGACAGTAGGCAGGGATGGGCTTCAGTTTGGCTGCAGCATCGTCGTGCCCA